AACCTTTAACCCAAACCCAACCCCAACCCCAAACCCAAACCCAAACTTTCAGAACTCATTTCTATTATCGAAATCCAAAAAATTATTCCCTATTTTTTTTTTCTTTTTTACATTTTCTCTGACAGCTCCATACTTCGATATCCACTTCCGTAGGATTTTAGGGGATTCTTAATTTTCTCCACATCCATTCTGTCATTTTCTCCCCTCGATTCCTAATGACACCTCAGAAGTCATTCATATTGGATTAATCTCATATCGGAAAAATTTTTCTTGTTCTCTCTACTCTCGAGTAATTAATCCTTCTTTTGGGTATCTAGCCCCAGCTAAGTCATCGACGGCCAGAGTTTCACCTGTATTTCCTATCTGTCTATATATGGATATGGTCTTTCTAACATCATGGATCCCTATTTTGTGTCACATTGATATCGTCTCCGTTAATAGGTGTCTTTCGACCTCTTCCGTGCACATCTAAAAGTGTGCATTGACGGCTATGGGCTATGGTCCTCGGTCACCTTTTATTTGGGATGTCCTCAGTCAACTTTATTTGGAGAAAAAAATTCCCTAACAAAATAAAAGTTAATTTTCCCTTAAAAAATGATAAATTTGTTCCTTTAAGTGATGTAATAGACTTAATTTACTGCTCACTTTCAAATTAACATACTCTCATTCTGTAAAGCAAATAATATCTACTTATTATTTCTGACCATCTGATTTAGCTTAATGATAAAAGCTTTTCATATCTTCTTTCTAATGTAATTGTGGAAACAATGAAGTGATAGTTTAGTGAAACATTTGCCATAGCAATGTAATCTTTCTTTGGAATCTTTTGATGTTTACTTCATATGATTCCTATAGATATTCATGTTTTATACCTTCTGCTAATTTGTAATGAGTTGCATCAAATTAATATCTACTTTGGTTATCTGTGATGATTTAATGTGCCTAAAATCAAGCCTACATTTCGAACCATTAAAGTAACATGTATTACATCAAATAAATACACAATTTGCTATGCAGACTTCTTACAAAATTCAACATTTCTTTTGAGCTTCTTGGCTCAACCGGGTTGATTGGAGGGGATTCATCTAAAACTTCACCTTACTTCCTTCCTCTTTTCTTTCACCAATCCTTTAGACATCATCATGTCTACTCTAAGCCTAACTCAGATCCTCACATAGCAGGTTAGGCCTAGGAGGTGGCTCCTCGAGACATGAAAATTATGACATTATCGATGAAATGTTTTATTTTTTGCTTACTTCTTAAATTTTTTTTATTTACATTTTGATAGTGATGTAAAGAATGTATCATAAAAGATGTGTCATATAGGATGGTAATAATTGATCAGCAACTTCTAATTCACACTACCATAAATACTGGAGCTGATATTTTATGATGAATTCCATTCAAATTGAAGTAATCAACATCTCACAATTTATATCTATTAGAATGACTACTTTAATAATTAGCAATAAGCTTTACCTTAATTATAGGCATATTTATTATAACAAATTCCTTTTCAACATTGATATTTGATGGGAATGTGGAAAACTTATAGGAAATTGCATAATTGACTTGTGATTCTTCTAAATAAGGGTATGATTATGATTCAAAAGTAAAAATGAACAGAAGTGCTTATATAGTAAATATTACATATTGCAAACCTGTGCTATTGTTTCTTTATGGATTTTTAATTAAGATATTGTTGCAGCGTTGCATTTGCATATTTTGATTATCCTTCTATTGAGCTATCTTCCAAATTTCAAACTTTTGTTGAGTCATACCAAAAGTGCGATTAGAACATAGTATTATTGTTTTCTAGAGATTCTTATGAGAACACATGCCAATTTTGCAATATATTGTATCACTTTATCAAATAATAGTTTATGAACAACAAAAAAGATTTAACTTTTGAGAGAATCAATGAAATTATTAATTGCTTTCCCTAATTTATTTCCTATTTTTCTTGAAGACTGTTTATTGGAATTTAAAAAATGGTATTTTTTGAGATAAATTTATTATCTGATCATAACTTCATAGTAATTCTTAACCTTATTTTTATTCTATTTCTTAATTACATCTCTTAATTCATGTTATTTATTCACCTAATTCATCAATTATTTCATCACATTTTCATTGCCGATTTCATTCCTGTTTTATTCTCTATATATTCGCATAATACATTTAATCGGCTATGTAATCCTCTAATTCATGCCAATTTCATTCCTATTCCATCGGCAATGCATATAGGGGATCGGCAATTTTGTATTTTTTCTCTATTGCTGGTGTCTTAGAGAGACAGTTATATGCCAGGTAGCCTTGGCCCGACCATATTACTGGCGTCTTAGAAAAACAGTTATAAGCCATTCTTGAGGGTAAATTATTAAAAAGATGATTAAATTTTCCTTCTTACCTTAAAAGAATAATTCAAGCACATAAAACTTTATTTTTGCTTAAGAGTCTTTTTTTCATTCACAGATGTATGTTGGATAAAATTATTCGCATCTTTTGTTCATAAATATCTATAGAAAGTTGTTCACATAAGAGGCATGCTACAGCAATAAGCTTACTTTATAAAGATATTATTACTTCTAATATCATTTACTTTCTTAAAATATGATTAATGTATTTATACTTAAATATATCTTTATACAGAAATTGTTTACCTAATAATTTAATTGAAATTTCATAATAGTTTCTCATCTAAAAACAATTTTGTTAGTAAAAAGTCACACCATAGATGAAAAAATTAGATTGTTCTAAATTTTTATATAGCATTTATTTTATATGTAATTAATTTTCAGAATTAAAATGCTCTTAAATTATGTGTACATATAGATTATACTTTTAATTATAAAATTTGATAATATTTGATAAACACAAATACTAAAATATTATTATAAATTGTAAAGAATAATTATAAAATTTTTTCAGATAAAAGCCTCGTAAATATCTTTATAATAAAATTATAATGGAAAAAAAATGATACTTAGTTGTTGTTTTCAGTCGAAAAGATAAATTTTAAAAAAGATAGGGTTTATGTTGAATATATTCTGCATTTGTTTAATCATTATTTTAAGCATATTATTATTCATCTATTTTTTTAAAGTTGCAAAAGTCTAATTTATAAATGAAGTATATTGTAAAAGCATAAATTTAAAGATGAATATTTTCAACATCAAAATGCAGTATTTCGATTCTAATTATTCTTATGGTAAAAAAATAATAATAGCATTGTTATTTTAATCATCTAGGTTTAATTTACAATTTTCTGAAATCTATCATCAAAGAAATTTACATGACATTATTCTTCTAACTCAATTTTTCATCTGATAATTCTAAAATTGTTAAAGAAAAGTCATTATAATACTTTAGTTTTCTCAATATATAATTTAAAAGGTTCTAATTCTATTAGATTTCTTGAAAAAGAAAATTGATGAGAAAATTTCCTAAAAAAAATATGAATTCAATTCAGGAAAATATTCAAATATCCTTATTATATTTAATAAAGACGGATAATGCATAGGACCTTTAGCTTGACAAAATTGATTTTCTAAATAAACCTTCTTATTGTAACATCATCAAAGAAGGTTAACTTGTTTAAATAAAAGGGTATTTTGGATCTCATAAAGAAATTGAAATAGAAATTGAATAAGAAATAAATAATAAGGTGAATTTATTTCCATATTTAAATCTTTCTGAGAGGGGAATTTTAATTACCATAGCATTCAAAAACTAATTATTATTTTGTTTAATCCTTTCTGAAACATTTTTTATTACTAAACCAATCAATGAAAAAGCAATAGAAATAGTTCTATTTAGAATATTACAAGATTTAACTGATAATATTAAATTTTGCTTGAGCGATACTATCCTAAATTAAAATTGGTATAAAGGAGAGTTAATTCCATTTAGTACGTAAATGTTATAAAGAAATGATTATAATTTTAATGATGAACAAAATAGGGGGGTACTATAATATGGATGCTAATGGAAGTTATCCAAAGATATTTTAAACCGTAACATTCTCAAATCTTAGACATAGTCACCTAAGCTCTTTGCACTTCAATACATTCATTTTAGAGAGAATGAGGAAAAAGAATTCTATCTCTCTTATGATATTTTTGCACATAAGCTATTGGAGCAAATACAAACAACTTAAAATTATTCTATAGCTTAACTAATAAAATGTTTTTAAATAGAATACTAATCCAATAATTTGTATGGTATTTTGTAGGAATTATCAAACAAATTAGAAAAATAAATGAATGAGAATATTCAAAATATTTTTAAAAAGTAAAAACTGAATTACGCTTTGACTTTTATTTAACAATTCGCGTAAAATAAACCCCTTCATGTAGGTGGTGATCTCAAATAAACCATTGAGACATACAAAAAAAAAATGAAATCAATAGCTGAAGATTTAAAGAAGTAAGAATATTATAAAGTTCAAAAAGTTTCTTTAATAGTAAAAAGACCTAATGATAATCAATCAGAATTAGTCGATTGTATTATGTAAAATGACATTCAAACTATTATTTTAAATAGTGGCTTTTTTTAGCTTTAGGCAAAAGATGAATTCTTTATTATCGATATTTTTAACACAAAAGAAAAATTCATGATATATATTATTAGGATCAATAACAGTCAAACCTAAATCTTTTTACAAATGCACAAAGCAAAGTAACCTAACCGCTTAATATCATTCGATTATAAAGATTCTTGTAGGTCGGTTTATTTTTATGATTATTATAGAGGATAACTATATATTTTTAACTTTAAAAACAAATTTGTACATCAAATACTTATTTCAGAAACTGGAAAGCTCAAAAGTTCATAATGTATTTGTATTTAACAAGAAAATAATAATTTTTTTATTATTGAGTAAGTTGCATATCTGAGTGATTGTGATAAATTTATAGTATTGTCAAAAGATGGGGTTTTTAAATAACAAGAATAAAATTAAGGTTTTGAAAAGGTCAAATGTATTTAGTAAATTAAAAATGAAATAAGTCAAACAGAATTCACGCCAAGTATTAGACCAGATTGCAGTTATAATTAAATACACACTTGCCCAAGTGGAAAATACTTTTATCTTGCCAACGATTATTGCTGTGATAGATATGATTCAAATTGTCAGAAAATAGAGAGTGTAGAAATAGAAGGATCAATCAAAATTTTTGCTGACTAATCCGATGTTATAATTTTAGGCAAACTTAAGCATGAAGATTAGAATGAAAAATAAGCAAAAATCATTTCTAATTTAGTGATTTAGAAAAAATTTCATAAATCATAAAATAACGAGTAAAAAATAATTGGAAATCCTGCTTTAGATATAGTAAAAGGTTCATTTATAAAATTTGGTCCAAACTCTCAATTTTTATTTAAAGAAAAGAAGAGAGCCATTAATCTATATGTTAATCAAGAGTATTGCGACAAATTGGATACTTACTTGGATAAAATGAGTATAGATGGAGTAAATTTGAATTCATCAAAATTTTAGGGTGCAGAACTTATATGTGATAAAATAAAAAATATCATATATTCACGAGTTCCTTTATAATTATGCACAATTGAAAATAGTAAATTAATACCTCTAATTGATGGATTTAGATATGAAACTCAAACTTAAACAAAAACTAGTGTAGATTAAAAAGTAAAATAATTACACTTAGGATTTTTAGAAGAGCATTTGTCTGATTGCAATAAGAAGATATTTGTAGTAGGAATTATTGGTAAGCAATCATCAGGCAAAAGTTATTTATTGAATAGAGTATTTGGCACTCGTTTTTCTGTTTCATCAGCTAGATGTACAGATGGTATTTGGGGAAGTGTTGCATATATAGAAGATTAAATATTCCTAATTTTAGATTGTGAAGGTTTATTTAATGGAGCTAGAACTGATAAAGAAGAAATAAAAATGTTGGCATTTCTTACTGCTATCTGTGATATTACTATTTTAAATTCAGATTTAACATTGAGCCGCCATCTCGATGATCTATTTAAGAATTTAGTAGAAGCATCCAAGTAATTAAATGACTAAGACTTATTTAAAGGAATTTTATATTTTGTTTTAAGAGATGTGAGTTCAAATGATAATTCAGGAGCTGAGTAAGTATTATTAAAAAATCTCGACAGACTAAGATAAACTGGATCAGAAGAAATAGTATTTTTAAAGAGATTATTTCAAAATTAATTCTCAGTTGAAAAATTATTCAATTATGAAACCAAATAATTTGATGAATAGCTTATTGCTGTTAGAAAATACTTTTTAGATAGTTCTGTTAAATCTAATTGTTGGAATGGAATAAAATTAATTTAAATGATGAAAATACTGTTGTGCTAGTTGGAAATTTCTGACAATACAAATGCAAGTTTGATAGAATTGTAAATAAGAATAGAAAAAATTTTCGACTAAAGCAAAGAATAATGGTATTAATTCACTTCAGATGAAGTTAAATGTGAAAATTTAAAATTAGACTAAAACAAGTATCAATTTTAAAAATGTTCAGAGATCTAACATATTCTATACAATAAAGATTTGCTGAACTTACTATATGAAGATCTCGAAATAAAAGATTCCATCTAAACTCATAATAAAAACTTAGGAGAAGTTCAATCATAGTTGAATACACTCTTCGAATTCAGGAAAGAATAGATTATGTTAAGAACATAATAAGAAATAAGTAGTATCGACAATTAAGAGGTTCAAATAATGATTAAAAACAATATATCGATGTTACAGAGCTTCTTTATGGATTAAATGAAGATGTACGAATTTTGCTTTGAAAAATGCAAATATTGTCACTTGCATTGCAAACACTTCAAAAATCATATAGAAATTTCTACTAAACTCAACGACTACATTGCTAATGAAATCAAAAATATAGAAAATTAATAAAAGAATTTGAAAATCAAGATCTAGGATCAAGAAAAAGAGAAACTAGAGAATATTCAGAAAATTGCATAAAGTATCAGTGAAGCATAAAATCTATTGTATGGATTAACAATCTAGTCTGAGATAAATGAAATTAAATAGAAAAAAGAATGCACCAAAACTGAATTGATGAATTACGATTTTTATAATAAAGAGGAAGACTGTATAAATTTATCCTAATTTGAAATTCATAATTATAAGTTTGAATAACCGACAACCATTACCTTAGACGAAATTTAAACTATAAAAGTTGAAATAACTCAACGAATCACAAAATTGAAGATCATATAAACTTAGACTATAGAGAGTTTTAAGAAAAAATATTCTGACCTTGAATATTAAGTTAAGGATTATAGTATAAAATTAAAAGAACTAAGTGAAATTGAAATTAATATATAATAATCAAAATTAGATTCTGAAGTAAGTGAAATTTAAAGAAGATAAGAAGAGTTTGACAATAAATTAATAAACATTAAACAAAAATAACATATTAATGAGTAAAATCTTAAAGTAGTAAGAGAGCAATAATAGTAATTGAATTAAGATAAATAAAATGTATCAAATAAGAATATTGAAATAGATTAATAAATTAATAAACTAACTTCTTAATTAGAGTAAATAAATTCTTTTTGTAAACATTTAAATTAATATCACATATTATGTGAATCACTGAAGGAAAAATCAACTTAAATGCAAAATTGGAAAGACTTATAATAATAAAAGCTTTTAGAAACTTAAGAAGAAAAAGAGATTTAATAAGTTTTAAACAAAATTGAATAACTTGAAAAGAAAGTTAATGATTTGAAATAAAATAAAGAATAACTACTAATTGAAGTTAAATCTTTTCAATAATATGAAATAGCACTTAAATTGATCAATTTTAAGGATATTTAAAGGAAACTTTTGGATTCAAATTTGTTTGTACACTATTGTCAAAGGGAAAGTCACAAATGTGATTAAGTTTGTTAGGTATGTCCTGATTAAATATGCGATAATAAGGCTGGACATTATGAAAACTAAGAACATTTGTGCATGAAATAAGATCATAGATGTAAAGATACATGTGAAATTCCATTGTGCAGTAATACTTGTATGAAAAGCTTTAAGCACAATTCTAAACATAACTGTTTAAGCGATCATCCTTGTAAGGAAAAATGCTAATACTGTGCTAAAGACTGTAAGTAGGATAACTCAGAAGGTCATTATACTAACCATAATTACTTAGATATTTATTGCACTCATAACTGTCAATTGTGTCCCAGAAAATGCTGCTAACCACACGATCACTCCTTTTTAAAAGAGAACCATTTATGTGGCAATATACATTTTTGTTAAGAACTTTGCTAAGAAGAAGGCATATGCAAAATCGAATATGATATCTAGTAAGTTATATGGAAAAATTAATCTTCAGAGTTTCCATATACTAAGTATGTTGCAAAAGATTCTGGGAAAAAAAAATGCCAATAACTAATACCAGCTAACTAAAAGTGGCATGCTGGAAATCATTTATGTAAGGATAAAACTGAAAAGTAGTTTCATTATTGTAATTAATAATGTCCTGAGTGTAATACATATTGCGATTTGTAATACAATCATTCAGGTCCTCATTCATCAGACAGACATAGAAATAAAGAAAACTAAATATTTACAATATAAGAAGGAATTTAGGTTAATGTTCTAATACAAGATTTGAAAGATTCTACAATTAGAAAGTATAATCTCGGAGAAAGTTCAGCCCCTGAAACATGTGACTAGAGCTGCAAAAGAAGAGGAAGAGCTCATTTTCATTTAGTGAAATGTGAAGGACCTAAAAAAATGTTTGAAAAAGAATAATCAATATAGAGCCAAGCATTCATATGAGAAATATGTTGGATTTGAACACATCAAATTTGATGAGGTTTTATGTGAAGAATTTTGGAAATTAAACAACTGGTTTCATCCAATTTATAATGAATTGGAAACGATTCAGGGTTGCAACTACTATTGCCCTATATGCGAATACGAAAAAGGTCCCAAATCATTTTGCAATTAAGCTGCTTGGCATACATAAAAGGATGATATTAAATCTCATAGTTTCTCATGTATGGAACGTCATGTTGAAAATTAAATTTAAGGAATAAATGTAGCCTTTGTAATAGACTCAACAGGATCGATGCAACATCTTATAAAAATGTGTATAAATACCATCAAAGATATTATGGAATAAGCAAATGCTAAAAAAACTGTTTATCGTGATAAACTTGAGATAAAGTTTGCTGCTGTTTCTTACAAAGATCATAAATTTCCTTATAATAAAGATCAAAATATCATAGAGGTATAACGTTTCACCTCTGATGAAGTTATTTTACAATTTTTAGATAAATTATAAGTGGATGGTGGTGGTGATGCACCAGAGGCCGTATTGGATGGCTTAAATGCTTCATCAGGTTTAAAATGGGATCAAAATTATGAGAAACTGCTATTTTTAATAGCTGATGCTCCTCCTCATGGAAAAGCTTACAATAATTTCAAAGATAATTATCCTGAAGGCTGTCCATGTGGATTGAAATAAGATATAATTTTGAATGCTCTATCAGATATGAAGGTATAATTAAAAATTGTAAAATTAAACTAATCTGTTGATTTAATGAACTCAGAATTTAAAAAAGACTTTAGTGACTTAACAATATTTTCTCATGATAAAAAAGACGAGGATAATTCATTTTCAATAATTGTTGATGATGTATGTAAATATTTGACTCACACCGAGATTACATCTTATGTATGTAAATATTTGACTCACACCGAGATTACATATTAAATGGAAAAATGATTATTTTTATTTATTATTTATAAAATTAATTGTAATTATTATTAAGATACCCATAACTTTTTCTTCGAATTATAAGTAACAAAAATACATTTTTTTTTGAGATAAATCATGAATATTTTGAATTTATAGTATTATCCTTGTGAAGTTGATTTTTAATTACAGTGCTAATACTTACAAATTAAAATTTCCATAAAATGTGAAAGTATTTAGTCAAGGATTAGGAACCTGGGGTTTTATGAGTACTTCCTAAACCATTTATTTTAAATTATGTAAATCTAATACATCCAAATTATACTAATTTAATGCCAATATTAATAAAAATTCAAGATCTTTAAATGCTACAAATATTAGCAGTTTATATATGGAATCCAAAGTTCTTTGATAAATAGTATCACCTAAACTGGGATGATAACAAGCATCATGAATCGTATAATGAAATGATTATGTCACAAAAATCTATAAATCTAAAGAACACACATTTGTAATCTAAAATCCAATAATTTATGCTTCATTTAATATCTCGTTTTTATTTCTTTAATTAAATTTTAAATTACAACATTACAATCCTATGTACATTGTTTTTTTCATTTGAAAATATAAATACTTCCTATAGGATATTGGTTTTTCATTTTGTTTATTTTTTTAACAATATAATTAAATGATCACCACTATAAGTAAACTAATAAACCTCTTAAAATCAGAAACACTACTTTTCATATTCAAAATTTATCATGAACTCTACTTTAATCGAATAATTTAACAAAAATGGATGTTATAGATTTGCATTTAAGGATTTGATTATTAAATGATTGTTATTTTTCGATTCTAGAATACCAATTATAAATATGACTTCGCTTAATAAAAATAAAATTTCAACTTAATGCACATATTAAAATGTAGAAAATCCATGTTCTATAATATACAATTATAAAATGATAAATTGAATTTTAAATTAATATTAATACAGAATGAGGATTAATGTAACTATGATAGTTTTTCTAACTATGTCTCTATCTCTATCAGAGGCGCTGTAAGCAGGGGTCGACAATGCAGATATTGTAGATAAGAATAAGTTGAATCAGCTTTTTAATATCAATTACTAAGGAGATTTGTAAGATTCAATTTAAGTCTTTAGATATTCTGGATATCTAAAAGCAGATGCACAAGGAACAACTTAATTTTATTATTTATTTTACCCAGCTGCAAATGATTCACTAAAGAAACCAATAATATTATGGTTAAATGGAGGGCCTGGGTGTTCATCCATTTAGGGTGCCTTTAATGAGAACGGTCCTTTTGTATTTAAAGCAGGTACATCCGAGTTTGAGCTAAACAAGTATTCATGGACAAATTTTGTATTTATCTGACGTAAACAACCTTTAGGCTAATATGATATATCTTGAATCACCAATATCTGTTGGTTTTTCCTATGGCCCTTAAGTGTAGTAGTCTGATGAATCAACTGCTAAATATAACCTCCAAGCATTGATCGACTTTTTTAATAAGTTTCCAGAGTATAAAACATCGCCATTATTTCTTGCGGGAGAATCCTTTGGTGGAGTATATGTGCCAACTCTAACAATAGAAATTATAGATTATAATTCTAAATAAAGCGCAGAAGGTAGAATTAATTTGTAAGGATTGGCTATTGGCAATGGATGCACAGATCCAACTGAATGTACACATGCAGCTTGGTAATTCTAAGTTCATGTTTTTCACTAAGTTGGAAGACACAATTTTATAAGTGAAGAATTGTATGAAAAAGTAAGAAGTGTGGAAAAATAATGTGTTGAAGTCAAAACTGATATTTGTAGATAAATATCACAAGAAGTCGAAGAGCAAATAACAGGAAAGGATTAACAAGTCAAAGCTAACCAATACAATATTTATGGACCATGTTACACCTATACTCCTGAGGGAAGTAAAAGGGCATCAAAATCTCATGGCTTGATGTCATATACTGAGGATGCAGATATTCCTGCATGTGCTGATATTTAAGGATTATATCATCATTTAAGGTCGAATTAAGTTCGAGATGTAAAATATATTTATATTTGAGTTATTACACATTAAAGCTGAGTCAGCAGAATGGGAAGTTTGCTCAAAGAAATTCGTTGATTATCAAGAAAATCCAAAAGGGTCTTATTATTTATATGAAGAAATTCTTAAACATTAAATTAAAGTCTTGATATATAGTGGCGACGTGGATGGAGTAGTTCCTGTTACCGGAACTATGTATTGGCTTAATAAATTGCAGAAAGAATTATGTATCACATTAATATATATTGTATCAGCCTTGTTAACTTTAAACCCTTGGAGGCCTTGGTTTGTACCAGGAAAGAGAGATGTTGATGGAAATTAAAATGCTGGGTACGTAGTAGATTTGGATGGTTTAACATTTATGACGATTAGAAATGCAGGTCACATGGTACCTCTAGATAAAAGAGAAGAAGCAGAAGTTTTTATGGCTAAGTTTGTAAAGCATGAATTATTTCCATGAATTGATCGAATTTATAAGTTGTAGCTTTAAAAATTAACATTAATATTTAAGATTTAGAAAAAGCATTAAGCTTAAAAATTAAAGTAATTATTAGAGTTTATTATATTAATTAGTAAAAATAATTTAGGATTTTAATCGAATATATATCACTTGCATTTGAAAATGCATTATCATACGTTTCCTACTATTTAATTAAATGCCAAAATCAGCTTTGTAATTAAATATTAGAGAGGATCCATACTATTTTCTTCATCTAATTCTTTTTTTTGACCATCAATAAATTCTTAGTGCTTTTTCTTTACTTTGTCCGATGTTTTCTTATTAATTTCCTTTCGTTTTTCTTCTAAATCTTCAATGGCTCTATTCATACGAGTTTCTTTGGTTATGCTTTTTAGTCTTTGCCATGTGAGCAAATATTAAAATTTTTCTTGATTTTCAGGATTTTTTATGGTTTAAATTATTTTTTCAATAATAGAATTTGAGTTCTCTTCTTAGTTTACCAAGGCGGAATATTGTAGTAAAATTTCTTTTAGCACATCAATAAATTTTTCGTCCAATTCTCTATTGACAACATTCATTTTATTAATCAACTTTTCATACCTTGGATTAAATCCGTCCTTACTAATTAGTTTGTATTCAGTCCTATCAATCAATTTGTCATTTTAAAACTCGTACTTTCTTTTTTAATTTGATAAAAAAAAGAATTGAGGGTCTTATATTTATAATTCGTCAAGAACTTTTTTCACATTTTCAGAAGCCTCTGCTAATTATTCTTCATCAACCTTTTTGGTCTTAGTTGGCCCTGTTTTGGTTATATTTTTATAGCTGCTTTATTTGGCGAGTAAGGAAAAGATTCTTTCACAATCAGAGTCGTCTGCAATATACTCATTCTCATCATCTGAGGATCTTTATATCTCGACTCCTTCTTTTTGATCCTCCTTACTTGGACGGCCAGGTTTCACTCTCTTTTATCTATGACTCATTTATTAATTAATATATTGATTTCAATCCTATTCTCAAATTAAATACTACTTAGTCACTGATTAATCCTGATAAATTTATCCACTAAATAGCATTGTTTTTAAATTATACAGTCTCATAGAAGAAAATTTATATATATCAAAAGAGATGTTAAAGGGTAAAACAGTAAATAATATAGGGAATATTACAATTAATCTTTTATATTGTTGCCATATTATTAATAAAAATTATAAAAAGTGTTAGAAATGAGTTAATAACTGTCTCATTAATGGGCTGGGATAGTTCAGAAATAAATGGTGGAAAAAGTGCTAAATGAGAATCAATAAAAATATGATTAATAGTAGAGAAAGCAGAGGTACAAGGAAGAGTTGGAAACAGACATGAAATTGAAATAATAAAAAAAAATAATTTAACATCAATAAGACTAATAATTAGAATCCTAGATGTTAGAAACTCTTAGGTAAAGAGAATCTAAGAAATTAAAAGAGATGGAACAAAGAAAAATAAAACAAATAGAAATTAGTTTAGAGAATCTCAATCATTTATTAATTCGAAAAAAAATGAATTAGGAGAGGTCATATTAAAGTTTATTACTCGAATAAGATGACATCAAGTAAGAAAGGTTAAAAGAGATTAAAAGTTTAGAAAGAATCAAAATCCTTAAAGATGAAGAGTCAAAAAAATTACGCGAAAATTATGATTCTGTCATCCAATAAAAATTGAATTAAAAATAATAAATCAAATCTAAGTTATTGAAAGTGTAAGAAACCGACCCAGATTAATTGGTTCAAGCTTAGAGAGGGGAGGGATAATCCTACTAGAATGAATTAAATAAGTAATTAGAGGAAAAGAAAAGGAAAATACTTGAGATCCAAGCAAAAAAACAAGAAGAAAGATTAAGAGTGGAACAGAAGATAGCCTTTGAAAAATAAAAGATACTAGAAAACAAATTAAAGGATTACAATATGCATAAGTAATATGAAAATGAAAATTATGAATTATCAAACCAAAGAAAACAAATTGGACATAGTTCATCTTTGGAATCATATAACATTAAATTAAATGATGTTAGCCAACAAAAACTGCCTCATATCTATTCAGACAACTACTAAGCTTAAGAACGGAATAAACAATTGCATTTACTAGATTAGAACTTGCTTAAATATTAGAAATTGTAATAGTAGTCACTCTAGTAAGAGTAGACTTACAATCCAAATTAAATTTCTAATCAAGTGTTAAAACCATAACAACCAGTGTAAACGCCTTTAAAGACACCACTCTCATAATCATCCAAATAATCCAAACAATCAAAGAAATCCAAATAATTAATTAATCCGCTTCATCAAGAAGGTCATGGATACTCATAAATACATCAAAGTAAAACCTAAACTCCTAAATCGAAATAGTCAAAGAAATCACTACCTCAGCCAATTGAGATTACGGATTCTTCAAACCAGTAGCTGAGACCAAAATACAAAAATTATAACATCTTAACAGGAGTCTTGCATATATAATGATGTGATGTTTATTATATGCTAATTTAAAATAATATATAAACAAATAAATGTCCGTATGCAATACAGATAAATAAATAATTAGAACCAGAATGAGTTGATTATTATATATATATATACACATTACTTTCTATTTATTCAGAGTTTTGGCTGATCCAATTTATCAGAGATAAAATTAGCTAACTCAATTTTCTAATCATAACTTAAAATTGGAACTCTATGAGCTAAATATTGCATCTGAATATACTTGATTCTGTCCAAATGATTTGAGAATTCAAATATTCTGTTGTTTAAATAATCGATTCCAGGTATGCAAAATCCTTTGAACCTATAGTCTGAAGAGTAGGTATAGTAATTAGATGTTTTTTATCATAATGAATTCTACGAGGTTTTATTCCATTGGACGAAAAGCAAATAAGAAACCTTAGCTGCTTTGCTAGTCTTGAGTCTGTGTAAGCAAGTTATCCAATTTCTCCAATTATAAAGACCCCTTATGAGAATCCCATCAATCCAATAATGTTGGGATTTTCAAGAATTCTATTTTTTATTCTTTCAATGTCTTCTGACATATCCAAATAATAATTCCCCCATCTATAAACTTTTCCTACACATTAATTAAATCTGATTACTTCCTTAAGTATCCAATAACGGAGGAAGGGGAAACATACTTTTAGAAACATCATAAGGAGGATCCAGATACTCAATTTCGACATATTTTGAGATCAAATCATGCAATTCCCCCATATGTTTTTTCAAAATGAATCCATCATTTTCCCATCCAGGTAAAGCCAAGATTTTATATTTTTTCATAATTTATAGTTGTTCATATTAATATTAAGTACGCTATATGTTTAAGATAACTGGATGTAATAATTAAATTTATAAAATAGAAACATAAGATGAAAAAGAAATCAAAAAAGCATCATAAGAAAAAGCGTCATTCATCATCTTCATCTTCCTCATCACAATCATCCAAATCTCATTCCAGATCGAGATCCCGATCAGATTCAAAATCTAAATCCAAATCTGAAAAATCCAAATCAAATAAATTTAACAAAGAAAAGACAATTGATCCCCCAAATCAAGATCAGTATTTAAATTGAATTCATTAGATTTACGCGACCTTACAAAGTAAATAAATTTGCTCTTGGATCCATGCTTTTTGAAAATCGAAGAACAAATGATAGAATGGACAAAAGTGAAGTTTAAACTGCCAATACTTAATTGAAGAAAATAGATAAATCAGGAAGAGACGCTGTGCTATTATCTGCTGCAATAAATACAGTTTAACAGGACGATAAAAGAGAAGAGTAAGTAATTTTAATTTGATTTAGATACCAAGTTGAATTAGTAAATGGGTAGTATGTTAAGATAGCCAAACCATATATCTGTGGGTTCAGTAATTGTTAAATGAGATTTGTTACAACAGAAGAATTAACAAAACATTTAAGAGAACATGACAGAGTATAAACATTGAAAAATTCCCAAAGAGCTTAAAAGTTTATGGAAAACTTATGAAATTTATGTTTTGTAAAAGACTTAGTTAAAAACATCAATTAAATATGATTATATTTTCTTGGATGAATAGCGGTAGTACTTATTAAGTTTATTATAACCAAGAGTGATTATATGCTTACTTTGCATTTAATCTCTCTCTGGATAATCTTTTAACTAAACTTTCAATAAATTCTCTCAACTCCTTAGATGCTGAAGACGGTATCAAAAAGCATGCCTAAATAACAGATATAAAATGAGACTTACAGTTTTCATTAATTCTTGTTAGTGCTCCTTCCAAGGAGGTTTACCAAAACATAATTCATATGTTAAGACACCTAAACCCCAAATATCACTTTTTTTATCGTACATATCTCCTTCTAAGATTTCAGGTGATGCATAAATGATAGTTCCACATTATGTCTATCTATAAGCGTGAGGAGAGTAGACACAAAATGAAAAGTCAGCAATTTTAACTTATCCAAAACTTAAGAGGATATTGTCTGGTTTAATATCTCGATGTATAACATCATTATTGTGTATGTACATTAATGCAAATGTAATTTAATGGACATAATTGGATGCTTCTTTTTCTTAAAATTTTTAATTTGGTTATTTCTAAAGTAAACCCAGTAATTGACCATGTGAACAATACTCTAAAACCAAAACAATTTCAGTTTCTAATGAAATAATGAATGAGTTAATTACAAGTTTAAAAAAATGTATACAATTTAGTGATATTCGGATGATCAAGAAGATATTGAATTTTAATCTCCCAAGCCAATTACGCTTCCATTATCTCTTCTATCATTTACTTCTTCTTAATAACTTTCAAAGCAACCAAAAATCCTGTTTATAAATGCCTGGCTAGAAACACTTCACTGTATTTTCCATCACCAAGTTTCTTTATTATTTTAAAATTCTTAAACCGTTCTTCTGGTTGTTTTGTAGGTGTTTGCTCTAATAAGGCTTATTTCTACGTTAAGAAATTAAGTATACTTATTTATATTATTCTTTTAAATTTTACATAAGCGGAATTAACGGAATTAATGGTTATCTATCATTATTTTATTGAGATTGATGCAGAGGAATATTTTTTTTTGGAGTGATGTCATATTTCTATGCTGTGATCTATTCTTGTGGTGTTATTTTGGATGAATGCATATTATTTTTACAATCAGAATCAGTATTGATATTTTGCTAATTTGAATTATGCTTCATATTTGATTCAGTCTATTTGTATTAAGTGTAATTATTTCTAGATTTCTGGAGAACCTGCCCAACATATGAAAGGATCTAAGTATTATTATAGGTTTATTGCTGAACTCTAGAATACGGTTTATACGATTAATAAGAGTTGTTATTCATTTAATTATTTTAATTTAATAAACATCTAATAAAAATAAATGAACTTAGATTTTAAACAAATTAGATGGGGTTAAATATAGAGAGTTAAGATGAGTTTTCTACTTCTGTTGTGTGATTTCTGCTTGATTTTTTAGTATATTACATACTTATAGTAAATTTGCAAAAACCTAAATTTTTCCTAGTTACCATCCTATCTTAATTCAAGTTAACCTATAATTTAAATATAGTAACATTGAGCATTCTTCACATTTTTGAGAAAAGACAATGGTTAACAAGTTATAAACATTCACTTTTATTCATCATTTTGTAGCATTGCTGTTTAGGAACTAGCAAAAAAGATTTGGTTAATGAATTTTGTTAACTGAGTCTACACGAACTATAATAATATATGTAATTATCAAAGAAAGAAAATTTACAGAAGAAATTATATTTGAAATTGAAGTGTTAAATGATGTGTTATATTTGTTGTATTTTATTCATTCTAATTATCAGTTCTTTAAAATAACCATGTTTTCTATTGCTTTTGTGGTTATTGTTTCGTCTTTAAATACATCATGTTACAGGGCTTTTTCAATTGGAATTCTCTTCTCCAATTTACTCAAAAAATCCTTAAAATTTGGAGATAATTGTTATCCTCTTATTATGTACATCAATAATTTGTATAATAAATAGGAATCGACTAATTCATCAAACATCTATCCAGTGCTTGCTTCAGGGGCAGCAAATTCAGATAATTGTTGTTTATTGTACAGTTTAAATTTGTAAGAAGAATAGCAGAAGTTGCAAATGGCGATCTTCTCGATTGAATCAGGCTCTTATTTATTTGGAATTACCCCAATTTAATTAGGATTCAAGCAGACAATTATCACTCCCATCAAATGGATATAGTTAAAGATAACTAGCAATTATTTGGCTATCAATCTTATTTAGAATTCTAATATATTATATTGAATTACCACTTAACTTTTTTATTTATTGTAGATATTCATCAAGTGTAAATGGGATATTTTCACATATTTAGTGTATATTTGTGGTATTTTCAAATTGGATTTCATGAGATTTGATTACACCTTTGAAATTTGACAATGAATCATGAATAATTAAATTCGAAATAGAATTATTATCCAATTTGAATTGTTGGATTGATAATTTTAATCCCAAAGATTTGTTAACACATTCAATGTGTGATTTGTTAGTTGTATTTAAGATTTCATATTTCTAAGGATAAGGACAATAAAGTTGATGCAATTCTAGTAGAGTATCAAAAAACAATTAGACATCTATCTTTAATTTATCACATTTAATAAAAATTCCAAATTTATTGACATATTATTGTTTTGGAGCTTCTTGTACTTTTGAATATGCTAACGGGATAAGTTCTAAAAATTATAGAGTTAAATACCAATTATATCCTAGGTTTCTGATGCGAAAAGAATGAGCAATTTATTTTCAATCAATTAAAACCTTCTTTTAACAAAGGAATTAGTGTTAGTTTACTGCCAAACGAACCTTTCTTCCAAATCTAACTTATTGAACCATAAGTTGATATGCAAAGATTGTTGGAGATAATGAATTACTTTCTCATTTATCAACCATTTATAATATTAATCTTCTGTTTGAGGACAAAAATGATCCAAATAATCTAAGATTAACTTTTAATGATTAATTTTATCATCGTCAAAATTGGCTTTCTTTATTGGAGATACATTATTGTTATTATTATCAATGCCTGAAAGGTCTAATGATTAATTGGCTAGATCGATTTCTGGTTCTTATTCCATTTCGATATCTGACTCGTCGAAACATGAGTATTGTTCATTAAAAACTTCTTCTTTGTTGATCATGTTCTTTTTTAAGAAAGCTTCATCGGATTATATTATTTAGTAAAACAAAGGCTTTGGCAAATTGCTCAACTTGATGTATATTTTGCATTGATTACTACTAATTTGAAATTTTGTTTGCTTATTGGAAATAATTGTGATAATATCTGCTGATCTTATTGCACTTAATCTAAGAAAGAATAGGATGATTTTGTATATACTTAAAAATAAAAGGAGTTTGCCATCACATTTCTGATAAATCCAGTGATTCCTACAAGTTTAAATATTTCATTTACCATGCACCCTATTTAGTTATAAATATACCTAAAGATTAAATATTAAAAACATCTCTTCGCTACTTTGAACTTAGATGATAGTAACCATTAATTATACTTAATTGCAGAACTTTAAATTTGTCATATTCTTTCATTTGATATCTGTTTTAGGTTTATTCTTATTTTCCAAAAAGACATCCCATAATATTAATAAATAGTTGTTAAATTAATGCTTCGGTCTGCTTTATATGAAATAGCTCATGATTACGTAATTCTAGGGGAAGACAGCTTTTAGAATGGAGAAACTGAAAACTATTAGCCTAATCAGATTCCACAGTCACCGAAATAAGAAAACGTTGTGGATCCATTCTAAAACTTCTCTAATCTTCTACAGGCACAAAAACAAAAGAAACAAACCAGAAGAGCCTTGATTTCCATTGATACCAATTTCAACACACTCTAGGGCTCTCCGGAAAAAAATTAAGATGTTGTTAAATACAGCTCAAAACATAAATCTACTTATTCATCCCCAAAAAACTTTGTCTTTTATGATAGATAAATTCGTTGGTTAAATTAAGTGAGATAAACGATCAAGGTGAGGGAAGCCATACAATAATAGAGATAAAGTGTGGAGTGTCCATTCAAACCAAAGAAATGTCCCACTTTCTAGCCTGAAACAACCAAAAATCAAATTAAAAAACCTATTAAAATGAGGAAAGATTCATATTCAACAATTCATTTATTAAAATAGAAGTTTTACTGAATTTTGCTATTATATATATATATATTTTATGATAAATTTTATATCATGCAAGAGTAGCAGTTAAGAGTATGTAGTAGTTTTTTCAAGAAATGATACATAATCAGGATTGTTCTGAAGTTTGGATTTTGAGGAGAAGTATTATTGGATGTATTATATGAAGTTTAAATCTTCTATTTAGGATTGAATTTTATATAAATATAATTAATTTTATTAAATTTGATATTAAGAAATGGCAGAATAAGTGGTTCCTAGTAGAATGAACTTGGCTTTGTACAAGGCTAAGATTATCTCAGCAAAGAAGGGTCATGAATTGTTAAAGAAGAAGTGTGATGCTTTGAAAACTAAGTTCAGAATAGTGATGGTTGCTTTATTGGAGAACAAGAAATTCATGGGTGACGAAGCTCAAGAAGCATTATTGTTGATCGCAAAGGCATAATATGCTGCAGGCGAATTCCAGTATTATGAGTATTAACAATAGCTAAAATGTTAAGGATGCTGTAAAGAGAGCAACAATCAGATTGGAAATCTCAAGTGAAAACATTGCCGGTGTCATGTTGCCTGAAGTAAATATTAGGGAAGTGGACGATTCAGATTCGAGTATGAGTCAAATAGGTTTGGCCAGAGGTGGTCAATCTATTCAAAGATGCAGAGATAAGTTTAAGGATTTGTTAATGCTTCTTGTTAAAATTGCATCATATTAAGTAATAAAATAAATTGGATTTCTAGACTTCTTTTGTTTCATTGGATCAAGTTATCAAAGTTACAAATCGAAGAGTCAATGCTCTTGAATATGTCGTCATTCCTAGATTCACAGCTACTATGAATTACATTGATATGGAATTGGACGAAATGTCAAAAGAAGATTTTTTCAGGTTTATTTTAGAATTATCAATAGATTGAAGAAAGTGCTTGACAACAAGAGAAAAATAATTGAAAAGTAAAACCAAGAAACAGCCAAAAGACAATTGGAAGTGGAGGACATGAATTGGTAAGAGAGAGAGAGTTATGATATGTTGGCAGAAGAATAACCTGATGAAGATGTATTCTTTTGAGATATATACATATTGAATAGTAACATAAATAACAATACAATTAATATTTTGAATACAAAGAATCATAAATACATCAAGGCTATTTCTTCTGAGCAAGTATAACCCTTTTTTAATTTTATAACATGACATTCTTGGAATACACAGAGATTTCATCCAAACTCTTTTTAGATTAGACATCGATTGATTGTCTAAACTTGCATTTTTACAATTTCTCTTCACTCCTCTTATCTTGCTGTTGTTCTTCCGATGTATTAAAGGCTAATTATTTTCTAATCAAGATCTTTTTTATCAGTCTCTCCACTTAGAGATTGTTGTTTTCAATCTCTTCCAGAACAGTCAAACAAACTTTCGCGTTTAATCTCAACTATGGATTTTATTCCAACATGTGAGGAAGTAGAATCTACATAGATCTTCACATTTAATACAAATAATTAGTCCATTTTATTAGAATTGCATTCAGGATGTTGCAATTACTTTTTCAACTCGAAACCCCCTTCTTTATTGGATTAATATACCGTTTATTTACCCTGTTTAGTAGTAAATAGATTCTCCCCGGTCAACCTTTAATTAATTAATAGTATATACAATTTATACAGAACACAACCAAGACTAAAGATATCTGCCTTCTCATCATAGGCTTTCTCTTTATTGAAATTAATGATCTCCGGAGCCATATATCCTGGAGTTCCTGAAGTTGGAAATATTAACTAATTTCTTATCTTTCTGGCCAATCCAAAATCAATCAACTTTACGGTTTCCGCCTTCATAATATTCAAAGGGTTAATATCTCTGTGCATTATACCCTTGTTGTGTATGTATATGATTGCCTCCAACAATTCCTAAAAACTCAATCAAACATTACCTTCATTATCTTAATCGTTTCATTAACCGAGAGTCCATAATGTCTGCTCTACAATTCTGCATATAAAGTCTTTCCATTGATGTATTCCATTACTATATAATAATTTTGTTCGTCAACATATGTTTCCTTCAATTTCACTATACTCGGATGCTGTAATTGGTTCAACAAGCTGAGCTCATGAATTAGTTGAGGCTATTATTTTAGAAATCAATACTATTGCCCCCATCATTTTAGGTTATTTTTATCTTATCTACTTTCTTTATCGCAAAATAGTTTTTCATTGTTTTCAATCGAAATACACCTATAGACAGATCCTGTCATCCCACTGCCTATTTCCATATGGAATTAATAGAATTAAGACACAGGACTGAAAAACACTTTTCCAGCTAGCATCTCCTTGAGAAGATTCAATTTGGGCCCATACACTTCCTTAGGCCTTCCGTTATAAGAAAATTCAAAAGCCACTATCCTTTTGTTTTCGCATATCCACTTTATCGTAGTTGTTAAATTCGTTTTCAAAATGTATTTTGGACTTTTAGTCGGATCCTAATTTGATGATCAACTTACATCTGTCATCACTAATTCATCAGCAAATAAATATAATTGGTAAACCCTATCTTTGAAGAAGTGTTTTCTTATCACTTGTACATTAAATAATGCTTTCTCATAAGATTACATTTTAATTCATAAAAATCATCATTTCAATATTATGCATTCTAACCTCTAAAACGACATTCAATGCTACTAAATCTCTTCTACCCATTCATGAACTCGATATAAATGATTGATTAGAAAAGATATTACCTCCATAAGTCAAATACAGTTTATAATAATTTTGTAGAAGGCTAAAAACCTATTTCAAATTTAACTTGCGTTTATCTCCAAAAATATTTAATGCTATTTTCATAAAACTATTATGACTTTAAATAACGCTATAAATTTAAGATTCCATTATTCATAATCAGACAATAATACTATTTTAAATTTAGCCAAATTAATAATAGAATTTAAGGCATAACTGATAAGTATCTATATTAGGTTCCTCATTTTTAGATATTCTTTGAAAAGGAATTAATTTAATCCCTTTTAATTTTTTGCTTTACTTTTTATTTATATAAAAATGAAGATACTCCTAACGGATTAGCATAAATTATGCATGATAGACGAAGAACTCCTATAGAAATGCAACAACTTATAAGTTATCTTATAGTCAAAAATTTTAATGAGAATTTACAAACACTTATTCGAACAAATGCTCACTTACTTAAGTTACTAAATTAGAGATTAATAATCATTGAAAAAATTAGTAATTAGAGACAAGAATTAAAGCTCCATATTTTAGTGTTTCATAAATAGTAAGCAAAACAAATTATTGTTATTATAATTATTATACAAGCTGTTGCATTGAAAATTGGATTCTACATAATCAATACTCGATTAATGCAAAATTGAAAACAAAAATAAATCAAGTTGAGTGAAGAGGAAACGATTTATTAAACTAGCCCATCATTTATTAATTGAATTTCTTCAGCTTTTCATTTTGTGGAATTAACTTTTCTAAGATATTGTATATTCATTTTTGAAACCATCATTTGACAGAATTCGAACTTCATTTATTGCCTTAGCCGAATAGAAAAATATATGATAATCAAATTATTATGTAAATTTTCTTATTGTATTATATTAATTAATTATAAATTATATGAATTAAGAAATTCAAGTTGAATAAAGACTTTCATTATATGATATTGTTAAAGAAAAAAGAGAGGAGAAGCAAGTGCCAATTAGCAGAATGGTGTATGCTACTTACTTTAGTGAAAGCGCTATTCAAAAAATTGATGTTGAATAAGTTTTGACTAAATAAGTTATATTATCTTTAGATTATAGATTAAAGAGTTGAGTGATACTCAGGGTTAAATTACTGGATTCATGTTGATTCGAGGACTATTTAGTTTGCATCTGGTCGAAACTCAATCACACGTTATGAATCTATGGATGCGCAATTTGTATGCCGAGTATAGAAAAGAGAAGAACATCTATAGCATGATTAATATCGTTACTGTGAATGAGGACAATCCTACAAGGTGTTTTGATAGGTGGTATTGTGAAAACCTATTTCAAACCGGTCCTCAATTGTCAGACATGGATAAAACAGAAGCTTAATGTTAAGAAAGAGTTTGGGAATTGTATTAATAAGTATGTAATGCTGGAATTAAACACAGTTCAAGAACTTAAAAAGATAAATAATAAAATAAAATAAACAATGATTTCCTCATTTCTTTGGATGATATCAACATGCTACTACATAAAAGATTTATGTCGATTGAAGAATATAATGAATTGTACTTGGGAGACATAAAAATTGAATTAGAATAAGAAAAGGTGTATCCTCAAACATTACCCTTAACAAGAGCATTAGAATATAAAGACTTAGGAGAATGAAGTAATATTGAAAATTATTATTGTTAATAACTATCAAGGAGGTCTCATTTTATTATTCTTTTAAATTAAAATTTTATTCCAATTATTTTTACATAATATAAAAAAATGTACTTTATTTCGCTAATCTTGAGTTTAATCAAATAATGCATTTGATCTTGAATCTAAACCCAATTGATACCTTGGTGCTGAATACATAAGAAAATAAAATATTTACCCAACAAACCTATCTCTATTATCTAAAATATCTTGAATAAAAATTCAACATTCAATATAAGAGTTGATTTTTATTGACCTTTCTACACCTTTTAAAATTTTGAATAAATTATAAATAGCACGACTCTTATAAGAAATTAAATATTCCATAATTTGGATGGAAAATATCATTTTTTGATTAATTTTTGCATATCATTAAACTATGAAATAAAATTTTAATGGATGTGATTATCCTTTCTATTCTGATGATAGCGATTGGAATTAAAGACTTAGGAATTTAAATGGTGACATAGTCATTATTTAACCACCATTTCACCTAGTAATTGATGCAACTTAAGGTTTTCACAACAATATAGGCTATTGTGGAGGAGTACCAGCTTCTTGTAACAACCCCAGGTAATAGGAGAATCAAGCAACTTTATAAAGTCTAATAAACATGTTTAGTTAACAAGATATTTTCCAAGATCTGAAATATCACATTATTCTCCTTCAAAGATTAATAGAGAGCGAGGGGATAGAATAATTAAAAAAAGTAGGGTAGTGGTTAAACTCAAAAGAAAATATTTATAGCTTATCAAATCAAGGTAAGCTGAATCAAACTCAAATTGAGATTATTGAGACAGCTATTGGCAATCTTTTATTATGCGTACTAAAGTCGCCAATCCATTAAGCTTTTAATTTACTCTAATTTACTCAAAATTTATTTCAAGTTCTATTTTAACAATTTAAGATCTTTAATTGTTATACAATGAAAAATTTGCACAAATTTTCGGATAATTTAGAATTAATCAAGGAAAAATATCAACATGAAAAAGGCTTAGATGTACTTTTTGAATATTAATTGTAATTGATGAAAGATGCTATTAATTATTAGTAAGATGGAAATGTAAAGATTTTAGAGAAATTTATTTATGAATAAAATAAATATTAAAATTAAAATGAGTTGATTTTTAAATTATTTTAAGATGCTAATAATTTATTACTAGATAATAACAATAAGGAATATGATAAATACTACTTCTTTCAATAGTTAAAGTTGACAATAATAAGAATGATAACAAGTTTGGAGTGTGTTGATGTCAAATAGATTGTTAAATAACTGTAGAAAGGATATCAATTATGTATTCAAAATAATTAAAATTGGAAGGTATAATTAGGATTTCTACAAATTCTGCTTGAGTTAATATCTTTAGAGAATTACTTTACAAATGATGTATAAAAGGATTTATTGATTGGACTCTTTAATGAGCTATCTAGTCAATTGATAAAATTCTAAATTTAAGAAAACATTAATATCTGGGAACATTATATTAAGACTAAATGCACATCATCCATTAAATGTTATTTGGCATTTTGTTTGACAATAAATAAAAATTAATAAGAACAAAAAGACATTAAATTAACTTGTATAGAGTTAATTAGTTTATTCTTAAATTGTGAACAGGATGAGAATGCTAGAATGATCTTGTAAAATGAAAAGATTTAAGGTATTTAGGAGAATTCCCAGGAAATATAAGAATCCTATTAACTACTTAAACCATATAAATTGCCATTAAAAAATCTCAGATAAAAGCTATAAGAGGAATTTATTTTTAATTAATAAAACTAGATTTATATCAACATTCCTTTAAAAGTCTCAAGAGAAATCAATCATTATTAACAAAACTCTTAATAAAACTCAGATAAGTCCATTTATTTATTTAAGGAAGTCGCCTCTTTTGAAGCTGAATAAGTAAAGACTTATGAAGTTAATGATTTTCTTTGGAGAGAGAACAACAACAGTGATCTTCTTTTGGTTTAAGGAATGGCAGGATCGGGTAAGAGTAGCTTTTTAAAGTAATTGTAATTGTTTTTAATAAAACACTATGAATCAATTTCAAAGTAAAAAAAATGGGTTCCTATCTTAATCCGTTTGGCTAATTTAGAAGAATCCAATCAAGTCCTTTGGAGCTAACTCTTAAATGCAGGTGGAATCTTCTTCAATGATGAACAAATTAAAAGTTTTACTGATGATATACAGAATGGGGAACTGAACATTGTTATACTATTTGATGGGTTAGATGAAATGAGATATTAAATCTATGAAAAGTATATATTGTGTACAAAAAATCATTTTGAAAAATAACTCGGTAATAATGTAAAAATAATAACGACAAGCTCAGAATCTTTTATATCTAAGAAATAAATAGTGTAGAGTTATAATCTGTTGACTGAAATTCAAATACAAATATTTGATGATCTGTGTATTGAGGAATACCTTAAATAATACTAAAGGGAAGTTGTACGATTAAAATTATATAGGATTTAAGGATAACAATAATAGGATGCATATCAATTTTCTGAATTATGGGCTGCTTACTTTCTTGATGAAGTCAATGCTCTTGTAGAAAAAACTAGTAATCATGAATTAATTTTTGCTGATGAACTCATCGATAGTATGTAGCCTAAGATATAAAGAAATTTCTAAAATATATTAGAAGATCATTTATCTGAATTAAAGAATGATCTCAAAACAATATAAAGCACAGGAGAATTAATGAAAAAATTGAACAATAATTAAAACAAGAATTTGACTTATACTCCTTTAACACTAAAACTTGTTTTATAACTCTTGTCAGATATAGATAAAAAGGTGCACAAAAAGAAACTAGAAAAAATGTTTAACATTGCACTATAAAAATTAAAGATTGAATAAATTAAATCTATTGATTAAAAGGAAAAAGAAAATATGTAAGACTATAGTGAATACGTTAATAATTTAATGATTGCGTTAAGAGAGAAGAAATATTTTGATAATTTTTCATTTGAAAATTTAAGCGATGAATTTTCAGAAGTGGAATAAAGTCTTATTAAATAGGCTGCAAACCAAACTTAATTTACTTAATATCAATTTTACAAATTATTTGTAACCTCATATCATCAAAGGTAAATGAAACAAGAAGAGAACTAAAAAAAGCTTAACTTTAGTCAAGAATTTTCAAAAAATCTAAATAAGTTCTAAATGTTATTAGCTGTTCAAATGATTAAAAAGCAACCCCCTTAATTAGACAAAAAAGAAATTTAGAATATTTTGACAATCTATTTTACTCATGATCCTCATAATTACCTATTAATAAAGTTAAGCCTCCTTAATAAGCTTGATAATGATTGCTACACATTTGTCAATTAATCAATTTTAGAGTACTTTGTGGGAAAATATATTTTAAAATTAATAAAGGATTTTTCAAAAGATTTCAAAAAAAAACTATTTGAGAAAGATATTGAGTCAAGTTAATTTAATTAGGATGAATTCAATTTATCTCTTGATTAATTTTAACAGGTGTTAATTAATATAACACCTGAATTGTAAAATTAGAAAGATATCAAATAAACCTTGATAAAAATATTATTGCTATCAAGAAATGAAATATTTATCAGAGCAGGTTCTAATAGCATATTATTGATCAATATGTTGGGATTTGAACTAATAAACGAAGATCTAAGAGGAATTAAATTAAACAAAACTAATCTTTCCGGCCTTAATTTCTTTGGAAGTAATTTGGATTAATCCATGTTTAAAGAAGTAAGTATCAATTATTGCAATTTTAATAATACCAGTTTGTAAAGAGTAATATGGACTGAAATTCCTTGGAATAATTTTGTAGATTTCAAAAACTAAAATTAAGCACCTGTAATTTTAACAAGACCTTTAACAAATAATTCATACTTAATTTCTTAAGATAAGTAGTCAGTTAAGTTATGGAATCTGCAAACTTAAAAAATACATAAGATAATAAATGAGAATTTAAATGTTAGAATTTTTAATTTTTCATCTGATTCAACTAAATTGTTGGTTGACTTTTTATGGTTTTATCAAATTTACCATCTTAATAAAAATGATATAAGGTTAGTAGCAACTATTCCATAGCCTAGCTTCTATAACAGGGCTAACGCATTTTTATCCTCTTTTTATGATAGAGAAGACAAATTACTTTTTCGTGAAGCTGGTTTGTACGGAGAGTGGTATACCTATAATTTAAAAAATGTCATCTAATCCAAACCAGAATGGATTAAATCAACAATCTTTGATAAATCAACGAAATTCTCATGTGTTAAGCCAATGTCCTATGGCGAAACACTTATAGGATACTAAAATGGAGAAATAATTATATGGGATATTAGATAAATAATGTTAATATCAAAAAATGATCACTAAAGTGCAATAAAATCACTTTCTGAAAAAACATTGAGATTCAAACCAAACAACTAAGAATATTTTACAATTCCAGGTTTTGTTTCTTTACTCATATCCACTAGTGAAGAGTAAGTAATTGTATGGCTAAGAACTTAGGATAGATATGAAAGAGTTAATGCATTATCGTCAAAAAAAAAGGTTAATGGTTAATTGCCAAGGTTTTTAAATTTTAGCTAAGGGGAAAATCCTAATCTATAACAACAATCTAATAAGGAAGACTATTTGGTTTCCATTCGAAACGAATATATCATATTCCATGATATAAGTAAAATTATTGAATTAAATGACGACATAATAATGAGGGATGTTTATTGCATGGCCATTTAGGAATGGACTATGAATTAATGGTAACAGCAACAAATAAAAATTCACCAATTATTTGTTGCTAGGGGTAACTTTATTGAGGTTTATGAAAATTATCCAAACTGTAAAGATAGAATACCGCTACAATCTTGTCAACCTTTGTCTATGTATTTTTGTTCCAATTAATACATGGTTTCATATAACCAAGATAAAACGATTAGGTTTTGGTATATATAAAATAACATCATGGGAATGCAGATGGTGAATCAAATGGATTCCTTCATGATGGAGAATCAATTTAATCAAAGCCATCTTATTAGGGGATCTATCAACGGATATGTGTAAAACTTAAGATAATCATATAAATGGATAGTAGTAGATTAAACCATAAAAATTGCTGTTTAGCAGAATAAGTAACAGGTAAATATTTACAATGTATAAATATAACGAGATGGAATATAATATGATCAGGGCCCAGAATAACGATGTTTAAAAGATTAAACTATTGGTTGTTTTGCTCTCTTTGGTAATGGAGAATAAATCTGCTTAGGCATTAACAATCTTATAGAGATTAGAGATTTAAAAAATAATTAAACAATAACGTTATAAGAGATACATACTTAAGACATTTATTAAGTTCTGTTTAATGAGAATGAATCATTGCTAGTTTCTTGTAGTTATGATAATTCGATTGTAATATGGAATACTGATAACCTTAATCAAAATTATTGCATAAAGAATTTAAAATGCCTTGACATAGTATTTGAATCAACTTTAGAGCTCGTAGTTTAGACTGAAAATTCAATCATTTGGTATAAAATCTTATATGATTTCACTGCTTAAATTATTAGATTTCTCGATTCTTAAGAAATTAATAGTTTAACATAATAAATGGCTGTTGTTCAACTCTTCAAGATAGTAGGAGAAAATCAAAATTTAAATCTAAATTAAAATTAAAAATAATTCTAATACTTGGCAATTAAATAAGGAAATAACATAATACTTAAAAATTTCTAAAAAGGAGATTAAACTAAAGTTGCTACTTTTAACGAACAAGATAAGAATATAGAATTTGCTAGTAAGCACTTTATAGTTTATACAATAAAGTCTTCCAATGTTTTAGAAGTTGCTGATATAGATGATAGAAAAGTAATCATGTCGTTAAAATTTTGTTAATTTGCAATTACAGAACGAGTTTATCCTGGGAGGGTTTCATGTATCATAATTGTAGTTGAAACAATAACTGAAATTATGGTTACGATGATACCAAATTAATAAACCTAGGTTTTGAATAAATTTGAGTGTATCAAAAAAAAGGACAAGGGTATTTAAACACATTTAGCTTTATCTGAAAGTGGTCATTTTCTTGCATTTAATAATAACTAATAAATAGCTATTTATTTAATCACCGAGGAACTGAAACTAATTTAGATGTCGACATTTTCTATAGATATTGAAATATCAAATTTGTACATTCTAGAAACTGGTAAGATTTTAATTCGAAGTTATGACTTCCTTTATCAATATTCTTTAAATCTTGAAAAAACAAGAATCTTTTCTGAAAATTGGAACAATTAGGATTATTACATCGCTGGATTGAATCACAATGAGAAACTGTTAGCAAAAATATCTGATAAATTTATTGATTTTATATCTCTTTAAAACTACTAAAATTTAGAACGATTACATGGTAGTTTATTTACAACTTCTCTTGATAATAAGAACTTTGTTATATATAAAGATAATCAAATAAAATGCTACAATTGGGAAGAATAAATCAAATTTTTATATAAATTTAATATTCAGAATAACATATATAATCTAACAATTTTGAAAGATCCAAATTAAATTTTAGCCGTTACTTCTAATAATCTCAAAATAATAAATTGTAAAGAAAATTAAACTAAGAATATTTAAGGTAGTTACTACCCTAATGCTTATGCGACAGCAGATTAATAAATAGTTTAAATTGAAAGATCGACTATTCGAATATCTTAAACAGAATACAATATTAAATTGTATTATCCAGAAAATTTTGGATATATGGCTACAAACCCATTTTTTACCCAAGATGGACAATATATTGTCTATTAATAAAATAACAATGTTATCTTCTAAAGTTTATCCAATCCTCGTTCAAAATACAATCCTGAATAATTCTAAAAATTAACCCCGATATCATTTTTATCAGAAAGCAATTATTTGGTTACTCTAAAGAAAAAATAATGTCGAATAACTAATTGGGATATATCAATGTTAAAGGATGAATATTACCTAAAATTTTGGGATGTAACAGTTTTAAGTAATGTAAAAAGCCTTTTTAAGATACCAATCCTTAAGGAATAAACAAAAAAAATGTTTTATCAACAATCCTTTATTTCACAAATTGAAGGCAATGTTTTGTGCATGTATGATATAAAAGAATTTCAAAAATAGGGTTATGATACTAACCTTTATAATTAAATCGAAAATGTTCATTATGCAGGTCTGTTTCCTGAAGAAAAAAAATTTTATTCTGTCTCAAAACTAGATAATTCAATTACTATATATAGTATGAAAACCAGAGAAAAAATGTCATAAGAATTTAAAGATCATTAATCGGAAATTTTATATATTTCCCTTTCCCAAGATGAAAAATATATGATTTCTAGAGACATTAACACAATCATAGTAAGGAATATGTAAAATGGTGAAAAATAAATAATTAAACGTTCTTTCAAAAATTATTTATATAAAAATGTTTACACACTATATAAATGTGATTTTGTAACCTTGGATAACTCAATGGGGATTACATGTTAGGAACAAGGTGATTTGCATATATATGATTTGAAAGATTTTAAAAGTTATGAGTTATTTCATACTTAGACTGTAAATCTAATATTTCCAACAACTTTTACACATAAAGTATTTTCAAATGGTACAAAAATAGCCTTATTCAAATAATATAATTCAAAAATTGGTACCAAAATCTTAATTTTTGATGTAAGAACAAAACAAGTGATCAATACTCTTAATCTATCAGCAGAGTAAATCTTTTTATATTCATATGATAGCGATGAATATTATGTACAATATCTTGATAAAAGATATAATGTTTATTAAGTTTTCTCTAGATATTCTTATAAATATTCGAAAGATAATAATCTCTTGCAAATATATAAAAATCATGATTTAATCAAGGAGGATGCAAAACCTATTTATGAAGTTTTTATTTAACTTCATACGAAATTAGATAATACTGAATAAACCCTAATTCAAATAAATTATGTCGGTAGAAAATATCTAACCTATTATTTCAACTAATAATTAAGAGTAATTGATTTAAAACTCTATTCAAAATAAGTAAAACTCATAAAGTTGGATAAGTCAGAAAAATTTCTTAATTACTTTTCTAAAGACTAAGTTCTGTTTGAAAGTAAGATAGATCAATATACAACATGGAATAGTTACAGCTTAATCGATGGTTCGAAGAAGGAGTTGTTTAATCACAATTTAAATGAATTTATTGCAGTATTTTCAAATAATGGCCAATATTTAGCATAAGGTTGGAAGGATGGTTTAATAAGAATATACAAAATAAGTACTGAAAAATAAAATATCGCTTGGTTAACCCATAAGGCAATTAAACATCTTATATACACTAAGGATGATAAAATACTTATTTCATGTTCTGAAAACAATTTAGTATAATTTTGGGATGTTTAAGAAGAGAAAAAAGAAAAATTGATACAAAGTATTCAGATTACCTATGATATCTTATCTATAGTAGTATCTCCTAATAAATTAGACGTTGCACTAGAATTAAAGGGAAATCTCTTGCTAATATTAACATATAATAAATCAAATTCAATTTATGAGAATTAAAATTAAAAGGTATAAAATTTAATATAATTTAGTTTGTCGGTTGTTATAAGACTTATCCTTAATTACAATAATTAATGACAGAAAATTGCAGGCTAGAAAATTCCATTATTGAAGATCAAAAGAAATAATCTTTGATTCACCATTTTGATGGAATAATCTAAAAAGAATACGAATCAGTAACAATTTAACAAGATTAAATTTGAATTCTAAATGAATTATTTGGAAATATGATATATACAAAATAAATAAATTTATATAATATAATATATAAGGATTTTTTAATAGGATATAAAATAAATATCTATATTTCTATCTAAATTTTCCATTAAATTTAATTTATTAAAATATACAGACCTAAATAAAAATATTAAATAAGTTATTAGAAAGTAAATAACTGAAAACAATTTTACTCTAACAGCAAGAAAAATCTTTGTACAATTTGAATTTATATAAGTTTTTCTGGATTCGAAGGAAAATTAACATTGATTCTTAAGAGTAATAAATTCTCTAAAATATTTGATATAAATTATGATTAATTAAACGTAAATGCAATTAATTTGCTAAAATTAAAGAATAATATTTTATATAAATCGTAATCATAATTCAATACAGGATATATTCAATTATTAATTGAAACGCGAAACAAGATATATTTATTACTATATGAAACAATAATAATACAATAATTTTTTGAAATACTTCTGTCTAATTATCTAAAAGGTAATATTAGTATGTTAGGAAATCTAATTTATTGTAGTTCCAGATTTAGAAAAATACGTATTTATCTCTAAATAATAATTTTATTGGTATTTTATGCTTTTAATTAATTGAGAATCCAAATATTTATTGGAAAAGTATTTTAGCTTAATGATATAGTTTAATAACATTCATAATCAAAATGCTCATCCTATGACCTCTTCTTATAATATATCAAAGCCTAATATTCCTTTTCACTTCCTCTTTTCTAAATTAACTGAAAAATCCTTCAAATCGGTTTTAAATGTGTAATTTTATCTTCTATAGAATAAAAAGTTGAAGAAATAATTACAACTTTCTGATTAAAATCTATTTGATAATGAAATAGCAAAATTAATCATACTTCTAAGCTGATTTTAGAATAATTCCTTTACAATTTTTTGTGATTAATAATAATTGAAATAAGGTTAATTGTATTATTAAGGAGATTTAATTTGTAATATAAGTAAAAAAAATGGCTAATAATATGAAACGGTATCAAGAGGATTATATTTTGAAATGAAATTATCTGGGCTAATAGAGTCAGTATTATAAAAATATAACTTTAAAGAAAATTTTATTAGATTTTTTGAAAGTAAAGAAATCAAAAAAAGAATTATGTCTACTCATAATTTATAACTAAATATAGATTGCTGGACGTAGTTGATGAAATTGTTTTATAAAATTAATTAAAATAAACGAAATGAAATTTGATATTTTGTTCTAAACAAACGAATAGTTTTGATATTTGATCAAAATTTCTATATATTAACTTTGCTTAATTTATGATAATATTTCTGATATAAAATATTAATATAAACTTAAAGTTTTTCTCATAATTATTAACAACCCCTGAGAGTAAATAAAATTTGAAATGAATTTCTAGTTATTAGTATCAACTTAAAATTGATAAGTTAACTGTTTGTATTTTTGGATTATGTAATTTAGAGTTTAAATATTCATTAGATGTTATTTGTGTTAATATTTGATTTGAAAGGGTGATTTGATGTGAAGATGGGGAGGGTATTGGAGAATTAACTTTCGGGTAAAAAATATCTATTTTTGATGAAGTAGATTTATTCAAAAGAGAATTCGAATTCCTATCTATAATTAATTTATAAGTTATTTATTAATATTAGAAAAAAATCGCTAATTCTTAAGGATCATTTTTTTCGATATAAATATTAATAATAATACATCAATATTTCTCGAAAAACTCAGTTTAATGGCAATTAAATTGAATTTTAAAGTTAGATGTGAAACTACTCTAAGTGAGTCTGTGTGCGTTGTTGGAAGCGTGAAGGAGCTAGGGTTATGGAACCCTTCAGATGGCCTACAATTATCTACAAACCCAGATATTTATCCATTTTGGGTTGGCAACATATCTGTTGATGTGAATGAAAGTATATAATTTTGCTAATATAGACCAACTTATTGAGTTTAAGGCAATAATATCAAAAGAGCATTAAGTTAATTGGGAGGATAATGACAATAGGGTGATTTAAATTAGGTACCAGTCCCAGAGCATTATATTTTCGTTTAACTCCCAATTATTGTAAGTTATTCGAATATAATCATTATATGACCTTTCTGATGATGAATCGATCAAATTTGGTACATTGTTTTAACGATATATTAGAAAAGATAAAAAAGATAAAACTTCAAAATGTTTTGAATCCATTCGATTAAGAGGGGTTCACTTCTGTAAAAATAATTTCTATTGTAGGAATCTGATTAAGAGAGTGATCGTCTTTCAAATTTAGATTCACATGGACTTTCACCAATTGTGAAATCTCTTTCTATTTAATATCAGGAAGAATCGTTTGAACTTCTTGTCCAATAATGAATACATAATTTAACACACTTGATATTTATTGAATCTTATTTATTTAATATTCATTTGAGAAATAAGATTAGCATTTTCCAGCAGTTATAGATATATAATTATTTATCCGTAGACTCTCCTCCCTATTTTGAGTCTTCACTTACATTTAGAGGAATTAGTGAGAGATTTAAAATTGGTCAGATAAATGAATTTATGATAAGAATAAATTTTATTTGATGATAAAATTGAATTTCAAATTTACGCACCCAATTCAATAAATCATTACTAATCATTTGATGTATTTCTAAAAATAGTACGTTTATAAATTAATCATTTAATTAGTTGTTAGGATCCTAAATGTGTAGTATTTGAAAATACAAAAATATATAATTTATTATCAAAATCCAGCATAAGCCTTAGGTTGTCTTTACAATCTCATAATCTATTCAAGTAAGTCCCGTTCTCTAGCTTATAAAAATTCTACACGTTATTATAACTAATTATTTGTTTGTTTCAATTAAACTATTTCATGTAAATCATTCGGGTCGCTACTCTTTCCATTAAGATTTTTTCTGGCAATCTATAACATAAAATCGATTATCATACTTAAGCCAACTCCATGTTCTTCTCCTCTAACGATGCCACTTTTTTTTTTAAATCGCTATTTTCTATCAATAAAGCACTTGACATATATTCCTCTTGAATCTTTGACTTCTCCTGATCCCCTTTAGTAATTGGATTCCCAATAAAGATCTATTCTAAATTCTCTAATTTCAGTTACAAAGCATTATTTTCATTCATAACAATGTGATAGTTCTTGACAGAAACATCACGAGCATTTCTCAATTCATCATTTTCTTATTTTAGTTTATTGATTTCCATCTAATACTCATGTAAAATCTTGTTGACTGGCAAATCAATCTTACTGTTATTAGAATTAACCTATTGATCAAATCCATTCTGCTAACTATTAAGAGCTTAATTATGACTAATAGGTCTGGATGGCAAAGGAGGCAGTTATTTCTTCTATCCATTCTTATCATTGAAATTTGGAATTTCTATAGGCAACCCATTTGTATACCTAAATAACGATCATCCTTACCTTTATAATTGTTCTCGAAGATACTGATTTTCCATCTTCAGTAAGTCTCGCTCCCTGGTGAGGTTGTATATGATTTAATCCTTCTCGCCCATCGAGATTACTGGTTTGTTTTGGATATTCATAGTTGAAGTGGCATAATTTATAGTACTCAATGTTTCTTCATAATAAGCAGCAGAAGGAGATACACAAGCAATCATCAAAGCCTTAGCAGTTCCTCTATTAATATTAAAACACTTATATTACCCCAATGAATCCATCAAAAGCATCGTTAATTTACTATCTCTATAGGGGATATAAGGGAGTTTGTTCTTTTTGTCACTCAACGACTTGATGACCTTACCCAAAGTGAATAGAGACTTGTTAATGTTACCAGTTTCTTTGATCATATCCCCTTAAGATTTGGATTCCTTCAATCTTTCTGAACCTGCTAAATCAACGAATGAAAATTTTCCATATCTCTATAATAAATATTAAATAATATTATACTTTAACGATTTATCCATCAATATTCTATTCTCCAATTAAATAAGCAGTCAATATTGAGTGAGATCTGCTTGAATCTTTGTTTAATTCATGAGATCCTTACTTTCTATTTCTCATTCCTTCATGCAATACTGCTTGGATATCTGAGAATGAAGTGCATTCAACAATCATCAAATCTTCAACAAAGAATCCATTTTATAGATTCCATCTGCAATGCAAGATTCCAGAAGCAGGATTTAGCAGATCTCTCAACTACTCGTTGTATATTTCTGTAAACGAGGCTTTCACATAGAATTGTTCTGCTCTTTGTGCCATTATCTACCATAAATATCTAGTAGCTCTGGGAATGATGCCTTCAGACTCATCAGAAATATACTTTTCTCTAGCCAAACGTTCTTCAACTCCAGAAATGCTTGAATATTAAAATTGAAAATTTACGTATAAGTTTTACCTGATCCGGTTTAACCATATGCAAATATTGTGGCTGAATATCCATCCAGGGCAGCATCTAGCAATTCCTAAATATTGCATTTCAAAAACACTTCTTATTAAGTGCACCTCTCATCCAGAACAGAATTGAATCTAAATTACTTTGCTACTCCTCTTTGCTAATTAAGATCGCGAATTACTTATAGTAGAGTTAACAATTTGAATCTGATATTGCTTTGATACATTATTCATCCCCTCTTCCTTGCTCTAATTAGTTCATTGGTCTAATTCGCAATGCAACTTTTACACTCTCCCCACCGGATTCATCTAATACTGAAGTATCCGGTTAGGATGGAGACGGTCCTGATTGAAAAGACAATGGCTACATCAATGGAGAAGGTTGGTTTATTTGTTGATTTTAGGGTTAAGATGATTGTTAAGGAGTTTTACTCTTTTTATTCATTATAATAATTTTATTAATGTCAACTTCTTCAAGAAACTTAAAATAATATATATAATCTTCTATATCAAACTCACTTGAATGCAGACAAGCCTGTGATTTCCCTTCCAGCAATCAAACTATTAATATCGTAAGATCCCTATGAGATATTTAGTTTATAATTACCTCATAAGTATAAACCACTTCAGCATCGGTCAAGGCCTTAATACAGTAATTTTCAATTAAGATTCCGTCTCCTCCCATCATCTCTCTTCCCAATCTAGCCACTTCTCTAGTTTTATCAGTAACCCACGCTTTCACAGCTGCAATCTATCCCAAAGTTGCCTTTTTCTCCTATGCCAATCTTGAAACCTGTATGACCATCAGAAAACTAGCTTAGAATGTTGTCAAAATCCTTGCCAATCTCTCTTATTATAATTAGAATCCAGCAACATGTTTTCCAAATTACTTTCTTCTGGTTGTAAATTTCACCACATTCTCATATACTCCAGCTTATATTCCCAAGGCTATCCAAGGTACTCCTACTCTTGAATGCTACAAAGCTTAAGTCACTCCATTCTAAAAGTCTTTAGCTTTTGGCATCCTATTTTCATCAGGTACAAACACATCTTTGAATGTTATTTAACAATTTTAAACTATTCTCAACGCTAACTTATGTTTGATTGGTTCTGCATGAACACCAGCCCATTTGTTTTCCACTATAAATCCTTCTATGTTGTTATTCTCAGCATTTCTGGCCCAAACAACTAAAATATCCTTATTTCCATTTCCAATCCATCTCTTGTTGCCATTCAATAAGTATCCTCCCTGCACCTTTTTGACTGTAGTTTAAATGCTCGATGCATCAGATCCATACTCCTTTTCAGTTAATGCCCATCCTCCCAAAATATCCATATCCTTAATCCTGGTTAAGTATTTCTATTTTTATTCTTCTGAACCAAATGTTTCAATACTGTGAGGTACCAATGATGAACTAATTAATCATTCTCACTCTTACATTAACAAATAGAAGGTGGACAAACCAGCATCAACTTTGGCTAATTCTAAATAGGCCAAACCTGTTTTCACATATGTGTTGGTCTTATGAATCAACTTCAATGGTTTTAAAGCCTCCACTATTTCTGTGGGAAACTCAGCTGCTTCTACGTACTTATTAATGGTTGGAGCAGCCTTATTATTAATTGTATAATACTTTCTCCTATGCAAATTTACGAACAGCAAAACAAATATCTTTTTCGTCCTGTTCAAGCATGTCATACAATCTAAGATACTCAAGAGGATCTGCTAGGAACTTGACTTCCTTAAATTGTCCAGCCAATTAATTCAATCTAAACATAGAATTATAATTAATATGTCGTCATTTTGTATTTTAATATGCCATGAATAAAATTGTGTACTTGGAAATTTATAAAAAAATCGTTGTAGCTGCTCAAAATTCTATCTTATTGTGACATCTCTACTTTGAAACTTATTCCTCTCTTCATCAATTCAAATTATTATTTTTGTTAGATATACCTATCAGAAATATCACTATTACAATACTTATAAAGTTTTTCAAATATCGATTTAGATTGCATTTTTATAAATATATTGTAGACTATCACTAATTTATGAAGTTTTGCAGCTTATTTTCTAAGAATCTAAGGAAATTGCTATTGTCTATTGACCTGTTTGGATCACAAATTAACTTATAAATCAAAAAGGAAAACGAATATCACACATTATTCGGAGTGCTGATGAGCATAGGAATTTTAGCTTTCATCTATTATTCCTTTCTATCCCTAGTGATTGATATGGTGGAACGTAAGAATCCAAATGTTATTTAGAATCTTCAATATAAATCTAATCCTGAAGTAATTTTACATTTCATATTGTAACATAGGAATACAAATTAGAATAAGATTCATTCATCTTCTATTTGGTGCTGACTGATATGTATGGAACTCCCATACCTTAGAAAACGGGTTAGTAAGTTTATACGGCTAAAATGTTAGCCTGCTCAAGAATTACTGATGAAAAGAACTAAATTAATAATAAGTGTGATAATTATACCCTTAAATCATGTTCAACTGTGTAAATAAATAGTTAAATACAAAAAAAATTAAATATTTCAGCAGCCATATTAGATGCAAGCCTCTGCTTTGATCCTCAAGAGTGGAATTAAACAACTTTATCATTGCAAGGTACACCTCAAACCCCAGTATTTAAAAGTTTGCAATTTAAAATAGAAAAATGCAATAATGCAACGTCTGGAGGATGTAAATTTTTTTTTTTATGTAGAATGTGCATCTCAAAAATACATTGATCAACAGCTCTATCAAGGAAATTTAGGATTTTTTATTTCGGATTCTGTGTTGAATTAATAGAAAGCCCATAATCCTTTTTCCTTAGTGTCTAAATTAATAAAAACACCAATATCGATACTTTCATACAAGGCGTAAACTTTAGAGGTGAGAAAATCAAAATTTTATAATAAAGAAAATTTTTTTTATTATTTCTAGAGCGAAGAGTAATACAATGCTCTATTATTTGAAAGATCTTCTGAGTAAGTTTTCAATATTTAGAAAAATGAATTGATTGATGTCTTTCTCTATCTAGATGACAGAGAGGCTTTATATTATAGAACTTACAATAATATTTTAGACATTCTGGGCTAGATGGGAGGACTATTGGAATTAATATTATTTGTGGCAGGTGTTGTAGTCAAACCGATTAATAAACTCTCATGTGATTTGTTTTTAGCATCAGAAATATTTCATTTTGAAAAATCATCTAATTAAACACAAGTCCATCCTTAAGTTAATGCATTAGGATAGAGTGAAGGACTTATTGATCAAAATTAATTGGCTTAATTGAAAAAATACTTTAAATTGAAAGCACAATAAATCAAGTTATTTATTCATCAATATATATTCACCTGCGGTTAAGATAGAAAATTGATCTAATAAAGTATAGAATCAATTTATAATTAAATTGATATTATCTTTATTATCAACAAACTAATTGAAATTGATAAGTTGAAGAAAATACTTTTAAATGATGATTAGTAAATATTGTTTAATTATATACATAAACCAAAAATTTAATTAGGAATAAGAGAAAAAATGAAAGCGAGCATTAATCAAAACTGTTATGATACAAAATAACTATCTTTTGAGGAAGAAATATTATAAGCATTCAATTCTTACAATATGATTAAAGAAAGCAATCATAAAAAGTAGAAAAAAGTAAATCAGAGTATTATAAGTCTATTGGATAGAGATGTTAAACTGATATTCGAAACAAGTGATAATTAAAAAGTGTAAAAGCAAACATCAATAATGCAGATCCACTAAATAAGTTCAATAAACGATTTGAGTCTTTAAGAAAATAGAGTTGATATTTGATGTAAAAATACTGATTACGAATATTTTTATTGTATATTACATCTTTTGACATATTCCTAATAAAAGAGATTTAATATTGCATTTTGAAATCATATAAAATATTGTAAATCCATATAATCAATTATTTCGTAGAAGGTAAAATTGATATGCAGATATTTCATAGATGAATTCTCGAGTTGTAGTTAATCAATTAGACTATACAATTAATATCGAGATGTAAATGGATATAATTATATAAAATGAAATAGAGAGTGGTCAAGTTGAATACAATATTAAATATATTTAATGTTTATTGATTCTCAATTCAATACCAATTTACGCATTTCTGCTTCTTCTACTTCACTTGGATCATTAGCTTAGATTTCTTTAGATAAACCATTCAATTTCTTCTTCAAGGCCTCCTTTCCTGCAGCATATGACATCTTTTATTTAACAGGTTAATTAGCATCTGGAGACCAGAAGATGAAGACTAATTTCTCAACTTGTCTTGGTGGAACATCATCAGTTTAGGCATGATAATCATAAACAGCATATCTTGACTATAATAATGTAAAATAGTGATACTTCATTTTGTAGATGACCGACAAACTCAGCATAAGTACTTTCCCTTGCACCAACGTGTTCGACAACAATCTAATAAATAAATTCTGAATATTACTTCATTAGTATCGGTGTTTAATTTAAAGGTCAAATATCTATATTACTTTCCCAATTTGAGTTTATTGAATTCTGTTACACAATCATCACTAACATGGGTACCGACGTTCATGATTATATCTTAAAATTTTTAATTAATATTTTCTTAAATAAATCACATTTTCTTTTGATTTATCACATAAATTCCTAAGAAATTTAGGGTTTTAGATTTATTTCTTTTACTTTTGAGTAAACTGGATTATTAGGGAAAGATTCTCAATTCAAGGGTTGCTTTGGAAGAACGCCTGTTATTGAAAATTACAAAGAAGCAAACTTCTATCATAATACTGATTAATATCTTTGCTGCTCTAGGAAATCAGTCAATCAAATTAAATTGTCTAGGGGTTTTGATTTTCCTCTTTTAATAAACTTGAAAAATATCAAAATGACTTACATTTGATAGAGAAATAGGAGGTTTAGTATTTTAAATTCAATAAGGTATGTCTAGTCTAGAGTCTAAATAAATAATACATAGGGGGAACAATAAATAATATCAAACATAGCAGTAGTATGAATTTATGTAAAGTTATTATATAGATATTATTATTTTTATATATGAATCTTTTTATCATTTAATTTCCTTAATTATTGAATTAACTACTTTATTGAATCGATCTTCGATTAGATATATAAACTAAATTGAAAATCATGCTTACATTTAGCCTGCTCAAACAATATTGTATAAATAAATATGGTATTTGGAATGTTAACCCATGAAAATAATTAAAGAAAATAGCATATGATATAAATATGTATTATTGTACTTTGATAAATTATTATTGAGCTCAAATAATTCCGATCTTGTTGGCTAAATTGAGAGCATCATTCTCTCCACCCAATCTAATGTAGGCCTTCTTCTTACCACCAAAAGTGTTAAGGATCTTAAAATATAAAGCGTTATTACATTAACTTTTCTGACTTTAACTTCATAGATCTTCTAAAATGCTCTTTTAATTTATGGCTTTGTTGATTTTTAATTAACATAGAACACCATGGTATTTTCATCTTCCATTTTTTTCATGTCTTTTTCTGTAATGAGTGGATGTCTAAGCACGTTTTAGAAATCTAATCCTTTAGAAACGGGAGCAAGTTATCTTGTTAATCTATAGAAATATTAAGTAAAGTTGTCTAACCTTGTGAATCTTGGTTTTCTGGATAAGGCTAAAGGCTTTTCTGTGTGGAATCTATTTTGGAAATGCTTTCTGGCTCTCACGACCTTCTTAGCAACTCTTGCATTTTTAGCAGCTTTCTATGCTTTTTATGTATTGGTTGTTTATCCCTTTGGCATTTTTAAAATTATTTTTAAAAAACAATCTTTTTAATTATTTCATAAATAATAGCAAATAAAAAGGACTGCCCACATCTTGAGTCTCAGTCTGCTCTAAAATCTATTCTAATCAATAAATCGAATGTAATAAATCAATAAATACAAATAACATTATATTAAAAATTTGAATATTAAAGATCAATTCTAAATGAGACAACTATAATTCCTTAGAATGTAAAATAAGTTCTAGCATTCTATATAATTATGAATAGTAGTGGTGGACAAAATGAAATCAACTAAATCCACCTCCTTCATATTAATATATAAACAAACAATTAATTGCTTAAGAAATAGAAGCAATAAATCAAATGACTTGCATAAAATACTCCCTTCATTCCTTTTTCAAATCAGGGAAGATGTAATAATATATAGAATAATAATATTCAAGAAAAATAAATTCAATTAGGAAATTCTAGTAGATATTCAATTCATTAAAATAAAGTCAAATAAGATGAGCAATCATACCTATTATTCTTCAATTTCACTATTAATACAAACTATTGTCGATAATACAGAGGAATTCAAGTTAAATGAGAGCTATTTTTGGATACAATGGGCAGATATGCAATTTGAAGATTGCATAATATATATATATAGAATTAATATTTGAATATGATGTGGATCTTAATATTTTACTCAAAGTTTTGCATCCTTTGGTAATAGATCTGGGGTGAATTTGGTTGCTGCAGCCATATTTCCCTTGATTTTCATCTTTCCTTGCATAAAAGCTTATTGAGGATTCAACTTTCCTTGGGCCATAGCAATCATGTCATCGTCTATCATGGTGAAGGTGGCATCGGCTGTTCCGACTTTTCCTTTGGAGATTGCCTATAACTTTAAATAAAATAATCTACTCCTGTTCCATTTTTAAGATCAACGGTCCAAACTTCTGGAGTCTCTCCTTTAGCTTTAGATACTTCGAAATAATAAACTGCATTGATTTTCTTAACTAATTCAGCTCCTTGGCTTTTGATGAATGGATCCATCTTTTCAAATAAAGCAGCAGATTTCAAAGCCATATAATTAATTTATTAATAATATTTTATTTTCTCAAATCTTATAAATCCCTTTACACTATTAATAAGAAAAATAACTTTAGTTATATAACAAATCACTTCTTTCCCTTCTTCTTTTTCTTCTTCTTTCCTCCTGCAAAAGGATCTTATGCATATTCAACCCATAACTTCGGAAATTCTGGTTTATTTTCAAACCAACAATTTTTAGATTTGTTGATATTTCTAGCTGCTGTCAAAGTCCTCGGATGAAACTGACCCAACTGAGATTCTAAAATAGCATGAGCCAATTTAAAATATCCGTATGACTATGGATATAAAAATGAATCCATTACCTCCTTATTCCGTTCCAACATGTACATACAACACCCTAAGTTATTGTACACAGTCGCAGTATCAACTGTCTCCACCCCAATACTATTTTCTCTGTATTCCCTAGCCTAAAGTAAATAAATCTAATAAAACAAATACCTTCAAAAATGCTCTGAGTGCCCAATCATATTCCTCTGTATTATAGAACACCGATCCAAGTCCGCAATAAGCCAAAGCTTTGTCAGGATTGTTTGTTGGTAATTTGGTTGAAAATTGCCGAGCATTCAAATAAGCAACCAAAGCCAAGTCATCCCTTCCAGCTGATTCGAAAACCGTGGCCTTACTAAATTCAAAATACAATTCCAATCCATCAGTTAAATCTCTTCCTGTTAAAGCAATCCATTTTTTCTATGATATATCTATCTATATCTTACTCTTGCATCATCATAATTCTATATAGCAAATACAAAATTAGCTTCATTATGAGAATTGATGGCTGCTTCAACTAGAAATTATACATCTAAAGGAGGATTAGGTGGATATAGCACTTCTGGTATAAGCACAGGAGCAACTTATACATCTGATAAAGAGCCACGTTCAACATCCGAGATCAATTTTTATTCGAATTTCAACTTATCAGCTAATTCTTGAATATATTATTCTGATTATTTAGGCTCTGTTTTTTATTCAAATATGACTTTTCTTGGTTCTGGTTCTCCAGCTTTTCTTCTTTGTTACTGTTTTTTAGCTGGTTTAGGTTTGGCATTCTTATTTTTAGGAGACTCTGGTTTTGGATTTCCGATAACTACTCTCTTTTCTGGATCCCATTTCTGCATTTACTTTTCTTATTAAGGCAAAGGAGGAATAGGAGGCAATTCCTTATCTAACATTTTGATTACCTAATCAACTGGAATGTTGAGTGACACTTACAATAATTAGATATTTATACCTTATTCGAATAATAGAGATCCTTACAATGCTGCAATTCTTTATAATTCATCTGTTCCGTCTGGTTCATCATCCGAAGAATCCTTTTCTTCAAAATCACTTAAATCATTCAGCAGTTGTTTAGTGAATTTCTCCAAGTTCTTTATTAATTTTCTATTTAGATTAGGAAGTGGACCCTCTATATTCTCATTCCTTCTAAAGAGCATTAACTCACCAAAAAACTTTCTTATATATTTTTCAACATCCAACTTTCTATTATTTTGATTTCCTCCTCCTTCTTCTTTGAGTCCCAATTCAAATGAGATTCTGGCCAAGAGTAATTGGAGTTCATGGATCAATATTTGGGGATCTGAATCGTTGCATTCTGCTAAATTCTTTTCATAAATTTGAATGAAATGACCTTTTTAAAAAAAGTCGTATTCCTTATTATTAATAGGCGGAATAATCTTCATTAGAATTTCCTCCAATTATTCAATAGAGAGAATGTGAGGTACAATTTCTGCATCTCTTAAAAATCTAACCAATGATACCATGTTCATCTTTTTATTCTAAACCCAAATCTCCTTCCATCTTAACATTATTTTATTGTTTGACAGGTTTTCTTACATGTAGATAGTAAATATATTCTTTAATTCCCTTTCAAAGAGTGATATTGCCTGGATGGAAGTCTCAGCCAATAATCTTTTATTAGTTTCATCAAGCACAACTATTCGATTTGGCTCTACATTATGATCTCTAACTGCACTTTTCTCAGACAATATCTCATTTAGCATCTTCTCTAAATGAAGAGGGTCATTGTGAAATATCTTCTTTGCCAGTTACTTGAGAAAGAAATAAAATTAAGGCTTATTGAGTGCTCTTTCCCCTTTTACATCACCACCCAAAGCATCATCAAAATGAGTCAGAAACATGCTAAAATTGTTACCATTCGTAACTAGACTACGATCAAGAGCAAACATAAGAATATCGGCAAAATTCAAAGAAGTCCCATTCCTTGAAAATTTATTAAAAAACTCCTCAAATCGTCTTTCCTCTCTTTCTTTGAGCACAACCGTATCTTATCTCTATTATTATTGAGTCGATTATTGCATATTAAATTTAATAAATATATAAATATTGGAGACCAACAGACAATTAAATCGTAACTTTAAACTTACATGATCCACATTTAAGAAATCCTCTAATAATACACTTCTATTGGATGAGAATTTTAATATGGAGGCGACAATTTGGATGCAATTAACGCCCATTTCACTCAGAACTAATAAAAAACTATAACATCAAGTACATTTAATCAAGTGAATATTTAAATGCCTTAATTAAGAGAAGGAAATTCTCAGATGCAGATAAAAATATTTTCAAACTTTAATAAGGAGCTGTAGAATTAAAGAATAAATATCTAATTGTAAATAACCTACTAAAATCATTCAGAAATAATAATAAATTACTATATTATATTATATTGATTGAAATTAGTTAAAGTCTTTTCAATCAATTCAAATGAGATCAATTTATTAGTATTGTAATAAATCTAGACAAGTCAAATTAATACCAGAAAGTTGAAATTGCTGATAAAATAATTAAATAATAGAATAAAGAAAATAGTTAATTTCCTTGTAACTATTTATTTTTGAATTCGAAATTCTATATTTAGAAAGCCTAAGGAATCATAATCTAAAGATAATTTAATAATTGTGAATACCAGTATGTAAGGAGGAAAAAAGAATATTAGATCATTATTAAAGAAAACAGAAGAAGTTCTAGCAATTATGGATGATTAATAATTTTATATTAACATTTTACATAGTTTATTATTCATTTTTCTAATGTTTTTTCTTTTCTAAACAAATCTGCCATCAAAGAGTTCAAATAGAAAAACACACCGAGTAAATCGACATATACTCTTACACTTCCATTCAAGGCTCCTGATTTAATTTAACTTATATTGCTTTAAGTACTATATATGAGTAAGAAGCTAGCATAAAATCATATATATACCCAAAGACTACTCCTGAAACTAAGGTAATAATCATTTCAAAGAATGGTATGATTGAATAGATGATGAACAATTAGAATATGATGAGTCCGCCTGCCAACACATAGAGAGATTATTAATGATAATACATCTCAATTCTGCTTTGCATCACTGATAAGAATTGTGAAAAGATCTAATAAATATAACAACTTATAAAATTACTTAACCAAAAATCATGAAGGCTACCATCATGGATTGCTCAATATTTGTTATAGCAGTTAGTGATATAAAAAAGAAATATAAGACTATTGTAAATAGTACGTAGAGTACTACATTTACAGCAGTGTTCTCTGGATTAGTAAAATATGCGGCCAATGATAATAAAAAGAGTCCAATCGATAGAATAATTATCCAATAAGAATTCTTTTAAAAATAATCTTCCAAAGATTCTAAACGTAGCTATTATATTTATAAATAGATCTACATAACTAAACACAATCACAATAAAGAATTGAAGTAACATGAGGAAATATAGTTTCCTTAATTTGGCTGTTTCAGCTACAATTTCTCCTTCCTCTTGAATTTCGTTTCTGTAATTTTAATAACTCAAAAATTGGGGATCTTGAGCCATTGAATTTTGTAGGTATTGTGATTAGGCAGGGTCGCCAATCATTCTTGATTAGGGCATGTTAACCTATTATTAACTGTTTTGCATATATATAATATAAATATAAATTATGAATGTAAGAATTTCAAATAATTATTCAATTTATCGCAATTCTCTAGCCTAGAAATAGTATGATTTCTAAATAAAAATAAGTCTACTTCCCAAATCACCCTGGTAATCCTTAAATAAGTTCCTATTTATGGTTCTTTATGTGTATCCATACTCAATTTTCTATTATTTTCATACAATCATCCCCATTGCTGAATTGATGAAAAAAGTGTTACATAAGTGCAAACTTAGAGATGCAAACAAAATTTGAATTTCCAAAGGAGTATCTTATCGATTTACGTATTATAAGTAATTTGTTTTAATATTCATTATTTATCTGGCTCAAATTAAAACCTTTCAATATTTAAAAAGGTCAGACTAAACTAAAGACTTAAGATACAAATAAATTAATTAATATATCATAAAAAGAATTTCTATAAAAATATCACCTAAACACGCCTAATTTAAACCTATTTTTTTAATAAAATGTAATAATTAATATCAAAAGAAGATATTAGCACCTATCTAAAAGCTATTGGACTTCCAGTTGATATCAAACTGTCTGTTTCAGCTGAGACATTATGTCTGCTAGCGAATAAGCAGATGATATACAATTATTATTAAAATGTTGAATTACATCTGAAATAAATGAAACCAATTTCACTTGAATTTGTTGATATCTTACAGAGAGTTTGTGTAAATAGAAAAGGTGGTCTATGCTATGAGCACGAATTTCTACTCTACTATATTCTTAAGCATCTAGGATTTTAGGTGGAAATAATTAGATGCTAAGTTAGAGAGGTGGGTAGTCCTTACAATCCAGATCTTTCTAGTACACATGCATTTTTGTATGTTTAATTAGGAGATGAGACATTTCTATTAGATCCAGGATTTGGGACAAGATCCTATAGATTCCCAATAAAAGTAAACTTTTAGAATTTGGCCTAAACTTTTGAATTATTTGCATAGGAACATTATAGAATTCAAGAAAATGAGAAACATTATGAATTCTAGCATCATATGGATGGTAATTGGGTCACCTATTATGATTTTGAGAAGCCATTGAAATTTTGTACTGTTTAAGATATTCACCATGATTATTTAAACTTATTTACCAGCAAAGAATTTTTGGGAATCAGAGACAGCAAATTCGTAGTCTGTAAAAACACAGAATATGGAAGGATTCAATATTTGTGGTTCAGATAAGAGAAACTATTTACTGCATTTAAGAAAGTCTTGAAATTTAATGAGGTTAGTAAAATAGAATTTAAATCATATGATGAATTTAAAGAGGATGTTAAGAAGGAGGTAGAATTTGAATTGCCTGATTATGAATTGCTTAGATGAATTAATTGATATATAAGATATTATACACAAAATTGACATATAAGAAAAACTTATTTCATTCACATAATTTCAAATATGAAAATCCAGATGCTTGAAATATAAGGATATGTGTATCTTTGTGAAACAGTTCTATCCACAATCCAAAGTCATTACTCAAGGTCTCAAATTATAAAATATTTTAATGAACGAAAAATGAATGTAATTTTCATTTAGAATATTTTCAAAATAAATTTTTAAGGTTTAATATTGATTGTTTATTTATTTAATAATTAAATTCATTGTTAAACTTTAATCTCTAAGTTTATCTTCTTTTCTATAACCTATAATTCAGGAGATTGGTCTTTCTCATTATTAATATTCATTTAACTTGATTTAATATTGTCATCTTTATCCTGTAGAAAATCTGTGTTAGTTTATTATTTTTATTATTATTATTCAAATTCTCGAGGATCCTATTATCCTTATTAGACATGATTAAAATACTATTAGAATTGACTTGTGATGTAACTCTTAAATAAGGTTTGTGCAGTAACATCTGAATACTGAGAAGAGTATAAATTTGATTGATGAAATCCTATTTCTGGTTTTGGCCTATCTTATTCAATTATGCTATCTTGTTTTTTTATCCAAAGCTTTGGTCGAGGTCGTTTTTTTAGTTGTTCCAATTATTCTTATGTAAATAGTATCTTTTTAATAACTTCTAAATCTTATAGTTTTTTAAGAATTGTGACAATGTCTAAATTTTTAATTATTTTTCTCTTCGCTTTACAAAATTACTTGTGCTTTACTTTATTTATCCCAAAGATGATGAGGAATATCTATAAGCATGAAGCTTATTTTTGCTTAACATTAGACTAGATGTTCTCATTTGACTAAAAAAATGTTGACAACTTTTGCAGAGATGAGGGAGATTAAATCTCCCTTTCAGAGAGTACTTGACCGGAAGAAATGAATTATTCTTGTTAATTATCGTTATAACTGAAAAGTTACGAAGCAATCTCAAACTTCATGAAATTCTCTATTATCGGTTTTAAAAAGATCCCTACAATCATAGTTAATATTTATAAGATTCCTCCAATTTTGGCAAGAATGGTCTACAGTTTTATGTATGTTCTTTTGATGTTTGTTTACTTAAAATCTAACTTAATGTAATGGCAAACCAAATATTGGTTATTATAAAAGTCAGATATTTCTCTCCATTCAGTTTGTTGTAAATTAGTATCCAATTAATTTTCTTCTAAAATGAGACCCTAATCTGTTTATGTTTACATGATTCTGTAGGTGTGAACAATAGTTTTTGAAGTGGTGAGGGAGAAACTAGTAAATTCATTAGTGATTATTTATTAATATGGATTTCCAGATTATTCAAACTAAGTTAGGTAATCACTTTTATAAACATTGTATTATCCTGCCTCCAAAATTTTATTTATTTCTTCTTAGGGAGCACATCCTTAATACTCTGTTGTATTCCTGCAAGGCGTAAACTTGATAAGCAAATATTTGTAAGTCAAAGCATTGAACTGTCCTTACAAGATCTAAAATATTCTGATAAATATTACGAGTGGATTATTTTTCAAATATTCCCTATTTATACACTATACTGTTCCAAATCTGATGGTTGAGAAATACTTCTATTGCAACTCTGTGGAAAAATGAGACATATTACAAGTTTCTATTGGAATTTCTTTACAACTAAAACATTTAGTAATAACTCTTACTCTAGCAATACGATTGTGTGGTCTGTTTTTTCATCTATTTTCCTTTCTCTTGTACATTGGCTGATGTTTAGTTGATAGTATTTGTTTACACCTTTTGTTGGTTCAGAAAATTAACTTGCAATTGACACGGCTAGTGTAAAATTGGAATTTGTGAGTAAGTATGGCTAAATATGAGGGTATAAATTACATCTGTCTCGACCACTTAGATTTCTGATTGATAGATGGAAGGCATCAGCTTAAGAGTCATTGAACTTATCTCTGAGTTCAAATAATATAAGGCTAAACAGCCAATAATTAAAGACAAAACAAACCCAAAATTTGAAGTATATCTGCTCTTATTCAACACTGTAAAGCTTGGTAATTGACCAAAAAGATCTAACTAATGCACTGTCTCATTTTTTAGTTTAGATAAGGCATCGGATAACTTTTTTAATATCTTTGACATAATTTAATTTGCATTTTATATCATATAGACTTCTTGGATATAAAAGAAGAAGAAAACTTAAGCGTATAATATCAAAATATGTTCTGTAATTAATTAATTAAAAAACAATATCTAAATGGAGATTTAAAAGTAATATAATACACTAGATTGAATTGCAATTATCATCACGAGTTATTGCCTTAAAAACAAGTCTAATGTATTAATGAACACTCTTCGATTCAAAAAATCTTAAGCAGCGACATCTCTTATTTCATTAAAACCGATGCTAAATTAACACATCAAACTTTAATAAAACGATTAACAACAAAATGTTTTATAGGGTGAATTACATATTCTTTTAGTATAGGTTATTGATATTTCAATCTAGATATATTATGTAATCGAGAACATTTGTCCACCGCATTATTAATTTAATTGTATATTTATAATATTTTATAATGAAAATAGGCAGATCAAATTATGAGAAATTTGCTCAGAAAATTCCCTTTTGAAGATTTGCTTTACGCAAGTTTTCTTCAACTAAATGTTCTCCTGATGATGTTATCAAAGGAGATATTAGAATTTCAGATCATGTTGGAATTTTAATTGATATTAGAATTAATCCAAAAAATGTAAGATGTCCTAAACTTCAATCATCTGTAAAGGAAGTCCCAGATTAACTAGATGATTATTTATTCAGTCAATTCAATGAGGGATGTCTAGAATTCTTCAATTAGCCTTACAGGTTAAAAGTTAGATTATATATATTGAGATATCTCAATTTAGCAGCATTAAATAAGACATATATGCTTATCATAACATGGCTGGACTCTAAGCTATATGTTCAAATTCCAACCAAGCAATCTTTATAGGAGAAAGTGGGCATGATAATAAAGATTGGAATAAACACATCACTGATGAGGATAGACCAATTGAAAATAAATTAAGCCCTAACATTTTTAGGATGTATGAAATTGGATGGAAAACGAAATTGTACATTAAAATTAAATGAATGTTTGATTTTGTTATTGGAAACATTCAAATTGACATCGAAGACAGAATTGTGGGTGAAGAAAAGTTAAAATAATGAATAGCCTAAACTTTAAAGAAATATTTAAAACAGAAAAGGAGGTATAAGGATTTTCAATGAAGAATTGAAAACTTTGATGAGAAATTTAAGGTTCGTATTGAATATAAGGATTTAAAATAGATGGAAAACAGCAAGCCTCATAAGAAACTTTTTGGGATGTCACTGGAAATCTTGCCTATAGATAAGGCTAGAAATATTGAACCATCTCTGCTTAAGACAAAGATGGGCAAAGAAACTGATGTCAGAGGTCTTTATCTTATCTTATGAGATTTCCTGTTGTTATTCCATGTTGATTTGTTTAAGACTCTTCACCTTTTGGTTCAAATGAATCTCTTGGATAAACAACTATACCATTAAACCTTAATCTTTTATTTTTAAAAAGAGTAATCAAACGACATTTCAGAGACGATAAATATGAGATACCTCATAACAAAATTATGCTCTCTCATCCTAATTGTCCAAGATAATATAGAGTTAGGTGCCTATTCAAATAAAGATACTTAACAAGTAAAAAGCTCATTTTTAAACTGTTGGAGATGGGTAAGATGAACAGAATGAAGATCCATACTTAGTAAAACCAACTGAGGGAAGTGGATTGGCACTTCTTCAAGTGAGCTGTCAATAATATAGGCAATTTTATGCTTGATGTCAAACTCTTTGCTAGACTTTTTATCACTGTTGTGGTTGTGATTGTAATTGTGATGATTTATTCATTTAAACCATGCATTTTAGCTAATTGATAAATTGTTTAGTATAAGTATTTACTTCATATTAAAGATCACAATATACCATTTTGATAAATATTTTATTTTAGAATAGCAATTTATAAGTTAAATAAATTAAACTAGAATCATTAAATGAAAATTATTTAAAATAAAATATCATTTTATTATTTTTAAGTAGAATAAATTAATTTATAATCATTAAATTATAACAAGAAACAGGATGTTATTAATTTATATTACTAAAAAATAGATAATATGTAGTTTTAATTATGATAAACTTATATTGATAAATATAGAAGAATTATACTGATGATATTTATATGATTATTATAATGATATCACTATCTAGTTCTCAAATTATGTCCTTTCAATTAATTTCCTGAATTATTTAATTATGCAAATGATAATGGAGTTGTCAAACATTCTTATGAAGTTTTGAATTTGTGCATATTACCAGTGAAGTTCTCACCATCATAGACTGTCAATCCCAATCCTTCTGGAATGTAAATAGATCTAATTTAAGCCTTGAATTCCCTAGAATAAATAATGAGATTACTCAATTTCGCTTAAACTATTGCAAGCTTCTAAAGCTTCTCCCTTAAAATTGCATTATGAATAAATAATAATACAGTTTCCTTAGACTAATTATTAATTAGTTTGAGACTCTGAGGCTTAGAGCTTTTAATCTTCAACTTTATTTTCTGACTTTGCATCTTCTTCTTGTACTACAACATTAGTATCAGTTTATTATACAGAATCAACATTTTCATGACTTGCAGCTTCTGTATTCTCTTAGATTGTAGCTTGGGGTTGTTCAGTTTATTATTCGATGTTCTTGTTATCTGTTACTGCAGTTTAATTTTCTTCAACTTGTTATTCAACTTGCTATTCAACTTTTTATTCAACTTATTACTCAACTTATTATTCAACTTATTATTCAACTTTCTCTTCTTTTTAAACCACTTAATTATTTTCTGTATCTGGTGTCTTTTTAGCCTAAGTTTTATCGGCATTGACTTCACTTTAAACAAATCCATTGTCCATTTCTGGGGATGATTGTAGAGATTCTGTGTTTTGAAGAACATCAAATGCCATATTTGGATCTACTTCATTTTAATTGGATACAATGCTTTCATTAGGCAAGTTAACATTGGATTCCAAAATATTAGAAACATCAATTTGATTATCTTATGGTATTTCAGTGTTGTTTGGATCGATATTGCTAATTTCATTGGATTCTGCGATCATATTATTGTTATCTATTTCACTTACAACTTCAGAGTTTACTTCTGCTATACTAGACACCTCTGTGTTTTCGATAACTTATGTATCTTCCACATTTTATTAAACTGGCTCTATGGCACTAATATCATTGGGATCAACAGTGCTATACATAGAATCTTATTCTGGCATAGAGTTCTCGATATTGGCATTCATAGCCATAGAATCCTCCACATTCATTGAATTAGAGTCAACATTCATATTACTAACAGTTGATTCTTAAGTCATGGATGATTCAATATTGATACTTTCAATAGATTCAGCTTATGGAGTAGAATAATCCATGCTATCGGTTACCATAGAATCCATGCTGCTTGAATCTAATTCTTATTGATTCATGTTCATTGAGTTTATACTATCAATGTCCTCAGATCCTTGCAATGAACTCTCCTCCTAAATTAAATTTCCTTCCAAATCATAATGAGTTACTACAGCCTCAGGGGTTTAGGCAAAAGGTGCTGTGATCAAACATACTAAAAGCAAGTACTTAATCATCAAAACGGATTAAAAATATTATATTATTAGAGTTCAAACCCAGATAATTTATAATAATATGATATTTTATACTACCATGCATGCTTACAAGCTAAAAATAAGTATTCTTTAATCCGTTATTGGTTATTAAATTCCTCTTTACTATTAAATCTCATAAAAGTCGCTTAAAAATGAGAGCAAAATTATACTTTTAAATTTTATTGTCCTGAAAGATTTTAAGTCACCTAACCCATAATCATATATTTCATAAAAACCAATTATATAGTTTATTTAGGTTTTTGATTTTCTCAAAGAGAAGATAGCATATATATGCTACTAAATTTAGAATATAATATAAATTCCATATTTAGAAAAAGATAATAGTATCATACTCTATAATTGGTTAGTATTTCCTATTCAAATAATAGTGAAAATCATGGAATATAAGATAAATGTATTCATAATAAAGCATTTTTATAGATAATTTATTGGGAGTTTAAATCATAAAAATAATGTACAAAATAATAATAAAAAATTAATCAATCAATCAATTTTATTTATATTATCAAAGGAGTACTAAAATCATTCGAATATTCAATAAATACATTTAATTGATTCTCGATTTCTTTGAAATTGTACTCTAACTATCTATTTATGACTTCAATTGAAATTTCGTCTTATTCTATTAAAATTATTACATTTTATTATTTGAGTTTAAATAAATGACTTATTTATTAAATAAATAGAATATTGAAAATAAGCAGATCAAAGTTTCGTTCAATTCTATTATATCCTTTTATTATACAGATAATTAGAACCCTTTTTAATAAGGCCAATGTTATTAAGAATAAAAAGATATGATGTCATTTATGAAATATAAAGATATCTCAAATTCCGAGTATTTATACTTAGAATTTCAATTCTGAAATTTATTAAATTCTCATTATCTTCAGAGCATTTTAGTTTCGCAGTTCCAAATAGCCTTGCTTTGCTTTGCTTTGTTATTTTGTGTGTTTTTAAAATTTCAAATGGAAATATAAAATTATAATTGAAAATTAGAAGAGTGTTTAATATATAACAAATAATAGATAATTTAATGAAATTGAATGGGATATCTATTAAATAATTTCTTTTAAATAGGTTATTATTAATTATCATATAAAAGCCCGTTTATCCCCTCCTCTTACCCTAAGTTTTTTCGAGAACACGGATGGTATTGTATATTTACCAGGACCTGGTGTTGTACTAGTTGATCGAAAGGGATCTTTTTTTTCACCTATTCCTTAAGTGATATCCTAATAAATGAGGTACACATCTTACTTTGAATCGAGAAGGTGAGGTTAGTTTTGTGGTAGGAGAGTAAGCCTCTGGACCTGGAACTCCGTTATCTGGATTATCATTCATCATCTTGCCCTTTCCTTTCAATAAAAATTTATATCTATGTTAACCCAAATCTTTCCTAACTCTGTATTCTCCGGGACCTCTTATTAGGCATGTATAATTACCAGGAAGAAATTTGGCAACTTCTGGGGCTTGGTACTTGTTATAGGGCAGATAAGTTTTGGAGTATAATTCCCAGGGGCCTCCGAAAGACCTTTTTAATTTATCTTTCCCAGGAATCTCTCTTACTTCATATCTGTCCGGACTTGGCATTTCCTTTGCGTTTGTTTCTTGCCATGCCCATTGGAAGTTTTCCATTCTTCCCCCAAATCCTTATGAAGTTGTTTTGCTTCCCAATTAACTTGGAAGTTCTAAATTTGAAATATTATATTCTGATTGGGAATTAAATCTATGGGCTCTAGGAAAGGAATATTGGAGAGCCGTATGTTGTAAGGTTGATGAGGAAATGTTGGAACTTAATCCTTATTAGTTTACAAATAGTTTATTTGTACTAAAAAACCCTTAAGAACTCGACATTGTATCCCTCATATCGAGTGATCCACTACTTCTAAACCTTCGTTTTAAATAGTTTGTATTCTCCATAATTCCTTTTGTTTTTAATTTATTAATCAAATAAAAAAATTATTTACAAAATAAATATGACCCTGCTAGACTTCATTCTCCTCACTTCATACTTGAAATAGAAATACATATTAATCAAAGGAATCTTGAATCAGATTTATCATATTCATTTTTATTTGACCATATTCCACAAAAGAAAAAGTCTTTCTTGCAACTTAGTTTCAGCCTACTAAATGAATTTATTTAGATATGAAAAATAAATAATTTCCTTGTTGATGTTCAAAATAATGAAATAATAGAATAAATCAATTAAGATCCACGAAAAAAGTTGTACCATTTTTATGTTATAAACAAAAAATCATGAATAAGATGAGATAGAAGGACAATTGATAGTACCTGAATTAATATATTATAGGAAATTAACCTTACTTACTGAGTTGTTTTAATTTGAATTACAACACAAATCTTAGATATAAAAATCTATCTACAGAAATATTGAAGTAAAAATTAAATCTAATATATGTGAGAAATAAGTCCTTAACAATCAAAATACTAATTTTTATATAATTCTTTTTGGAATAATAATTGATTCTAAATTAATTTAAATAGTCTTAAAATCGTTCAGAGCAGAATGATATTGGACGGTCTCTTTTTAGGTTCTCTTTTACGATTAATAACAGGGACTTCCAAATAAAGTTCTTCATCAGGGACTGAATGTTAACAATAGGATAATTACTTTCATAATCATCATCGAATTCATTCTTGGCCACAAATTAACTTAGTTTTGATGGTTGTTAAGTGTAAATTAATGTACGTTTAGTATTGGAAGGAGTTGATTATAATTTAGAATTCATACTATGTAAGGCATTCAATCCACTTTGTTATTGTTGAATAATGGTCATTCTAACATCCATTTCACTCATTTCTCGTAACTCAATAATAGTTCTTAAACTTGGAAGTGGCTTTTTTCTTTTCCTTTCCACTTTCAAGGATTTGATTTTACTTTTCACATTTACAAACCAATGATGTTTAGTAGCTTCTTTTATTGTCAATCTTTTACCTCATTTTATAAAACACTTACTTGCATCAGTTTGCAGCATTTTCCTTAGAAGATCCAATTGGGAAGAACTAACCTTACTCTTGGATTGGTTCTATTGGAACCCAATTTTCAATTGTTGTTCACTTTCGTCTATACGAGTGTTTTGAATTTCGAAGTTGTCCATAACATTATAGAAGTCTTTATCTTCATTTTTAATCTAAAACTACTTTAGGATTAAGATACTTCATATTTCTTAGAATCATAATAGGTCATGAAGTATAGTACACATCCTAATGCATAGATATCCGTGGAAATGTTGGGGGCAATGCCTTCAAAGATCTCAGGAGCCAAGAAAGACTCGACTGCTCTATTCAGAATCCAGTCTAATTTGTCATTGACCTTGTACTCTTTGAATGAGAGATTAATGAGTGTGATTTACAGCATTTGATGTTGTGAGTTGATCAGAACATTCTAAGGATTGATGCTTCCATGGTAGAATTGGTGCTGATTAAGAAATTTGACAACTTGGAGTATTTGATAGATGATCTAGGGATATTATTAAAATGGGTATTACAGATGCAATTTGTACTTCATGCAATTAGAGATTAGAATTCAATAGGTTGAAGAGAGTATCGCCTTTATAATACTCATAGACAATGAAAAGATATTTATTATTTTAGTAAACTCTTTTTAGTTCCAGTAGGGATTGATGCTTAATGCTTCTCAATATCTGTATTTCATTATAGACTGCATCTTCCAATTCCTGACATTGTTCGAAGTCGTCACTCTTATAGATCTGGACAGTATATTGTGTTTTCTTCTTTTTCTTAGTGCATGTGTAAAATCCAGGAAGTACCTTGTCTCCCAATTTGTATTTATCCAGGAAACCTGTGAGTTTGCAAAATTGCTTCATCTATTTATACCAGGTTCTGAATGTTACGAAATTTGAAAAGAACAAGTAAGTTGTGCCAATTGAATTGGTTAAGAGCATACCGAAGGCTTGTTGTGATCTGTGTTAAATCATTTTCTAAGTTATTGTGCACTCTGATAAGGATAAATAATAGGTAGCTCCATTTTGATTAAATTGAGATTGTGGTATTTATAACAAACCATTTTAAATGGTTACCTTGATCAATAAATTTGGCATCAATATAAATTTACTGTATTCCAATGTTCCATTCCAAAATGTATAGAGTTATCCGTTCAAAATTTCATCTGATTCTTTCAATTACCCAAATTGTTCTTACTTAAGAATGTGCATATGTTGAGATTCGAAATCCTCATGTGAAAATTCGTTTGGATATTTCAGAATCCAACTCAAATTTTCATCATTAGCATTTTGCCTTCTACTCATTAAAAATTTATATAAATTAATTGTTGTTTTATAGATATTATTATTTTATTATTTTATTCAATCATCATCAGAATCTTAATTATCCTTCATGTACTTATCAATGAGTTTCTGATATTCCTCTCTGGGCAAAGAAGACTCCGAAGAATATGACTCCTATTATTGCTCGATCATGGGATATTGCTCTTGTTGTAACACATTGGGCTTATTGAAAGATCTTCCATTCAGACTGGTGATAACGGAATCAATATCTTCCTCCTGCTGAGAAAATTATAACTATTGAGAAATCATATCTCTTTGTTGAGGAGTCTGCATAACGCTCGATCCAAATTATTCAGCAGATTTTTGGACCGATTGTTATGGTGTGTATTCCTAATTTGTTAAATTGAAACTGAGAGTATTGGTCTTGAAGTAATTTGATGAAATCAGGTTTTACTATTAAGCCGATTGAGTCTACTATTAAAATTGTTGATAATAAGGATATTAAGCATATTATTGTTATTGATAACCATGGTTCTATTGAAATTATTATTATTTTTGCAAACTAACATCAGAAACCTATTGTCCTCTTTGAGATCCAATGGATGACCTCTTCTAGCATTGCTGTGATATTCTCTGATTTTTACGCTTGAGTAATTCTTAGGCTATTGCATACTCATCTTCATCGTCTGAGGATTCATCTGGCACATATTGATTCTTTTAGGGACTCTCGGATGATTCAGAGAGATCTTTATTGCAATTATAATATTGATTCTGATTTTATTTTAATTTGTTCTCCAAGATCTTAAATTCATCACAGAATCTCATGGTCTAATTACTTTTTTAAGTTCCAAGAGTTTTGATTGTTTCTTGAGGTTACTCATTTTCTTTTTTGAAAAAATTGGATGCATGGGAATTAAGAGCAAAGCTTTCGGTTTCGGTTTATATTTATTTGTCTGCAGAATTTTAATGTGGATTTACACGATTTCCTGAATCCATGGTTTGCACTTCTATGTGTTTCCTTTGATCAGGTTTTGGTGGATTTACAGGTGTCTAATGTCTTGGAATCACTACTTATCTTTCATATTTCGTTTCAGGTTTAATTACCTTTCTTATGGGAGAAATCTCTTGTCTTTCTTAACGATTAGATTCAAACTAAAACTGTTTCAAACTGTTAGTGAATTCTTCAATTTCTGCTTTTAATTATAAGATCTCACTCTTTTATTATTTCTGAGGAGGTATTGGAGGTGTAATTGATGCCTATGAGACTTTAGAATTGTTTTCTTTATTGTCAATCTCGCATTAAGTGAATGAATCAAATTTATTCACTCTCGCAAGTAGCATTTATTCTTAGATCAATTATTCCTATTATTGCAACTTCTTGATGACTTCCAGAGATTCTTTGAATTTATCTTCAGTTTGCTTCTACTCTTTTTTGGCTGATTCAGAAAGTTGTTTGTATTTGGTTACTTGCTTTTTGCATTCTTCCTCCTTCTACCTTATTTGATCTTGTAGCTTTTTATTTTCTTCTTGTTCTTGGGCCAGTCTCCTTATCAGGTCTCCTATTTTGGCTTTTTCTTCTTGGCACAAATCCTTAATGGTTATGGAGGGACTGGTAGTGCGATCAACATTCTTGTCGTTTTCATCGTCGAATTAAAACTTGAGAGTGTTTTTGATGGAAGTCAATTTGTTAGTATTCCCTTGTTGCTTAGATTGAGCTATGCGAGCAGTTCTCATATTTAATTAATGTCAATTATTGTTAAAAAATTTCTAAAGACCAACCTTTTAGAAAAACAACACTTTAATAAACATAGTGAAAGAGAAAGGAAACGATTGGAATACATTAACAAGTCCATATCCGATCGTAAAGCCTATCTTTGTTTGTCTCCAAACTGAGCAGTACATATTGAACGACAAGGTATTCCCATTCATTCCTATTCCCAAGTCATTGCATCATTCAAGAGAGGAACAACGAATGTATGATTTCAAGACGCCTTTTGACAATGAGCACTGTGTCGAGAAGAAGGAACGGTCTAAGGAAATGACTCTTACTATGGCACTTTCATCCATGAAGAACAGCAATCAAATTTAGCAAATCACAAAACCAAAAAAAAAACTAACATTCTTAGAATCTATAGTGTTTTCACCTGATGGAACACTAAAAATCATTTGGGATTTCTTGTGCATGTTTCTAATTTTCTATGAAATATTGTCCATCCCCTTCAGAATTAGCTTTGACTTCGAAATAAGCAGCGAATTAAGCACATTTATAACAACTATCTTCTTGGTTGACATCGCAGTTACCTTCAATACAGCCGTCTGGATCAAAGGGACCATCAATTTTTAATACTCAGTAATATTTAAACAATATATGAAATTGTGGTTTTGGCTAGATTTAATTGCCTCCTTCCCCTACGACATGGTATATTATAAGACACAATCATAATTAGATCATAGAATCGATATTGCTATCAGATGCCGATGAAACCGATTAGAGTAGTAACAGTGCTGGCCAATCAAAGACATTATAATAAAGTGCTTAAATTTTGAGACTTTTAAAATTCTTTAGATTTATCAAGATTATTAGATTACTTAGATTAGCTAAATTAAAGGTGATTTTCGATAAAATTGAAGAACAACTTCAAACCTATTCCACCATTAATACAATAGCCAGTTTTCTTAAATTGAGCTTCTTTGTATTATTTTGGTCACATTGGCTAGGGTGCATATTTCATTTTGTGGGAATGAATGAAGATCCTAACCATAATTGGTTAGTTGTAGCAGGTATTTATGACTCTCCAGTTGAAGTGAGGTACGTAACATCAATCTATTGGGCTGTCACTACTATGATTACTGTTGGTTATGGAGACATCTCGCCTTAAACAACGATAGAACGATTATGTGGAATATTCTTCTTATTGGTAGCCTGTGGAGTGTTGTCATTTACTATGAATTCTATAGGAAATACCATGTAATAGATGAGTTAAAAAAAAGATCAGTAAAAAAAGAATATTGCAGAAATCAACAATTACATGCAGAAAGTAAAGATCCCAAAACATCTTCAATAGAGAGTGAGAAAGTACTTATAGTATATTTGGGATTCAAGTAGACTTATTAAATTAGATGCAATCACTGTGAATCTATCCTAGGAACTGAAGTAGTTATTGACTGTTCATGTTAATGGCAACATTCTAGCCACTTATACAAATTTCTGTAAAACCTTCTCTCGTGTCCTCCTCTTAGATATTACTCAAATCTTATTTGAATAAACAGCACAACCAGATGAATACATCATTATTGAAGACAATCCCAAAAATTCGGAGCATCTTTATTTCATTCAAGATGGGTTGATTAATATTGTATTGCCTAAGACTAGACAAGTAGCAGCTAAATTAACTAATAAATAAATCTTTGGTGAGATCAATTTCTTTGGAAATGTAGGTCGAACTGCCTCTGCCAAGAGTGAAGGGTTCAGCGATTTGTTTGTGCTGAAAAGAGAGAGTTTTTTGTAGATTTTACAAAAGTATCCTAAAGATTTTGAGAAGTTCTACTCAATTTAAGAGGAAGTTAATAAACGTCAATTTTCTGTACTCTCAATACATTGTTTTGCTTGTGAATTACCAGGACATGTAGTTAGAGATTGTCCTCAATTACATTTCAATGTGGATCTTTATGTGTATAATAAAACAAAGAACAGGTGCATTAGATAAATCATGAAAGAGTATGTTAGAAAGGATAGGATACATTTTAATGCCATTAAACACTAGTATCTTATTAAGAAAGAGGCTCTGAGTATATAAACTGTCATTCCGATGACTGGATATATTGTTGAAGAATGTAATCTAGAAGATGCACAAAATAAAACAATCCTATTCAAAAATATTCCTCAACCCTTTAAAATCAAGTCCAAATTTAAAGAGGATCGAAACAGGAGAAGAGAAATATAAAAGGTCATGCGTGCATAATTGAGTCAAGTCTAAATGATAACTCAAAAACAAAATGATCTTTTTAATCTTACTAAATCTATTTCGTAATTAATCTAATCTTCAACGCCCTCTTTAAATTTGTAAAGCAGCAGTATCAGTCATACCAAAATTAATGAAAACTAAAGTTCAGACGAACAAAGTGATTCCGAGACAATCCAATAGAAATTAGATGAGATCATATTAGAATATCAAGTTTAAAAGGAAAATCAAAATCAAGAGAATCTCTTTATTTCAAATAAAAGCTAACAAAATTACTCCCTAATTGATCATTTTGAATTTGGCTATGATTTTGAAATCTATAGTACTCACAATAATTTGTCTGTAGTCTTAAAAGAAGTATAGAGATACTATAATGGGGCATAAATCAAACCCAAAATAGACACTGAATATGAGTAATCCTCTTAAATATATAAATAGTGTTAATGTGTTTGAGGAATACATAGATTATTATGCAATCAATATGGAAGATATTAATCGTTTTAAACTGGAGGTGAAGCCAGAAAGATTGAAGCAATTTCTCCCTTATACTACTTTGGTCGAAATAAAATAATCGAGACAAGTATTAATCAATAGTTGATGTTTAGTTTAAACAACATTAAGGACGCATAAAGTTTCCTATGAGACAGTCAGTGGTTGGTTCTTCTGAACATTCAAAGTAGATATGGTTAATTTGAAAATCGATTAATATATATTAATATTAAATTAAATTTGTAAGGTTTTGGATAGGATGACTGACTCATTATTATGTATTTAATAAAAAGTGGAAATAGTTTGATCAATATAATTTTTCATTTTGATTCTTTCGTAATTTGTGAATATCCTAATAAGATTTATTTTGAAAGCATGAGGATGGTCTCTCAATAAGAATTTGATTGTAGAAGTGGGGAGTAAAGGTGCATTTGCTAAGTTCCTTTTCGTCTTTCTCCTCTCTCATTTTCTACAATTTTGATTGTTTTTTCTTTAGAAATATATCATTCCTTTCTATTACTGACAAACCCACCCAATTCTTGTAACAAGCCTTAGTATTAGTTCTCTCACTCATGATATTGCTCGCAGAGATTTCTTGCCTCTTCAAGCAGGGTTCTAGTTAGGCTAATGACTATGGTCGTATGAACTATTATCTATAAGTGGGAGTTTTGGGAGTCTAAGTCTGCGTAGTGATGGTTTATGAAGGAATCTTGTGCTCTTTTTTATGGTTCTAAGAAGGAGGGGAGGGAGGTTGGGGCTGCTTGACAAATGCTCTCAAATTAACGAATATTTTCTTGGCGTTTGAATGAGTTTGAAATTGATCTCTGAAGTCAGGTTTCTTCTCCTTCTTCTGGGCCATCAAATAACTAAGGCGTTCCAAATTGGCTTACAAGGTTGAATCAATTGGTACCAATTAATTCATTTTTTATATTAATATATTGTGAGCAGTCTTATTTAATTTATTAATATCTCATCTATAACTAAAAATAAACTCTTAACAAAATGAACACAATGTACATCGTTTCTATGGAACACCCAATTCTGCTTGAATATAGTAAATATAATTATTAATTATAGATTGATTTAATGAACATAAGTGTAAGCTTTGCTCGCTAGATCAAAGACTTCAGATTTAAGAACACTCTTTTTGGAGTTTCCTCTTTGGTAGGTTTATGTCTTTGTGGTAAGATGTTTGTATTGGATCATAATTCCTTCTATCAACTTATTTACATTTCGGAACTCATCATTGGTTTCTTTATGATGTTAATAGTCTTGTTCAATCAATTAAAGGATCTGGATTCAGTCGAATACGTGTTTACAATGGGTTACTTAATCAAAGAAAGTGAGGGAGGAAATGTTTAATATACATTTTAAGAATTAGAGGAAATGATCAAGGCTAGTATAATTATTATTCCATTATGTAGGAAGCATGGGTGAGGCTACTACGTGGCGTCTCCTTTATACAAGCATTAAAATGGATTTTCACCACTTTTGTTGCGAATCTAAAGATTTCCTCTATCTTGTCTTATCGGCTGGAGTAATTACTTCATACTTCTTTGAATCACGATTTTAATCAAATTCAAACAGCTGGCTAGTATTTTTACTCTTCTTTGTGACAGTTTGGGATTTTGTGTTTGTCGCTCTCGGGTTCATCATAGAACTGCCAAGGAGAATCAGATAAGAATATAAATTGAGAGCCCTCCAAAGGAGAGCAACGAGATAATAAATTTTAGATATGTAAAATTAATCTTTGTTCGAGAATTAAGAAGGTTTAGATAGCTTCTTGTTGTTGGATAATGAATTAGTGGAAGAGGAGTAGGTTTATTAACCATAGTAAATACAGGAAGCGCCACAACATAGATACAGCATATTTGGAAGGGAGGAATAACTCTAATGCTAAATATGTTTTGAACCAATGTTGGAGAATGAAGGACTTCAACAATTATAATGCCATCCTTCGCATCTATTCCATTCCAAATGTATTTAAGATTGGTTTCAATAAAATGTATAATTTCTTCTATTTCTTAGCGATAAAACAATTTAGTTCCCAGTTGCCCTATTTGTAGAGCACCATAAAATAGATGAAATTAATATTAACATATATTATGGTTCTTATGAATTTAATATATATTTATAAACGAACTAATTAAATTGTTTAACATTCTCAAACCTTTTACATAAATATATAGTGGAACCATTCACTTTTTGATGAAAATGATATATGCGGCAATTTTTTGTTTTTAAGAAGATCTTCGATCAGATAGCTTATTAATTGGAAGTAAAACAAAATCAAAGGAATAACATGTATAAAAATATGCTCTCCACTTCTATTAAGATCACATATACTGAAGACTTGTATATCACGCATAATCATTTCTAATATTCAAAACTCGAGTTTTAATCTCTGAACAAAGTTTATTTTTTAAAAAAAATTATAAATTTTAATAACGAAAACTCAATTTTTTATTTTTGAGGCATTTCAAATTTTGATTCAAACAAAATTCAATTTTTAAGAATGGATTTTAGGAATTTTCCATTTCTATTCATTTATACGTTTTCTTTCATTTTTTTTCTATTTTTGACGTATTTTAGATATGCCTTATTACATTTCTAATCACTATGAGCTCCTTATTCTTAAAGATGACTTGGCTTAGAATGTCTTAGCAGAAATGCTATAGAAATTAAAGATGCTCTTTTGTTTTATTGGATTTGCATAGTTGCAAAAATACAAAAGCTAGTTATAATTGCTTTTTCATGACATCTTTTGAAATGCTTTTTTTATATTCGTCTATTTTTGAGATGTTGAATATCTTTTAAATCCATATAATTTTTAGTAACATAAATTATATGAGCTGGAATGTCTAATATTCTTTCTGTTTTTGAACCTTATTAAATTTATTCTTTAGTAGATAAGCAACATTTTTAGAGCATATCTGCTCACAAGTTATTTTAGCATATTCTGAAATTCCCTCTCCTAGATAATAGGAGATAAAAATGCGAAATGCTAGAGTTACCATTTTATGTATTACAGGATAATTAATAAACTAAAATTTGATATTAGCAATAATGATAAATTGATTTTTAATTTAAGCTTCCATTTGGTCTTTGCATCTTGCCTTTTAATAAATTTTCTTTGTTTCTTTTAAAAAAATTGCCTCATCCCCTTTTAAAATTATTCTTTCTATTTATTCTGAGCCTGCTAAAAAGCTTTTATGTTTTGAAGACCTGGTTTCATGGTTTATATGTAATTAAAAATATCTGCACAAGATAATCGGCATTTCTACTTTTTTTCATAACCATTAAACGTCTGATAGGACCTTTATATTATTTTTTGCTACCATCAGATAAATTCCCAGCCTGAGTCAGCTTATATTAGTCTCTAAAATTAAGGTAAATAATTGCCATGGGTAACTTCATTAATTATAGCATCAAACTATTTATTGAGGGTTTTATTTGATCAATATTATATAAAAGAAACAGAAGATTTAAAAAATGATGTGCTTTTGACAACTTTTAAAAAATTGAGCATAAATTATTTTTTTGGATTTTCATTTATATAAATTTTTTAAATTTCCCTTTTACAATTCAAGCCAAATCTCAATACCAATTGAAATCGAACAACTTAGCTTGTTTTCTAAAAGTGATTTATAAAAAATTTATTACTTGTGCTATATAAGAATTTTGTTACTTTAAATATACAATGGCATGCACACAAGAAATTTGAGAGTAAATGAATTCAAGTAATTAGAAAGTAGAATAAGGTGGAACAAAAAAGTGACAATACAATTCTAGATAACATTGATTTCATTGATATCCCTACTGACTTTTATATTTATTAAATTTTTATAATAATAGAGATGGGTAATGTTTTGGATAATGAGAAGTCCTACTAGATTACGAAAGATTTTACATTTTGCCAAAATCTGTCTCATCGTTAATTAGGAAATATAAGAATTCTTGAATACAAGGAGAACAAGGTATATTTAAATGAATGTAAGAAAGAAAATTAGGGTGTTTGAAATAAATTTGGGAACTACTTCTAAATAGGAGATGGACAATTATTGTAAGAGATTCGAGGATAGAAAATAATGGAAAAATGATAATTTGATCAGATTGTTGCATTTTCATGAAAATAGCAATTCGATGATGTGTGCAGATGTATCTCAAGCAACAATAATTGGGGAATACTATTAGATGACCCTGAATTCAGAGGCTGAATAGAAGTACTTATAGAAATTGAATAAGTTTTACCTAATCATTTATGTTTAATGAATCAAGGTTGTGGTTGATAGCCTATCAAATAGTGAGTGCGTGTGCTTATTTGGAGGAGAAGGGGATGTATCATGGAGAATTGAAGACTTAGACAATCTATTTGGATGAATCAGAGAACATCAAGTTGATAGTAAGAATTGATTAAAATGAAAGGAACACAGTTTCTTGCCTAATCATCCAGATGCTTATAGTAAGGCCTTCATCTTAGATGAATTTCATTTGTTACCTCCTGAACAACTGGAGGAATTAAAGCAATCGATTCCAGCTACTTAGAAGAGCGGAGTGAAGGGAGATGTATTTACTTTGGGATTGATTCTGTTGGAATTGGCTGCTCAATAATGTAAGGAATGCCTATATGTTAAGCCTCATCGGCATACTATAATTGGCAGAAGAAGGTGGTAGATCTGGAGTAGGTGAAGAAGATGTGCGATATGCTATTGTGTTTGGGATATTCTAGCATATTTTAGAAGTTGATTTTGCAGATGATTGGGGAGTATGAGAAAAGACCGACATTTGTGGTGATAAGGGATGGGTTATAGAAATTGGAGAAAGATATTTTGGGAGGCATCTAGTTTTACAAGAATCACATCAAATAGGAAAGAATGAATGAAGCTAATAAAAAATAGTTTCAAACATTTGGATAAAAAATGTGAATACCAAATCACATCTATATCTTAATTTAGCTAACATTCTTATCCAATCAATATTTATTATTACATCAATTTAATAATATTTAAAATTTGCATGTTCTTCCCTGAATAGGAGTACAAGACTAGTACAAAGGTAAGAAACTCTTTATCCATGCTAGAGTGAAGATGAACTTAAGAAGTTGACGTTGGAGGAGGATTTAAGCGAATGCTAAAGGTCTTATCAGATATTGACAAAGGGTCAATAATTGCAAAAGAGGGCAGTAAGATATGCTGTTTATTGATTGATAGGTATATCAAAACTTGCATAGAATTTTAAAAGAACCAAATGCATTTGAGATTTTGTTCAAAGTCATTGTGTATGATATAATCTATATTAAAGAGAGGAGATTCAGCAACAAGAGGAGGAAAATCAAATTATTGCAGCCAAATCTCTTCATAAACTGATTAAAGACAATTAACTTTAAGTAATGGAGTTACTCTAAATTTATGATTTGACTACTCAAATCCTAAAAATTTGGTCATTACCAGTTTTGAATGAATGGATACATACTATGAATGCATTACTTAGAGTTATCAGCCTCGATATCATCCTTAATCCAATCTCATAATTAATACTATTGTTGACTGATGCATCACAACCAACAATTTCTCGTTAGAGTGCTGCCAAACTCATAGGCACCTTGGCATAAGTACATTCAATTATTAACAAAAGCTATTGGGAAATGACATCAAAGGACCTTTATTAGACAGAGCTAGAAATTTGTGTTCTGATCATGACAAAGAAGTCAGATTGATCATGGCTGAAGATGTTATCGTGAAGGTGTGCCAATCGATTTCTAGTGATTTGATTGAGTGCTATTTACTTGAAAAGATTATGGAACTGTATTATGATACAGATATTGTTGTAAAGAGTTCAGGCATGAAATTGTTCTACACTATAGCCAATCAATTGTCGCCTGATGAAATCAAGAATAGATGTACTAAACTATTCATAGATCAAATACAAAGTTAGAGCGAAGAAAGTAAAGTAGTTATGTCTAAGATGTGTGGTAGAGTATATATGTTGGTAATTATTCTCAATTAATAGTAGATTAAAGGCAATTTAAATCAAAATTAAATATCTTTATTTCTCACTATTTATGCTTCGTATGCCAAAAGTAAAAACATAGATGTGAGGATCAACTTTATTTCCAATTTCCCTGCTATACTTTCATTGAGTCTAAAAAAGTTTGAATTTTTTCAAGAATAATACATGTTGTGTTGCAATGATACCAATGAAACACTTCAGAGATCCATTTTAAGTAGTTTCCATGAAGTTGTACTCTTGTCTGAGAATACAGATATTCTAATACAAGTATTCATTAATTTCATGAAATCAAAATATTTAACCATCTTACAATTGTTAATAATCAGATTTGATTCAATTGTGAATTCTTTCCAAAAACAAGTAGTTTGTATATCTTATGCGTAGTCAGTAACAACCCCAATTTGGTCAACCAGCCATTGAATTGCTAAATGGTCTAATTGTCAAAAATCAATGGGATCTACAAATAGATTTATTATCTAAATTCTCAGAATGCCAATACATATTTTCTGACATCAGTACATTCCTCAATGTTATGCTCACCACTATTAGCAAAGGAATACCAAAAACAAAACAATTATGTTGTCTAAACATTGCCAAATACTTGAGCAACATCGGAGATCTGAGGAAGAGAAAGGATTGGATTATCTAGCTCTTTGAACTTTACTTTAAATCAGATAGCTACTTTAATAGAATCACTTTTATAGACATAGTCCAAGAATTCACTCAGTTCATCTCTAGAAAACTGTTCAAATAATATTAATTCTATGATGTACTCGTCTTCTCCAAGGATCCAATCCTGAATGTGAGGATGAGATTGATTAAGGTATTTCCTATTTTATACCTTTTAGATTTTACCCATCCTTTATAAGAAGATAGATTCCAATGATGCACCTACTTTGAATATGTTCAATGATGCTTTACAAGATTGCATTCTCGGTGGATCTCGTTCTTTTCAATATATGATTTAGCAAACCAAGGAAGAGTTGCTAAAGCCAAGTGACGAAAACTACTTAGATCAGAAGGATCTAGAGATGCTGGAAAAAGAGGAGTAGATCTTTAAGAATGATTAAAAATAAAGACAATTACTATTAGATTAAGAAAGGGATGATGTGGAACTCAATAAAATAGATTTAAACGATTATTTAACCAAATACAAAAAGAAGTATCCCCTGACCAAGATAAAGATCACCAATCCGAGCGTGCACAGTCAAACCATACTGATTAAAAAACCTCAGTTGTAGAATAATACCGCCTCAGCGCTTCTTTTCAAGAAATCAGTTGATTTAGATTGCAATAAGAGTCCTCTCTTTGAAGCTTCGTCTTCTTTGAAGAAACCTGGTCTTAAATCCAAAACACCGATGACCAAAAGTAGTTGTGACATTAAGAAGTAATTTAAACTTCCTAGTATTAAAAAGTGAAATAACATAATATTATAGATTATTATTATTGTGATTATATATAGTTTCTTTGTCCATCACTCCATCTTCTTCTCATTCTCGATTTCAGGAGCTGCTTCGAATTAATTAGCTGGCAAATTGTTGTATTGCTATTAGATATCTAACTTATGTTTCTCAGCCCTTCTCTTGCCCCAAACTATGAAACCAATAGTCAGAGCCAAGTACACGCAAGCAGATACTATCGCTGTGGTTTCTGAATTCGTCTAATTCTTTACAGGATATCTGTAAAACTCAATCTAGTATTTCAAGATTAGGAACAAGGACAACTAGAATTAAATGATAGCTCCATTACAAATAGGATGAACCCACATGCAAAAATGACAGTCCAGAAACGAATACAATCCATATTTATTATTAATATTAATGAACTGTTAAGAATATATTCGCTATTCTGACATTTTGGATGGAAAGTATGAGATTGATTAATTGGAATCCATCCACAAAACTGAGAAGTATCGATCCACAACTACAGTTCAAACCAATCAATACAAAAACTTAATAGAAGACTTAATTCAAGTATCTTATGATATCACATATAACAGGCTCAAAGCAAATGTGCTGATAATATCTATCAATTGGGTTACATGATCAATTCACAATCAAGCAAGAGATTAACTTAATCTGAATTTTCAACTCCTAAGCTCAATATGTCACAAGTCTCTCAATTTTCACAATACTAAACTCCAAGCAAATCCAATCAAAATATCACTCCTTCTCCTTAATTATTTAATCAGTTGAATAATGAGTAACACATATTACTTAATTTAAAGAAATCTTTTGGATCAAATCGAAAAATTAATCAAGATTAAGAAATTGGACTAATCCATACTCTTACGGATCATAAGAAAACATATGGCTAATTGCCCGTATTTCGTATAACTAGTCAAGCAAGAGTTTCGTAATAGTATTAATACTTTACAGTGATATATACTTTGAAATCATTAATTATTATTATTTATCCTCTCTAAATTCTTGTTGTTTTAATTTGTTCATCATAGTACTTAAGCTGATATGTTACAATCAATAACACATATCTATTCCAATAATCAAATTAACATAATATTATGCAGGGTATATTTATTTAAATGAATAAATTTCAATAATGTGCAATGTTATTTCAAAACTTCCATACTCATTTTTGATTGCCAAATAGATCAATATGATAATGAGATGCAAGTGTATGATAATTGGAAATTCAATTTATTGTGCATCAAGGAATATTTAATACATTTGTTATAGTATAATTGATGTGTATATTATATAGGCAGTTAATTATATTTTGAAATCAAAAATGGGAGCCACCGATTCGAAACCAATCACCAAGCTTTATGATCACTTCCGATAAATTAATGTTTATAACAACGGTATGTCTCAAAGTAGATGATCTTAGACTTCCCAGAGTGTTAAATCTTACAACATAAACGAGATCCACATCAAAAGCTGATTCTTCGCACTTTAAACATAACAGATGAGGTTCACTTCAAGAAGGCTGTCCAGCAATACCAAGTGAGACACAAGATCAATCATCAAAATGTTCTTAATCTGAGCAATTACTTTTACCAATTTGAGTAATAACTCTGTGGACAATTCTACAAGGTTTATTTACTTTTTGAATATCCAACTGGAAATTTGGAGTTAGTTCCAGCCTTAAATGAAACACAATTAGTTTAGTATTTGAAACAAGCAGTTGCAGGATTAGCATGCATGCAGAAAAATGAGATCTAACACAATTCCTTATAACTCAAATATTTGTATTTGATGGATGAAACAATAAAGGTGACAGACCCAATGTACTTTCAACATAGCACAAATTTTATGCAGGTATTACAAAATCCGAATTGTTTGGAATGCATCTATCTATCCCCAATATTGGTGAAATCAATATAGTTAAACAACTGGTAACCAAAACATAACGAGTACAAGAGTGATGTGTTCACTTTGGGCATGATGTTCCTCCACTTGGCTTTAAATCAACCAAGTTCAGATTGTTACTCATATGATCAAGGCTTATTAATTGAAGATGTTTTGAATAGTAAACTATAAAAATTGAAGCTGAGATATGGACATCAATTTTGCGATTGGATATAGACAATGTTAATTATCAAGGAAGATCAAAGACCAGATTTTTTATAATTGGAACACTATATCAACAACAATTAATAAGTTTCAAATAAATAATAATATATTCCCAATGTTATTTAAAGGCAGATAATCCCAATAATAGATCCTACCTATTAATCTAATAACATATAGACACTACAACAACATACAATTGTTGCTAATACTACAATTCAGCCATGCTTAACTCAAGTGAATAGTGTGTAGTAGATTCAATCAAGAAGGTTTCAATAAGTTCAAAACATTTCACCATTAGAATATGTTCATTAATACACAATTAAAACAGATACCTCATAAAGAAGTCTCACGCCATTAAGCAAGATCTTAGTACCCCAATAATAGTTGAAAGTAAGAGATAACAGAGACAGCTCAGTTCCCAGATTAAGAGGATCAAGATAAAGCAGTAAGGATCCGAATTAGACTTACACTTATGCTGTTCCAACAGTTCCTACTGATTTATCTATTCTTAGTAATAAGAGTGGGTAGGTTAAATAAATATATTTTCCTCCAAAACCTTTATCTAACAAACTCTCAAATACTAGAACTGTTACTTAGTAATAATAATCCAGATTGAATTATACAACTTAATAAGTATAAGAATATCAATTCAGTAGTTAAACGAGTAGCAATATTTAAAAGTAAGCTGCTCCAATTTAATCATTGCAACCTGATTAATGCGATACTCTACAATTCAAACAGCCAAGTGAAACTATTAGTAAGCAGTCTTAATTCGATGAAAATATCGATCCTCAACCAGAAGAAGATGTTGAATAGACAACCTAAAGATAGGAATATTTCAAATTTTCTAAAATTCTTAGTGACTCAACCAATCTTCCTCAATAAATAACAGCAACCCAAACCAAAGAGTTTTCATTGCCATATGATATTCCTTAATTCAAAGCAGACAGTGTCAATCGACCAGAATTTGTGGTTGAACATTATTCAAATGGATCTCGTTATGAGGGGATGAAATCCAATGGCATGAGACATGGACAAGGAAAGTTTTACTATCAAGATGGTGGATTATATGATGGAGGATGGAAGGAAAATAAGATGCATGGAGATGGTAATTAATTAATTACATTCTTTTTAGGAACACTCTATTATGCAACAGGACAACCTGCCTATTAAGGACAATGGAGTGAGGATTAGTTTTAAGGTCATGGAACTCTCTATAATGAGCATCCACAACCACTGTAAGAATCGTTTGATTACAGAGATTTTGACAATGTTGAAGAGTATAATATAATATCCTATATTCCTTAGTTTTTGGATCAAATATAGTGGCAATTTTGATTAGGACAATAAAGAGGGATAGGGAACTTTGTATCTAACCAATGGAGAGCGTTTTGTGGGTACATTCTAGAAGGATTTTATAAATGGTCCTGGAATATTCTATTGTATGAATGGTAAAATCATGGATGGCAGATGGATCAACAACAAACTAGTTTATTGAATTATCTCATTAATTTTTGCATTTACAACATTTGATTAGTTTATTCTCTCGTCTCTCCATTAATAATTTGTCATCGTATTGAAATTTTAAGGGAAATATTAAATTAATTCATGTCTTCAAAAACATTAAAAATATTGATTTATTTAATTTGATGCAGGACCCAGAGCTCTACGTTCGAAATTTCTAGGAAGAAATTAGCCAAAGAAATAAACGCAAACAACCTTAGCAATTTCCTGATGATCAACGATTACATGAACGTCCTAGAGTTAGAAAGATCGAACCTCCTTCTTAGATCATCAGTCAATCATTGCTTAAGAATCACAGTTATGTGTATTACAATCTATATCGTCTAGGGCTGATCCTCTCAAAAATTTTACGAAACCGCTTATCAATTATTAAATTACAAGTCCATCTGGAAGAGAGCCATAGCGATATAATCACAATTTTTTGTATCTCGGACAAGATAATATCTTTCGAAAGGAACCCCACAACCAAATTCAAAAAGATTATGCACCTCAGCGATATTCGCAATAATCCAATGAATAAAGAGTTAATTATTAAAATGTAGGCAATATGCTTGTTGGTGGTGACAGTCAAAAATAGCTATAAACTCAAACACAAGTATAAAATCAGTAAGTGACGTAATCATAATTGTAAAACTAACAAACAGGATATGGATATCCATCACAGCAACAAAATTATTAATATTAATAAGAATAGCAATAACAATAATAATAACAATAGCAATAATAATAACAATTACAATTACAATAATAATAATTGTAATTACAATAATAATAACTTTCTTAGCAATAAGTATAATAATAGCAGTAACAACTCTCGTAATCGTAATTACCAAAACAATAATACTAATAATAACATAATTAATAACCACAATAGTATTAAACATATTAAATACCACCATAAAGTTACCAATAAAACTAGCAATTCTCTTCATAGTATAATCCTTATTAGGCAGGATCACCAAACACATATAAATTGAAAAGTGAAAATAATCAATAGCCTTTCAATTATTATGGGTATATATCAATCTCAATATATTTAGTTCTAGAGCATTAAAAAATTTGGATAGTACATAAATATATTGAATATTTAAATTTATTATTAAATAATTTTATTGTGCATCTATCAAATCCTCTTTTATTGAGACATATTAGGAATATATAATAAAAAATATTTTAAAAAATTAGTTGATTTATTTTATTCCTTTATTATTATATAAGAGAAGCAATGTTTGCTCCTATTCTAATAATAATGTTGTGAATTGAGATTTTATCAAGAAGAAAATTAGAAGCATTAATATATTTTATTCAATAAATTATATCTTATACCATTATGAATTAAGGATACCATTGGAATTAATTGGAAAATAGAGAGCTTAACATAAGAAGTTTATAAATAATGAAAATTATGCATAAATCACCTCTTTTTTATTATTAAATCCTAAAGAAAACGTTAAATTAATTTATCAATTTTTATATTAAAATGAGCATTAATAATTATATATTAAATTAACTTTTGTTACATAATCTTGCAATTTTTCAAAAATTTAAATATCGAATTTTGGTACTATTCCCATATCCTTTAGAGCAATTACAACATTTTTAAGTGTTTTGATAAATATGAATTAACTAAAATTCTTTTTAAAATATTATGTGTTAATTTTAGATAGTTAAATTTGTGAGTATTTTCTTTTGCTTAATTTATTGATGAAAAATTGGTTATGAATACAAGAATTCTGATATTTGTACCCATACTTAATTATCAATATATATTTTAATATTAAAATAAAGATGCATAATCTTACAACATCTCCTAGATGTCCTTTTAAATTTCCCACTGAACATATGAAATAGGATAGTAAAAGCATGACATTTAGAGACTTTATTCAAATGTAGCAAACCAAGGAGGAGTTGAAATCATCATTTCAAGGTCGATAGTTTCAATAGTAAGGCTCTCCGATTAATTCGAAAAAGCAAAGATGGGAAAAATAGTTAAGCACACTCTTACGATAAGACCCATAGAATGAATTATCAATAAAGCATACATCTTAATGTCAAATAGCAATGAAAGATTTCATAAATAAAACAAAGAATTTCCGAAGTCATGAGTAATCTCCTACAAAAACTGCATATCATTTACCAATGATAAGCGATTCCCAAGTCATCGTGCTTCCAAATACCCCTGTCCATTTTAAGTTTATTCCCATACAACCAAAAACAAAGGCATCCAATTATATTGGGTTAAGAAATGTACAAGATTAATTAGAGCAGTTAAAAAGGCCAAGAATACATCCAACCCATAGAGACTTAAAACAGTAACCAATGACTTAGACTGAAATTATCAGCAAATTCTTTGAAACCAAATTTCGGAAGATAATAAAAACTCAGATAAAGTAATATGGGAGTAACGAATTGCTTGATTAACATTCAGAAACACTTTATTCACGCATTATGCTAGATAGATAATTAAAAATGAAATTCTAGGGAAAATCACTAAAATACTTGAAGGATATTTACAAGAGCATTTTAGGAATTGGATACACTTAAGAGATCTTGCTCGACCCATTTAGAATGAGAAGCATCCACGCACCATTGTTTATAAGGAAGGAATAATTTATTAGATTTAAATATCTGTTTATAAATCAATTTATGGACATGGAGACTCCAGTTGAATTGTTATTTAAAGGATGTTATAAATTAGAAAATTTTAAACCATTAATATTAAATTAAAAAAGTGATTTTGAGATATTTGGGGGAGAGTTTGGAATTAACGAAATTGCTAAAAATATGTATGAGAAGATTTTTAAAGATTATACCCTAAGTCCTTATTTCAAGGCTATAGAGCTAGAAGAATAGGCAATTAAATTTGCGAAACTATTTGCTTAATTAATAGATCATACTGAATCACCAAATTATACACTAGAAGTGTTGAGAGAAAGACATGTTAAATACAAGCTTACACATGTGTAATTGGCAAATTTTAAGTTTTATCTATCTACTACACTACAAAAATTAGGAATCAGATACAAACATATCCGAATGTTACTGAGGAAAATGGACACCTACAAGTTTGCGATATTAAATAAATCATCATTATAAGAATGCATTAACAATTCTCCAGGAGGGTACAGAGAATTCATTGAAGGCTTTGTTCGCCTGTGCTCAAGTGAACCAATACTTTTTGATTTAGTTTAAAAAAGGGGCAAATAGAGATTTACTGCCCATTGTGAAAATGTTTTCCATTATTTCTTTAGAGATAACGTCAAGTCAATTACTGATAGTGATATTGAGAGTATTCATAAGAATAAAACTATTATTTCAGAGAAAGTCTTCAAAAAATTCAAAGAGAAGGCCTTGCAAGCGGTAAGCAAAATTACTAACGATCCGATTTTATTAAGCGATTTTGAAGAAGATTGGGAAGAAATCACCCCTATTCTTTTGAATAAACCTAGAAAAACTGCTATTAAATAACTTGGTGGATAGTTTGTTGTCAATAGAATTGCATCTAAACTTGAAAATGAGATTATGTAAAGACCTTTATTATACAAAGTTTTTGAAGTAAAAAGTATAAATAAATAAGGATAATGAATCACCTATTGGGTAAAATCTAAGATGTAAACTCAACTTAATTCTCTATGGACTTCACTTTTATAAAAGAACTGATATTGAGGTACTACATAAAAGATTAAGAATAAGAGAATAACCTTACTTCGAATTTTAATAAGTACATATAATATTTAATAATTTAGGCAATGAAAATAGTGATGCAAGATGAACCTTAAAAGTTATAGTTTGTACTTGATGTAATAGATGATTACAAAAAACATATAGTTTTTGATTGATATCTTTATTGTTCGTATTTTATAATATCTGAATCTTAATAATCTTAATTAATAAATATTTTTTCTAATATAAACTAAAGCTTTTAGGCTTATAATTTATTTAGGGAATCATCAATTGATCTCTTAATCTCACTATCAAAATTTCAAAATGGACAATTAAAAGAAGGATTGGAAAAAATCAATAAATTTTCTAACTTTTTATATTTTCCAATTTTTTTTAAATATAGAAGATCTCATGAGAATTGATAATTTATTATTATTGTAATTATCATAAAAAAAAATATCTATGTAAATAAAGTTGGATTTTGAAAGAAGCAAGGCATATTGATTTAAAAAATTGCGGTAATTTTAGGATATATTCTTATCGCTTAGATTATGTACATTAAATAATAGAATATTTTTATGAATCATTTTAAATTTTCATGTAAAAACTTTGCTGCTAAATCTAAAGCTTATTTAGCTATGGTTTAATTATAAACCTCTGGTCTATCTTAGTTACAAAAAGCATGTCCAACTCCAGGCCAGATTTTCACTTGCAAACTTTTATTTCCTTACTACACTGCTGTTGATTCTAATCTTTTGGCATCTTAGACTGATGAAAATCCTACCATATCATCATTTTGACCAAATTAAGCGAGAATAGGTCCATTCGCATTAGATAATTTGAATGTGCTTAAATCGCAGACTCCATAAAATGGTGCAGCAGCAGAGATGATTTTAGAGGTTGTAATTGATGCTATGCTAAGTGCTCCACCCATACAGAATCCTAAAATTCCTACTTTCTTGCAATGCAAATCTTCCTTTAAATAACGAGCTGATTCTTCTATATCAATTAAAGCTTATTTCCAATCTAATCCAGAAAGTAGATGTCCTGCTTCTTCAGTATCCTTAGCAATTTTCCCTCTATACAAATCAGGTACAACGCACTTAAACCCATAAGTACTCATGATATCAGCTGTTTTACAAATGGAAGAGTTTAGTCCCCACCATTCCTAGATTATAACCAAACCATAAGGAGCAGGTGTAACATAAACAGGAAGTTTTCCACCAATTGTTGTTGTAGGAGTTGCTTTCTGATAAACTAAGGAATACAAGAATCTTGACTTAAAAATGGATCTTTGCATATATAAAATATTTTTATAATAAATTTCACAATTACTATGAAAATACTTATTTAAACCATGTAGCCACTTCCTATAATGCTTATTAAGCTACCTCAGCATTAAATGCTTCAGGCCTGTCTTAATTCATAAAAGCATGTCCAACACCTGGCCAAATTCTTTAATTAAACATTTTACTTACTTCACTTTTATATTTTTTCCAGCCTTTTACCCTGCATCAACTAATCTTTAAGCATCATCTGGAGAGGAGAATCCTTTCATTTCATCCTTCTCCCCAAACTACCCATAAATTGGTCCCTTTATGTTATCTAATTTGAATGTATTCAAATCACAGACACCATAAAATGGAGCAGCAGCATTGATTTAATCTGAAAAAGATAAAGCTGCAATGGCTAAAGCTCCGCCCATACAAAATCCTGTTACTCCAACCTTTTTACATCCCATCTCTCTCAAATGTTTTGCTGCACCTTCAATGTCTTTGACTGCTCCTTCCCAATCTAATCCACCTAAAAGATGACCAGCTTCCTATGATAAAAAATGGTTCACATTACTTCTCTATTCTGGGCAACTTTTCCTCTATAAATATCTGGAGAGATGCATTAAAATCCCATTTTGGCTATCTTATCAGTTGTTTTCACCATCGATTCATTCAAACCCCACCATTCTTATATCACAATAATTCCAAACATAGCATTGTTCTGGCTTAAATATCTGCGTAAGTATGAATTTATAAGTAATATACCCTTCGCCATCAGGTCTTCCTGCAACTTCGAATGTACAATTCTTCTTTGCTGGAGTATGTAGAGCTGGATTTGCTTGCATTTTATAATAATTATATATTTATTTTAATGTAATATAAGTAATGATGTATTATAATAAGTATTACAAGAAGCACTGTTTCTGTGTTCCTGATTCATATCGATATCCGCCTTATTATAGGCTAATTAGTATGATTACTATGATGGGGAAACCTTCTATTAGATGAATCTTCTAAACAGGTCATCATAATCACTCTTAAATTATCAAACTAAGTTATTTTTGAATTAATATCACAACAAATATCGGGGAGCTGAAAGGATGGCTTTCTCACTTAAAAATTTAATTTAGTTAACACTCATAATCGATCAAACATGAAACTCAAAGAAACTTCAAACAATTATGGAGAGTGAATTAAAAATACAATTCATATTTTTTTTAATTGAAATTATTATCAAAACCCATTAACCGACAAACACATTCAATTAATATAGATGATGATATTAATTCAAAATACTTTATTTTAATACTAATATATTTTTTGTGATTAATTTTTATATTTGTTCTATGTAAATGTATTCAATCATTATTCAACTTCGATCCAGCCTCCTTCAACATTACCGCTCTTCTAAATCAATGAAAACTAAAGTGATGAAATTAAATTGTTACATCAAAGCTTGAAATGCAAGCTTGATCTGAGGTGTAAGTAACCTTCTTTCCATTGTAATCAGTACTTTCATATAATGTGACTCTTCCTTGAGGGGGAATTTTAATTGATCTAATCTATGGGGGAATGTTATCCTTTGAGAAATCAGGTGACTTTGAACAGAATTCAAATGATGCTCCTTTGTAATCACATTCACTATAGAAAACTGCGCAGGATTCCTTTGGTTCATACCATAATTTGAAATCTCTGAAACCCCAAGATTCTACAAGATATTATATTTTTATTACCATCAGCAGCATCTTAATTTAAGGTGGATGTAAATATCACTTCTGCCTTTGGAGCTTAGTGATTGAAGATTTAATCTACTCCAGTAATACCATCAAACCAAACTCCTTGTCCACAGAAATTGGCACCTCCAGTTTAGAGATTCCATGAAGTTTTCCATACTTCAGTGCCATCAACTTTAATTATCATGAATTCTCCATCCCAAGAATCGATTTTGTAGATTGTAGATTAGAGTCTGAGTCTTTTGTGTGGGGGGATATCAAATGTTTTAGTAGCACTAGCACCAACACCCATAATATCAAAACCTCCAACCATAGATTTACCACTGCATTCATTAATTTGTTTTCCTCCTTTATTTTTATTAAGAACCCATCCGTTGATTCCTGTGAACTTATCTTCCAAAAATGATTATTCTAAAAGTATGAAATTTGGTAATGCTTAGCATTTTCCGCCAACCAAAGCCCAATTATTTTCACATTCTAAATTTACATAAAAAATGATAATACTCTTGCAATCAGATTCTTTAGGTCCTGTACATTCAGCACAGTTTTCAGAGCAGGCAGCATAGAAGATGTATAGATCTCTCAAGCCAAATGATTCATTGTTTGGAGCCTCGTTTAAGGTTGTAGTGAACTCAACTTTTGCTTAATCACCAGTGTGATCAACATCAACCTCAGTTCTGGCAAACATTGATTTCCATTCAAAGATAGGACAACCACATATCTTACCAAAATAACCCTCATGCCATTAGAATCTTCTTTCCCAAACCAATTTTCCATCAACTTTTATTTAAGCTGCTTAATTGTCCCAAGAGTCAATCTTAGCCCAAAGCACTTTAATTTTTAATTTGTAATGAGGGTTAACTTTTAGAATTTTACTTACAACAGCTCTAGCTCCAGTCTTATCAAAGCCACCAAATAAAGCGACACCTTTTTTAAAATTATTTAAAAATTATACCTCCACAATTAGTAGCTGTTTTTTATCCACCTGCAACTTCCCAACCATCGGCTCCTAATTAGTTAGAATCTAATGATCCCCAACTGGAAGAAAATGATTACCAGAATTCACAATTTTCACGCTTGTCATCAACTTAGCAAGCCGAGCAACCCTCTGGACATCTTTCTACTGACAATACAAATTCTCTTATGCCCCAAGATTCCTATTTCCTAATATCAAAAAGATACATTATCAGCAGCTTCATTCAAATTTGATGTAAATACAACCACAGCGGTTGCACCAGTGTGTTTTACGTTTAGATCAAGATTGAGTATCATTTCTTTCCACTCTCCACCTTATCCGCACTTCTATCCATCACCTTCGTTAAATTTAAATTTTCTTGACCAGACAAGTTAATCATCAACAAAAATGTATCCTTCTTCATTATCCCATGAATCAATCCTAAAATTATAATACATAAGAATATTACTTCCAGAATTATACTTTCAAATTAATTGAAGAATGAGGAGGTAGTTCAAATAATTTGCTTGCAACAGCTTTCCCACCAAGTTTACCGAAACCTCCAAACATTTTGGTTCCACTACATTCTGTTATATGAGGTAGTCCACCAGCTACCACCCAACCTATCATTTTACTTACTGAAATTACCGTCAGCATCTGTAAAATCGTTTCCTTAAAATGACTAGGAGACTAACATTGGCTCTCCTAAGACACTAACAGAGCAGTAGACGAAAAATAATAACAAAATGGATAGGTTTTTCATAAATTTTAATGATTCCTTATCGGTTCACAGCAATAGTTAAAAAACGATTTTTTTATATTGAATTAATATTAAATCAGATATTTAAGCACTTACAGAATATAATACGTATTTTCAATTAATATTCATTTTTTTTAAATTTTATTTTGATTAATTCTGTGATTAATAAATTTTATGTACATTTCTTGTATTCGGGTAATCTGCCATCATTCTTAGATAAAATAATCTCAATATAATTTTGTAGAATACATCATAAAGATTGAGTTGATTTGGGTTAGGCGAGTGAAAAAACAATTCGCAACCTTTGATTTGAAAATTCCAATATTTAAAAAAAATAGAGATTACTAAGAAAAATAATAATAATGCATGTAATGGTAAATTACTCTAAATTTAAATTCAAAGTTGTTCATACATAAATATATTTAATATTATTCATAACTTTAAGTAATATATAAGTATAGTGACTTAATTTCTCCAATTTAAGTGAATTTTTATATTTGGTCTTTGAAAAGAAAGTTTCTCCATTTAGGGAATGAATGTTTGAAGTTTAATATATTTTAGGGGGAAAGTCAGATAACAATAATTTAAATATACAAAAACTCAAGAAATCAATTAGACTTATAGTAAAATTGATGAAATTGAGTAATTCTTAAATAATGAATGGATTTCTATAGCAAGCACTCGTTGTTAAGTTTATATTTTTTATCGGTTAATTAATTTGATTTTTTCCATCTCCAAACTTTCTACTATGGAATCTTTATTTTAACAGTTTCTAAGGTAATTAAACATAAATTTACTCATAAAACATTTAGTATTGTATCAATTTAACTCTTTTGGAAAAATTATATTTCTACCTCTTATTTACTTTAATTTATTTTTTATTTACATATAAAATAATTTCTTACAAATTTAAAAATTAAGAGTAAACTTATTGATACCTTTAAATATGATTATAACCAGCTCTAAAATTATTAAGTTAATAAATTCATAATTTTAAAGGATTATCCCAAGGCATAAGTTTATTTTCATTTTATAATATAAGCAAGGGAATCAAAGTAATTTAGCACATTTATTAAAATACTCATATTTACATTTACAAAAGGACAATTTTACTAATAATATAATGAAATAGAAAGGATACTTGCTAAAACCAATAAGTAAATCCAACTTTTTTTTATAATAGAATTCCATAATTCCATTTATTATAAAACTTTCAAATATTTTAAAATTATTTTTCTATTTATATTCTTATTTATAGCAAAATACCTTAGAATTTTTAACTTAAATATGTGTTTGATAGTTTGGTCGATTTCAATTTTCGCCTTAATCAAATAAAATATTTGTCAATAAGAATTAGAGTAATATTAATAATAAATCTATGATACATTTTTATATACTTTGAAAAAGGAATGTAAGTAAATAATAAAGTTTAGCATAGAAATTGATTTATTTATAATATTACACCTTTTGACTTTAACATTTTTGCATTCAATTAGAATATTTCATAAAAAAAATCTCAATAAAAGTATAAAGTGGTGATGTTCAAATTTTAGAGAGTTTTTGAACAACTAGTTTTTAAAACAGATTAAAATGCAAATAATATGGATATTTATAAGTTTCAAGCAAGTCAAAAGTATATTTTTAATTAATTAGTAGCACGGTACATTACCTATATTTTGAATCTTAATATGATTTGAAATTTTTTAGGAACATGTTCAATTGAGTACCATATAGAGTCACATTAATTATATAAACTTAGGTAGCAAATAAGATTTTCTTCAAATGAAATAGAGCTCTTGCACTAAAAAAGACAAAATGAATATTTGAAATATGGAAGATATTATGACAAAGGTTGTTTATTCTAACATAATCAATAGGTTATCGAATAATTTAATTTATTAATAAGCAATAATTTAATCAATTTTATGGTTAATAATAAAATTAGATCCCGAATCTATTGATTTCTTTTTGAAAGAGCCCAAAAACAAATTTTATTTCATTGAGTATTCTTCTAAATAAGTGCTATTTCTTCAATCTAAAGCATTCTTTGCTTAATATCTTTACAAATAAAAAAAAAAACCAAATAGAATTTTGAATTAAAATCTTGAATTTTCAGGAGTTTAAAATTCATAAATTTGGAAAAATAAAATATAATAATTTATGTAAGAACAATTAAATTTAAGATGTGAGGGGTATAATATTTAATTCGTTTCTATGGATAATGAAAAACTTATCAGCTACAAAGCTAAATTAATAAATGAATATTTAGTTAATGACTTAATGATGGAAGGAAAATATTTTAGAGAAGTTGTCAAATAAATCGATGATTAAACCTTTCTTGTGAAACATCCAAGGGGGTAGACGTTAGAATAATTTATTTAAATGAGTAACTCGATTCCAGAAAAAATCATTGAGACTATCTTGGTTTAAATTCTTGAAGGATTAGCTACTCTCTACAAGTTTAGGATCCCAGGGAGATGTTTTAGTATTTACAATATAACTTGGGATGGAACTAATATTACTATGATGAATTTCGGTTTATATCCTGAGATTTGTGAAACACTAATAAAGTATAATCATAATTTGGATACTCTACTTTTAGGAGAGATAGCTTACTGTTTGATAACATGCTCGACAAATGTTAAAAAAAACTACATAGATGCTTTGATTTCTCCTCCAATATCACAATCATTAAAATAATTAACTAGTCGAATGTTAAGTCCAGAGAATGAAAGGATTTAATTGTGGGAAGTAGCAGAAGATTTTAAAAATAATATGTCTGAGGATGCTTATAAATTTTACATAAATAAGTATTAAAATTGTTGTAAAAGTGTTGATTAAATCATAGAAGATAGAGAATCATTAGCTTGTTCAACAATTGATATATCTGATTAACTAAAATCGGATTAGTTCAAAATTCAAGAGGATATGAGTTACCTATTATATTATAACAAATAAATAAATAAAGACTAGATCATTTGGGATTAGTTACATGATGAATTATATAGGATTTACATTTTGACAAATTTAAAATAAATAATTGACGAAAAGTATAAGGTTTAAGAAATATCGATATACTTGGATTAGTTAAAATTTATTGTTGATAAAACAATCTTGATAGTAATGTGTCAGTTTCAAAGATTATTGTCAGCCCAATTTTCTAGCGAATCTTTTTGCCAATTGAGAAAGATTTTAAAGGATAAGGTTTATTGTGAAAGGTAATTTTTCAATGCACATGATATAGAAGCCATCAAAGGTTCTACTAAGGTAAAGAAAGATACTGGAAAACACTTTCAAATGGTAATGGATTATAATTATTGAATTTAGGAAATTTTCGAGGAGGACTTTAATGATATAAAATTAGCCTTTAGAAGTTATGTTTTAAATGTGTATCGATTTTATTAGAAAAATGCTTAAAATTGCTAGGATCCCCAAGAAAAATGGGAACTATCTAAAATTTAATTTTAAGTACTCATGGCTATAATTTTGAACTAAGTAATGAATAATAAGGAAATTCATTTTTAAACTGTTAAGAAAGTTGTTGGAACAGATAACATAAGGTTGAACGATATAGAAATTAGATTTTTTAAATATGCTAATGCCGAAGATATTTAGGAATAAATTTCTGAAATACATAAAATATATTTTTCTAAGTGATTAATCATATAAGATAATATAAATATCATAAGAAATTTGAGTATAGATTATTCGAAATATTGGAATCTAACTCATGTCGACAGAGGGGGCAACGAGGATCTTTCAGTAACCATTACATGCAGCACTTGGAATGGAAAAAATGATTCAAATGACAGGGTAACTAGATTATAGTATCGTTTTCATTAATCTCTTGATAACAAATAGGGCTGATTATATACCGATAAATACCACGTTACTAAGTTATCTTAAATGTTTTAAAATTTTTCTTTGTAGGACATTTCTTTAATCATAAATAACATTTTTCCTATGATTTTCCCTTTGTAGTGAAAATGGAATTCTTTTTTTTTGATTGAATATATAAAATAAACAAGTAAAAGCACAACAATTATTATAATTTAAATTATCCAACTCAAGATTAGTAATACAATTTGAAGTTGTAAAAGGGGGTTAGTTCTAACGAATAAGAGATGGCAATTGTTGAGAGCTTAATAGGTGTTAAAATAATGAAGTAATTTCAAAACGACTATATATTTCGAAAACGACTTTTGTTGCAGCGTGTAAATTATCATGCATCCATTAAGTGGTTTAAATAGAGAGACAAGTTCCTAAATGGTAAAGAAAGTTAGGCAATGATTCAACTCAAATAAATTGATCTATTAGTCATAGTCACTAATTTCAGAGTATTTCAAATCATCGGTCAGAGCACTAATAAATTTATATAACATACTGTAATATTGCATATAATATAAATGCAATAACATCATAGAAAAAATTAATGATTATAAAATGTTCTTGTGATTTGTCTTGAATTTCTTTATGATATACCAATGTGAAAATAAGTTTAAAGGTATAATAGCAACAAATGCATAGACAAACGATGTTAGCCTCTTTTTAGGCTAAATCAAATTTAGATAGACTCTTAGACTTGTTCTGGCTTTAGTGTTAAAATGTATCTCCATCCAAAGGGATCACCAAAAGTTCAACACCAATCATATCGAATGATAAATTATAATTATTTACAATCTCGAATTATAAATTATTTGTACGATTAAATTTAATATATATTACAATATATGACTTATTAAACAGTTGTTTCGGTTCGTACTAATGATTAATTATGACAAATTTTATTAGAATTAATATTATTTAAATGATGCACTTATATGAACATATGTCAACCTTTAAATTCTATTAATGCCTCGGTAATTTTAACTTCATAAATGATTAAGCTTGCTTCAAGATCTATTAATATTTTTATGCAGCAATCAAAAGTTCCATTTGCTCATTACAAAGTGCCAGAAGCCAAAGAAGATTCTTATGTTACTGGATTGAAACTGGCCAACTCGTTGAAAGGTTCTGAGTTAGTGCCATTTATCCCAATAAATGGTAGACAAGTGAAGTATTTTCAAAAATAATCCAAAGCTTCTATTATTGTGGTCCCACTGTGTATAGTAATTCTCATTTGGGTCATGCAAGGTATTGTTAGTTATCTCATCCCTCACTAGAACCTACTTAGGAATTGATGTAATAAGAAGGACCTTGAGAGACTATTTTCACTATGATCTGCTGAGTGTTATGAACATTACAGACATAGATGATAAGATTATCACAGGAGCTAATGCCGCAAAACAGGATTTCCTTGAATTTACAAAAGTATGGGAGAAGGATTTCTTTGATGCCATGGAGGCTCTGAATATTGAACTTCCTGATGTAATCACTAGAGTCAGCGATTATGTTCCTGAGATTGTTACTTTCATTTAAAAAATCATTTCAAATGGGTATGCCTATGAAAGTAACGGCAGTGTTTATTTTGAAGTTTAAAAATATATAGCCGATGGAGTATAAAATTATAATTTGATTTTTTAATTAGCACACCTACCCAAAGATGAGACCAGAAGTGAACGCTGAATTACTTTAGGAAGGAGAGGGTGAGTCCTAAGTAAATAAGTAATCAGAAAAGAAAAGTCCATATGACTTCGCATTATGGAAGGCAAGTAAACCTGAGGAACCAAAATGGCAAAGTCCTTGGGGAGAAGGCAGACCTGGATGGCATATTGAATGTTCTGTTATGGCTAGTGCAATATTGGGAAACCCAATCGATCTACATGCTGGAGGTATTGATTTATTGTTCCCACATCATGATAATTCTTTGGCATAAGCTGAAGCATGTTTTAATTGTGAGCAATGGATCAACTATTTTATACATCTTGGACATTTAAATATAGCCGACAGAAAGATGTCAAAATCCCTCAAAAATTTTATGACCATCGAGGAAGTTCTTAAGAGATATACTCCTAGACAAGTGCGTTTGAACTTCGCAATTCATCAATATGATGCTCCTCAAAATTATTCAGAGGAACAAATGGAGCAGGCTATTGCAAAGGATAAATCATATTAGGAATTCTTCTAAAATACAAAGATCTATCTTAGATAATCTTAGGTAACTGATGCTTAAAAGTGGACAGAAAATGACTTTCAGTTAAGTGCTTTGTTTAGATCGACTAAGCAGATCATTCATTAAGCATTAACAAACAACTTTGATTTTCCAACAGTTGTGGATGCCACTGACAAATTAATAAATTAGGTTAATATTTAGATCGCAGCTAAAAATGTCAGAGCACCACTTATTAGCAGTGTGGTTAATTATGTTAACTTTATTTTTGGAGTAAGTATTGTTGTAATACATTGTAGCTTTTGGGAATTAATTACCAAACATTATTTTCAAATCAAATAGATATCCAGCCATTGATGGAATAGGTTTGCTCTATAAGAGATAAAGTGAAGGTGGCAGCTAGAAACAATGATTTTGAATCTATTACTAATGCTGTATCGTAAAAGTAATTAGAATATGAGAAGAACATTTCAAACCACTTGGTAGATGCTATCAACCAATTTTAATAAGAAGTATTGGTTGCATCTCAAAACAAAAACAAGTAATAAATATTTTAGTTATGTGATAAACTCAGAGATTAACAATTATTCAATTTAGGAATCAAAATAGAAGACAAAGATAAAGATTAAGTATTAATTTTATTATTATAAATTAGGCTTCAGTTTGGAAATAATATGATGTTTAAGAATTGAAATTGGAAAGAGAATAACAATAGGTTCTACTTTAATAAAAGGAACAATAGAAGAAAAAAGAAGAATAAGAGAAGCTGGAGAAGGCTAAACTAAGTCCAAAAGAATTCTTTTCTTAGCAAGCAGATAAATATTCAGAATTTGATGAAACTGGCTTACCAACTAAAGATAAGGATGGAAATGAATTATCTAAGAAATAGAAAAAGGTGGTTTAAGAGTTATGGGAAAAATAGAATAAGTTGTACAATTCATATTTAGAATAATAAAAACAGTAGCAATGAAACAATATTAATGCTTTATAAAATTAATATATTAAATTAAAATGATAATCATATTAAATTTGTTATTTCTTATGGTCAACATTGAAGGCAGCTAAGGAGAAGTCATATCAACACTTGGCTATTAATTGACTAAGAATGGACGAGAATTTTAAAATAATTAAGGCAAAAAATTTTCAATTAGTGAATCGTGCAAATAAATTGAAATTGGAAACCCAGACTTAAATTCAAAGGTCGATTCAAACTCCTATTACTTTTTGGTAAAATTAACTTGTAATGATATTGTGGATGACGAGGAGTTTTTTAATTAAGAGAGAGATGTTGGAAATTCAACTATTGAAAAGAAGGGGACATCTGATCTTTCTCCTTATCAATGCACACTGAATGTAACTTTAGATAATTCTGAACACTGTTGTTGTCCAGAACGAAAAAAGTAAATCAATATTTAAATTAGTGGTTTTCAATTAAAAATCCTGAATTGACAGCCATCATCATCATACCTATTCTGACGTTTTTCTTATTAATTGGTGGTTGTTTATTTTGCTTAAAATAAAAAATTAAAAAGGCAGAGTACATCATAATAGAACAATGATAATATACATAATATCATTTTTATTATTAATTTTCATCATTTTTAACTTCTGTCACGGATTTAGAAAATCTTAGCAAATCAACTTCACTAGTAACAAATGATTTTAATAGCGATTGCATTTCCTCTTGCTTTTTCTTAGCGATTTTTTACTGAGTTGTTAGTTTTTCATTAGGTTTGAATTACATTTGTAAATCTGGATCATTGATTAATTGAATTGCTCTAGACATTTTTAATGCTGTCTGTTCTTCGATCTTATTTGCTTACATTAAGGCAAAGCTAGTATTCAAATAGATATACATACTTGACAGTAGATTTCATTTGCTCATTAGTCGTTCTCATATTCTTTAATCGAGTAGTTTATCTTGAGAAAAAGGCATTGTATCTATCGATTTATTAAGACTGCAATCTCTATAATTATTAACGATTTTGTAGAAAATTAAGAACTCTTTATTAAGAAGTTTCTTTTCTCAAGATTGTCTCTTCTTATAATTTTTTTTCTTTCCTTACAATAACCTCAGCAACATCACGCGATTCTATTTTATGCGGATGATCTTATTGTAAATTCTATTTAACTTTTTTGAATTTTTCACTATCGACAGACTTTTTAGTTTGTATCTATTCAATTTGTTTGGCTAATAAATTATTAATTATTGGTTATTATTTTGAGTATTTATTGATTACATTTTCTAAATTTTTTTCAAAGTCATCTGGTACTTATCTCCTGCCAAAATCTTTATGCGATTCAAAATGGACGTCAACAATGCCTATTAAATTGAATATTAGATATCTATACGTCTTTATTCTAATTTCAGTTTCATTTTTTCAAGATATTCTTCATATTTTTAATTTTATTTTTCTTGGAAGGAGTGTTGTCTTTGCTTTTTCATTTATCTTGCATTTTTCATGTGTTCTATTTGATTTCTTCTCATCTCTTCGAGTTTATGTATTTTCTCATCTCTTTGATAACATTAATTAAATACATCAATGAAGCATTTTTTAGTAATTCAGTTCTTTTGTTAATCAAATCATCTTCTTACTTCTTTTTCATTTTGTGATTACTCTTTAATTTCTCATTTACGATCTCCAAATGTTCCTTTACAGGTTAAATTTTATTATCATAATCTGTTTTTAAGGCTTTTCTAACTTTCTCTATTTTATCATCTTGTTATAATTTATAATCAGTTCTCCTCTTCTCTACATCCAATTGAAATAATAATTATTTCTGATAAATTTATTTTTTCTTCTACAATTTGTCAGACATCATTTGAATTCTTGACTCAGCATATTATTTCGATTCATTATCCACTCCAAAAGTACGTCCAATCTCATTCTAAATTCCAAACTATTCAGACTTCTCAATTAAATCATGTCTTCTTTTAACCTTCCTCTTCTATTGGATAATTTAATAACCCCACTCTATTTTTGTAATCAATATATACTTGCAATTTTGTAAGCATAATATTTGAAGCGTAAGGCTTAGACTTATGGATCAGGATCATAAAAATCAGAGAATTTCACAATTCTAAAAAATTCTAAATCGATGCCAAGTTATTGACCCAAGAGTTATGTCTAGGGACTTAAAGGTTGTAAACACTCAATGAATTTGTTTAGCTGATCAACAGCTTCATTGGCTCTGCCCTCCTTTATTAAATTGAGAGCATCCGGGAGACTGAAATTCATTATTTATATTATATAACTCAGTCTTTCCTGAAGAAATCAAAAGGCTTTTTACAATTCGGGCACTCATCTCCTTCTTTTGGTTCATCACACAATATGCATTCCCGTTCATAATCTATTAAAATATAGCCTGTTTTCTATTACCTTTCTTGATTATGCGAGGCAAGAGTTCCAATTCATACAAGATCTAGAATTCATCATACCCTCCAACAAAGATATTATTGATGGTGACGAATGGCAACTGATAACGATTCAAAATATCCTTGACCCACCCTTGGGCCATTTTATTATCGACCAGATCGAATTTATAGAATTTGATGTTCTTGACTTTCAACATGTGAAAGAGTTGCATTTGGTCGCTTCTGATCTTTTAATTTGTGGCTATGGAAGAGTAATATGCAACCACAGGCTCTCTTTTAGATTTTACTGTTTGTCGTATGGCCTTAAGAGTTTTGTACTTCTTCCAAACTAATTAAATAGAGAGAGCTGAGATATTTTTGATCTCATTTTCCAATTATTGCTCTTCATCGACCTCTTCTTAAGGTATTTGATCCATTTATAAATTAAATATTTATATAATATTAATGCATTCTCGATTTAATCATTAGGATTAGATTTGGATCAAAACTTAATATTGAAATTAACAGTATTTCGAAGATAACTCATTTTTATTCCTTCTAGAAGGAGATTGTCGGAAATCTATATTGATTGTTAATTGTAATAATATTATTGTTCATTTGGGTTCAGTGTGTCCAACGCTTTTGCTAGCCTCGTAATAGCCAAATTCAGATGGCAATCTATAATTGCCAGGAGCAGGTGTTTAATCTGATTATAATCCAATTATTTACTTTTTTCATTAGATCCTGTTCTCCTGGCTTCTTTAGGAAAGCTTCTCACATTCGAGTCGTGGAATTTGGATACAAAATATCTGCCATCCTATTTAATAGTTGAACTATTATACTTATTGGATTCCTGTCTTGTCAAGTCCATATTATCCTGGACCTGGTACTTTAGTAGCTAATAACATAAGAGAGGGACTCATTCTTACAATAATCAGTGGTAAATCTTTTTGATGATTTTGGATTGAATAAAGTAGCACACGAATTGTTATATTTTGAGATTGGATATCTCCCCTTTTCATTGATAGCTGGTAATGATTCATATTATCCTGGTCCTGGGACTTTGGCATTAGAGATTAATGAGCTTTTTTATGGTTTAGGTCTCATAGTGTATCTAATATCACTCAATGTGTTTCCCAAGTCGTAAGTTCCAGGTGCTATTAGGTTTAATTGATGAGTTTTAACCTGGAGTCTTGAGATTTAGGGTACCAAGAATGCCTGTGCTGGCCATTTTATCTCTACTCACACCAAATTTATATCCCTTGTTCTTTTTCAGATTATTTTAAACATCACTGCCCAAATCATATTGCTAAGGAGAGGGACTTGGAACAACCACTTTGGTGAAATCAATCCTGTGATTTAGTATTATTTAATACTTGCTGCCTTTGCCAATTCCTGCTGATCTTTTTTCTATCATTGCGGGAAGATTGTAAAATGCTTATTAGCAACTAAAATTGACATCACAATTAATTACAATGTGGGATTGGCTAATTTGCCAAATCTCTCTGATTTGGAGAAAGTCCACAAATTCTTTGAAGGACTAAGGTTCAAAGGGGATTAACAAATCTATTGGCAGGTCGAAACAGTTATTGACATTATAAAATTATTATTGTAAATCAATATGGACGAAGCTGTTTATAATACTAAAATCTATTTCGCTCCTATCGCAGGTTATAATATGATAGAGTATTCTTTGGGTGTATTTCTATAGAACTAATTTTGATTTACGAAAAAGTATAAAATTTAACCAATGTGTCAAGATATTTAAGTCAGAAATTAATCTAATAAATTTTGTTTAAAAAAGACTGAGAAAATAAACTATAATTACTATAGATAATGGAAATTCAATGTCTAATAATTCAATCATCAGAAGTCCGCAAGGGAAGGATTAGTATTTATAATTATAAAATTCAATAATTTTATGATTTATGGTGTAAAATTCAAACAACCTAAGAGGTATAAATTCTATATATGTCATCAAAGGTTGCTAGCTCTTCCTCCTTTTGTTTTCTAAGTTCCAAGTAATGTTAATATGAATCATTGTAATCCTAAGAATAAGTATTCGATAATTACATCTGAGCTAACTTAATAAGCTATATCGATTTGCTTGAGTCTTGCATTGCATTGTCTGGCAATACCAACTCTGCTGGTCAATTGATTTGTGAGTTTGATCTAGAATTATATAAAATTAGTACAAGGTTTTCTTTTTCTCCAGCAATTTGCTTATCAAAGTGTTGATTTTCCAATTCAATATGTAATTTAAAGTCAATGTAGATCATAGAACTTCTAACTTCATCTTCTTATTCCAAATCTAGTGATTTTTTGGAATGTTTTTCAATTGCATCCAATACTTTTCTGATATCCTAGAAATGAATTAAAAGATATTTATACGCTTAAATCTTCTTCTTCTTCTTGTGTTTATTTTTAACCGCCATTATCTTTATTATCTTATTTTGAATCTCCACCATTACTGTTATCTCCATTATTATCACCATTGTTATCTCCATTGTCATTTCCATCATCATGTGATTCTTCTTCTCCGGTTGGACTGACGGGTTGTTCATCTGTTTTACTATCATCATTAGATTCTTCTTCTCCTGCAGGTTCATCTGTATGTTATCCATTGTCTTCTCCAGAATCTTCTTCTCCTTCAGCCTCTTCTTCTGTGTCGTCTTCCTCTTATTTTGGTTCTGGCTTTGGTTCTGGCTTTGGTTATGGTTTTGGCTATGGCTTGGGTTTTGAAGGTCCTCCTTATGTTCCTGAACCTCCTCCATTGGTGAATTTAATGTGTAAATCATCATCACCACCTGTGCCATCATCATTTTAGACAACAATAACAGTGTTAATAGAATCATCACATTGACTAGGAATAAGGACAACTGCACTATCAGCCTTATCATCACCATCACTTGATGATATGACAGTAGTCTATTATTATTGAAGGAGCACTTTATTGGCATTTCTCTTTCCTCTTGTTTGAGTAAGTGCTGATTCAGTAAGATCTTATTCGTCGCCTTCGATGCTTGGTAATACGTAGGAACCATCCTCATTCATTTAAATTTGTTCAACCATAGTTAAGAGCTTGCCTGTTTGATAGATCTACACGAATTTGTGTACTTTTTATAAAAATTCTTGTTTTTGGGCAGGTGTAGCATTAGAATCAAGTTTGTCCAATTATTCTCTCAAGAATTTGACTAAAGCTAATGCAATTTTGTAATTCTTGATATCATGTACGTAATTGTTGCTTGCTTAACATCTAATGATAGATGATGTATGTACCTATTAACTTCCAAAACACCTAATCTTTGAGAATTCAATCCTTATCTTTTTTACATCCAAGCTACGAAATCATTAGTTATTTTGATATCCCTCTATTTGCTTTAAACATCTTCATCTTTCTTTGCGCATTCACTTCTTTGCTCTGATGCTGAGAAACCTAAGGCATCTATAATCGATTGCTTATTTTTCTTATGCAATTCCCAAGCTGCATCCAAAGCCTCGATGTCTAATTACACATTAGTTTTCAAATCTGTCAACAGTTGTTTGACAGTATCAAGATCTGAATTTGCATGCAACGAATACATGCAAAGAGCCACTATAATCAGTGTCCACTTCATTATATTATTAATAACACAAAACAAAAACGGATTTCCCAATCATAATTGCTTTAAAAGTTCATAATATAATTGTTTGCTTCTCTCATTCACCTGTTATGGAATCTCCAAGTTTAAAATCACTATATGGTCTCTCTTCTTCCATTGCTATTCCCCATTTTGAATTCCATACAGTGAGATTTACAACTTGGTCCTAGGCAATTATGCCCTTGGAATCGAAACCTACTTTATCAATCAATGTCCCAACCTCTAAAGCTCCCAAAATAGTTTGAATCTGCCTCTTACCTCCTCAAACTATCTTGCTCACACTCAACTCTAAATCACTTATGATATTATTACTATCTCTCCTCAATTATCATCCTCTTGAACTTCCACCTCAATCAACAAATCTTCTGGTTCTCCTGAGCATTCATTCTACTCTACTATCAACTAAATTAAATACTGCATGACCATAACTTGACTATCTGATTATGGTTCCATTTTTCATTCCCTTTGCTAATTCTATTTCAATATCGAATTCTTTTTCAACTATTCCACTCCCCTCGCATATTTTACAAGGGTCTCTGACTACCTTACCCCATCCATCACTCTTAGTACACTTTATTTCCATCGAACTACCTCTATCTGAACAACAATCCTAATCCACCACAAGAAAAACATTTTCAAGCTGATTATCCTGATACACATCTATTATAAGTTTCACATGATTTCTATACTCTTTATTATAGTTTATGCTTTCCCCCAAAAACAGTATCTGGGAAACTCAATTTAAATTCTAATTGTATATCATCTATTTTTTTCTTTTCATAATATGCTCTCTTTATACCATGCTTCTAATGGAGGAATTGATCGAACTCATTGAATATTGACTTGTATTCTGCTAAATGAAATTTTGAATAATATTTACCCTTGGATTATTTCCTCCTTGCTTTTTATTAATAACAATTAGAATTGCCTCTCAACTCATCTTTAAAATCTTAATCATTACTATTATCACAAGTATCATATATTTTTCTTTTATTTAGAAACATTATTACATCATCCTATCGAATCTCGTAAGCATTATTCACCTGAGTGAACATTATAGCAGCATCCTTCTGTGAGTTATTATCAGGAGGACAGTGCTAAGCCTAATTATAATATGCTTATTTAAATTCTTGTTGTGAAGCACCCTTATTTATACCTAAAACTTTATAAGGATTAGAAATAGTTGAAAATGTATAAAATAACTTTTTAATCATTGCTAATTATTTAATCACATTATTTATTATTTAATCACATTATTTATGAATGTTAAGGTGATATAAGATCCTCTCTGTTGGCTATTATACTAACATCTTGTTTGATTAAGAGATGTTAAGTTTTAAGGCCTACAAATCTGGATTAGAAATTGGAATTTTGGGATCCAAGCATTTACGAATTCTAGGTTTCATTTAATTTGGTCTTGGATCCAACAAATCTCGATTGAAAAACTGGTTATCTATAATTTTGTTGGTTTAATTGAGTATTTGGATTGAATTGAGTTTGGGATGGATAGGCCTAGTAATTAGTATTGAATTGTTATTCAAAAGATGCATTGACCTCTTAAGGCCTTTATTTTTATTGTGCTTCGTATTGATCCTGAATCCGTTGCTGTGTTGAAACAACCTACTAGACTTTGGGTGCATTCAAAAACACAGTTTTGGAATTGGATTTATTCATATAATAATTCGTTGTTTCTAGATGGGTCTCTTCTTAGTAAATCTTATTCTTAGGTTTGTATTGTTTCCTTAAGAGACTTGAGATTTGCACATCAATTGAAGAAGAAAAAGGCATTACTTTTTGGAGTTAATTGATTTGCTCCTAGATTTTTTTGGTTTCTTGTTACTCCTTTATCAAATACTCAACTTCACTAAAGTCATCCACATGAGGTGGCCAATAATCATATACATTTGGTGCTCTGCCTCCATGTCTTTATTCCAATTATTTGGGTTTGATATAATTGAACATCAATGAAAAATCATTCGTTACGAATTCAATCTTGTGTCTCGAATTGTAAGGAATAAATTATTCAACAATCTACCAAGTAATCTGTATAGATGTCTATGGTTGTAAGATGAACATTCGTTCCAAATAGCAAGGAAAATTTAGCTTTAACATTTCGAAAATCTGGTTCAAATGCTATCATATTTGAGATGGAGGAATACAGTGAATGGAACAGAAAATGCAGTTGTGTTCTTGGCTTCAACAATCACAAACCAACTCTCCACCTTCCCAGGCACTAACATGTAATCTTTAACAACCATGAGTACAATTGAAATTGCTCTCAATATGTCATCTATTGGATAGATGGTGATGTCAAACTTATCCGCATTTATCACTATTATTGGCTTGAATCCTTGTCCTCGACCACTGACGTATATTGCCCCTTATTTCTAGTGAGTCATTAAATAGAAAATACTATCATTTCCTCAGTGTTGAGAGACCACTTGAAATTGTTTGGGTCTGAAAGCCATTATTGATGATTTCGCATATGCTATGTATAAGTGTATATATACTTACTTTAATTGCTTAAGGGAAATCAAAATGATTAGCATATAAGAATCTCAATATTATTTCATCTGTGAGTAGATCCCTCTCTTCTTCAATCTCTTTCTTAAATGCATCTAGTTATTACTTCTCATAAATGTCATATTCATGTTTACTACCTTCATCTATTCCAAAGATCTTTCTAATTGCATTCTTTCCAGTTCCCCTTTTCACATCACTTCCTTTAAAATACTATGTCTAAATTACTTTCTAATTTCAATGAATCCTTGTCAGATTATTTTAATCGTAGTCTCTCAAGATTATATTGACTATAAATTTTATTCATCCCAAAATTTGAATATTTTACAAATTAAATATTATTCTCAATTTAAACTATCGTATCAAGATCAAAAGCAGTCGCTAAAAAACTTGCCTCAAATCTTTACACTCTAGAACCTATCCCAATACTCTTTATCACATGATAAAATATAAGAAGGATTCTTAAAATATGAATTCCACATTTTTAGTAATCATAGTCTTACCAATAAGTTTATTTTTTAACTATTTTATATAGGGTTCAAATTAAAATTAAAGAACTGAAATCGTTTGTTCTCATGAACAATTAAGTAGATTCTTAATTAATTCTTTAAGATGTATTAGAACTCTATTATGCATAAAATCAAATCAATTTGATTGTCACAAGTGCTATGTTTAAATGAATGTCAATCTCTATCAAAATCTTTTTATAATCAGGGTTAAATTGATGATGAAGTGTTAAGTCTTACAATTCCCAATAAAATCTAACAAAAACCAAGATTTTAAACGATCCATTCTTAATAGATCTATGCAATAAACACTTAATTTCCTTGGGGATAAACAAGTCTATTATCATCTAAAATTATGAATTTTCTAGAAAAACATAGAAATTATAAAATATAATAGGTCTTATATAGTGAATCAAAAATGGATCTTTCAGATATAAGAAAACAAAAAGTTTTCATACCTTAATAGATTTGGATTTGGTCAAAAAATACCTACTTATTTATCCTTCCTAACTTAATTAATGCACAGGTCATGCTGAGATTTGGAGATAGTCTTTGAGAACTACAATGGAGGAATACTAATTAATTTTTGTCACATTCTCAAAATCTAACAAAAAAATCAAGTTTAATACAACAATTTTTTTATAAGAAATGGAAGTGTAAATAATAATTAAAATCTTTCAAGTCCAAAATTATCAAAACATAGAAATCATAAAAATTATTAAATCAATAAAGATAAGATGAGAATCCCCATTTTATTATATTTTTCAAGCTTTTTGATTTTTATAATCTTTTCCTTAAATCCAAAATTAATATCTTTAGATGATATTATAAATAATGTTTTATCTTTATTTAATTGCTCAATGATTCTACTAGCACATTCTCATCATATATTTTAAAAATTAGAGCAATTTTTTTATAAAATTCAAACTTTCTTTTTTTATAATACTTATTATTTAAAAAAATATCATATTGATTTATTTATTTGGAACTCTACAATTAAAATTACAAATAGATACAGTTAGTTTATGACTCTCAAGTTTAATAAGAGGATATATCAAATAATAAATATGAGTGAGAATACATTTTTTAATACGTAAGCTATATTTAAATTTGGAAAGAAAATTGAAATTCAAAGAGTAGATTGTAATAGTTGAAGTATTATTTTAATTTAAATATTTAGCTTCAAAAATACAGAGGGAGATGATTGCAAGGGTTATAGCTTTATGCTTATTTTGACTTAGCTTTCTTTGGAAGTAATAAAACAATTAATTTTTTGAATCAAGGATTAATTAAGAAGAAGTTTAAATAATTTTAAATACGTAATCTATACTATTAAATTGAATATATTCATGGTTCACTTTATAATTAAAGTACATAAATTACTGTTTCATCTTTTGTTTAGACAATGTTATCATCTTTGCGTTAGACAATGTTATCAAGAACTTTTTTCTTTGATGGTTCATGAGTGCATACACCTTTACCACAAAAGAAAATTTCCCAAAACCCATAAAAAATTGTCAGTCCATATCCAACCATGACTAAAAGACTTAATATCCAATGAATGAAATCTTTCCAAATCGGGATTTTTTCAATTACAATGTCATTTAAAAGATATTTTACTGCCAGTTTATTCATGAATATCATAAAAAAAAGGCAAATATAAACCATAATAAGGGGTATGCAGAAATATTGCTAAAGAATAGGATCACTTTCCATTGCAAAAAGTCTAATTGTAGTTGTAATTAATAGCAGGCTTTACACACAAATAAAAGATGCATAATAATTCAGATAATTGCAAGCCCACAGAAAAGCCGAACAAAACTAGACTCTTGAAGCTTTTATAACAAAGTAATGGAAAACTTCAGCAGATCCGACACTCCATCTCTTATTTTATCTGACCCATTCAACAAATTCTTACCACATATTTGAACCTGATGTAGGACCTGAAATAGTCGGGCAATAAATCGGTTTAATCTTAAGAGATCTTTTGCTCAGTGTTTTCCATCTTATATAACAGATTATATCTTCCATCTGATAAGTCGGATGACAAAAATCTCCTTCAATGTATAATTATAAGGAAGCGGTATACACACTCATGATGTTGATATTAAAGGGGATAAGTGCTCCCATCATCAGCATATTTCTAGCTAATCCTGTAATTCTTGTAAAAACACTAAGTTTATCAAGTCCCCAGTTATAAAATAGAACTGGTTACCAAACATAATTGTTCCTATCCTTCTCTTTGAGGATGTTCATCATTTGGATATCGAGAAAATTTTTGTGAAATATATTATCAACATCAAAGTTTGTTACAAAGTATTTGTTGGGATCAAAGTTTGGTTCGCTTTACTTTAAATGAGCATAAACCGATCTAATTCCATAGTTGTTATTAGAACACTTACCTGGGATTTCCCCTGGGGTTCCATATGGATGCACAGTTATGATGAGTTTACCAAAAAAATTTGTAAATTGTTCAAAGACAGCATTTATTTTTGATTCCTTATCTGGAGTTTTTTCTTCCATACATACTACCAGAATTATTTCCTTGGCAATTCTTTATTGAGAAACATTTTGAAGAGTTTTCAAAGTAATTCTAGAGGTTCTTTGTAAAGGAATGTGATCAAAATAAATTTAATAGGGGAAGGACTTGGAGGTTATTCTTAGCAATTAGTTACTTTTTTTATTGTATTGTGTATTTTTGATAAGGTGTTGACAGCCAGACATGTAAATAATAACCATAAAGAAGCATAGAAACAATTGATTCCCAAAGTGGCTTCTAAGGGTAGATAGAAAGGAAAGGCTGCCATAGCTATCATTATGGCATTTATAACCAAATTCCATCGAAATCTTCCTCCACAAGTCTTATCTTCTTTTAACGTCATTTTGGTGGCAATTGGATTTTCTGGTAATTCAGAAGAGATCAATAGTCTCTAGATTTGATTCGTCTCGCTCATCCAATATCTTATAGTGATGTATTTATATTATTTTTAACCTTATTGGAAATAAGTTAAATGGAAGGTTCGTATGTTAAGTTGAATTTATAAATACTTTCAATTAACAGATACGAAATTTTCAAGGATCAATCCTTTCTAATAATGTTAGCTTAATAAAAATTAAAGTTCATGGACATCATTAGCTGATGATATAGCCCAATGTCACGTGTTTTATTCAAATTGAAAAAGAGTCGCTTAAGCTCACAAGTTGAATTTTGTCTTAAAAATTTTATTATGAATTCATTTTATTACAAGGAGAAAACATTTAAAAGGAATATGTTCTATTAGATTATGAATATTAATATAGTGTTCTTTAATAAAATATAATTGTCACTATACCATTAGATCAATAAAAATCAAATAACGAAAAGATGATAACTTTACAAACTTATATTCAAAAAAGATGTAAAAGCAGTTAATTACACGCAAATTAATGAATTAACTAATATAGTGTTCAACTTCTAAAAGCAAAAATAAATATATATAAAATATTAATATAATTAATATTTGGAATGATTATAGTTATAGTAATTATCATTTCTTTTTATAAGTATTCAGAATTTATTTAGAATAATTTATCTTACTAATTAAGTCATCTAATCTCTTATTCTTGAACCAACCATCCTAATCCTGACATTCTTAGCATTGATTTTGGAAGCATTTCTCACAATAAGAATGACCACAAGGGTAACAGGTATTAGTCTTTTATAATACTTCCATGCAACTATTACAGGAGATGGATGTGATTTAAGCATCCAAAGCAAGTGCAATATTTTGCAATTGACTTTAGAATTCCTTCTCTTTCTAATCTAATTACAATTACAATCCCCTCATTTTATCAGGATTCTAATAATAAAATATAAGTATTACAAGCATTTCTAATTCTTCTTCTGCTTTCTTCAGTTTCTAAGTCAAATTCTTTACATCCAACCCTAACTTATATGTGATGTCTTAGTTCTCTAAAAATATTAAATTTTATATAAAATACAGTTTAACTCTTTTTGTAGATTTGTATTCTTCATATTTAATTATTGCAAATTTTCCATTTATTCATAGACCTATTATGAAAGATTCCTATTCTCTTTGTTGGCCACAGTCAACTCATTCCCTAATGAATCAATCGAAATTTTCTACGCCTTACTCTCTTTGCCGAGTTGATCTAAATCTATTAATGCTTAGTCTAGCTTCATTTTCAAAGACAGCATTTATGCATTAGAACTGGCTAATTATTAGGTTTAATCATTCAGAGCTTATTCTTTATCTGAGAGTTATGAGGTTAAGGACTCAATTTATTTATTTCTCTGCTCAATATCTTCAACATATAATTAGTTCGATTAGGTAATTTATTCGATATTCTATTTAAGTTAACTTAGATCAGAGGATAATATAAACTCTACAGGTTTTGTAAATTGATTATAAGTCATAATTAATCCATCGAATTCACTATATTTTTATAATTCTTATTGCATTATCCTCATTTATGATAATATATTTTGTTCACTTTCACCTTTTTGTTTCAATTGTTATTGTAAGGTTTTAATGATCTACTCATTATTAAGAGATGAAGATTTAATAGTTTAAGTCGTTTTTAACTCATCTTCTAAATACGAAGCTTTTTGATTTAATTCTTTGTTTTGTTGTTACAACTATGAAATTTAACTTCTAACGCTGGTGATTTCTTGTTAACTTTATTGCAACTTCTCATTCAATTTTTAATTCTCTTAGAGTGTTTATTCAAGTTTTTCATTTTTTTATTTAAAATCTTATTACAATTTCTAATAATCCTTGATTAACTAAACAAAATCTGTGTTTCCAAAAGTGGATAAAACTAATTAGTATTGTTCAATTATTGGCATATTTTCATTCACAAAATTAGTAAGATTTTGATTTTCATCAAGTATAATTTAATATTGTTTTTGTTATTCTAGTAATTACTTTTGCAATTGTAAAATGGCTTAATTTTGTTGTCCATCCTATTAATTTCTTGTTTGTAACACAGTGTTTTGATTGTTAAGCTAATCTTGCAATTATTTAATTTGAGATTATAATTCTTAAATGTCTTATTATTGTTTGGCAATTTTCGATAGGGATATCTTGATAATTCATATATTTATACATTCTCTTCAGACTTAAGATGTTTGATGGTTCCTTGTGCAGCTATATTATCGAGTTTCAAGTTTTCAATAAGACTATTAAGTTGTGTGTGATTCTTGAATGCAATTTGGAGATTCAATTCTTTATCGGAATTGGATTTCTAAATAAAAATTATGATTTTAAATACCTCTAAATATACAATTTGTTCTTTGAGTGTTTCTATGGTTTATTGTAACTTTTCATTATCTTTTGTTAAGGAAGGCAGCAAAGATAGATCCATTTGGAGAGAAGTGATGGTTGATGACATTTATCTGATTTCATTTTCTTTTCTGTTAATGATTGCTTCTAGTTATGTAATTTAATTTTTCAAATTATTGATTTCAGCATTCTATCTTTAATTCGATTTCCTCTCCTCCTACAATTAATCATGATATTGTTGTAATTCCTTCAACTTCCTTTAGTTCTCACTGATTTTGTATTGGTTATCTTTATCTTGTTATTGCAATTATGAATTCAACTCTCTCAATCTAACAACTTCATCTCGAATGCCCATATTCTCTTGCTTCTCAGTCTTCAACAAAGCAGATAGAGATTCAAAATTCCTCTGAATACTGAAAATCGTTTGATTCCTGGTTTCGACATCCTTTTATAATTCCTCACATTTCTTCTTCCAATCCTCTTGATTGTCTTCTGGTGGCATAGACTATTAGAATTAAACTGTCTTCTTCTTCGAAGTAATGAAATTGTAATTTTCCACTTGTTATTTCTGTTGAATTTGGGGCAATTAAACTCTTTAATTTCCTCTCGACATTTATTATTATTAAATTTGATATAATTTTCAAGATTAAATAAATCTACTCGCTCCAGGTATATTTTTGAGTATTGATTTTGGAAGTGCAAATGCAGGATCAATAGGATTCAATTGATATTTATCCCCATTGAGCAATGACAATGCTGCCAACCCAAAGAATGTATGAAAAACATCAGCTTAATTATTTGGTCGATCGGCAATGCCCCCATCACTATCTTAACACTAGATTTTAAATCATCAGAACAATACCTCCAGTATGTAATTTTCTAAGGCCTATTAATTTATCCATTGTTCTCTTTTCAATAAACACAATGCACTGTACATCCACCAAGAATAACACACATCAGCCAATTTCTCAGGTCTTCCATTTAATCTACAATATAAGAACTTATTATACCCTCCTTTACTTGTTTGTCTCTCGTGAATCCACATTGATAATTCATCAATATTGAAAGACAAGTCCTCACATAAATACAGGGTTCCAACACAACAAAAAACATAGGCTCCATGAGATTCTGCATCTGGACTAATTGAGATTAAATATTTTAAATACATTCCTCCAAATGATCCATCAAAATTTCTACATTTCTTAATGTAACTAGCTGCCTTCTTGACATCTATCAAATCTCTTTTGTTTAACAATGTTAAGGATGACAACCCACAATATGAGAATCTTGCATCCACTTCTCCCCACTATCATATTGTTTAAGATCTAATTACTTGATCTCCTTCAAATGATCCATCCTTTCTCTATCTTGCTGCTACGTATTTGGCTGCTGCCTCATAGTCCAATTCACAATTCAATAAAAAACTGAGTAAAATGGCGTAATGTGTATTTGTTATATGAGAATCATGATTAGTATTACCACCAAAACCGCCATCTTAATTCTAACATTCCTTAAGCCATTTTGATAATTGCTGCTTCTTCTCCTCACTGATATCATCTAATTTGTTTAGACAAGCTATTGCATTGATTGTCCAATATCCTCCTGCCACTTTCAGATGTTCAGAAAGATAATAACCAATGGATTCAAGATCCTTTGATTTGTCTAAAGCCATCAAATAAGGTAGGTGATTGACAAGTTATTACTAAAACATCGTAATTAATCAAATTTTAATTAATTAAAAATATTCATACTATTGCATGTATATATTTCATGTAATTTTGTATTATTCGCTAATTCAAATCTCTGTTGAAACCATTTAATTTATTTTGGCTTTGAAATAACACAGATGATTTAAATTTTCGAGTAATTATAAAGATATAAAATTGATTGTTATCTTAAATATGTATTATCAATTTCTCAACCTCTTTAAATCAAAATTCGATGTTTGGTCTAAACTTTAAAGTTTTGAGTGTTATATTTTCGGACTTCTTGCACATTCCAAACTTTTAAAAAGTGACCCCTATTTTCCTTTACATCTCTTAAGATTATTCTCCATCATGTAAATTAAAAGATTTTTTTACTTTAGAGTTATGATTGTATATAATAAGCTCAAAGTTATTAAGATTCCACTTACAAAAAAACCTATGACTACTCTCATAGGGCTATATTTATTGGTATATAATTCAACTGAAAATTTGACAATTTTCTTTTAAATGGTTATATTGATTTCATTATAAATTAATGAGTATTGCAATTTATAAGCAATCTTTTCATTTAAATGATAAAAATATTACACATAATCAGGTATCAGTTCAAATGTATATTAAAATATATCGAATGTAATTATTCCTGTAATTCTATTACCAAAAATAGATACTTCTTTGATTCCAAATCTTAAGATCCTAAATATTTTATCCTCATAAAGAATATCTATTTTATATTTGTAATAAACAAAGTATAATTTTAGGATACTATTATTTTCTAAATGATTTTCTTGCTTTCAAATTTCCAATAATTTAGATCTAAGAGTTGATGATTTAATATTGAGCAATAATATATTTAAATTGTCTTTTTTATACCACATATATAAAGTGCTCATCATGGATACCCAAAGCTACGCCATTTTAAATAGTATCAAACCATTTTTTTGTGCGATTCAACTTATTCCACTCAATTTTTAGTAATCCTGCTTGCTTATCCAAGATATAGATAATAAAACCATTTCTATTATTATTTAGCATTGAAAATTGTGTAATATTTAAAAAGTTCTGAATTTGAATGAAATAACTTGATCCCTGTTTATATAAATAGTAATTCTACCTTGATCAAGTACAAATATGAATTAATCACACATTTCCTTTTTTTAAGGCTAATAGTCAAGGAACAATTCGAATTCTTTACATTTTTATCATAAGGATTAAATCGAAATACTTGGCTCGAAATTAAACATACAGTGTATGTCATTTGGCAATATCTCATTGTAGCCTTTTCTTTATCGGCATTAGAAGGAATCATGTCTTACCAAAATAGGATTTGGTCCTAAAAATAATTGATCTGTCTATTATCAGTCAATACTAGCATAGAGTGTTAGGAAAGTGATATCCTAGCTTGGTACTGTAATCACTGCCATCAAATTAATGATATTTCAATTTTAATTAAGGGCCTTACAATTGGCATACATTCCATTGGTCATTGTTTGATTGTGATTCAAAATCCTATCCATTTAGAGGTAGGACAAATACAGTTTTTAATCCTGATTTTTTTATTGTATATAATTCTGATAATACCAGTTAAAATATTAAAAATTATACATTTATATAGACATTTATTGAAATTATTACAAATCAAATTAAAATTTGCAATTATTTCTCTTTTTAATTTACAAAGATTAGGATTTTCATTATTATTGTTTATTCTTCACTCCTCAATCATTAAAAAGTTAATGATTGCAATTAGAATTGAATCTTTAATTCTACAGAGTGGCTACTAAAAAGAGAATGATGAAAATTTACTTTCCATTTATATCAGTATTGTATAATTGACAAGAATTGTGGGTAAACCCAATAAATTTATAATAGTATATTTAAAATTAAATTACATAAGGAGACAATATGTTAATAATATAATTTTAATATTGATTTTTCGATGATTTGCTACAAGAAATCCTTAATTTTTAAGGAGACTTACAATGTTGAACTGCATTCAAATAAAATTGTATTACAAAATGTATTGGCATACTTAAATTTAAGATCAAAAGCAAGATTACACATATACTGCGATTAGAATAGGATTCCGTTGTGGATTGGAAGTTGGATAAAAAGAATTGTAATGTTCTTGCTTTGGGTATTCAGATTGATAATAAATGGGAATATTTCTATATGAAATAATAAAATCTAACTCTACTAAAGGATTTTCTTGACGGGAAAGTTCAATATCATGATATTTTTAAATTGTATCAAATAGTAGGCTTTCTTGGTAAAGGAGCCTTTGGAAAAGTAAAATATTTACTTACTTCCTTAGGTTTTCAAATGTTAAAATATATCCAATGGGAGAATGGTCGCTTGCAAGTCGCTGAAGTAGAGTAGCAAATACAATGAGAAGGTATGAATAATCTGCTATGAATAAGGATTTTGTGAATGAAGTATAATGTATGTAGAATCTCAAGCATCCAAATCTGGTGTAACTTAAAGAGTTTTGTAAAGAGGAACAATGCTTTTACATTTTCATGGAATATGTTGAGGGAGAGACATTGAAAAATCTGATAAAAAGGGATTCGTTAGATGAGAAAGAGAAGTTGATTATCGTTTAAGTATAATTTCATCAAATTAGTAATTATTATCAGTGGCCAATTATTTTCACTCAGAAGGATACATATATAGAGATTTTAAACCAGAAAATATTCTTTTCATAGAGAACAATGTCAACAAACTAAAATTGATAGATTTCGGACTTACAATTAGGATCGATGAGATAGTTCGTAACAAATATCAGGTATGTGGTACTCTCGGTTTTATTGCTCCTGAGGTATTTTAGAGGACTTACATATACGATTTTAAGTCAGACATATTTAGTTTAGGGGCTGTTATTTATGAATTGTAAGTATTAATTGTATAAATAGATTTTCTGGAATTTATTTACTGTAAAATTCTGATTCAATGGAGCTGTAGAGTATGAGTAAGAAATTCTAATTCAACAAAGAGATGCTCTAAAATATTAAGAATCAAACAATTAGAAAATTGTTATATGGGATTTTGCAAGAGGATCCAGTTTTGAGAATTGACAGTAGGTAGGCACTCGAGATATTTCGACAAGCAAATACAAATGATGGTGAGTTGTTGACTACTGATGCAGATTGAGTTTTTATGTGTATTAATTACTTAATTAAACTAATTTATAAGTGGGGGGAGGAAACAAAAGGGGTCTTGGATATGAGTTTAGGGGTTTTAACAATTATATAAATACCTTTTTGATTGGTTCATGAAAAGTAGAGAATATGATTAATTTTATAAAGTTATGCAAATACATTTTTGTACTCCTTAATACTTTTTCAACATTTCTCAAAAGTTTCCTTTCATTGTTTATGATCTAAGAGAACATCAGCATGGTTATTTGAAAAATAGTATTCATGTTCCTTATGTACACCAGGTGGAGAATGTGGAGGATGTATAAAAATACTTTTAGTATCCTGAATAATAATCTGAATAGAGGAAGTTGGAGAGATTGTTTCAAACTAGAAGGAGGAATTACAATTTCTTCGTTCCATTTGACACATCTGATATGTTCAGTTTACTATTGAAGGATAGAGTTAAGGGAGAAGGATCTGAAATTTCTGATTAGTTTAGTCTTTCTTTAGAAACAGTGACTAAGTGGTGGCATGACATCACAAAGAAATTGCCATACAAAAAGAAGCATAAAATAAAGAGTAGAGCATATACCATGGTAATGTAAGATGATGATGATGAATTAGTTGATTCAGATTCCTAATAAACGATACTTCATCTCAAAAAGCATCAGAGTATAGTTTCTAGTAAGAAGGTCATAGAATTACAGGGTAAGCCTATTAATTTAAATTTAAAGAGATAACAATTTCTAATGGTCCAAAAATAAAATAGAGATCCGCAAGTTAACCAAAATACGTTGGATCTGGATAAGGCAGTTTGCACATGAATTCAGAATTATTTGGAGTAACCTTAAAGATCTACGAGATTTTCCATAAGGATAAGGTTAGGCAGTTGTTTATAATATTGGATCCGATTTAAATAGTATTTGGAAATCATTCATTTTTAAATTATGAGATAACCAAAAATAGGGGATTCTTGGATAAGACATTTCCAAATGAAATAATAGAGAACAAATTGTACTTGGGAGGAGGTGATCATGCAAAGGATACAGAAATGCTGATAGATATTTTAGGGATAACGCATGTTGTAAATGCAACTATCGAGATCAAGAATTACAGTGATTAATGTAAGAATGAAGTTATTGATTTTAGTAAAGTATTTGAACGTTAAAATATATGATGAGCCTCATATTGATGTTAAACAGTATTTTGAGGAGGTTTATTAATTTATAGAGAATGCATTAATGGAGAATGGGAAAGTAAGAAGGAGATTGTAATAAAATAGGTGTTTGTTCATTGTGCATAGGGGAAGTCGAGATCAGCTTGTTTTATAGTGATGTATTTAATGAGGAAGTTTAATTGGGGATTTGAGAAGGCATATGAATTCGTAAAGGAATGTAGAGAAGTGGTTTGTATAAATGAAGGATTCATAAACTAATTAATAGAATTGAATTGAATTGAATATTTTGCTGTTATTTATGATGTTATGATTTGTCATTAAATAATTGATTTGACTCTAGCAACAATACCTGCAGCATCCAAATGATACAAGGATAACATTTATGCTGGAGTGCCACTCTTCGCCACTTTATCTACATGGATCGAGTGTATCTTGACCTCGTTGTTCAAACTCAAAGAGGATGATACAGCCTCTAAAAATGATAACATAATAGGTAATACCGAACAGACCTCCTTCACTATAGTGATCTTCTACGACTAGTATGGTTTTCAAAGCAGTTTTATTGGCAGCATTAAGGATGCCATCATGATCAATGGGTTTAACTGAGAATAAGTCCAAAACTGTGACATTTATCTTGTCTTATTCACTCAATTATTTGGCTGCTTTAAATATTTCATGAGTGGTCACACCTCCACCAATCAACAATATCTTGTCATCATCATGATGTCTTAAGATTTTGGATCTAAAACGAATACTCAAAATAGAATTTACTTTCCAATCTCGAAGACTTCATTATTGGGATACAAAATGGGCAATGAGGGTCTGCTCATTCTAACATAACAAGGAGACTTGTGATTGGCAACTAGTTCAATGGCTCTTTCAGCAGAGACTCCATCAGATGGATACAAAACAACGCAATTTGGGATTGTTCTGAATAAGGCAATATCTTCCAAACCCATTTAGGATGGTCCATCTTCACCAATTGAAACACCAGCATGTGATCCAACATATTTGACTTGAGATTCACTGATTCCTCCCATTCTTATTTGATCAAAGGCTCTTGCAAAGAAAGCAGCAAATGTAGATGCGAATGCAACCTTTCCTCTGCAACTGAATCCTTAAGCCCAACCGACCATATTTTATTCAGCTATGAAACACTCTACAAAATTGGTTGGGACTGCCTCTTTGTATTTAATTGAGAAGGTTGAATTTTTAGTATCTCCATCTACTGCCACAATTTGTTAATTAGCATCTGTTTTACTCAAACCCACCAAAGCTTTTCCGTATGCTTCCCTTGTTGATTACTTGCCATCCACTGGGTAATTGATTTCTAATGTGAAATGACTTTATTAAGGTTTTTCAATTTATGTTGGAACCTCTGGAGTGAGTGTGAATCCACCCTATTACTTCATTTGTTTTTTGACGAACTCCACTTATGCTTATGGCACTGGTTTTCCATGCCAATCCTCTTTGTTCTCCATTTCCAAATATTTGCCTTTGAATGTTTTGGCAATTATAACTTGTGGTTAATTCTTCACATTTCTACACTAGAAACAATATTTCTGGAATCACTTACTTATTCAAAAGCATCAGTTAATAAATTCAAATTGTGTCCATCAACCACAATGGTCTTCCATCCAAATGCCTCCCATCTCTTCTTATAAACAGTAATATCATGTCCAATTGAGGTCTCTTCAGATTGTCCCAATCTATTTACATCTACAATTGCTGTAAGGTTGTCCAATTTGTAATGACTTGCTAAATGAGCTGCTTCCCACACTGATCCCTCAGCAATCTCCCCATCTCCCATCAACACCCAGTATCTATTGTTTATTTTGTCCAAGAATTTTGATGAATAAGCCATCCCACCTGCAACTGATAATCCCTATCCCAAGGATCCTGTTGCAACATCGACAAAAGGCAATCTATTATATTTATACAAACATCATTTACTTTGGAACTGGATGACCTTCCAAAAGTGAATCGATCTTTCTCAAATTTAATAATTCCTTTCCCTCAATATAACCAACCATCGACCAAGCAGCATACAAAATTGGAGCTGCATGACCCTTCGATAAAACAAATCTATCGTTTCCGAAATTCTAAAATCAATATCACTAAGTACTCCTGGATCCTTTGGATTATAATGCATTCCTGCCTTTGTGAAAAATAGTACTGCCAGGATCTCTGCCATCGATGCACAGGATGTTGGATGTCCAGAATTAGATGCAATGGTCATCTCAATTGAGTGTATCCTCAATTGATGAGCTATTATTTATATATCACTCCATTACCTATATCCTATAACTGTACAAGGTCATAACTCTCCTTTTACACCTTTTACTTCTTAGCTTGTTTTGGTTCTTCCTTTTGTGGTTAGCTATTTCCTTTTCTGGTCACTCTGTCTGACATATTAAAATAATTTAATTTATCTAAAATGCAGTATTTTAAATCAATTTAAATAATAAATATGCTTATGTTATATTGCTTTAAATCAACATAACAATTAAAGAAATATTAAATGACTTGGGCTTAGATAAATAAAAATTAAGTGAGAAAGCAATCCCAGAATATTTTAGGTTCTAAGATTATTGATTTAGAATAATGTGATGAGAATTTGAGAATAATAACAAAATATTTCCAAAAATAAATAATTGTAAAGTAAGCATAGTATAGTATATAATTATTAAAATTTGAAATAGAGTCTTGTAACAATCAAAAGAGGAAAATAGTTTAACTGATGATAATAATCTATTATTTTATAATAAAATAGAATAATTTTGAGGAAAGTTATAAAATTTAATTTTATATAATTATCATGAGATAGTTGAGGTTTCATATTAAAATCAGTTATGATTGAGTTTTATAATGAATTAATATTTTATTTGTATTCATATATTAGTTTTTCCTTTAACTATTTTGCGATCAGATAACTCCTCTTAGATTGGAAAATAATGTTAGTGATTATTAATTTATTCTTATTTTTTAACCTTGGCTCTTTGTGGAAAAGGACTTTCACCAATTTCTAAGACGGGTTGACATAAAATCGACTGAATTGATTGAGGATTAACATTCTTTAATCCTGCAACAATAAATTCTGAAGGCTGAGTCTGATATTGTGTTTCTTAGGCTTAAACAGTCTAATATATTTATTGTTTGGGTTATGCAGAAACAATGAGTCTTTCTTTTTTAGTGTCAACTGATTTTTATCTTTAGTTTTACAGTTAATCACCATTTTTTTGATCTTCCTTCCTGTGTGATTGAATAATCTATTGACGAATAGCTTCAGTGGCTATAGGTTGATTGCTAGTTTTGATAGATTGCCTTTAATCAATTAATTTTTGTTATTCTTTTTTGATTTCTATTTTCAGTTATTCTTAAAGAATTTTTTCTTTCTCTCTTTAACTTGGAATACTACTTTGAATTCTAGTACTGGGAGTAGAGGGTGGTTCTCCTTTTTTTCTGGGAACAGATGGATAGTTTGCTTAATTATTAATTGGTGATAAGTTCCTGTCTTTAATTTATCCAGGTACTAATAAATTTATAAATTGAATACATGCACTGTGAGCTCTTTGATTGAGTTTAGGTTACTCAGAACTTTTTTTGATAGGTTCTTCCTTGTAATTGGATTTGGGGAGTTGGATTTGTTGTAATTTGATTGTTTATAATAATTCTGCTTTGGAGGTTTATTTTTCAATGAGTGGGACTACTTTTAAATTGTTGATGAGTAGAGGAGATTGTAAAATTTGATTGCATGACAATCTCTTCATGGGATGGACTTAGACCATTTGAACGATGATTTATTATAAATCTCTGGAATATTGTTTAGGCAAGCATTCAAAGAGTCCTCTTTATATTTTATTGCATAATGCTTATAAGTCGGGAGCCTTGAAAGGTAGTTTAAGTGAAGCCATTTCATAGATCACACATCCCAGACTCCAGATATCACTCATAGAGTTGTATGCTTCGTTTCTCCATACTTCTGGACTTGCATAATAAGGAGTTCCTGTTTATGTATAGGCAAGTCCTTTCTTAGTGACTTTGGAGACATTCAAATCTCCCAGTTTATAATTGCCATTGGATATAAATATATTGGCAGTTTTTAAATCTCTATGAACAATTTTATTGTCATGTAATTTCTTGAGACTACATTAAATGATGCGTAATACCCTTTTGTAATTTATAATAAAGCCTTCCATATTTCAGTTTCAGGGAATAATTGATTACCAGCCTGTTTGATTTTATTCTGCAAATCCCCTTAGGTGGCGAACTCCATAATTATGTATAGCATATTATCATCGATAAAAGCATCCTTGTAATTAATAATATTGGGATCGTCGAATGAAGCCAATATTCTAACTTCGTTGAGAGCATTTTCTTTTTCTTTTTCCTTCAAATCGAAAAGTTTAACTTTCTTCATGGCATAAATTTGTTGATCCGACCTCCTGATTACTTTGTAAACTTAACTATAGGAACCCTCACCCAAACGGCTGAGTATTTCAAAATCACTAATTCTAGACATATTACTATTATATATATTTTATTATTTATCATTCTGAACTATGCTCTATTTTTTTGAAATTCCATCCTTGTTCTCCATCAAACTAGATCATATAATCATGATGTTTGAACAATGAAGGTCTGTGACTTACTGTGAAGAGAGTGATACCCAACATCTTGGCAGTCTAATACAAGGTAGCCTCAACATCCATTGACACTGCACTGGTGCACTCATCTGAGAATAACAAATATCAATATACCTAAGATGGCAAACACTGGTTTGTGATAGAAGAGTCGGGCCATAGCAATTCTTTGCTTTTCACCACCACTCAACACATCATTCCAATCATTGCATTTATCATACCCTCCTTCTCTTACAACTAAATAATCCAAATGCACTAATCTCAATAATTCTGTTAAGTCATCATCAGTCACTTTCTTTCTCAACATTTGTAATTTTGTGTGTGGATAGATAATTTGATCCCTCAATGTTCCAGCAGGCAAATAAGGTCTTTAAGGAATGTAGAATAATTTATCAATATGAGGTCTATATAACTTACCACTTGAGATTGGCCATAAACCACCCAAAATTCTGAATAATGATGATTTTCCGCATCCATTTGGACCAGTCACAATGCAATTCATATTTGGTTGAATCTAAGAAATAACTATTTGTCTTACTTCAAATGTCATCTTTTATGCCAAGATATCATTATTTGGTGATATAATGGGGACTTCTTCAAATTTGATTGTGTTTTCAGTTTCAACTATCTAACCTCTATTCATTGAAACCAATGATTGCTTCTATGCAAAATATCCTGGCTAATTCTCATTACTTTACAACATAGTTCTCATGTACTTACCATTTATCAAGTCCTTCAATACTTCATCTAATTCAGCCACCAAGGTTGTGTATCCTGCCAATTATTAGATTTCCTTATATGAAACCACCAATCTTCCAATAGCCTTGGCTAAATTAATCAATAGAGATGAATTTCTAACGTAATCCCTTGTGATTGCTGAAGGATCATTATTAACACTCTTCAAATACTCCACTCTTCTACTTCCAAATACAGGCAAACCCACTACTGCATAACCAACCATCACAGCTCCATACTTCACCAACATACTATCGAAAACCCCCATATATAATCTTTTCAATATGATCTATCCTGTGTGTCCAATCAAATTATTGAATGAATTTGTGATCCTTGTCTTTTCCCAAGCATGTCCTCTATAGAATGCAATTTCTTCACTGTGATAAACTAAATCACTATGACAAGCTCTATAATCTCCTTCCAATCTCTACTCAATAGCAGTCAATTTACCAAAAGGTGGACTTAAGAATCTTAATAAAAACCCAGATATCAGATAATACAAAATGACATACATAGGTCCTTAATATCCAACCAATTCAGCCAATTTTCTGGAGAACAAAATAATATCTAAAACAGGTTTAGAAAAATTGGAGTATATTTAAGACAATGAGTTAGCCCATTTTTCAATATCGGCAGTTAATCTTTGATCAGGATTAGCAACTCGACTGTCTAAATTGCTCAATTAATAGAAAATCATATCATTAAGATAGATGTCATGGAAATGTGAGGTTAATCTTTTTCTGAATCTTATTGCTAAGGATTTGTTCAAATAATCCAGGAAGGAGTTCACAAAGGAGGCAGGAATTGCGACAACTCCCAATTTCAGGATCCTCTACAAAAACATATTTAGGTTTTATTCGATGATTGCTCTGACTATTTGCCCATTCACATTAGCTACGTAGATACTTAAAAATGTCCTTGCCACTAGTGATGCTCTATTACTTAGAGAATATGTTACGTAAGCAATACCAAGTCCAATATTTCTGGTGAGTTCAGCCTTGGGATAACAATTTTGAGTAGTTTCAAAATCCTCTTCAAGAACATACGATCGACATTGCCTTTTCCCTTTTTTTCATCTCTCTTGACTTTCATATTTTCAGTCTTTGATTTGGTCAATCTGATTTTAAGTAAATATAGAATGACTGCAATTACGGCTCCTGAGATCACCTAGTTAAATTATCGATTTGTTCATACTTTTCGCTTTGTTGATTTCAACATGAACTGTTTCACATCCAAGATCTTAGATAGCACAGGAGGCATCTGTATATATTAATATTATCAATAAATATTTAATATGTGCTAATAATTTCATATTGTTTTAATATTTTCTAATTCCAAATACTTTTTCTCTAATTTTCCTAAAATTGAGTACTAAACACATTTGATATTATCATCAAAAATCATATAATATATAAAATTAACATGTATTTATAAATTATTGGAATATTGAATCTCTTGACTCTATCAAACTAATTCGAACCACTCTGCCACAAGATATTGTCTAAATAAATACACGACTCTTTGCCTGTGAACTAATACATACTATCAGGCTAATTGCCAGTGAAAGATGACTCCCATTCATATTTGGCTTTCATATTCTATGGTTCGCAATATGCATCAAATTTATAAGTAAATTTATGTTACTCATGGTAATAGCAATTAAACAACTATAACACAATCGTTTGGTTCAATGGCGGTCCTGGAACTTCATCACAATTGGGGAATTATTTTGGCTTGGGACCAATAAATTTTAACGAAAAGGAGAAATTAGAGAAGAATCAATACTCTTGGAATACTAGGTTCAATATGCTCTTTGTCGATTAACCAATCGGAGTTGGCTATTCCTACGCCTACACAAAAGATGAAATACCTAACAATTTAGATGAAATTGCATAATAATTCAATTACGCTTTGGCATCATTTATAGGGAAGTGTCAACTCTAAGAATTATCAAAGGAATCGAAGTGGTTTTTTGCTGGGGAAAGCTATGCTGGAAAATATATACCTGCAATTGTTTATGATCTTTTGAAATAATAGGAACCTATTGTAAACGTTTAAGGAGTTATTTTAGGCAACCCTTGGACTGAACCAACAGCCATAATAAGTGAAATGAGTTCATACGCATTTAACTTAGGCTTAATTGATCTTTAAGAGAGATAAAAATTAGACAAAATCCTATTAAAAACAATTCACAATATCAAAAGTGAGGAATTCTCAAAAGTATCAGATAATTTATAAGCTTATTTTACAGAATTAACAAAAATGAGTGGAGGAATGAATTATTAAAACATTCGAAAGTTTGGATCATATGCTAAACAAAATTAAAAGTTGGAATCCTATTTGAATTCAGAGGCAGTCAAGAACTTATTTAAATTTCCATTGGCTGTCACTTTCACTTTGACATAAAATGAATATGAGAAATAAGGCGATGTGTATTTGGCCTTAAAAGACAATATCGGATAGAGTGACGCAATTCAAAAATTGGAATTCATTGTTTCCAAATTTCCAGTCTTTATTTATAATGGATAGAATGATGCTCTATGCACTAATTCCGGAACCCAGAGGTGGATTAATAGGATTCATTACAAGGAGAGAAATGAGTTCCTAAATTAAAACTTTAATACCATTTAATTTAATAATAGAACCATCGGGTATAAAAAAATGGTTGGCAATCTTGGCTTCGCGATTATCAATGATGCTGGTCATCAGGTTCCACGAGATAAGCCATAGGAACTATTCACTATCATAAATGAATTCATTGATGTATGATTGATTAATTTATTAAATTCTTCGTTACATTATTTCTAGAAATTTATAGAAAAATCTATTTCGAGAAAAATTCATATTTTTGAGTTGAAAACTCTACTCTTTCACAAGTCATTAAATATATAAAATGGAAACAGAATTCACTAATTTAGTTGAAGACGCCGGAGTTAAAAAACGCATTCTCCAAGAAGGTTAAGGAGAAATGCCAATTGATGGATCAAGATGCAAAATTCTATATAAAGGAACTTTGGAAGATGGAACTGTGTTTGACTCTTCATTGGACAAAGAGAGTCCCTATAAGTACAGAATTGGAAAGGAGGAGCTAATAAAAGGACTTGATATTGCCTTAAAATCAATGAAGGTTGGAGAGAAGGCTGAATTGAAGATTACACCAAGTTATGGTTATGGTGATGAAGGAGATTCCTTTAAAAATGTTCCTAAGAATGCTAATCTGACTTATGAAATAGAATTAATTAATTTTAAACAGGCTAAAAAGAAGAAATGGTATTTGAATTTAATTATTTGCTTAGGGAAATGACTCCTGAAGAAAAGCATTAAGAAGCCATTAATAAAAGAACCAAAGGAACAGCAGCCTTTAAACAATAAAACTTCAAGGAAGCTGAGAAGATTTACAAGAATGCTCTTTCCTATTGTACTTTAACCACTGATGAGGGCAATGAATTGAAAGCTAGTTTACAACTTAATTTATCAATTTGCTGTTATTAGTTAGAAGAATACAAGGATTCCTTAGATTATGCTAAGAAAGCTCTTGAACTAAAAACTAATCAATAATAAAAGTTAAAGGCTTTATATCGAAAAGCTCTTGCCAACATTAAGTTAGCTGAACTTGAAGAGGCATTAGCTGACTTGAGAGAAGCTTTTAAAATGGATTCCACTAATTCTGCTGTAATTGAGGAATTATCAAGAGTCAAATAATTATTGAAGGAAGCTAGGATGAAAGAAAAAGAAATCTATTCTAAACTATTCCAACAAAAACTTTATGATGAATCAGAAATTGAACCAAAAAAAATAGAAATTAAGGAGGCTAAATCAGAAGGTTCAAGTTGCTGTGATCCAAATGAAAAAATTGAAGAGGAAACCTAACCTAAACCAACTGTAGAGAATAAAGATGGATAAATATAGGAAGAAAAACCTGAAGAAAGAGATTAACCAAAGGGTGAAAATCAAGAAAGCAACAATAAAATAGTTGAAGAATCAGCAACATCTGCTTGAAATAAATTTAATTATATATATATATCATTTTTAATATTTGTATCATAATTTTATCATCAAATAGTTAGAAAAGTTTTAATTTAAAAGATTATGTTACATAAATGAATGACAATAAATTCTGATAAGTTGATGTGAGAAGAGAAGAGACAAAGTAGAATTTAACATTCTGGCTACAATTTCATATTTGTTTTAGTAAAGCTATATAATCAACTTAGAATATTTTTTAATATCAATATTAAAATATGAATTGGTCGAATGTTTCATTTCATCTTTTAAAATATGAATCTGTGAGACAAAAGGAGAATTAATAAGAAAAATAATAATAATAACCTTCACTCCATAATAACTCCTTCTCGACTCCTAAAAAGTTTGAATAATTACAAGAAAAAATGAGATGCAAGTCTGAGCAATGCGATGAATTTGGAAATTACTCGAATAAATATAAGATTTTTCATGATCTTAGTGTTGAATTCCCACAACATAAAAAATAGAGACTTACCTAAATAATCGTCTAAAATTTAAGTATCAGTTTTCTTATTTAGAAAAAAATCCAATCTCCCTTCAATAAAATTCTTTTAGAAATATTGTTGTAAAATAACAAGGGCCAACAAATAATGTCATAAGCACCTTTAATAAAAGATTAAAGGATTTTAGGCATTAGGAATAAGAAGTTAATTCGGATAGTAAAACTGGAATGGATTTACACAACAAAAATCTCTAAAAAGTTGTTAAACAGGAGAAGTTGTCTAAAGTAGAGATCGATCCTAGCATTGAAACTATGCATACTGGCATCTTTAGTTGTTCCCCAGGAGAAAGTCCTCGAGTCAAAGTCTTAAAGAGTACATTCACATTTAATTATAGAAACAACGAATAAATTTATTTTAAAATAAACCCTATAAAAGACAAACATTATTGATAAAATAATAACCGAGAGTAAAATAAATTCAAAAACAACGTGTTCTCCTAGATCAATATTACATCATCAACATAAAAAGACGAATTCCAGTGGTCATTCTGCTTATTCAGAATAAAATAGATTTCTTCGTAGAATTATCGGTAATTCTCTCTCTGTAAAATCTTTACATAAGTAATTGTGACCTAATTAGTATATGTTTTGTTTTAATCATATATATCCCTCAATATAAGGATCTTAAAATGTTCTGATATAAAATAACATTTATGAAAATAATTAGATTCATTTGTTTTAAGTACAAATGATGCTTTATATTAAGTATTTTTAAAGAAGGGAATCAAAAATATATCTTTATAATTGATGGACCAATGACATCATAGCTTCTATTTCTATATTATAATTCAATAATAAATAATTATAACGTTTAATTTAAATAAAAGTCATAATAATAAAATAACATTAAATTAAAAATGTATCAATTTAATTAAGACAATTATCTTAATTAGAGTCATTACGTAAATTTTTTTTGTTATATAATTTTTCTATTTATAAATTTCGAAGATATTTTACTATTTTATAATATTTAAATATGAAATCATTTATCATCTTGATTTGCGCTTATTTAGTGTTTTCTAATACATAAATTGCAAATACACATCAATAAGAAGCATATTTAATCACCAAGGGAATCTTTGATGCATTTGGAGTTTAGAATGAATTAGATATTAATCAAGTATTTTCAAAGATTGAAAGTAATTAATACTATGAAATTCTTTAAAATGCAGTCAATCTTCAAGACGAACTTACAGAAGAATCAATATTGGAGGGTGTAAGATAGATTGGAGTTGCCTTACAATAGATTCCAGATTCTATTGACAGCTTGGAAGAATAAACATAAGAAACAATTATAATATCAAGTAAAATTTTCTAAATTTCTTAAAAGAAATCTTCAATAATTTGTTGGAGTAACTCAGAAATCCATTAAGATTCCACTTCCAAGACAACGTTGAAGTCGTTATCAACGGTGTTAACATCTCATAAGACTTAGGTAATATCATATTTAATTATATTAGGGAATTCATTACTAGAATGGGAAAGTGAGAACTATGAACAATATGGTAGAGACCTTGGTACTGTAATGATCAGATTAATGCTGGAATTAGAAAATTTAGAGGCTGTGATTCATGATTAAAGTGTTATCTTGCTCATTTTTGATGGAGTTTTGGATGGAATCTTGGATGCAAGTGGAATTAAAGGATAAGACATTAGACAATGCATAGATGGAGTCAATCTTATGGTCATTGATTTTGAAGAATCCATAAGACTTCTTGAGACAGGATTACCACATAACGTTGTTTAATCACTTTAAATCTTTGGAGATGGTCTACAACATTTCCCTCAAGCACTAGACTAATGCAAGGCCTCCATCAAAGAAGCAGCTAAACTAGCTAAACAACTTAGGGAATTAATAAAGGCTTTACAAAATCCAGCATCATTTGCTTTCCACATTGGAATAGATCTTATCGTAAATGGTAGAGATATCTACAGAGAAGTATGATAATTTAATAATTTAGATTTTCACTGCAGTTGATGACTGGAAGTAAGGAAACTGGAATGATTTTGGATACTAATTAGGAAAAGCCATGTATTAAATCTTTGTTGGCTTACATGGTTAGTAGTCTTGAACATGAATTATTATTCGTCACAAAGCAAAATATTATCATAATTTTTTAAATCTATAATATTATAAATAAATTTAGGTAAATTTAAAATAAAAGAAGATAGGAATAAAAAAATATTTAATAAAAATTAAATAAATTTATAACATAAATCGAGAATGAATAATTATCATGAAATCATTATCATTTTTCATACTGTTTACAAGGTTTTCTAGAGTTTTTCAAAAATAGATGAATGAAGATTATTTGTAGTATTAATATTTAATTATAAAAATTATAAAAACCAATAGTCAACTGATCAATGTTTTTTATTTCATTTTTTAAGAAATTAGTTTGTATGGTTATGCCAATACCTTCCTTTGTTATTTGATATTTGCATTTATAAAGAATCCTTATTTTGGAGGTGATATTATTTTAACATCTTGTGCTATTTGTGTGAAATTCTTCTAAGATTTATTCTTCTTAATTGGTTGTTGAAAAGATAGATCTTTGGGGCCATTTGATTAGTACTTTGGCTAATATTTGCTTTCTAAAGCAATAGAATTTTAACCAAATAATGAATCTTCAATCTTTTGATCTACTAAAAACTCTGATTTATTCCTAAAAATAATTAAATTTAATTAAACTTGTTGTTAAATTTCGAGATGAAGCATTTTTATATACTTTCATTTTTTGTATACTCTTTAAAAGCATTTACATAATTACTTTGAGCTCTTTAATTTTAAATGCTTTTATCTTCTAGCATTTTCTTTTCAGAACCACAATTCTTGCATTTAGGTGACATATAAGAGATTTCATAAGTGAAAAAACCTAATTTTTTTTATTTTTTTGGCTTTGTTTAAACAGAAGCATCTTAAATAGAAACATTCGTCATTTATGTCTTGATTCGATCTTCTTATGAGTCATTTTAAAATCCAACTGAACAATCAGTTTTCAAAGGCTTTTTATATTTAGGAAGGAAATCCTCACTGATAATTATACAATTTTATACTCATTGGTATTGGATTTAGAATGATTCAATTTAGTAGATCTTAAAATGTTTGTGTCCACAAGGTTTAGGAGATTAGAGAGAGCACTTTTGGAAATATTATCTTGCGATTTGAAGTGTCTAACAGTTTTAGTTTGTTGACTACCAACAAAACAATCGTCAGGTTCAGTTCTGAAATTAGGTTGGTTTTCTATGGAACTTTGATAATAATGCATGCTCTCGAACTGTGAATCTATCATTTGTAACAAACCTTGAACTTTTTATTCGTGTTTTTACTCTGGAGATAACCTTTAAAACATTTACTAAATAGTATTTACAACTATTATTAACCACCCCTGTTTAGGCAGTGCAATTTTTTGTTTGGAGAATAGACAGTATATTTCATTTAGCAAATTCAACTGAAAAAAAAATATAAAATTATTTAATAACAAAAGAACGAAATGTGGTAATAAATTTCTAAACTGCTTAAGCTTAAATACAAATTTATCTTAACCATCTCAGAAGTTTGGAATGGGTCTATTCTACTGAAAATACAAATGGAATTGTAATTATTTATTTTTTCATATTTGTTTAACTTATAGAATGTGCAAGTAGAAACAACTTTGAATATTCAAATGAAATAGCACTAATATAATTACTATACAATCTATTAATAATATAAAAATCAATTCATCATTATTTTTTAACCTTTTTATTTACATTATCAAATTCTTCTATGTCTTATTTTTTTGTTTTTTTCTATAAATTCTATTCTTATTCTTCTCTTCTTTTATACTTTAATAGCATTTTTCTTCTTTTAATTTTTCTTAATTTCTCTATTGCCTTGTTTGTTTTGGACACTAAAAATATAATATTATTTGTTTACCAACTCTATTATAAACGACATTTCCTTGCATAAATCCTTCTTCTATTTTATAAAGCTTTAATTCTAGTCTAGGCCCAACTTCATGTAATCTGATACTCATTTATTACTTTTTATGTTATTTGTTCTCAATTTCCAACTCTTCTAAATCAGATTATTCTGTATCTGAAGCAAACATTTAGTGATTATTTTATAAAAAGTCAGAAAAGCTATTGTATTTCGATAGATTTGGTAATTTATTTGCTTTAATGATTTTTTTCATTTTTTTGTCTATTCCTTTTAAATTAAAACTAATGTAATAATGTCTTATGTATATCTTATCATTTTTATATGAAAAGAGTATAACTCGCTTTTATGTTTTTGGATTGGTATTTTAGACATTAATAGCAGGAAACATAGATTAAATCATATTTCCTACCAATTTGATATGATCACTAGTTGGCCTTTTAGGATCATCTGTCTAAACGTCAGTCTAGAAACCATTCATCACAAGTAAAGGAGGTGAGAAAACTCTAGAAAATGATTTGAACTTCCTTTAAGCATTGAGAACTTCATTTCTATTTGCGTATTTGAGAATACGAAAAGTAAAAGTGGGTCCCCTAGGGTTTTAAATAAATCTTATGTATGAATCTAGTTAATATGCATTTTTTGAATACTCTTGTTTGTCTATGTCATTATAATCATATGTGATATTAAATAATAACCAGCTGCCTATATGTAATCTTTCATTTTGGTTTTATCTGATTCTTACAAATTCATGGTTGTGAAGGGATACATAACATCTCTGTAATCATCAATTAACTGGCGAATAGTTGATGACACTTTTCCTCTCTTTAATATAAATGCTTGAGAATAGAAATGAAACTAAACCTTTTGGTGTTTATCCTATCAAATCAAGATCCTCCTCTGTTGCTTCTTTGTGAGTTCTTGTTTTTTTCTAGTTTTATGATAAATATGCATTTTACCCTTCTTCCTCCAACTTTAGGCATTAATTAAAAATAATTAAAATTTAATATGAAAAACCAACAAAAAATAAACACATGGCTTTCATTATTCTTGGTATTACCTTAGCTTTTCTATGTAAATATTGTAGAGTTCTTTCGAAATAAATAAGTCGTAATTTAGTAGTTCTAGCAATTCTGATTCCAATTGGTTTAACTCTTTTAAAGAGATCCCTGCTATTTTTGAATAATAATCATTTCTGTAGTAATCATCGTCTTGAAATTTGATGGCTAAAACTATTGCAATGATTAGAAATCTAATTCGCATGATTTACATACCTATGAACACAATGGCTATTTAACAAAATGTCTGGATTTAATTCTTAGACTTTATCCAAATAAATTAAGGCAATAACGAAACATTCGTCCGTGCATTTTGCATATTTTGCTATTCGAATTAAATAATTTTCTAATGTAATTGCAGGTGTTTTCGAAGCATGAAATGATGTTGACGAAGAATCAAGCTTGTCTGTTTCTTGTACTATCTCTTCAAGAATTGTGGCAATGCATTTTAAGAGAGATGGTTGTGTAGTTCTTTCATGATTCCTCACATTAACTTGTGTGCTTATTTGGGTCATATTATATTTATATTACTAATATGCTTATTTTAAAAAATTTAATCAAAATCAAATTCCTATCCTTCTTAATAAATCTGATGCAGTGATATTATTTAATTAGATTAATGGGATTTCTGTATGTTCCAATTGATTCATTAATTTTATTAATTTTGTCATTCCATTTACTAATACTAAAAACTATTATCATTAAATAATTCATCATTGCAAATTAATTATTAGAAACAAAGAATTTTCCAATCTTTTAATGCATCAAATTATCATATTAAAAGATTATTAAATCAATTAGGGTATCCTTTTCTTTAAATATACCCAATAATAAACTATTTTAAGAAATAATGGAAGTTTCTATTTTTAATACCAAAATTGATCTTATTTAAATCTCCTAATGAACTTAGAAGATAAAAGAAGATAAATTATTAATCGAGATAAATTTTTAGGTTGTTTAAATTTTGATCAAATTAATGTTGTTAAATGTTTTAAAAATAAGATAAATATATATATTTGCTATAATGCTTAGATAATTAAGGCAATCAAGTAATCCAATATAAAAGTTTTGAAGTAGAGGGAGTTCAAAAAATAAACACTTTCAATGGATAATATGTAATCCAAGACATTATTAAAATAATTATTTATAATTAAATAGTGTTTATTTTTTGTTTCCTAAGGAGGAATTATCTGAAATAATTAAAAAATTGAAATTACATTATTAATTTTTGAATGCAATTCAAATATCTTTTGACAATCCAGATTAAATTATATTGATTTATTCTTAAAATATCTATATTATTTTTATAATAATCATTTTTATTAACCCTTCATATTTTGATATTTTGTAAAATCAGATTTTGAAAATCCTTAATATTATTTAGATGATATTTTTTAGTCATTCTCATAATTTTAATCATTACCATTGTTTTTTTATGAATTAAATTGTCTATCATTTTACATTGAATTGATCTATTTGTTATTTTGATATTTATCATTACCAGCAAAGACTCTTTCATTAAAACTCTTATCATTTCCACCTGTGAAATTTCTAGATTATTGATTATTAAAATTTCTTTCATTATTGTTTCTGTCAAAATTGTTTTAATTAGAGAAGTTTTTATCACCATTATTATTGAAATTCCTTTCATTATTATTTACTTTGAAATTTCTTTCATTATTAAATCTCTCATTATTATATCTTTCATTATTATTTTTTTCATTTGTAAACCTTTCATTATTATTTCTATCATTATATCTTTCGTTATTATTTCTTTCATTCTACCTTTCATTATTACTTCTATCTACAAAATTTCTATCATTATTAGGCTTATCTACAAAGTTTCTTTCATTATTGGGCCTATCTACAAAGTTTCTTTCATTATTATGCTTATCAACATAATTTCTTTCATTATTATGCTTATCTACAAAATTTCTCTCATTATTATTATGAGCTTTATCTACAAAATTTCTTTCATTATTAGATTTATCTACATAATTTCTTTCATTGTTACTTCTATCAAAAGTGATTCTTTCATTATTGTTTCTATCGAAATTATTATTATTATTTTGTCTATCATTATGATTATTAAAATTCTTATCATAATTTCTCTAATGGTTATTATAATTTCTATCATTATTATAAGTCTTGTCATTTTTTAAGTGATTAAGATACTTATCATTGTAGAATTAAGCTTCATGATTATTATTATGATTTTGTGTATTGTTATTATTTCTCCTATTTTAATTATCATTTTCACTTCTAAAGTCCATATTATAAGTTTTTTAATTCTAATTCTAATCTTAATCATTAAATCGTTTGTTCGAAAAAGAATTAGTTTTATCTTCTTCTTAGAACTATGGCAATAATTTATAATTTTTTAAATCTAGCTCTTAATTTAATTCTAAAATTTTAGGTTGTTCAGCATCTTAAAATCTATTTCTCACATTGACTTATCGTGAATCACCTTAATTCTTTTTCTACTATTGTTGAAATTACTATTATGGCTATCTATCCTATTGCTATTTATTTTTGAAATCCATATTATAATTTCTCTAATGATGTTATTGATATTGCTATATTTCCCCCTTATACTCCTCATTGTATTCACTTCTACTATGCTTGTGATATGGTTTTTTTTGATTGCTCCCTTGGTTGATATACTATTATCTACCTTCCCATTAATTGCTATTCTCTTGCTTATTTTCTGAAGTCTAACAAAAATTATTAGGAGGATAGATGGAGTTTGGAATGCCAGTTTGATTAGAATTGTCTATATATTGTTAAAGTTTTCGCTGTTGTCTTTCCTATTTGACTTTGAGAGCTTTATCTTTGAATTCCAGCAATTCCTGATTGACTTCTTGATTGCAAGAATTTAAATAAGTGATGACCTAATCAGCAAGAATTCCTTCATCTTTTTCATAGGACAATAAGGAGAAGCTTCTTCCATGAGCTCCTGCCCTTCCAGTTCGACCGATCCTGTGAATATAATCATCAAAGGACTTAGGGAAATCATAGTTTACAACAACAGTAATGTCCTTAACATCTAAGCCTCTGGATGCAATATCAGTGGCACAAATCAATCTGGTGTTTGAATCCTTAAATTATTTCATGATTGCATCTCTTTAATCTTACGATTTGTCTCCATGTAATGAGATACAGAAATAACCTTATTTTGTGAGACTCTGACTTAGATCTTCACATCTCTTCTTGGTTTCTGCAAAAATCAAGACCTTATCTGTATATATCAAATCGTCTAAGACATTCATAAGAACATGTAACTTCTCCTTTTGTCCTGTGCAAATAATCTTTTAAGTAATTGGAGCCCCCTTCCCAATCTTAACTAAGATGGGATCGTAACAGAACTCTTTCGACAATTACTAAACCTCATTAGGCCAAGTTGCCGACAACAATATCGTTTGTCTATCTTCTCTTATAGTAGAGACTATGTCTCTGACTTGAGGTTCAAATCCCATGTCTAACATTCTATCAGCCTCATCGAGTATCAGCATAGTGATTTTATTTAGATTTACCATTCCTTCATCGATTAATTCAATTAGTCTTCCTGGAGTGGCTACAATTACGTGGATACCCTTCTGAATTAATTCAACTTGTTGTTTCTTATTTGGGTTTCCACCATAAATGCAGACAATCTTGAGATTCGTTAAATTAGGACTGTTTTCTTTCTCATTTTACTTCTTATTTCCATAATAAAATTCAATTAGTTAAAGCAATTAATCATATATTTATACTCCCAGTTCTCTTGTTGGTACCAATATAAGCAGTTTAGGTTATGGAGACTCCATAATCATAGCGTGTTGTTCTAGATGCACGAGAGCAGGTAGCAAATAGGCTAAAGTCTTACCCGATCCAGTTTGAGCAATTGCTAAGGCATTTCTACCAGATAATACGATTGGAATGACTAAATGTATTATTCAAATACCTTCAGATTAAATGGCTGTTGGTTATTGAAATTCTGGAGGTCCCAATGGAAAATGTTTCCAATCTAAAAAGGGTTAAATTATGTCATTATCTTATTCTCCATCTCTGACAATTGTTATATTATTGTCAGTCCTAAATTTCTCGATGTCTTCTTGGCTGTATTGCAGATTACTTGCCTATTGGGTATATTCTCATAATGGATTACATCAATGAAACATTTAGTGAAGTTTTCAAATTCTCCTGGGCATGATGCAAACATACCCAAAGGCTGACTCCATCTCTTTAGTCCTTTCATTATTTTAAATATTGTGAGCTAAGTTTTTCCTTTTAATAATTGGCAATAGATTGGTATTATTTATCTAATTATAAAAATTGAATAATCATTTTAGTATTTAGATGAGCATTTTTTGATATCTCATGATAACTGCGGGGATGAATTCCTTTTATTTGTTATTTGCTCTGATATATATCTGCTAAGCCTTCATGAAGGGTTCCCTTTATGATGATATAAACTTCTTAACGTTCGAATTGATTTCCTAGATGGAAAATGATTGAGTCATTCTGAAATCTACTTGCTATTAAAGAGACAATTTATATTTAGGATTCTCCATAATCTTATGATTGAAGGAGTACAAGTCCTTGTTCTTATGGTATTTCTCAGTAATCTCCAAAATTCTTTTTGGTAGTTTTGGTTGCTTTTTTGTTTGTTGATTCACCACCAAAGTCTACTCGTGATGAATCAGATTAAATTCCATAAATTCCTTTGTTTTAGTGATGGAGTAGATAATCTCTAGAGGATTGCAATTGTTATACTTGATGAATCTCCGATCATCATAATATCTGCCAGTAGCAATATTCACAAAAGGAACACTAATGGACCCTTGTATTGATGACATAAAGTCTACTGCTTTTGTAGGCAAGGTTCTTTCAAACATTTAGATAAACTCTAAAGCTGTTACTCTGTAATACGATGATGGTTCCTCCAAAAACCCACTCGACCATTTCTAATGATAGAACTCTGCTCGCTCTATGTTACCTTAATAGAAATATGCCAATCCCATTGCATCATAACACTGAATCTCTTCATCGTGATAGTAATAGGCCCATGAATACATCAAAGCTTTTTGAATCAAAATAATCTATTAGTCGAATAACTTAAACCTATTAATATAAAATAGTTTACTATTTAGCGCATATGGCCATAGATAGTAAAGAATTAACTTTCAATTTAGGGTTCCGAGATAGATTCGATAAAGTGAAGCAATCCTTTAAGAAATATGTAGCCTTTGAGTATTCTTAGCAATCAAAAAAGAACTAAGCTAATAAATAGATCATAAGTGAAAACAACTCTATTAACTATATTAATACAATGTTATTATACATTTTGTTCTTGTGCTATGAACATAGGCTTCTAAAATAAATGTATCATTTTCTCAGCATCTTTTCTTCTTATTAGCTCTTGAAACTGGATGGAATTCTCTTCAAAGTAAAGTATAATATTGTATCGCTTGTCCAATTTATTGTATCTTTTGGCACTTATGAAGGGGGCAAGCTTTAAGTCCTAAGTTGATGGTTTTTTAATACTCTGCTAAATGAGTTGAGTTGGGATTGCGGAGTCATTTTGTATTCGAATTCATGCATATTACTGAGATCCAGTTGTTTTACAGTTTAATCCTGGGTGCGTTCGAATAGAGATATATCTTTGGGGAGTGGAGAATTGCAATTGGAGGAGGAAAATAACTTCATAAACGGTTTAGTAGTTGTCTTTGATTTGTTGGAGCTTGTGCTGAGAAGATTGCGGAGTGCAAAGGACATGTGAGATTTTCTGTAGTGTTTGAGTTTCTCGAGCACAAATGAAGCAGTAGAGGGCGGTGAATTATTTTATTGCATAATAAGTTATTAATTTTAATGGAGCCAGATCCCAAATTATTGTCTCTTCTAGAAAAAGTTAATAACCCTATAGAAAAGCTTACCATTCATTTGACAATTAAAGTAATCAGACATTAGCATAATAAAAGGGTGTTTATGGATTTACAGATGATTGGAGGATCACTGATGAGACCAATCCGGCGATATTTGCAAATGTGATTCGATACAAAGGAGAGGATATGTTTGGGAAAATAAGACCCAGAGAACAGACGGAGAAGGAGAAATATGAGGAGTATCAGAAGAATAGCAAGAAGAACAAAAAGGACTCTAAAAGTCCAGAAGAAGAAGAGGCCATGAAGAAGGCCATTGCTTAAGAAGAAGAGGAAGAATTGTAAAAATAGTAGCATTTAGAAACCTTATCTGAGTAAGAAAAGTTGTTTTTCATTTCAGAAGATAAATTCAAAACTGCCAGCATCTAATATGAGGAAACACATTCAATTGACATTACTAATGTTAGATAATTGGAGGAAGAGATTTTAGAATAAAGAAACACTATTCAATTCATTAGACAACCAGCTGTGACAGAAGAGGAATTAGTTAAATTGAAGAAGGGTAAGACTAAGAATTTGAATAATGCTGAATTGACTTAGATTATTTTCAAGGGAGTGTTTGATTTAGCTGATCTATTAGAACCTGGATGTACTCACACTATAGTGAGAGTATTTTTAAAATAAGAAGAAGGTTCTGATTGTCCAAAGTATAACTGTGATAAATTGTATATGAAAATTGAAGTAAACACAGACCCAGCATTAACACCATTAGTTGAAGATGTACCATCGCTCTATATAGAACCTGTTATTATACAAAAGATACCTAGCAAATTTGAATGTGTATGGCAATTCAAGAGTATACTCTATTCATTATCTATTAGAGGATATCAAGGAAGCCATGAAGTCTCTTGAAGAGGAATACAGCAAATTATATTAAAGTGATTAAAAAGCTAAGACTTAACCCATGATTAGCATGACTCATCAGAGGTGGCTAGAATTGACTAAGAAAAAAGAATCTTTTCTTAATGAAATGAACACCTCTGGCAAGTACAATATCTTACAAGAGAGACTACGATCTTCTATTATAAGAGTTTGTATTGACAAGTTCGCCAAGGAAGGGTTGTTTGTTGGAGTTAATAAGGATGAACAGGATAGATTATTTGCTGAATTGTATGTCTTTATGATGGAATAAATGCAAACCACTCTAGGAGAATACATACAAAACAATAAGGAAGATGACATTCACGAAGATTTGGTCTTAACTTTTGAATAGAATATCAGGGAAAGAGATAGAGTGTTCAAAAGACTCAAAGAGTCTCAATTAGAAAAATTCCAAAGATTGGCCAAAGAATACGAAACTATTAATTAAGTGAGCTAAGCACTCAAATACTACACTAACATGGTCTTGGTCGATAAAACATCAGCCTCAGCTTTTGCCAAATATTGTCTCAAAATACAGAGGTTTAAGGCAGCTGAGCAATTAATCTAAATGGTAAGAGATGTGGAATGGAATAAGGAAAATGAATTACTAATGGCTTGTCTCTATATTCGAAGAGAGAGATTTAAGGAAGCTACTTAAATCTTAAAGGAATTATTGCAAAAAGAACCTATTAACACATTAATTAACTTGCTAATGTCATTCATCTATAGGCAGCAGGGGAATGACAATATGGCTGATAAGTATTTAAGATGCACTCAAAGAATATTCATGAGAACAATGGGTTTATTGACTAAAGGGTATTATGCTTATTAATATATCATAGATTTGCAAAATAATAGCCTGATCCTCATCTTTTGCCTAATTTCAAGTAACAAATGATTGAGTAATAAGAGAAGGCTAAAAAGGCACCAGTATTAACCTAAGAATAAATTGATTCAATTCAATTAGAATTAATTGAATATTTTGCATCTAGGAATTTATTTGATTTAGCTGAAAAAGCATTGGTTTCAATCAAGGACAAGACAACTCAAAAGATAAATATAATCAAAGCTCAAATTCATATTTTTAATGAGAATTATCCTGAAGCATTAACCTTGATTTAGAAGTTATTAACTTAAAATTCCAGATTCTATGATGTGTATTTGATTAAGGGATCGTTATGCTTTTAGACAGAATAATTTTATGAAGCTGAAGAAACCTTCTTAAAGGCACTTTCGATATAGTCAAAGAGATCGTTTGATATCCAATTGAGATTAGGGTACTTGTATTTGAAGAGGAAATCGTGGCAAGATGCTAAGGTGATTTTTGAGAAGGCTTTAGATCAATAACCGAATAGTTCTTTATCATGGTTGGGATTGGGAATAGCAAATTTAAGATTGTGTGATCCAATCGCTGAAGAATGTCTTTGCTAAGCGAATATCTATGAGCCTTTCAATGGGGAAGTTTGGGGATATTTGGCATTGAATTGCTTATTGTAGAAGAGAGGACAACAAGCAAAGTAATGTTTGTAACGCATGGAATAAACTGAGGTTTATGATTTGGATTTGTTGCTTGAATTAGCTGAGGAGATGTCGTTGTGTTTCGATTATGAAAGTTGTCGATCGATTTTGATGAGAGTTTATGAATCAAAGATAGCAATTTCGAACATGGGAAAGTTGTTGATGAACTTGGGTTAAGTGCATTCATAATTAGGGAGAAATGAGGAGGCCAAACAGTATTATATTGAGTCATTGAAGTATTTGGAGAGCGTAAACGAGAAAGAAAAGGTAAATTCTGAAATCAAGATATTATGACAATAATAATATATAATCAATAATCCTCGTCTTCTTCCCAAATCTCTTACAGAATTTAGACCAAGTTTTTGAGCTTGATTTTCTTCTAGAATGGTTGGTATGGACCCTTAGTCTAACGAATGATGTCTTCAACCTGTCTTCTTTCTTGATTGCTGCCAATCAATTTTGATTGCTGGAACATTAATTTATATAATAACTAACATTCACTATAATTTAATTTCAAATTTATGTCAACATCATCAGATTTCTAGCCTCCTTCTCCAAGTCTCTCCCCTAGTTCACAAATAAAATGTTATCAAGAACAATTAGAAAAAGCTCATTCCATGATTGACTACTTAGAAGTAATGCTTGCGGAGAAGTAAGCATTGAAGGAGAATTTCAATTCATTTAATCTGCCTAAGAGTAAATCTCACATGAAAAAACAGAGTTTGTGCTTAGATCAAATTCCTCAGTCAATCCAAATTCAATAATATGTTACTCCCAGAGAAACTAATCAATCAATGAGATTCACATCAGCTAATATGCCTAGTTACATTTCTGAATTGCAACAAAAACATTAAGAGATCCTCTCCTCTAATAAGGAGAAATCTACAGTCAAAAAGTTGTAGATCCAAGAAATCCAAGAAAAAGTATAAGATCTTTAAGATGAAATCATAATTTGTAAAGAAAGATAAAAAAATACTGAAATAGCAAAACATTAGGCAGAAGATGTTCTTGAACAAATTGATGATGATATTCTGCATGCAAAGATAAAATTACAATAAGTGAAATCTTAGGGAGAGTAAATATATGAGAGTATGTCGAAATTGGAAGATCAGCAACATGACAAAAAATACTATATGGGTCGAACTTCTACGTTGAAGAGAAAGAGAAGCGAAATCTAACCACCAAATCAAATCAAGAACTAATTAAATTAATTAAAAAATGAGATTGAATAACTCAAATAATCCAAAAAGGAAAAAGAAGAATATTATGCTTAAAAAATAAGGGAAATTGAATAACAATTAGATCAAAGAAAAACGAATGAGTCGATACCTGAAGATTAACTCAATGCTTCCCTGAGTCCTGACAGACAGAAAGTAAGAGTGTACAAAGGAAAGCACGCCTTGTTGCAGGTAATGTCTTATCAATATTAAAAGCTTACTCTCAATTCTGATTCTTGTTCCAGGTCTTACGCATTGAGAAAGTCACAAGAGAATAAATTGAATTCAGCTTTTGATTTCAAACAATTTGATGAACATGAAAATGTTTCAATAGACTCCTTTAAGAATAAAGATAAGAAGAATAGAACATGTGATCCATGCACTATCTTTTGATTAAATATATATATAATTAATTCAATATTACCTCAAATGTATTTATTTATTATCTTTAAAGTTTGTTAATTCAAATGGTTGCCATCAGAATAGCTTTTTAATCTATTTGATTTAACGTTAACCTTACACAATTAAAGGTATCTTCTCAAAGTGATGTATTCTAAAACTTATGGATTATAAGTTAGAATTATTTACTCTTTTTTGTATTTTTATACAGTATTGTTTGCAGGTCTATATTATATCATAAATGTCACTCCATTTTCTGTCTAGGCATACTATCATGTGGATGATGGAATCTGCCTGTCAAATTTAGAACAATAAACTGAATGTCTCAACTGCTTCAAGAGTTTAAAGGTTGAAGAGTAATAGGTTTCATTAATTCATATTTATAATTAATTAATGTAGAGAGAAAAGCGAATACCTTCAAAGGCTTGGCGATATGAAGAATACTCTCCACCAAAGCGAACCACTCAAACAACAAATCAAAGGAGAAGAAAGAGAGAATTATCCTTTTATAAAATACATAAATTCTCATAAAACTCTTAATTTACTAAAGAAGAAGACGAAAGCATTCTTTAATACGTTAAAGAATTAGGACCTAAATTCGTTAAAATTGCTACTTACTTTCCTAGTAAATCATATAGCATGGTGAAAAACAGATACTATAAGCACTTAAGAAATAAGTTGTTTGAAAGAAAAGAAAGCTAAGAATTGAACCCAAATAACATTGACACTACTTAATAATTGAAAAATACTCTAGTAAAACCAGATAATGAAAAAATAGAAGAGTTGAAATAACTTATCACTTCTATAAACTTATTTCCAGAAATAACAGAAATAACCAAAAGTTTCATAGGTGAATTGTAAAAGCATCTTCTCTGAAAGTATGGCAAAACTCTGTTGATATTCATTTTAATTCAATTATTAATTTATATAATTTCATCATTCAGTACTTTTATATGTAAATTCAAACTAATTTATATGATTTTCCAAGGTTGCTTGGAATAAATCGAGAAGAAATACTACAAATACTAAAACTGAATCGTTCGAAAAAGTAGCTATTCTCATAATTTATAGTTAACAGTTAACAAATTAATTTATTGCGTTATTTCAAATTCACTCTTATATATTTATAAAAAAATTCAAAAAATTATTTACTAGTTTATCTCAATTAAAATTACTACAAATATAAAAAATAAATAATTAAAATTATAATGGAATTTTGTTCCAGGATTAAGTGCTTTTAACAAAAAAGAACGATCTAACAAATCAAAGCTAATATAATATCTAAATTTTGTCCAACATAATTATGATTAAATGAAGGTCTCCTCATCTTTTTCTCCAACAAATACTTGATTAAATTAGATTTGTTTAGATTTAACAATATTAGAAGAAACAACATATATCAGATTATTTAATCAACATATGTATTTTAATAGAGTTATAATACAAAATGTGTACTGCTATAACTATAAAACAAAAAAACTTAAAATTATTGCAATTTAAAAACCAGTAAAATTCTTCCCTAAGAATAGTGAAAAAGTGTTATCATCTAATGTTAAAATTTCCAAAACTCATAGATAATAAACAATCATTAAATTATTGTATACTAAGTATCAATTAAACTACTCAAGAAAAAGCAATTTATAATTAGTAGGAAATTATAATTAAAACCATTATTTTTGCATCGATGCAACAATTTCTTAGCCTAAATGTATAAATATTCATTATTTCGTCAGGTTGTTTGTACTTATTTAATAAATTAATAATATTTTCCTTATTAATATACTAATTAACTTTCCAAACAAGATTTTGATGTAGTTATATCCTTAAGGATACCTCCATAGGATTTGGACCTTTTTTTATCATTATGCTTGAATTAAGAGAGATTAAGGTAATTTCAAAGTGGATATTCCATTTTAAATTTACCTTTCTTCCTTTATATGTTGTAAATATCTCCCTTTAATAATTTAATTCTATCTAATATTCAATCATTAATAACAATCAAAAACATCCTTGTTTAAATTATTTAATATATTTTATAGTTAATCCTCTTATTGTAGCTTAAATTGTTTTACCAATATGATTAATAAATCACTTATTTATTATTTTTGTTAATAGAATTTAATTTAAAGAAATAAATTAATGATATACTCAAAGATTTTTAAAACACAGAGAATTGGTAATTCAATACTTTATTGAGATTTATATGGATTTATAAGAATATTGATTAGAATTTATCTAGAAATGAGAAGAATTAAAAAAGAAAATTTTTCTCAACTATTAGAATATATTATGTAACATTGCAGCAGATAATATCACTCTAGTTTGAATGAGGCTAATTGAATATATCACAAAAAACAGTGGATAAAAACAATATTCTTATTGCTAAGATGATGAGTGGATAGGGAGATAGAAATGTTGTTTATTAAGAAATGGATGTATTTAAACCTGTTGATTTGGAGATTCAATAAAAAAAACTCAAAAAACAAATAAACAATTGTATAATTTAATAAGAACAGGCTGAAATACTAATTAAGTTAATATAATAGCTGAGAAATGTATGTACATTTAAAATATACAATAAGATTCGGAGAGCTCGGAGTTAAAGATTTCCCATAGATAATTAATTCTAATTTGAATTAAAAAAAACAATTAAAAATCGTAAAAAATAAAATATATATATATACATATATTATGATTTTTTATAATTAGTAGTAGCATCATAATAGAAATTTCATTCTGGTATAAATGAACAATATTAGAAAGATCCAGAATCATTGTTTAATATATAAGCTAATTAATTTCTATGAGTTGGATTCTATTAATTAATAAATAATTTGTTATGAATCTTAAAATCGAGGTGTTGGGATCAAAGGCCCAATTTGTTCAATTAGATTCAAACCTTTTAGTGGAGGAAGCTATAGATGCAATAATTAAAAAGCTAAAATTAAAGGAATAGAATTAATAATTGGGTTTATATATAAATGGTATTGAACTTAAGAGAAACACAAGAGTAATATAAAAAAATATGTTTGCGAATGATATATTGTAGCTCAGGAAAGTTGAATAAGTAAAATAAGTATAGGGAATAAAATTGCGTTTTAATAATCAAACAAAAATCGCCTATGTCTATTTAGATGACTTGAATATTGTTTTATATGATTAAGTTGAGAAATAGTTTTCGTTAAGTAAGGATTCCTTTAATCTTACTTTTAATGATTAAATTCTTAAAAAATAGATTCCTCTAAAGTTGAATTAAATAGACGCAACATCTATTGTAGAAGTTAAAACATATAACTAATTTTTATAATCAAAGCAAATGATAGAGTTAAAACTTAAATATTAAATGGAATGTAAAAATTTTTCTTTCGACTTATATGGTAAGGTTTTTCAATTAGAAGAGAGCGCAAAAGCTTTGTTTTAAATAAAATAAGACATTTGTATTTAATATGATAAATAAATATTGCTTCCGGATTAATCGTTGGTTGAAGTTGATATAAATAAAAACAATTGTCTTTTGATTCTTCCAAAGGATTCATATTAGCAATCGTTATCTTATGTCAATATAGAAATAGAATATAATGGATAATTATTTCCTTTACAAGTGTCCACCGACACATTAATAAACGAACTAATCAATCTCTTAAAAAACTAACTTGATTTGACTAATATTGACATAATGAAGGGTTATCAAGTGTTGCCAATAGATTAAACAATCAGTTAATTATATATTAAAGAAAACAGCAGATTAAACGTCATTCCAAAATAAAATAACACATTAAAGTTAGAAATTCAGATTCGAAACAATATTGAAAAAATGGAGGTTGAAAATGAAACAGTGATATAAGAACTCATTGAATAAATTGAATCTAATTTTTAATTGCAGAATATAGAGTTAAAATTAAGTAATGGGTAGAAATTATTACTTAAAAACTAAACTTTAAAATAGTATAATATCCAAAATGGAACATTACTATTAGTGGAATCTACTTAACAACAGCAAATTAGGCAATCGAATGGAAATGATTTCTATAATAATAACAATACTATCAAAGTGTCTGTTTTATATTAGTAATAAAGATTTGAATATTAATTTCTAAATAATCAATTAATTTAAGATTTAGAGAAAAAAATGAGAGAGAAATTGAATTGTCCAAACAAAATTTAATTAGTTGATTAAAATAAAGTCTTAAACTTACAAAATACCTTTCTACAGGAAGGAATAACAAGCGGATGCGTATTGTAGTGCAATATTCTCATCGACAAAATTAGAATAATTGAATAGCCAATAATGCAAAAATTGTTTTTAAAACTTATAATATTATTTTAAAATTAGCAAAAAGAGTAAATGCTTGATGAAAATACATAGCTATAAGCAGTAATTTAGAGTATAAAGTAGTAATTCTCAATAGATTATGAAATCTATTTGAAAACAAAAGATAGAAATTTAGATTCATCAAAAACTCTAAAAGAAAATTAAATAAAAGATAATACCTAAATTTTTGTTCAAAAAGCTATTTTTAAATTGACTATTATTTTTAAGGGTGAAATGTAGACTTTAGAAGCCACCTATGATACTCTAGGAGAAGAATTACAGCAGTAAATTAAAAATTAATATCAGATTGTAGATGATTTTGATTTACTTATAAATGGAAAAAAAATTAATCCAAAATAGTATTTAAAAGATTAAGGAGTAAAGAATCAATAGATTTTGGATGTATAAATTAAAAAAGGATAGGGGATTAAAATTTTAGAATAGAAAAATTTAGATAATCCAAAAAATCAGTAAATGTAACAATAAAGTTAGAGTTAAACTGATTAGAAATTTTAAAAAGTGTAATACTAATAATCATAAGATGGAAAAATAAATAAAACAAATTCATAAGACAAACCGAAAATTTCATCAAAAATTATTGTTAGAGAAATTGTGGATATGGATTAAAATAGCAATTTTAAATCGGAGCAAGTCTTCATCAAACTCAAAAGCAATAACTTGAAAGAGAGTTTTGAGTAAATTATTGAAATGTAATATGAGACAACAATTTCAGAGATAAGAGAATACTTAATAGGTAATTACCAAATAAATAATGAAATCAAATTAATCTTTAAAGGAAAGGAGCTCGAAAACAATTAAAATTTGGCGAATATTTAAATCAAAGATCATGAAACTATATTCGTTGAACCGAATAGCTATCATTGATAAATTTATTATGCATATTATTTGAATCATATTTAATTACTATAAAATACTCATTTACCTAATTTCTCATAATTTTCTATTAAATATTAAGTACAGTTTACTTAGAATTGTATCAAAAAAGGATAGATCATAAAAAAGTAATGTGATCATCCTTTACAGGTAATAAATTTTCATTCTGATTTATTAATATGTTTATTGAGAAATTGGGATTTAAATATTTTAAAGCTAATTGAATTGAATGAAATTTTTTATTAATGTATTATTAGATTTTAGGAAGAAATGATAAAGATTTTAGGTGTTAATTAATGATATTTATTTTTATTTATTTAAAAGTCGTGAAACAAGTATTATTTGATTTCCTTTTGACAGAATCTGAAAGTTATATAAATTAAATGAAGTGATCATGGTAAGAGTTGATTTGATCCAAAATCAATACTGTCAAAATTAGCTAATTTTAATAGACATTGCAATATATTTATAACCGAAGGGAAAATAAAATTTCAAATTTTGAGAAGAAATCTACAAATATGAATTATTAAAATTATTGATTTTATAAATAATAATCGAAATAAAGAGAAAAAGATAGTTTAAAAAAATTTTAATAAATAATATGGAGATTAAATATAATGAATAGGTTAATAATTAATTGATAATAGAGGAATAACAATAACATAATTTCAGATGAAAATAAATGTTCATTAAAAACAATATAATGAGTAAGAATAAACTATTAATATTCAGCAAATTTAAATAGATGAATTTCAATTCACTTAAGATAATTAGTTTTAATATTTACTTAATTAACTTAATTTAAAATTAAATTTAAGTTCTATTAAATAATTTCTAAAAATGTCATATATTTGGAAAGATATAGAAAGTTGGTTTTTAATTTAAGTTAATAAGTAATTAATACTTATTTGTAATTCTTTATTTATCTTAGTTTTTAAATATAACAGTAGGCAATATGGAACTACTTTGATCCATCTTTATTATTTCTATACAAAATTATAATAATTATGGAACAATTAATGATTTAACATAGCAAATATACTACAAAGTGTATTTCAAAGATGTTTATAATATAAATTAATGAATTAATCTTATAAATATATGAAAAATTATATCCTTAAAGAACATCGAAAAATCTATATTCAAATCAAATTATCAGGTATATCTCTTTCAAGCCAAAATAATATGATAAATGAGTTTACTATGAAATTAATGCTTCATTTCTATATGTTTTTAATTTATTAGTCCCAATAATAAAATTTTATATTATAGAATTTAATATGAATAATTAACTGATTATAATCGATTAAATCTTAATCATTATTATAAAATTTAAACATATGAAAGCAACATTGTTGATGGTCTTAACACTCTTGGTGTTAGGTAATTCTTAGTAGGTAGACATCCACGCTAAAGATGTCTATTTAATTGTGAAAGGAGTTGTAGAAGGAGTGCAAGTTGATGATCACGTAGAAGTAAAAGAAATAGTGTCTTGCTTAAACGATTCAGAAGAATTAATTAATAATATTGTCAAAGCTATCTCAAATTTAGAGACTTAAACCTTTGAGGGAGTCAAAGAAGGAATCAAATTAATTGGAGTAGCCATTTAATAAATTCCAGACGCCATCACTGCATGTGAATCTGGATCCGAGGAAATGGTAGCTTTATCAAGTATACATAATATTAATAAATAGAACTTCTCACTAACATGTTAGAACAATTGAGAAGCCCATGGACATTCTCATATAAAATCGGTTATAATTTAATTGTGAATGGTCTAGATATCTATAAGGAAATCAGTAATTACAATATGTAATCTTAGGCACTGCTATAAAAGACTGGAAATCAGAAATCTATGAAGATTTTGGAAAACAGATTGGATTTGTTCTGGTTTAACTACTTAAGGAAACAAAAAATATTGAGGCTGTTATTCTTGATGACGAAGTTGTAGGAATAGTATTTGAAGGACTACTTGATGGAATCGTAGATGCAAGTGGAATCAAAGCCAAAGACATTAAAGCCTGTTTAAATGTAGCTGGTGGAATTGTGATAGATTTTGAAAAAGCTGTTAGACTCTTAGAAGATGGTTCTGTCTCAAGTGTCATCTAAGCTTTACAATCATTTGTAGAAGGCATCTCTGAGTTCCCAAAGGCTCTCGAGACTTGCTAGTCTTCTTCTCAAGACGCTTTAAAGTTGGCTGAAAAAATCAAAGTATTAATTGAAGCCTTACAAAACCCAACTTCTTTCATCTATCATATTGGAAAAGATTTAATTGTTAATGGAAAGGACATCTATTAGGAGGTAATTTTAAGTTTAAATTTTTTAGATATTTGCTGCTGTTGATGATTGGAAGTATGGAAATTGGAATGATTTCGGTTTCTAATTGGGCAAGGCAATGGAATAAATCTTCGTAGGACTCCAACAAAATAAATTAAATTACGAATGAAATATATAAATTTAATACTAATTTTAAATCAAAATTTTTGTTACACTCTTTCTTTATGTTTTATGAAATAATTATAATACAAAATTCATTGTTTTTTGTTATTTTCTATATAAATTCTAATATATATAATTCCTTTATTTTCTCTCCTAGTTTAAGACATCAATCTCAGATCTCAGATGATGAATTCCAAATCAATTAATAAGATCTTGCAGCCCTTTAAAAGAAATATATTTTTCTAGTTTACAAACTCTAGCCTGAATAGGAATTTCACTAAAGAATTGATTATTACTAAGCCTTATTCATATATTCATCGAAAAGAATATGTTGGATAGTGAACACCAGCATTTTAAGCTGCTAAATTAGAGATTATCTTTATATCATAGGGTGTTGAATTCCTACTCATTAAACTATTTTGTAGCTTTAATATTTAATTAATTTCCTCTGTATTTATCAACTAAAGCACAAGCAAATCCGCCACTTATAAATATAAAATTTATAAGACTAATGAATTCCAATATTCTTCATACAAGTCTTTATAAAGATAATTCTCTTGTTTTATAGATTTATCTAGTAAATACAAGAATCAATAGTTAAATTTGAAATTCTATTAATGGGTATTTTATAAAATCAATTAATAGCATATTCTCAAAAATGTAATTATCAATAATCTTAATATGCAATAGAAATAACAAATTAAATACAATTGTAATTTAGAAATTAGGTGATTAATTTTTAAATCTAGTATATTATAATTTTTATATTTAATTTTTGGTTATTATAATAACAGGAGGAGATAAAATAACCAAAAATTTTTAATGTTGAAAGAATTTATCAGAATTGATATTAGAGTAGTAGTAGAAATAGATTGATCTTGATTAGAATAGCATTAATTAAATAAAAATGACTGAAGAACATCCAGCAGTAGTAATTGATAATGGTTCTGGTTAATGCAAAGCCGGAATTGCAGGAGATGATGCTCCAAGATGCTGTTTCCCAGCTATAGTTGGAAGACCTAAGCATCAAGGGATAATGGTGGGAATGGATACAAAGGAAGCCTATGTAGGTGATGAAGCATAAGCTAGAAGAGGTGTTTTGACATTAAAGTATCCTATAGATAATGGAATAGTGAATAATTGGGATGGTAAGAATTCTATATATATTTTAGACATGGAAAGAATTTGGCATCATGCATTCTTCAATGAATTAAGAGTATCTCCAGAAGATCACCCAGCATTGTTGACTGAAGCTCCAATGAATCCAAAAGTTAACAGGGAGAAGATGACTCAGATATTGTTTGAAACATTTAATGTTCCATCATTCTATGTTTAAATTTAAGCTGTTCTATCTTTATATGCTTCAGGAAGAACAACAGGAGTAGTTGTAGATTCAGGAGATGGTGTCACACACACTGTACCTATTTTTGAAGGTTATTCACTTCCTCATGCCATTCAAAGAATAGATTTGGCAGGAAGAGCTTGTACTCAGTATCTTGTAAATATTTTGAATGAATTGGGAATATCATTCACCTCTTCAGCTGAGTTGGAAATAGCCAGAGATCTGAAGGAGAAATTATGCTATGTTGCATTGGATTACGATGCAGAAATGAAAACTTACAAAGAAAGTGCAGCCAGTAACAGGCCTTATGAATTACCAGATGGAAATGTTGTTGTAATTCAGAATTAGAGATTCAGATGTCCAGAATTATTATTCAAGCCACACTTTATTGGTTTGGAAGTGCCAGGAATTCATGACTTAACTTTTAAATCAATCATGAAGGCAGATATTGATGTTAGAAAGGACTTGTAATATATAAATCTTATATTTATCTAGATATGGAAATGTTGTTATGTCCGGAGGTACAACTATGTTCCCAGGAATCCCTGAGAGGTTAAGTAAGGAATTATCAGGTTTGGCACCATCTTCAATGAAAGTCAAAGTTGTGGCTCCACCAGAAAGAAAGTTTTCTGTTTGGATAGGAGGATCTATCTTGTCATCATTATCAACATTTTAGGCAATGTGGGTTACAAGATCAGAATACGACGAAGCTGGACCTTAAATAGTCCATAGAAAATGTTTCTGATTAATTTCATTTAATTTTAAGTTTTAAATTTTATTAAAATTATTTTTGGAGTACAAATTTCAATTTTAGCAAATTTTCTATTGCTTGAAAAATTTGAGATTAATTATTTATTCTAGGAGTTAATAGTAAATATGAATATCTTTTCTTATGTTTTAACATAAATAGTGAAATTTTATTTGTTATTTCTATTTGAAATAACTATTATTAGAAAATCTAAAATAATAATAATAGTAATCATAATTACTTAATTTGATTGAATCAAGATAATGATATATATCTGTAATGTATTTGAAATAGTTAATCCTCACAATATTGAAATAGCAACTCTACTAAAGGAGTATTATAATAATATAATGAATGAGACTCGCATTTACAAAATATGAGATATTCATATGAAGAATGTAGCCATATATCAATATTAGAATGAATAATTTGATTCAAAGTCATGTTAATGGTAGTAAGAATTCAAATTAGTTTTTTGTTTTTAAGTAGAGAGATCAAATTTCTTTATAACTCATTGTCTTAGCCCTGGTTGTGCATGTTATAACAGGAATGCATGAGTTGCTCCATATGGATGAAGATATCTTTTGCTTATTCTGTATAATAATAAAATATTTATCGATGTGGGCATTATTAAAAATATAAAAATGGAAACAATCGTTCACACTTTTGAGAGATTCTTTGGTCCAGTCGATTGGAAGCGTCTTAAGACTGATGTACTCTGTTAGTCCTTAGTAAAAATGTGAACGAATTGTGTTTAGGTAGAAGAGGGATTCAGTCCAAAGGAAGCAAAGGAGTTATCTTGGTTGTACGGGCATAGAAACATTGGAAGAAACTTTGGTATGGAGATTAGAATTAAGGTGTAGGATTTTTGTTGGGCGTTGGAGTTGCTTATTGTTTCAATGGTTGGATTACCAGATGGACCTACAACATTCCTTATCTGAGACTCCATCGCTCTTCATTGTGGGTGTCCAGAGCATTGGTAGTGTTCGGTAGTCTCCAATTATTTGATTACTACTCGACTGCACGAAGAAAGGGAGGTGACTCAGGTTTGGGTCATGATTTGATGTGGGTGAATACCAGATACACAGAATCTAAAGAAAGATTTATTAGAAATTTTGAAGTTTTGAATAGGAAATTGTCAGACATTGAGAAGGAGATCTTGACAGTATGATTTGATGCTTATGAATTAAAGGCAAGACAAATTCAGTTGACATCTCCAATCAAGGATAGAAGATGGGTGTACAATCCATACATACATGGTTCTGATGAGGAAGCCTTTTGGAGCAACGTGAGAAGAAACTTCTTGGACAAAGTGCCCCCATGGGAGAGATACGATGTTCAATAATAGTAATTTGAATAGTATATTCCAGGATTGCCGCTGATAACAAAGAAAAGATTGCTGAAGGTGAGTAAATCAGATTGAAGCCCTACAAATTAACAGACGATGTCGATACTTCAGGTGTTAAGTTTGGATTTAGAAGAAACCCATTTGTTAACAATTGGACTCCACTTTAGTGAGCATTTACATTTATCACAATAAAAACATTATTTATCATAGATTGTATATATATTTATTATTTACTCCAACAAAGGAGCCAGAATATTAATTAACTAAATGTCAACGTTAAAGAAAACGTTCCAACATAGCTTTAAGAGTTTCTGATAGTTGTTGATGATATTGGATGGATCGATTGCTCATCAACATAGCTTGATCAAGAAAACCCTGGAACATTTGAACCAGATGATCTTCATTGCCATTTATTTGCAATTGGTCATTCCAGAACTTGGCTCCTGTGACTGTTAAATAGATATCAAGAGAACATACCTTCAAGTTTATTAAGGAGGGTGGTCAAAGATTCCTTAGCTTGTTGATGAGTGTTTTTAGATTGAGTGTAGAAAAGTTCTTTATCCAGGAGATCGAAGGAAGATTCTAGCTGCTCATTCATCATCCCGATAAGGGTCTCTTGGATGACACTGTGCATCAGACTTAACAATTGTAGAGCCTCATTTCTTGAATTCGAATGATTGCTTTGTTTAAACAATCGATCTACGCCTTTTATAAAAAAATCTAATTCTTAACTGGGATTCGATTTGAAAAGACCTATCATGATCTTAGATTCCAATAATTCTAATGTTTTAAAAATATCTTAAATATTTGGAGAATCAATCACTAATTTTTAAATGGCCATTGTTACCTTCTTTAATTTTTTAAAGTAAAAAGTTGTATTCATCAAAGCGCTTCGACGCATCCTCTCTAGCCTGATGTTTGATCTTAGCCAATTCTCTTGTGTCAGTCTCAATCAACTTATCCTTAACCGATGAATAAAACAATGATACTTTATCTATTATTAGGCGTTTTAGAAGATTTATGACTTTAAAGTATGTCTCATGAAGAAAGAGTTCCTAGCTATCCTTCTCCTTTTTCTCAGTCGAGAGTCTTTGCTTGATCAATCTTTACACCTAAAGTAAGCATACTCTCACTCACATCAGAAAAATGCTCTAAATAGATTGTCATTCCCTCCTCTTCAAACTCTCTATCCTAGCGAGCTTTCCACTCCAATTTCTCGAGAGCAGTATAATATTCCAATTAAGAAATGGTCTCCTTAATCCCATTCATCTCATTGTAGATTTCCATCAGATACTATTCTTGGACATAAGCAAGAGCCGGAATCAATAATAAATATAACATTTTAATTAATATATTCTAATTGTCTGCATAGCTCTGCATATCACCTCAACTATTCCTCTTCCCATCAAACTTTCTGAATATTAATAATTATAAATGTCAAAATCATCTGTGATTGATGTGTTCCTCAGAGTCCGCCCCACCAAAAATCCATCAAATCTCTTTAAACTCAATAAAGATGAGGGTACAGCTGAATTCACAATCCCCAAGAATCCAGATCAAGGTTATATCAATAATCAAATTGAAAAACATACCTTCAATTTTGCAGGAGTATTCCCAACTGACACTACTTAGGAGGAAATCTTCGATAAAATAGCCAAAGACGTTGTAGATTCAGCCATTGAAGGTAACCAACTCATTTAATCATAGGTTACAATGGAACAATATTTGCATATGGATAAACAGGATCAGGTAAGACTTACTCTATGACTGGTAATCCTGAAGCTAGGTCATCTGCAGGTATAATTCCACGTACTCTTTATCACATATACGATTATGCACGGAGAGAATAAGAATTAGTAATATTGAATTTCAAATATCAAATTAGATAATCGATGTCACAATTAGTTATCTAGAAATCTATGGTGGATCTGGATATGATCTACTAGTTGCAGACAATCGATCCAGAAATCTGCACGATTTACCAAAGGTTTAAGCAATGGCAACTGCGAATGGCTAAACTATTTTATAAGGATTGTCCTTGAAAAAAGCATAAACTGAGGAAGATGCTCTAAATCTACTCTTTATTGGAGAATAGAATAGGGTTATTGCAGAAACACCCAAGAATGATGCTTCTACAAGATCACATTGCATTTTTATTGTTATATTAGAATGTCGTAAACCAACTTCAGATGTCAAAACTGTTTCTAAACTTTGTTTGGTGGATCTTAGTGGTAGTGAAAGAATTGGAAAAACTGGAGTTGAAGGCATACTCTAAAGGGAAGCTACAGGCATCAATTTATCCTTGCATTTTCTAGAATTAGTTATTGATTGTTTGAATCGTTAAGCTAACGGTGAAAACATTCATATTCCCTATAGAGATTCACTGATGACTCTCGTATTGAAAGATTCCTTGGGTGGAAACTGCAAAACCAGAATGATTGCTACTATGTCTAGTGAACCTGATGATCTCCCGGAATCTATTTGTACTTGTCGATTCGCAGGAAGAGTTGCTAATATTAAAAACAAAGTAACTAGAAATGAGGCTGTGGATCCATTTATTATCATAGAGAAGTTGAAAAGGGAAAATTAGTAATTGAAAGCAGAATTAGCAATGATAAAAGGATAAAGTATCAAGGATCATTTGGAATCTTATGAGATTGATGAATGCAAAAAGAAGGTTGATGAATTTTTAAACGCAGATGATCCAGCAGCCATTTTGGTTGTGAATGATCATCTTAAAATGAATGAATGCTTTTTCTAACTTAAGCATATGCTCAAAAATTTAAATAAGAAGGTCTCTGCTTCACCTGTTGTTCAATAGCCACAAGCTATCACTAATAATAACAATACAGTTGAAGTGTAATAATTGAATGATGAGGTCTTGAGATTAAAACAATTAATCATCCAGAGAGACAATGAAATTATGATCCTTCTAAATCTAATATAGAAGGGTAAAGGTTCGAATGCTAATCAATCGTTGGTATTGTAAGGGCCTATTTCAGAATAACCTGAAATTCAATAAGCTAATACATCCAGTATCTTATAGCCAATAGAGTTTCCAAAACAAGCTGAAATTGATAGACAAAGTTAAATCATAACCGAGAAGCCTGGCGTTAAGAAATAGAATTTTATGTAAGGTAGTTTAGATAGTGAGCCTATGAGTCAAACCACTAAAACAACTACTGCATAAATTAAAGAACTAAATGGTATGTGTATCAGAACCGATTAATATTTCTAATGATTAAATTACTTGATAGAAATTCAGCTTTGGAGATGTTCAGGAAATCCTATCGGAAAGCTTAAGCTTAAGAAGATCTAAAGCAGGAACTTTAGGAAAAGATGATGACTAGCAAAGAATTAGGTTTGTTTATTAATAATCAAAGAAATGTTATCAGTTAATTAAAAGACAAAATAGAATAAACTAGAAAAGAATAAGTATTGCTTGGATTAGTAAGCACCGATCCTAATCAAGTAAGCACAGAGGAAGAGAAACTGATTGCTGAATATAACAAATAGAAGGACACGTAATTAAACCTGTTATTACAATAGATACAAATAATCATTTGATAAATATGAAGTAATTGAAGGCAGAAGTAGAGAGAATGAGCACATAGTTGAAGCACAGCCGAGAGAAAATGCAACAGGACTTTGAGAAGTGGATCGATATGATGTTGAGGTAGAGGAACTATGAGTATGGCTGCAACATCTGTTTTGTCTGATTTCAAGAATCTATCATAAAAAGGAGGGGAGGATGTAAACAGCATGGTGCAGCAATTCTACAAAAACAAAGAGATTTGTAATTAATTATTATAAAAATGATTGATTTACTATAAGTATTATGTGAAATTTTGTTTTGGGATAATCTTTATGATGATGCATATTTAGATCATTCTTTAATTTAATACTTCTTTCTCATTTCGAAGTACTTTCTGTAATTTTAGTCTCTTGATCTGGATACGACAATGTCTTTGGCATGAAGGTAAGAGTAAAACATTTGGGTTAATGGCATTCCTTGACGAGCCAATCTTATAATTCAAGGCAATAATTACTTATCGTTATTGTATCCAGTGTTAATAAGACCACTTCCTTCAGAGTTTTTACCAGCTGTCAAAAGGTAATATTCTCTTTTTTAGATTTGATCTAATTATGATGATGCTCAGATTACTTGATTCCAATTTGTATTTATAGAGAGTGCCGATCACACCTAAGCCAAGCATTGTTGTGATGATACGTCCTTTTGGTTATCTAATACGATATGTCTTCCAATAGATGTAGCCCATGGGATTTTTGATTAATCGGAAGAAATTCTTGAAGAATCTCCTCTTGTTGCCTCTATCGATAAACTTCTTTTGCATCTAAGAGAAGATATTAATGATAGCCTCACTCTGAATTTCTCCATCTCCCAATCATAAGCTTTTCCCATGGATCTCCAAATCATTTCCAATCTCTCTCTCTTGTTTGGAGCATGATAATAGAGATAATGTTGTCCGAATGTACGCATCTTCACATCAGCGTCACCAGTGGATTGGTCACGGATCCAAATGTAGTCTTGCTACATACGCTCTTGTGCGTTGGTCATTTTAAATCTTTTTTAATATTAATATCATTCGTAGTGGAATCGTGAATCAGCAGGCAGATTTTGTGCTAGACGTTCGTACACATTCATGCGAGATCTCTTAGAAAGAGCCTTGGTTGCATAGTAAGCATTCGAGAAGGGGCTGCGTGAAAACAAGTCAGATTTCCTCTTTTCTTGTCTTTGTTCCTGAACTAGCTAGTTATGCTATAATTACTCTTCTATTCTAAAACACTATCGTTTTTTTCTATCACTTGGTTGAACAGAGGTCTCAAATTAAATCCATAATCCTTTATTGATTAACTTCGCAACTTATTATCCATCACTATTCGATACATAGTCTTGCGTGTTTAAATCATCATTTTCTGTTTGTCCTCAAATGATACCTCTTTTGCATCCAATGTACTCTTCGATTAGGATTGAGGTTTCTTTGAGATCTGACTTGATTTCATCATCTGAATCACTGGAGACTATGCTTGAAGAGAGCATTTAAAATGCTTGAATTGCTTAAACATGTCTTATAATTAAGCAATATTCTGAATTTTCGACCTCGAGAGGGTTCCCTTTTCGAGATGTCTACTCTTGCTCGTATTTTGATGAAACATTGGCATATGTTATTAGTCATCTTCATCAAGCTGTAATATCAGCTTCTTATGGTAACCGTGATGAGAGTGAGAACTCTTTAATTTGGAGAGACTTAAGTATGGTTGATGAGTCATATTTTAGTAATAAATATTAATAAACTCTCACTTTGACCAGAAACCTCCTTCAGTTTTAAATGGTGCTCTATCCAAACCTCCTTTGTTATTGATGCTATGCAGAAAATCTATTCCGTTGATTACTTTGGCCAAACAATTTTCTATGATAGAAATGTTTAATACTTAAGCAAGCTTCTTCTTTAACGTTCATAGCGCGTTCATAATTCTTCAGACACTTCTTATAACACAACTTATCGATGGTTAGTATCTTTTAACCAACATGAGAAAAATCACGTGCTTCTTCCATAAATAAATGATAATTAAAAAATAATTCAATATTTACTCATTTCAGCGTTGTTCAACAGCATAGACAACTCCTCATTTCCATTTCCACTTGGCCTAGGCCTTATCTTTGGTTTTGGAATATTGTTACAACTTTAACGAGTAGGTTCAATATTCTATTTACCCCTAATAGTAGTTTGGCTGGTACTCTACTTTTTCAATTTATCAGGTGTCTTGTACTTGCCTGTTTGTTTCTTATTACAAGAAGTACTATTATTTTTATGATGAGTTGAAGTTTGTAGAACATCCATCTCGCTGATAAAGCTTTACAATACTGTTTTAAAGTTAATTTCACTTAAATCCTAAACAGTCTACTAAGAAGCCGTTTCATTCATAGATGGTTTAGTAATATTATTTGAATGCCTTAAGTAAGTAGGAAACTCTACTTTGAAGAATTCTTCAGATTCAATGCTTTAGTCTTTTTCTTTTTCCTATTGATTTTCCATCTCTACTTCCACTATATTCGTATACATAATTTCATCCAAATTTATTTGTTAATAATTTTGGACATCAATTTCATTTTAAGAACTCTACTCAATCAATTTAAATTGTTCAATGTTATACACTTATTGTTAATCCAAATTGCTTGTCTATTCTCTTTCCTTCCATTCAATTTACAATTTTAATAACTAATTTTAATAAAACTAAATCATTTAATGTAATTCTTAATTTTCTAGCTATTTTACATCAAAATCTAACTACTATTTCATTTCAGATGCATAACTATATAATCTATTGTATTAGGAATTAAGAGACTGAATTTGATCATATTATTATTAAATCCTAAGTTTACTTTAATTATAGAACTCGTTTAATTAGAGATATTAATTTTTAACTAATTCATAATTAGAAATAAGTGTCTTTCTGTTTTATTCGCTAACTTTTAAGGCACTTAAAACCAATTTACCTTAACAATCATGTTGAGGGGGTTTCTTAACTTTTTAATTAGTGACTAGAATGTCTCCTGCACCAGCACAATGGAAATCATACTTGAATCGATCTGCCCAAGTAATATCCTTATATAGTTTTGGAATGCATTTGAAATTTTGAGCATTCTATGTAGTTAATCTATTTTGTAATTGCTAATTCTCATTTTATAATTGATTTAGTTATTATTCAAATCCTTCTTTTTCTTCGGCTCTGATTTTTTCGTAGTCATGCAATTTCTTTTCATAATCAGAGAGTACGATTTTTAAAGCTTCGTCGTCATTTTAATAATTAATATTGGCTAAAACCTTGGTTTCAATTTTTTTGGCATTCATCCCAAATCTCAAAGTGGAAATGGAATAATCAAAATGAAGAGCTGCAGCATTGATACATAAAATAATTAATGTTCTGGATGATCCATCTAAACTAGATTTAAGTATCTTTGTTAAAGATGAGTTTCTAAATGGTACATGGCCTTTATCTTCAGCCTTTAAATAGATGACTTAAGTAAGAAAGAATAAACTCTTATTAATATATTGACCTTCTTTCACTCTGCGATTAGTATCCTAGATTTCAGCATCCTCGAAGTGATTGGACACTTTTTCAGACCCAGCCAAATCAACAAAGTTGAGAACACTTTCAGTTACCATAGCTCCTTTGAGTTGATTGTTTTCTGATTCTAATTATTCTAGAGTAGGGAATTTATGTTGGGATTGTTCCCGTCTATATTGTCGAATAAAATTATTGGTGATTGATTGTACATACAATCGAAATATGGCATGAGATCTGGAACTGTTATGATTCATGGCAGTTTGAGCATAGTGCCTATTGATTTCACCTCTTTTAAGCACATCAAAGATTTCATTGATGGATGATACTGATTATTCGATGAGTCCTTTCACTGAAGAATTCCTTCTTTTGATCTTCGTTGACTTGTAAGGTTTCTTATAATTTGGAGGATGGTTTTAGGAGATCAAATATTTGTTCATTGTATATTTCAAAATATGAACAACGTAAAACATAGGTCTTATTGAGATCAGCCTCAATTTTAGCAAACAAATCCTTAAAACTCTACAATAAGACGCCTTCATCATTTTCCTTACCCAACATTGTGTAAGTCTTGCCACTACCAGTTTGACCATAGAGGAAAATAGTGCCATTGATACCATTGGTAGATCCAAGCACTAATGATTTCACCTCCTTCGAATAGATATCAGTATTTTTGCTGTCCTAGCTGAAGCAGTGATCAAATGCAAAAGTCGTACGACCTTACCCATTGGGTGGCTTTCTCATTTAATTGTTAAGAAATATATGTTGATCATGAATTGCCCAGATGGAAGGTTCAGGATCAGGACGTATGCGGACTGCTACTTGGATGTTTTCCATAGTATTTCGGTTAAATTCAAATATGTATATAATAAAATTAATGAGTTAAGAATTACTCCATTGTCCTCAATGCTAAATGAATTTTGATAGATTCACTCGAACACCTCAAATGCTACCAAAATGCGGTCATTCAATGTGTTTGCGCTGTCTTAAAGAATCTAGTAAGATCATTTGTCCTGAAGATGGGTACTCTATGTGTCAATTTATCAGATTACTTTAACCTGCCGATCTTACACTCTATCCAATCAATCAAGCTGTTCTGAGAATCATATGCAAAAGCCAAGATAATGATTTAACATGGAACCCAGACAAAATACAGTAGTGTCCCTAACACCATAAACAGCTTGAACTCATATGTATAGATGACAGGTGCAGAATCTGTGCAAATTGTGCTTTATTTGGTATTCACAAACAACACAATATATAAAATGCTGATGTACCTATATTTATTGATTTTTAGTATGTGGACAAATCAATCAAGGAAAACCTTATTCAGACCTAAAATTTGACTCTCACTATCCAAGATAAAATCAAGTCACTCAAGTTGCCACTCATTAATAAGAAGATACACGATTAAATTAGGCTTTGTATAAAATAATAGTAAACTCTTGCTGAAGAATAATTTAAAGTATCTTACTTCAATCACCCTAGGAAATAATCAATTAGATACTTCTTAAATAGTAAAAAGTGCTTGAAGATATTGAATAAAAGTATAAATAGTTAGAGGATCAGTTCTTTAAAAAGGAGACTCTTACTATTAATTAAATCCTTGACAAAGCTGATTTGTGGATACTTGGGTATATATAAAATTACAAATCAGATCTAATCAAAAAATCTAAGAATTCCAATTAGCCAAAGAAAAAGGAGAGATTCCCTACACTTTGTTGCTCTAAGACTCCTCGAATAAATAAGGGAACTAAATCCTTGAAGAAATAGACGATTATCTACTCAAATTCTAAAATAATCTTCAAGACATTGTTTCTGCCATCCCAACCTTTAATCAATATGAATAAGAGTATTTCGATGAACCTAATATCCTTAAAGATTTATCTATCATTGAACAGAGTTTCTTGAAAGAAATTGATGAATAGCCACCTCATAATGAATTCCTAGGCTCATCTCTACCAGAATCTACTTGCCAATCTCAACCATCCTCTAACAATATCTCCTAACACACCATTAGTCCACAATAACCTCATCAAAAAAGGGCTTCTTAATAGTTCGCTTTGGTCTCGCCAAAAGTATAGAGCAGACAACAATCTGCCTCCCCCAAGAAACCTGCAGCTAAGAAGAAACTAAACACCAAGGTGGAATCGATTCTATTCAATTGTAATGGTGACCATCTGGATTTATCACAATAAGGTACTTTATTTGATGTTTATTCATTAAGAACTAGGAGATGATGGAATAATGATATTAGAAGAATAAATCAGAAATAAGAAGATCAAAATTATTAAATTAATGAGGAATCGTATAAGTGATGTAGGTGCTATGAAATTGATGGAATTGCATTGTTAAGTGTTGTATCTTTAATCAAATGTGATTACTGAAAAGTTTTTGGATATGATTATGAATGCTATTTTGAAGTAGATTCAGATTCACATCAAAACTGTGTATTTGGGTCAGAACCTAATCAATTAATTTAGAGTGAAGAAGAAAATAGAGGATCTCAAAAAATTAGGAATTTCAATTTAAATGTGAATTTCAAATAAGTAATTAATATTAATTTGTATAATTAAATATATCTACTTAATTAATCTTAATTAAATTGAAAATTGAAATAGAACTCAATAATTTATGAAATAGATTTATTGATTTTATATATGCTGATGTGATTATTAATATTAATTAAAATAAAATTTATTCATGAGCAGACCTTACTCACCTACAAGAAGCAGAGCAGAGAAGATTGTTGGACAATTGAGCGAGTTAACCTTGGGACACAAAGATTAAGTATTAGGTGTTTGTTTGATTGAAGACTTCGAGAATAAAGGAAGCAGAGGAGAGAGTTGAAATCTTGGAAACAGCTATAAAAGATCTTAGGGATACTTTAGAAGGAAAGGTCTCTAAAATAAAGGAGGGCTTGGAATATGTGTAATCGGTGTTGAGTGAATAAGAACCAAAGCAGGAAGATGAATAATAGATGGTTGAGGATATGAAGAAGGCGGAGGAGAGTGTAAATGAAAAGTTGGAGGAGTTGAGCAAGTAGAGAGAGGAAAGTTAATAGAAGTTCAATGAATAGGTTGAGAAGGATATCCAAGAATTGAGAGAGCAGATCAGTCAGGAGAAGAGTGAGAGGAATCAATCAATCAAGGAGATAAATGAATGTTTAGAGGTAGAATGCTGAATAACTATTAAAGAGTGATTTGCCACAGTTGCAGGAGATGTTGCAGCAGAATATAAAGGAGAGGGATGAGATGGATAGAAACATCAATACAAAATTGACTGAGGAATTGCAGAGGTTGTCCCAGATTATTTAACAGGAGAAGGTGAGCAGACAATAGGGAGAGCAGAGTCTGTTTGAGATGTTGAAGGACGTGGTGAATAGAATTAAGAAAGAGATAGATGAAGAGAAAGTGCTGAGAGAGGCTACTGAGAATGATGTCCTCAGTGTGTTGGAAGAAACACTGAATAAAATTTTAGCAGCTCAAGATCGTTGATATATTTAGATTATAGAGATAATAATAAATAATTAAATGTAAAATTCAGACAACTCAGACGAATACTATAGCGATGATCAACAAGAATCACCCAGGTTTCTGTACAACCTTAAGGAGATAAGTCTTTAAAATAAAACCCAATTGGCTGAAATCAGAATCATATGCAAAAACCTAATCTATGTGATAGGCTTGGCACCCTAGCATAGCAAAGGAGGAAGTATCAAATATTTCATTAGTCAAAAGCTACTAAAGAAGCCAGAGTATTTTGGACAGTATGGCTAAATCCAAAAATTAATAGTAATTTAGAGCAACACTTTTAATCCACCTTCACATGCTGCCTATATTACATACAGGAATGAGCAAGAAGCATCGATGGCGATTTTAGTATACATTATATTTAAAATTTATGGCATGCGAAAGAATTTCCACTGCATGACAGATATGTGAAGGCATCTTTTGGTACAACCAAATATTGCACCAACTTCCTTAAAGGATAGTAATGTAAGATAAAAGACTGTGTTTATTTGCACCAACACCCCAAAGGATAAAGAGTCGACTCAAGTCATTAAAAAAGTATGCCTCTATTCTATGCCAGGAAGAGATGAACAATTCTAAATGGCTCTTTTCTTACTCCTAAAAAATAGCGTAAGAAAATTTCAAAAAATTCTATACCAAAATCAACTACAAAAATGCTCTCTAAAAATCTGTCTTCCTCAACACTTAAAACATTCTTGATCGAATGATTGAAGATAACATAGTAGATCGCATTCCTGACTAGCCCTAACCTCCGCAACCATTATAGACCGTTGAAGAAACACAACCAATCGAAACTCCTGTATAATAAAAGCCAATCGATATGGAGAAGCGATTGGAAGCAGTTATACAAAAAAGTATAATATATCTCCTAAATTAGTGGATGGTGATAGCAATTCGAGATTCAAATTTACAAATGGCAACTGTCCATAAGACTATGAAGCAATCTAGTAATTGAAGCAATGCCTTCTAAAATGATTATGGAAAAGTAAATAATAAAAATAATCACATTTATTCAAAATCTTTTATTTCTTTGATTAGTGCATATAAAATATAAATGCACACTAAATACAATACTAAAGTCAAATTTATAAAGATCTTCTTAAATTTGATAGAGAATTATAAATCAATTTAAACTATTATATAACAAAAATAATTAAATAATTAATCTAATTATGTCTGATGAATATCTTAAGTCAACCTCTAAGTCTGACAAATATTATGACTAAATAATTAATAAATATTATATTTGCTCAAATGTGCTCAAATTATCTTTTCGCTTTCATAAATTTCATTATTACCTTCCCCTTTAGTATTTAGTTTAATACTTTGAATTCTCCATATTGTATTTTATTTTTCTAATTCCATTTTTGGCCTTTCTCCTTCGTATGGTTTCTATTTTTATTCTATTTTCGAATTAAGCACACAATTTTTTAACTCCAGTTAAAAAGCATAAAGTTAAATTGTCATAAAACTCTGGTTTCTTTAATAGCTCCTCCAATTAATTCATTAAAATTAATATTATTCTTAAAATCATAATCATTAGATGAGTAATTTTATATTAAACAATAGAAAAAAATTGTTTCCGCTATAGATTCAGTTATATTTTTCGTGAACTTAATTATTTGTTTGGTATTCAGGCTTTGGAATTTAAATTAATTTTAGGAGTATATACTCGTAATAAATTGTATTCTACAATGGTAGTACGTCTCTCTAAGCATAAATTTTTAAAATAGAATAAATTCATTTCTTTAATTTTTATTAATATATCTCATCTACTTGAATTGCAACTTTTTGGACTTTACAAATTTATAACATTTAAGAACAAAGATTATACAAGTGCCAAATTTGTATCTCTTCTTTATAATTAAAAAAGTTTGTGTCTGAGTTATCTTTGTTAATTGTTCTATTTTATTCACTTAAATCATATCATTATTATCTAGTTTAGGTAAATGGTTGCCAAGAATGAATTGATAAAACAACCTATAATGTAAAATAGATTTTAAAGAATATAATATGGATCATCAATTTTCACTTTAATGTAAAGATTTATTGAAAAGAAATTTAGTGTAATTCTTAGATATATTTAATTATCTGTATGAAGTTTTATTGAATACAAAATAGGAAGATTATATTGATGTTGTTATGTGACCCTTGAGATGCGTATTTTAATTAATTAATATTTTAACTAATTCTAAATAAATGGAAGTCAAAAGTTTTTGCAAGAATTGCAGAAGTAACTAATGTTTTTGGAATCGTGATTTTGGATATCCTTATTGCATCGGAGACATTTTCGTATGATTTGTTGGATATTGGTGGTTTGCTATTCTGCTAATGCCATTCTGGAATAATTCATGGGGTCTTTGAATAATTCTCCTGTAGAGGACTAACATCTTTACTTGGAAAGAGAGACAGTCAAGGGATCCTGATGTATTAGTGTATGAAATACATCTAATTATTGCAAAGTTCTAAAGAAATCATCATTGTCTAATGATTGTAAGACCTTGAAGACATTTGCGCATTTGGATTTAAATTCATCAAAAGGCTATTTAGTATATGAGATTTACTGATTATGCTGTGCATACAAGACATTCTCCAGAGGAATCTACAACATCAATTTCATGTCCACATCCTAATGTTTTTCGTTTTGGATGACGCATAATTGGTTCTTGTTCTTTTCTAACACTGCTAGATTTCTTAGTTTATGAGTTATCTCTTTTGAGTGGAGATTTCTATCCTTGTAGATCATGTAAATATTTTTCTATTCCAGGATCGTTCGCATATAGTAATGCTTTGAATTAGTACAATGATTTTAGCATTTACTCTCTCTAGGAATTGTGAGAACTCAAACGATCGAAAAAAGTAGAGAACAACTCTATCATGGTTGTTCTCTCTACAGAAGACAGTTAAATCATTAAAATTTTTAAAATATATATATAAAATATATTCATTTGTGGCAACTTGACAATCTCAATCCACTATCCAATTTAGATTTTCTCTCGACAACAGATACACAAATCACTGGTCTTCGAACTTTGCTTCTATTTAAGATTGATTGCATCACTTTTCTATTCGATCTTATGAGCATTTTATCCGACAAATATATTCCATTCGAATAAAAGAGAGTCCGAGTGGATTCAAAAGGTTCATATGTGCTTAATTATTCTTACTAAAATAAAGAATTGCTTTCCTTAAACTATGTTCTAAAACAGGATTTGATATGAGCATTTTGTTTCATTTCTTCTAGAATCCCCAAAGAATGGGTTGATTGAAGAACCTTTTGTAAACTACATAAGAAATTAAGTACGTTTTCCTGCTAATCATCAACAGTCTGCAACTCTATGATTCACATTCTGCTGTTTCCTGATACAAGTCTTTACCCATCAAATCTCCAAAAATCTCATTTTCGCTAATGACACAGAGAGTCTTTTATTTGGAACCTTCCTTTAAGCACAATTTAACTGACCCTTCAATTATAATATACAAGTTTTTGGCTTACTAAGCTTATTTGTAAATTATTTATTTCCTTACAATTTCAACCTCCTTCATGCATAGCATCAACATTATCTTGCCTTACTTATTTAACGAATTAAAAAGACTGACTTTATCACTTAAAGCCACTAAATTGTTAATTCTCTAAACATCATTCTACATAACATATCTCTTGTATTAGTATGCAGTTAGAGTAGCAATTACACAATCAGTTAAGCATACCAATGTAGCCATTCTAGATTTATTAGACATTATCGATAGTTCACCCATCCCTTCACCTTCCCTGCAAACATTTATCATTGTTAATTGATCTTCATTTCGTACAAAAACTCCAACCAATCCTTAGAGAATTACATAGAATTTATTCCCTTTGTCTCCAATCTTTGTAAGTACATCATTAACAGAATACTACTCTATTTACATTTTGCTTTTGATAACTTAATACAGATCCTCACCTACAATAATTCTTGTTTTCTTAAACCATTCCAAAGAATCCATACTAATATTAAATATAATGATTAAATATCTAGGCTTTGCTCTCTGATTCAATTATCTACCCAAATTTAATGCTGAATCTATGAGTCCTATCCAAAATCGAAATAATATAGAGGCTTTAGAAGAGATTAACTATTCATCAATAGATTGATATTTTCGATTCTTATATAATGACATCATTGCCAAAACCTTTAAAAAAAATGTTTAATCCTTATCTTGATTTAAGAACTTGAATACTCTCTCATCTGCATGATTGTTAAAGCCTTAGGTAGGTGTATTAAGTATAACTTATATTATTACTTTATCTACTTTGCTTTGTACAAATACATTTACAGTTGAAATAAACAGCAAGATTGGCAATTGTTATTCCTGCCTAAATAAAAAGACTGAGTTTAAAATCAATTATTCAAAATCTGAAGAATTATTCTCTTTGACAAGACTCTCATACAAAATTAAATAGATGAACCATTAAAAATGCGTTCTCCTCTGGATACATGCACTTATTAACCAATCAATCTATCAATCCTTCACTAATCTGTATCTTTACTTTAATATTTTATATTACTATACAATATTTAAAGATTTATTGACTCGTAAACAAATTTATATCATACTTATTGTTAATAGAATTACTGTGTGAATTAAGTATTTTAAATAATCATATTGCAATCTTATGATTATTTTGGCTACTGTTATCCATCAACTTCTTTATAATCCTTAAATTAAAAGTTAGCTCATTCAAAATATTCCTTTATTTAATGATTATCAGAATAATCGTTGGGGAAGAAGAAATAGGTATTGAAAAGGCAATTTCAGAAGAAAAATTATTGAATTAGTTTTAAAAATGTTTAATAAAGGGAATTTTCAAATTATGGTTCCAATATTTATAAAGATTAACCAAAGTTTTTCATAAGTTAGTATTTTGTGAAATTATAATAATTCATTATTTTTTCTTTTATTGTGCATTTTATATGAATTACATCCAGCGCTTTGTTTACTTTGGAAATTGATGCTGATTCCATACCTAACATACTTATTTTACATGTTTCTCTTGTAATCTATTCTGGAATCTTTCATCTGAATTATCATAAAACATTTCATCGAATTATCTTTAAGAATTTATTTTCATCTAAACAGGACTCAGAGGATTAATAGCATCAATTCGCATGTTTTTACGTTCTTACATTTTCTCTAAACTTATATTTAGGTTCAACTTTAATTTTTAATCATTTAATTCCTTTTACTTGTATCTCCTGGTCAACTAAGCCAATTTGCCTTCTGCATTGATAATGGCAGTCATCTTTTGATTTTTATCATAATCTTCGATGCATGAAGAGAAGTGGGAGATATCATCATTATTGGAAGTTGTTCTTTTTTAATCAATTCGTTTCAATTCTGTCAAAAGATGTCTTTTTCTCTTGGTTTTCAAATCTTAACATAAGCTATCACATACCCTTATCTGAAAGAATTTTATTTAATTGCTTGTCAAGACTCTAATTTAAATAAGAAAAGTTATTGGGCAGATTCAACTCTTCTCTGATGTGAGTTTCTAATTTATTTTTGCTTCTTTGGCCCAATAAACTAAGACTAGCTACTCTATTGAGATTGGAAAGGGCAACTTCCGACAGAGTCTTTTGATACAAAATATTATCCCTCTCAGTATCGATCAATAGATTGGTAGGTTAACGAACAAGTTGAGGGAATCTCTATTCCTTCTTTTTAACTTGTTTTCCATCCCTTTCTTGGTAGGCTGTTTATTTCATTTCATTTCTTAGTTATTCTCCAGTTTATGTAATCAAGAGTCGATTCATTACAAAACTATAATAAAAAATTATTGAATATCAAATCAATAACAATTGATTTTGTTATGGGTATACCTATTATCACTGATAAAATTAGAAGTCAATGAAGATTTAGTTTATACATATTGATGCAAAAGATTTACAATAACATCAAAGAGAAAGTGATAATAGAAATGATAATTTAATCGTAAAGGAATGAAATGAATATTATCATGAATATGGTCATTAAGATTATAACTTATTAACTGTTGTGTGGATGGCTTTCCTAAATGATAAAACAGTAATTACTAATTTAATTCTTCCAATGCAATTAATTGTTTAATGCGTCTGGGTAATTGTAAGTATTGTTTGCGTTTCCACTCTCTGGTTTCCCCATAATAATTATCTAACTTAATCTCACAGGCTGATTATAAGGAAGAAGCACATGAGTCATCAGAGTTCTGAGGAGGATCTCGATTGTAATGAGTTTTTTGTTTTCGAGCTGCGAGTAGTCGTCGTGTCAAATTCTTACGAAAATCAACTCCCGAGTCAATTACATTTTGAATATACTTAGGATGTTTTTCAATCATAACACCTTTGGGATTGTTATATAGATAATCGTATAGTTGCACATCTCCAATAGTAAGAATGCCATCTTGATTTCTCCTGTCTGTTTTTGCTGCCTTATGAAACAAAGTAAAATCTTTCCTCTTATTTTGGATATTCAAACGCACTAGCTTGTTGATATTGTTTTCTCTATGTTCTGCTCTTAGTTGCAATTCTTGCAAATACAATTAAGCGTTGTTCTCCAACACAGACTTTAAATATTGTCTGGGAGGGATGGTGTCTATGAAATCTCTTTGCATTTTAGTGATTGGTTCTACGTTGTCATAATTAAGTCTATAATTTTTTAGACTCTTTGATTTGGGTATCAACTTCTCTTGGTAACTGATTGCATTTTCCTTTTGATTTGCAATGTCTAGAATAGTCTGCACTATGGTCAAAGTCTGTGCATTGCCTTAGCGCATCTCCTCGTTATGAGGTTTCTTGATTGCCACTTTCTCTTTGATTAGATTCCGCACCTTTTGAATTTTACTCTTTAAGAAGTTCTTTCGCTATTCTGTTTACTGACGTATCTTGATTGATATTCCTTCTTTCTGAGTGAATTAATTCTCTGCAGTTAACCTGGGACAATTCAATGCTTATATGAGTCTGGAGACATTTAGATCTCCTTTGAGATAATGAGAGAAGTTTTGTTCAAATAATTGGCCATGAGTTCTAGTTTCAAAGGGCTTATCTGTTAAGAGGGGGTCTTGTTGTTTTTTTAAATGCAAACTCTTGAATTTGCGATGCAAAGTTTTGTTAGGATGATCAATCTCACAGGTTGTAGAAAAGCTCATATAAATTAATAAAATTAATCTGATTTAATATTTACAATTTTAAATATTTCTTCTTCAAGTCAATTCGAATTTCTATTTCATCCAAAACACTGTTCAGAACTAAAGAAACTCCAATTTAAATAACAATATTAAGTAGTGTAATTCATATTCACAATTGGCTCTACCCATTAACTACATAAGAGAAGATTGTAGATACAGTACTCTTTTTCGGAAGTTCAGGGGTTTCAACCTCAAGTCTGTGATCGGGATTTATATATGCTGAAACCACACTGTTGAAGTCATTCGAATCCAAGTTCTTTTTAGACAGCCGACTTTCTATCTCTGGGGACACTCGGCAATTGTTCTTATTGTGTTTGCTTAGGATATTAATCGATTCTTACATGTATTTTAACAATTAGGGTGCCATTGAATTGAGTAGACTGATAGAAGTATTGGTTGATGAAGTATTCGGTCGCTGTGTGCTTGATTGCAATTAGAAATCTTAATTAAGACTGTTGTTGGATTTCTGAAATTTCAGTTTCTCTATGAATTCCATCACATACACTCTGACCTTCTTCCAAAGCAAACAAGCCTTTCTTTTGTTGTGGTAATTCTTGGGCTTTTTGATACAATATTTGAAGCAAGGGTAACGAATTATAAGATTCACAATTTTCTCGATATGCTGTTACTTTAGACTGGAAATATATTCTCTTGTGATCTTGGAGAATATATAAGTACAAAACAATAGGTTAAGTACTGAACACAGGATTGACAAAATGTACACTAATGAAATGTATGGATTGTGGTCTTAACTATATGACAAGATTAGAGTTATCATTGCCAATTATGTTGAGATCTTATCGATAAAATTGTACTATTTCTCAATGTAAGGTTGATGCTTATTGAGTAATTCTAGATACACAAGCAGAATGAGTATGGCAAATAAGAACATCAGCTTTATGTCTTGGATCAAAAGAGTTTCCAATAGATAAAACAATGATTTGACAAAGAAACACACAAACTCCCAGTAATAATAGTTGTCTTTGTATTCCACATATAAATATCCATAAGGAATACGCAGATGACAAGTCCATAACTTGTTTTTGTTTCTGAATAATTTTATTATATAGAACAGTGGTGACACTATTCCAACCAAAATCAATGTGGGTATGATCAGCGTTCTTAGATAGAGGTAGTATTCCTCAGTATAGCACATGTAGGATGTTGCAGCCTGAATGTAGTATTGTCCTGAGGCTTTTATGCAGAACATTAATTGCAGGAGACCTTCAATTATGTCACCTTGAAAATAAAATTGTACTTGAATTAGACTTGTAATGAAAATTGTCTTGATGGAGTTTTCCATTTGGCGTTATCTGCACAGTTTAATGAGAAAATATATGAATACAAATGCAAACACAAACAGGAGGGACACAAATAAGTTCCAGAGTTGTCTCAAATACACAATCTCGATTTCCAATTGAGAATTCAATAGGAAACACTCTATTGAGTAACCCAAAGTCGATAAGGGATTGCCTATTGCTTGGGCAACGATTTCTATTGGAGTAGGGAAATCAAAATCAATGACTTGTACTATGGATACCAACTGAAAGTAACTGGAAAAAAGCTTAATCAGGATTTCAGTTTGATCAATCACCATGGTAGATCTAGTGGCAAAGAATATCCCCATCATTCTGAGATAATGAACTGATAGTTATGCTCTTACCAATCTTAAACTCCCTCTAATTGATATGAACAAGGCAATGAGGATCCAAGAAAAAGAGAAAATTATCTTGAAAATGTTGAACACATTATTCTCACAAATTGTACAGCTGCCTCCAAAACCACGAGTATATGAATTATTTGAATGTTCTGCATAATAATCGCAATCATTACACAATGCTCCACTATAACCTTGACTACAAGTGAACTCATCAGATCCACCTAAACATTAGGCCTCTGATGATTGACAATATTCAATACTATCCGTAGTCTTATTGGCTCTCCAATATCCTTGTTTCAAAATCAATTCTGATCCTCCAGGACATGTCTCTATCGAGGTAGTACATTATTTACAAGGAGTGAAATTGTCAAAACTATAAGATCCAGTTGGACATCTAAGACATGATTAATTTTCCCACTCTTCTCCTATGTCACAAATAATGAGGTTCAAAAATATTGCCAATTTAAAAGTATCGTTGTAGAACTTGAGCGATTGAAATTCAAGGAGTACTTAGACAGTCTCATTGATTGGTTACATTTAGTAGTATATGTATGTCACTTCATAATGGCATTCCAATTAATCAAATTGAAATAACTTATCTGATATAGCGAGGGAATTCGTAATTTCACATATTCTATTTTGTCCACTGTCTTGGATGGCTATTTTCAGTTCTAATTGTTATCCACTCTTATAGTTATCTATGTATATAAATTCCTTCTTTTTAATCAGGTCATCAAATAGAAATGTCTTATTATTAACATCAAGATACACAGGCCCTGTTATATAAGTCAATATATCAGGCTCCACTATTTGATTAGTTAATAAATAGATATGTTTGTTTGTCTTCATAGAACAATTATTGAAAAGATTCTGGTCGATATAATGAGATAATCCCGATGTTTGATTCAGATAGATCACTCCTCCTTCTGGAGCTAAAAGGTCAATAAATTGGTTCCCATATATTTGAATAGCAGCATTCGACAAAAAGTATGCAGATCCTTACTTGGCTGAAATATTGGTGAAAGTGTTGTTGTTAGCTATAAAATTGTTGGAATCTTGGATATTGATAAAGGCAGAAAAGGTTTGAGTATTTTTGAACAAAGACTTTGATATTTCAATCTCGTTACTTTAACTGATACTTATAATACCATTACAAAATGGGCAATCCATATTTGTAAATTGTAGATCATTGAATAGCAGTTTGGTGCAATTTTCGATCGTTATTATTTCCTTATTGTTATGAGTGATTGAGTTCAAATACATTCCTTTGATGTTTATATCGGATTCTCTCGCCTAGATTAATGGACTAACGAAGTTGTTCATTTCAAATACGTTGATGCGAGAAAGATTTGCAGAAGATTCATTCAATGTCAAGAAATTGCACTCGTTACAATTCTTAATTGTCAGATTTCTTATGATTAAATTTATTACGGTATGGAGCTTAGCCATCTAAATTGAGGCACAATCTTCAATCAAAATATTGGTAAGTTGAATAACAGATGTTTCTTTTAAATAGATAAATAGAGATTTATTAAGCTATTTGAAATCCACCTAATCAATATTTAATTCTGTAATTGTTTTTGAGCAAATGAGTAGCCCATATAACTAATTGAAATTGCCTTTTGAAAGTGACAAGGATCCATTCATTTAAAATAAGCTTCTTGCAGGACTATTAGAGATATTGAAGTAATTTAGGACAACGTTTGTTTGATTGCTAACTGAAATCAATAATGGGCCAATCAAACTCGATATAGTTACTTACTAAATAAACAAATTCTGAGTATTCATAGCGAATAACGCTTTACTCTCTAATTCAGATATTGTACTATTATATATGGAGACATATTGACTTTCTGCTATAATCAACTTTGAATCAGATAATACTCTCTAAATATTCAAGCAAGACAACTTGATTTAGTTCTGATTATGGAGACGTATCAAAACACTTTGAGATAGTGTCACATTGAAAATTGTAGTGTAGAGCACTCCCTTGGCCAAAATTCCGGTTGAGAGTGTGAAGTAGGTATTTGTGATAGTGATTTCTTGTGAGATATCTGTCGCAATCAAAATGCTTTAAACTACAAACGAGTTATTGAGAGTGAGCGTGTTTACGTAAGTGAGAGGGGATATGGTCGAATTAATAAAGCTAACCTGATCAATGATGACGTTTCTTAATTAAGTCATTTGCAAACTTAGTTAACTTCTGAAAAAAGTACAATCTTAAATCAGAAGTCCGTCAACATAAATTGGAGCTTAAAATGCTGCCTTATTTTAAAATGACATCCCTATCATTTTAGACCCACGGATCTGCATATAAGTACTGTTTATTTGGCAATTTCTCAGGAGAATTACATTCTGGAGCTGAACTGAGCCCAGGATATGTATTGAGTCAGTTAGTGTGTCTATTGTGATGTTCTGGAATTCAACAAGTTTAAATCCAATCAACGTTACTGTTTAATTCAATAGCAATTGAGTTCCTACTATTTTAAGTTAGCCACCCAAAGATGTCATATTCATTAAATTCTCATTGCTAATATTTAGAGTACAATTGTATTGAGGTATCTGAAAAGACTTGTCAATTTGCAATGTTAATCCCAACTCATCCCTACAAATCAATAACTCCACTGTGATATACAAATTTATGAACAAAAACAATCTTCTCATCATAACAAATAATAAATAGTAATTAAATATTTCAATATACATCCAAAATCATAAAACATCAATCCCAACCCATTTGTAAACTATCCCTACATATTCCCCAGGATAAATTTCAAATTTATACCAATATTTCATCTTTCCTCCTTATTATTTCCTCCAAATTCAACTACTAAGTATCCATTCAAAAAACCATCCTGTCCCATACAAAACTTTAACTTATTGTCTCCATTTTAGAATTATATGTTAATTAATCTTAAAGGAAAAAAATGCACAAATTATCAAAACAACAGTTAAGGAGGACAAGAGATCCTTATTTAAAAAAGGAAAATCATTTGCCATTCATTTTTAAGTTTTCCTATAAGTTCTCTCCTTCTAATCAAGAGATCGAATGGAGATAAGATAAAAACATTAAATTGCCGATCATACATTTTAGTTTAAATCAGTCTCGTTGACGTTACTTATGACTTTTTATTAATACTGGAGAAAATGACCTTCAGAGAAAAAGTCAAAGTTAATTAACACTTTTCTTATCAAAGAGAAGGGTTGAATGGCATAATTGAAAACAAGAAAAATAAAATGAGTTAACATCATTAAAATTTGATCATATAACATCACTACTACACCAAAGGGTATGGATGTGAGTATTCTCCACTCTACTAAATTAATGATTTATAATACTTATAAAGGAGCAAATGGTTTAGAGTTTGAAACTGTATAAACTGTTGGAACTACTTGCTATGGTGCTCTAACTACAGGTTAAACATATTAAATAATCTGAGGTTAAGGTGTTTGTTGCTGAATCACTACTTGGGGTACTGTACTTTGTTAAATTATGGGATCTTATTTTGAGGAAACCATTTTAATTGGGCTTTCTTGATAATAAACTAAAGGTTGAGGAACTTCAGTTTTATTTATCACAATAGGTTATGGTTATGGTTAAGGTAATGCATATTATATTGGTTATGGTTGAATTGGAGTTTGAGTATATGGTTAAACTTAAGGAACTATTTACACAATAGATGGTTATTAAGTTTATACCGGAGGAAGTACCTGAGTTTGATAAATAACTGGCTAAGGTATTGGCTACATTGGTTGATTAATCATCATTCTTTGAGGACTATAATTGTATGGTTAGTAATCTGCATGAGTGGGTAAAACAGGATCATATATCATTCTTGATACTCTTCTTATAGGGTTGTCACCTGTTCTTTCTCCTGGTCTAAAGAAGTATTCTCCATCTTACAATGTCACCATGAATAGATGATGGAGATGGAACTTCGCTTATTCCAATGCCTCATAATTCACCTATATAGGCACGCCTTAATATTTCAATAGAGGATTCTAATTATCTTGATCTGCAAAATATAGTATGGTTTCCTTTAAACAGTTATTTGGATCTCTCAATCTCTCCAGTTTCTTTATCAAATTCCTCCATTAAACAATCAAATCGTAGTGGTAATTCTTATCTGCTTTATTCAACACATCATCTACGATAGTATCAATCAACTTGTGTAGGTCTTGTCTGATTTACAGGATGTCACCTGTTTGGTGAGTAGCAATTTCATTTGCCCTACTCGCATATCCTTTGTAGACTTAAGTTAATGTGCTTTCAATTGAGTCAACTAATGCTTTTAGGAAATGATATACTATAGCGAGAATGTTAATGTGGATGCACTTAAATACAATCTTAACACAAAGGCATCAAACAAGAGGGTTCTTTACAAAAATGACGTATGTATTGTGGATGATAAATACATCTGGTTATTGGAGCCTCTTGAAATAAGTAGTCTGATGTAATTTTGACAGGTTATTATTGATCGTTAATTGGTTAAAGTACTTACATAAATTTATTAATAATTATAAAATGCAAATGAAAAATGAAACTTGTCAAAGTTTTACATATGTTCAAGCAGTAAAGTTCATTGATGTTGAACCAGATCATTAAATTAACTACATTATAAAGTAAGTATATAACTCAACTTTAATTAAAATATTATCATGATCCTCTAAAAGAGGATTATATTTTGAAATCGTACAATGATTACATAGGAGAGTGATGAACAGTATTTGGTTTCGAATTTTTAATAATATATTATTTGATCGGACTCTCAAATTAGGGAATAAAAAATAATGATCTTAAATTCCTTCTTCCTTTAAGTAAAGAGGAGTATTAATATTGGGTATCCTTGCTTTTCTGCTTGACTCTCTTGGATTGCTACGTTGAATCCACTCTAATTATTTGCTTCAGTTCTAAAATAGCACTTTAAATAGTCGATGGTTTAATTTGTTGTTCATTGACAATCTATTTAGTTAGTACTTTCTTAATAGTAAATTTTTTTTTTCTCTTGATTCTTTTCATTACTCTGTATCTGATAATAAAGATGATACAATTGATAAGTCTTCTAAATTTACGAAACTATTTTTGCTTTCTCCATTGGCTATTTATTTTGGATAATAAGGTACTTAGTTTATGGAAATTAATATAACTGAAATATCTTTTTCATAATGTTAGATCGTTTACCACATGTATCACAATAGCAACTTGACTCCCCAAAAGTATTCCTTTGAATTCTAAGATTTTTGTTTATTCTTTCGTTTATGAATACTGATCGATCTTAAATCAGAGTAGTATTGCGTTTAGATCCATTTTGAGGTAATGGTTTTGAATATTTTTTGTGGTTAGAATGAATTCTTCTTTATTGCCTAATTTATATAAGAGATTGATTCATTAATTAAATAATGAGCGAAATAGAAGATATTTATTAAGGTAACCAGTAAAAATTAAATGATAATTAAAATTGAAGAGAGTAAGAAGAATTACAAAATTAGATTGTTTAAAATATGCTTAACATGAGAGCAATAAGTAGATAATAATTATTAGGTTGAAACTATCTTAGATATATAGAGATTAAAAATTTAAAGGACTAATTAATCTATAAGGGAAAAATAAAATCTAAAACTTCCTTGTATTAAAACCTCACCTTTTCATTGGCCAACTCAAGCTTTTTGAGTATATGAGTAAATTAGAAAGTTTTAGAGTGGCTGTTTATTTCTGATTTCGTAACTTATACTCATTTTTTAAATTGTATTCTATTTTACATAGATCAAATCCTTTCAATTTCATCCTATCAATAATTGAAACCTCTATTACCATTTTTGGATATATTTTATTAAATTATGGATGATGGGATTAGTTTTTTGGCAATCAAATACTATTTAATTGAATATTATAATATCATCTTCTAATCTGAGTATTATTTACAGATATAAAATACTCCAGCCAAAAATTATTAAAAGTTCTTTTAAATAGTTTATGAGCTCTGAAAAATCTATTAATCTAATTTAACCCTTAAAATAATATTTATTTTATGCACTTAATCAAGCTCTATTTTATATATCCTTTTGTCTTCAAATCATGTAATTTGTCGTTAAGTAAAAAATTAAACAGATTGTTAATTGTTATTATGCTTAAACTGATCAACACTAAACAATTTAGTTCGTGATTATTTATTAATTTCTTGTATCGCTTTAAGGTTCTCAATCTCAAATTATTATAAAATGAAATAATAGTTTTTGCAGCCTAACGTTGAATATTTTGAGTTTAATTAAGAATTCCTTACAAATCCAACTTATTCCAATTAATTTTGAAAAAAATTCTTAAGTTGCATTTAAAGTTTTCATAAACCATCTTATCAATTGTTATATCTCTGTTAATTAATTTAATATGTATAGACCTGGAATAATTGAACTATAGACTAGTGCGAGATGATGAATTTAAATTAAAATATTGCTGATAATTTCTTCATTAAAATAATAAATAATAATAACAATTTATATGGCTTCTTTTGTAACTAATACCGTCTTGAATGAATCAATGAGATAATTCAAATCTAATCAAAATGACTAAAAATAAAAAATAGATTGGAATGATTTCAACTACCCCCCATTGATAAAAGTGATTCATTACAATATTGAAGAAGTGTAGCCAGAATATAGATTGGTGGTAAGATCATTATGGTTGTCGAGCATACTCATAGTGGCTTACACTCTCTTAAATATTATTGATAACAGTATTTAAGCTGGAAACGGAATTGATGGAATACGCATCCTATATAGTTTTATGTTCTTGTTCTCCTTCAACCCAATTTAATTGTAACATATTTTCCATAGTTAGAGTTTTATTTTCTATCGAGGATATAAGGGCGTAGTATCTGATCCATATCTATTGGTTTTGTATAAATGGGTTTAAATTGTATTGATACTTTGCTGGATAACATTTTCAATTGTTGCCATTCTAGGATTTAATGGATTCATCATTTTGTAATTCCTTTTTGAATTGTAAACATAAGTTTCATGACTATTAGTCTCCCCTTTTGTGGTGTATTAGCATTATTTGAAGATATCATCATGTTAATAATTGTGTTTTTAAGTGGTTTTGCTTTATTCCGTATCTGGAATATAAAAGAATGATAATAAGATATATTTATTAAATTCAATTAATTACAATTCATATCTCTTCTTTATTTTATCTCCCAACAATTTTAAGATTTTGTAAAACTGTTATTATTAGGCACATCTGAAATTATTTTTCTTAATAAAATATTCGTTAATAAATTCTATTCAATTTATTTAATTATTATAAATATATATTATATAAAAAAAATCACATATTTTCAGTATTTGATAAATATCATATTTCAAAGATACATATACAAGTAAATCAGCATTCGAAATCATTATTTGAATTCAACTATTTACTTTATTTGATACTATGGAATTGGATCTTTCTATTAATCTGAACTTTAATTTTAGGGTTTTTGCATTTTTTTTATCCAAGTTTTTCTTAATTTCATTAAGAAGGTATATAACTAAAGTCCTAAGTTGATTACTAGAACCAAGAGCAACATAGATATGTGAAACCAGCCAAGTAGAATTTAATTATCATAATCAAAGGATTCTTGCATTAAATCCCAATACAATGCAATCGTCGAACAAAAGACAAAAACACTAGCTTCCATTATTATTTGATTGAAATAATCAACTTTATTCTCACGTGATTTAAATAAAATCAAATATATTAGACTACAATTGCTTACGAATGCTAATAGAATTGATTAAATCTATTAATTTCTTTGAAACAACACTAAAATTCCTACAAATAGGAATTTCTTAAAAATTAAAAATAAATCCAATTTTTTTAAATTATATCGTGATAATGAAGTATATTTTGTGTCTTTAAAGAAATAATTAGATATTATTATAGCACAAGCATATATGATTAAATATCCTAAAATAATGGAACCTGCGGATTTAATTGTTGTAAATGATTATGAACTAATTTATAAAAAAGACATAAAAAGTAAATCCCAACAATTTGTTATATAAAATTATATCAAACCCACTTTTTCACATTTTCTTTTTATCATAAAGCATGCGTTCTAAACTTTCACAAAATATGAAGCAACTGTAATTCCAAAATAAAAATAATGCAAATTTTACATAGATATGAATTTTTAAATCAAAAATATACAACCTATATACATGAAAATAACGCCTAGACTTAAGAATATTTAAGCTTAAATATTAAAAAGTATACTTGCATCGATTTCATAAAATAAGAATTTTTCTTTTGATTCTACAAACTCTGTATTCATAATATTTAATACTACTGAATTAAAATGAAAGAAATCTAATAATGGTTAAACTGTTATAATATTGCTTGATTCAAAATATATGAATAAATTAAGGGGAAATACTACATTAATGAATTTCAAATATGACTATTATTAGAGAATTTCAATAATTCCTCCAAATGAGTGACCAATAAGTAGCATGAGAATACCCATGCCACCAATAGATTTCATAATATTAGTTCCCACATTTTTTAAGACTTAAGCAGATTATTTTTTTTTATCAACAATGTACTTGGGAAGATTTAATTTAACCTTATCAATCTGATTAATCAAAGGTGCTTCATTTTCATTGTACAATTATTCCTTTAATATTACTTCAAGAATAGGGTGAGATAACAGCGTGGTATTAATTTATATTGCAACCATATATTCTACAAAGGTACAATATTATTACACTTCTTAAACTATCATCAAAGTGATATTATAAAGTTCAAAATCAACTCCAACTAAATTGAATTGAATTTAACCTGAAAAATTTTTATTTCCTAGAATTTTAACCTATTAGTCAAAGTGTAAAGAAACATATTAAATTGAGTAATCCTATCTTATTAATGAAGCTTCAAACTTAGGGTACCTTATATATATACATTCAGTAAATGAATATAAAAAGTTCTTGCAAACATAATTTGTTTCTATTGTGCATAATGAAGAGCATCCATCCCCATTCTATTAATTCATATCATCACATTCTTCTTCAATTGAAACTAATCCATTCCCACAAAGTGTGAAACATTCATTTAAACCCTTATTTAATTCATATCCTTATTCACATACTTTACATTTTCCTTGTGCACATACATTACAATGATCTGGACAATAGAAAAAACAATTAAAACATCCATCACTTTTATCAACATTTTAATCGTCGCAGTCTTCTTCTTCGACTATTATTCCATCTCCGCAAATCGGGTAGCATACATTATCAACCTAATAATACCCCTATTCACATTAATCATAACACACTCCTTAAATGCATAATTTACAAAACTATCTACATTAATAATTGCAATTATAACAACCATCATAAGGTATTCTATTCATGTCATCACATTACTCATATTCAGCACTAACTAATCCATCTCCACAAACAGAATTACATTCTTAATTAATCAATGTAAATGTATATTCGCAATCATAACAAATTCCATATATGCATTGAGTACAATAACGACAGCATTCAATTTTACATCCAAAACATCCATCTAATTACATATCATTAGAATCATCACATTCCTCTTATGAGATTAAAGCAATCTAAGAATCTCCACATTCAAATTCGCACGTGAAATAGGCAGTCAAATGCCAACCATAAATACAATCCAAACACACACCCTTAAAACAATAGGAACATTCTCTTTAACAATCATTTCTACAATTATAACAACCATCAAATCTAATTTTATTCATATCATCACATTCATCTATAAATTAAATCTGATTATCTCCACAAATAGATTCGCATTATTAATTCTTTAATTTCCACCCTGAAATGCAATCATGACAGATTCCAAATTAACAATCTGTACATTCATATTGGCAATCAAAATAACATTATTAGCATCCAAATTAACTTTTTGTATTTATATTAATATCACATTCTTCAGGTCCTTCAATAATGTGATTACCACAAATTGGAGTACAAATATCAGTTACCATATCAAATTTCCATCCATCTAAACATTAAATACAAACTCCATTTTATTAAATTCTACACCCTTCATCTAAATCATAAGCACATTAATGACATCTATCAAGAGCATATAAATTATTATCTAAACATTCTATATCATTAACGATTGCTTAATTTTAACAAACAGCTTCACATTTGTTATTGATTAATTCATAATTTACTTAACACTTAAAACAGATACCAAACTAGTAGGATAAACAATTTGATGGAGTAATAAATTTTCCGTTTTTACAAATTTCAAAATTTAAGAGATCATCACACTCTTCCCATATTGAGTATTTCTCATCATTAGCAATAGGAGTACATGTGTTAAAATTAGGACCAAATGACCATCCAATAGAACATTCAAAGCAAATTCCATCAATACAATTTGAACATCCTTCAATACAAGAATATTAACAATTGAAGCATCCATCAAAAGAATATATATTGCCATCATCACATTCTTCATACTATTCTATAACTCCATTTCCACAAATTGTTCCACAAGCTTGATTAAATGAGGAACCAAAAAGACAGGCTAAAATGTAAACAAATAATTACCAATAAATATTTATATGTCTCTTATTCCAAATGATTCATTTTACAGACCCTAATTTAAATTTGTAGTGAAGTTTAATGTTATTGATGATCCTGTATGAGGCATTGTAATTTAAACATTAAATGGTTTATCATCATAAATCCAACCACATAAATCCTAAATTTATCTATTGTTGAAGTCATAGGTTTCTGTCCAAATCACGTTATTATCTATATATAAGTACGCATGTTTAGCATTCCAAGAATCTAAGAAAATAAATCTGAATTAAATAATAATCTGGCTATGGGCAGATAAATTAATAGTTTTGAACATATAACTATTTTCCCCAGTTAATAGATACCCTCCAATCATTGGAATAGCTTAAGATTGAATTAATATCTTTACATAAGCAATAACTAGTAAATTTATATCCTTAATCTATTGTCCATCCATCAAAGTTAAAGCTATTGAAATCAACGCTTAAAAGGCTTTTTTCAATGTTGTTCCAAATTATGCAATCTTCTCTCAAATCTGTTGAAACACATATTTAGCAACCAGAAGGACATGGATAGATATATAATTTGAAATTTCTTATTCCCCAAGATTCCTAAATATATAAGCTTGAATACATCATTAGGCTGTTAATCTAAATTTGATGTCATTAAAATAAAGAGAGATTAAAAGTTATGGGGTTACATAATATTTATTTGCACAACAAATTCCCCAGATGACTTTCCACAGATGTCAGTACCTCCATGGCCATAAATATCCTAGAACCCTAAAATTTAATCTAAATAAATGAAAAATTTCTCGTCATCCCAAGTGTCTATTCTAATGTTGATTAAACAACTACTTACTTCCAAAATTCTAAAGTTATTGAAACTGTATGATGAGGTGGTAATTAAAATAACTTTGTAGCTGATGTACGATGACCGAAGGCATTGTTCCCTCCAAAAAGTCGTACTGAACCACAATCGCTATATATTAAATTCTCTCCACTAAGCACCCATTCTTCTATTAATTAATTCAATACCTTCCGAAGTAGTAAATGAATTGCTTGTAAAACTTTCTGAATACAAGATCTGTGAATAAGTACTTATTGCAAGTATAAATAATCTGTGAAGCATGATGTTGTAATAAAAATAAAATACAATTAAAATACATGATGAAATTGAAAAAAATTAATTGATCTTTCATTCTGTGAAGAGTTATGTAAATCTAAAAATTTTAAAAAGCTTGGCAATCTCAAAATTAGAGATACCTAACATTTTATATATTATTGTCCACTTTAAGGACATTTTTTGGAAAATTAAATAAAATATTCTATACTAATCAAATAAAAAATTAAAAAAAAAAAGAAATCCATATAATTATTTTAAAAATGTATTACTTTCTGTTATTAGAAATTATCTATTATTATTATTTTAATTTATTCGGTTAGCATTTTGTTACACAATAATTTACAACATAGTATCATATTTGATATTACCTCAGAAATTCTGGTTATTATTCAATTAAAAATAGCTATCGCAATATACATATATCTATATATAAAGGATGTTTGCTCAAAAAGATTAATAAAATTACAGGAAATTATAGATTCAATAAATTCACAATGCCAATTATTATTGATAAAAATAATACGTCAGGTGACATTGTTAAAATTTTTCATTTTAGAAAATTTTCAAATAGCTCTTAATTGATATCCGAATAGGAAGTTAATAGTCTATATTCATCCTTAATTCGAATGTTCAAACAAATCCGACAAGTAAGCTAGATTGTTTTCTCAATAAAGGTTCTGTGTTCAATGTTATTAATTTTTTTTTAGGACTTATTATAAAGTTAATTTTTGAAAAGCTAGCTTTTAACTAAGTTATTGCATCGATATATTTATTTTGATTTCTTGATCTTTAATTTAAAAATTATTCAAGACTACAATTTCAGCCTAAGAAGATAAAATTTCTTTCCATCTTTATAATATTTTAATCTATACACATTTGGTTTTTGAATTGATCAGACCAAATTTTTTTGCGAATCTCCTAATTCCCATTTTTTGCTTTGATGTTCTAAAATTCTCAATTACTTTTAAATAACACTCTTCTTTTTTATAATTCATTTATTTTGACCAATGTATAAATTGATTCAAGAAAAAGGAAAACAATCCCCCTTTGAATTTTTTATTAGTACTTTTGATCTAATAAAGAAGTATATTTCACATATAGAATTATTGCATAATTATATACATCCATTTCTATAATTACTCTTAAATTATTTTTTCGAATAACTATTATTAAATGTATAATTACCTAAATTTGCTTTTGCTACATTAATTGTTAATATATCTTTATAGAACGTATTAAATCAAAGATCAGCAATAAAAAATTAATACATTTAAGTGCTATTTAGTTGAATCCTACAATTAAAAAAGTTATAGCATTTTTCATATAATGAGTAATCCACAAATTTTAGAAATAAGCTAATTTCCTCAATTTCAGATAAATAAAAATTGTAAGGCTCAAAATTTGTATATCTAAAATGGGTCGGATTTAGTTAGATTAGAAAATAATAAATAATAATTTATTTAAACCTCATCTCTAAATTATATCCTTCTGTGTTTATTTTTGGGTGTCCTTAGGTTCTTACTTATTTACAAATAAATTTCTTATTCTCTTATTTGAATTATTAAACATTTACTAATTTTGGCTTTATTAATTCTCAATTCATATTTTATGCATAATCCACACTATCATTGAAAGTAGAAGAATAACCAATTTTTATGTATAAGTTAAATTGCTAAATCAAGGATTTAGATCTGTGAAATATAATTTAGAAATAGCAATCAATAAAATATATATATTTTAATTTAGTGTTAATGATATCAGAGAATGAGAGTACGAGAGTATTGCTAGTGATTGTTTAGAATCCTTAATCAATAATACTTCCACATTCTTTGTTCTATAGGTACTTTTCAAATTTTGGGGAGGTGAACAAAATTTTAATATTTGAGAAGGGCAAACAATGGAAATGTTTTATAGAGATGGCAACTTTATAATAGGCAAGGTTTTCTTAATAATAATTAAATGGATGTTAATTGTATGATTAAACAATAATGAATGTGTACACTTTTATTTATGACTATTAGTTATTATTCAACTTTACAGAATGTAACATTTCTCAATAACAATTCAGGAGGCGTAGATTATAGAGCGATGAAATAGAGGAATTCCACAAAATCCATGAATATTTATGATCAAGAATATCATCCAAAAATATACAGTCAACCTGTTATATGGCAACAATAATCAGATATCACTTTGAGTATTGCTAGCTTTGGAAATGAAAGAACAAGAGCTAGTTTTAATGATAAATAGGATCTCTAGGAACAGAAAAATGAATGGGAGCCCTCAAAAATATAAACTTCGCTGGAATTTATTGATGATGGAGATTCATGTAAAAAATCTTCATCTTTTAAATCCATTTAATTTGATGATTGTGAACATGATCCTGTAGATGAAGATATAATGCTTGCATTCTCCTCTGAAAAAAATACATATCTTAATTCCTACATGTTTTCAATCCCTGAAGTTGAAGATAAATCAAAAAGTAAAGACATAGATCCATATACTTATGTATCACCTTAATTTCTTAGAGAAAATCAACCATCCAAAGTAGTTTATATGAGAGGTCTCATTAATTAAAATATTACACCATTAAACATTTTTAATTTATTGTCAAACTTTGGAAATGTTTTAGTCATAATCTATATTAAACATAAGACATCAGCATTGGGTTCAATTTGAAGAAAGCTCTCTTCATGCTCAAAATGCTTTAGATCATTTTGAACAATTTAACGCATTTTTTGGTTACCAAACCTTAAAATCTTTTATTCGAACTATTAAGAAATATAATTTCCTTTACCCTTTCAATCTCCATAGACTTTGGTATTTATGCCACAACAATCATAATTTAGATTTAGTTAAGCAAAATCAATCTCTATTAACCCACCAAGTTAGACTTTGCATTTAAGTAACATCAAAGGGAAAATGTGTGAAGATGATACCTATATTAAGGAATTATTCAAAGGTATTGGAAATGTATAGGCTATCAAATTCATCCACATCGATAAGTATACAATACCTAATCATTTAGATAAAAACATATGGCATTAGTAAGATTATCATCATTAGAAGAAGCATTGAATGGAGCAGCTTTACTTCACGGAAAAGAAGTAATGGGCAGAAAAATTAATGTTTCATTTACCAAAAGTAAATTATGCTGAAACCCAATAAGTCAGCCATTGCTCAAGTATTATGACTTTCTAAACAATAAAATAATTAATAATTATTTCTTCGAGCTTTTTTATTTTATAAGTGAAATACGCTTTATCTTTCATTTATCACTTCCTAATATTTGAATAAAATAATTATGTATCAATTAGGAATTTTTATCTATTTAATTTTCTGGAAATTATTACTTTAATAAATCTAATTTAGTAATTTATCCAGTAATTGATGAATAAGTTTAAGATCTATAATTGAATCAAGAATTAAATGGCTAAAATTTTGCCAATTAATTAATTTAATTACTTATTCTAATGCTTCTCTGAGTGACGAGAAATCTTTTTTTATTTTTTTCAATTAATTTTGATTTTAGACCTTAATTTTTGAATCTCTCTCTCCTAGAATTTTTCCATCAAATGAAAATATTGGATTATAACCTGAGTTCTTAATTATTTTCTTTATAATGAGGAGGAATTATCTTAACTATTTTAATACTATAAGTTCCACCAATTACATAAAATATTGATGAAGCTAACACATGAAATGATACATTATTGCTTTATATCTCAATGTAGTATGTGATAAGCTATGATAGTTGGATAAAACATTTGTTGATTGTTAATTTATGCAAATATTTATATAGATATCTAAGAGATTTAATTCATGATTTATGTTTTGAGCATCCTTGTTTATGGATCTATGAGCATCATTTTTATGTAAATTTATATATACAATATTTATAATCAACTCATTAACTTAAGTAGTACTAAATCTCTTTCATACAATAAATATAATTACTTTATTTCTTTTGGTTTTAACTGATTAATTGTTGCATTTCTCTTGATATAGGCTTCATTTTAATTAGTGAAATATAATTATTTTTTATCTACAACATTAATTTTTATCTCAATAACAAATAAATCCTATATCATTATTAGTTCATCTTTGTATATTGGTACAAACATTAATTCAACTTACTCTGGTAGAACAATTGGATCAAAATGTCTAAGGTTATTGTCGAATTCAATTTAAAAGTCATCCTTCTATTTTCTAGTCATTTTAATGCCTTAAATTATCCCTTTGTCTGTGATTCCAATATATAAGATTCCACCTTAAGAGTTCAAAAAAGCGCAAATGTAATTCATGATCAAATCCATGCGAATCTCCTTAAATTGTTTAAACTCATGCTTCAAATCTTCAAATTAATTGATCTCTATGCGTTGAATGTATTTTTTAGAATTAAATAATAACTAAATATTTTAATATATATCATACATCATTCTCCTTTGATTTGCTCTCTAAGATCTAATTTAATTTTGTGAATATCTTGTATTGAAATGCTTATTTTATTTAATTTTCATCATGCTTAAATGGACAATGTTGTACATTGCAATTCTAAGATCTGATGTTTTTTATTATTTTTATTTTTACTTTTCAAATTTGCATGGCAGAGTGCCATATATCCTAGGATGATATAGATATTCAATAATATTGTTGCAAAAGTCATTCCCTTCATTATTCTAATCACAGATGTATATTGGCTTATAATTATTACTGTTTCTTCTTTTATCACTATTATTATGATAATATTGACATTATATTATTTGTTATAATGGCATAAAATGATCTTGTCTTACTTAACATTTAGTATTCTAGCAGAAATTAACTTTGAATTCTTATAAACTTTGCTTATTCATTTATTTTACTTATATAAATTTATTTATATTACGTTAAATTTCTATTTCTCTCTTAATCACTTTTTATAAAATCTATTTCCTATTGCTATTTTTACTACCTTTTTAAACATGTGTACATACTAGAATTAAATGTAAATATCTTATTCCAAAAATGAAATAATATTATTCTATTTCAAGATTTAATAATCCTAAACAATATTTGTTTTAGTAGATTACAATTTATGTTTAACTTACAGATTATAAATCAGTACTTTCTTTTAATTGATTGGGCATTTTATTGTTTAAATCTAATTCTGAATTTTTAGTTCTTGTTTATAATATGGAATTAGACTAATTGTAAATCTTAGTCAGATTTCATTTTTTAATGATTAAAAATGTAAATTGTTTCGATGTAGAACTTATGATTACAATTTAGTTTATTACATAATAAAAAATTCTCATTGCACCTATCAATAATATATTAAATGAATAATTAATCATTAGCAAAAAGTGCAGTGGAACGATTAAACCAAAGCAACTTTTAAGCATAATAGCCTTATGAATTTGAGAGCAAATATCAGTAGGATCAAAAGGAATTACCAAATCCTACAAAATTTGATTTGGATGTTATGCTGAAATTTCTGGATGAAGTAGACTCAAGTGTCAAACAAACTCATGAATATAAATCCATAATTCAGAAGTACAAATTGTCAACATCCAAATTTTGTTTAACTATGGAGTAACACTTTTGATCTAATATATTAGAAATGATTATCTGAATAATTTGCCAAATGAAAAGAAAATATAAATTTATAGAGATGTAATATATCGATACTTATTAAAGAGATTTCACGAATTTATGATCACTAAGAAGAGGCAATAGAGTTAAAGGATAAAGTTCGAAAGATTATTACATATAAATTAGAAGATATGAGGAGAAATACAGTATATAATAATATAATATAAAAAGAGAGAATCTAAATGGGGGTTGACATTGAACTTACTTCAACTATTGCTAAATAAAAATAAGGGAAATAAAGACATTTTTGATTTATTTTAAAAGAAACTGTTGCCACCTGATGTAAGATAGCTAGTGTGGAAATTTTGTTTAGAAAATAAATAAATAAGCGATGATTATAGTCGTCTATTGGGAAAGGCAAGAATGTTAACAATGTCAAGATTTGATGTTTAAATCATAAAGGACACAGAGCAAATAGTTAAACAAATGACTAAGCCTGATCAATTCGATGGCAATATGATTTTTGCAATGAAAACCATTCTGAGTTACTACGAATTAAAATAAGATAGAATTCTTACTGATTATTTATACTTGATCTGTATTCCACTTGTCTATGTTTTTGGATCAAGTAAACATCTACTTAAAATACCAACCGAATTGATTGGATACTTTTACTCATTATAATTGATAGTTCAATTCTTTGATCCATTGGTCGATTTGATTGTGAGACATGATGAAAAGTATGAATCAGAAATGACTGATTTATTTATGAATAGTGTTAATGTTTTAGATGAAGAATTAGCCTTAAAATTTCAGGGTGTTCTTAACTTAAAGAGTCCAACTTAAAGATAAATGTTAGTCATAATAATAAAGAGATTTGTACACTCTCTAGGGTTTGCATTTTTACCTTTAGATGTAACATTGTTTAATATTGATTAAATGATTATGAAGGTAGTCAAGAATAAATTGGAAATATTTATTAATATGGGAATTATGTGCTTTTGTATAAGAAAAGATATCCTGGCTTGCAAGACTTGGGATTAAATAGTTGATGTATTTTATACAAAGGCAAAGTTGATTACTCTTCAATAATATCATGAATACTATTAGGATGTGTACAAGAATGTTAAATTTTATGTTTCGCCCTATGATGTAGACCCATTTAAGGTAAATAGAAATGCTGAATTTGCAACAGGTATAGCAATTAATCGAAGTATAATTAGATCCTTTGGCTGAAATTATTGAAAAATAATAGGATAAAGACATTAACGCATTCAAAAAGAAGTGGTTTGAAGGTAAGGAATTGTATGAAGATGATGATCCTAATATGGCTAGATACTAACAATAGCAATAATTACCTAATAAAGATAAGGCAATTAAAGATATGAAGATGTAAGATGCAATGAAAAATGTGTAAATGCAGCAAAAGCCAACTTAGAAACTGGGGATGGTACCTGTTTAAGATTCAGATGAAGAAGAAGATCTATTTGATGGAATGGATGATTAATGATTCATTTATTTCTTAAATTATACAGAAACAGACCTATTAAATTGGCTAATCAATAGTATCCCAATTAGATGCTTCTTGTTTTTATGAAAAATACACGATATCGAATTTAATAAATATAAATGTCAGGATTATTTAAAAATTATTCTAAGTTTGTGAGTGCCTCAGTATTTGCAAGTGCTAACAAACTAATAATAAACCCAGCTAGATGGACCTTTAATTCTGCAAACCTATTTTATAATCCCTCTTATCGATATACTGGATTACCATAAGGTATCAGAAAGAATATATGAAATTAGGACATGAATTAACAGCATTCTCATTGGCTTAGATAGCAAGTGCTTTGACTTATGAAGCTTAACAATTTAATGCAGTGGATGCTTTGAAGGATGAAGCATAATTGAATTATCAATTTTCAGCTCAATGTGCTAGAGAGGCAATTGCTTTTATTCAAAATAACAACTGGGGATAAGAAGTGGAAACAAGTGCCCAATTATTGTTTGTGCTTTCAAATAATGCCTTATTAAAGGATGTGAATAAAGACATCTTATTGTCAAACCTATAAAAAAATGCTAAGTATTTATCCACTTAGAACATTGTCGATGTAGTAGTTAGTTTGTAAGACCATAAAGATGCTGGATTTTGGTCCCAATTTTTTGCTGGCATCAAGAATAAGGAATTTGTATGGGAATTATAACCAATTGATTATCATGGTTGGGCGACTGTGTAATTCGATTATTTGGATCAAGTCAAAACCTCATTCAAATTGAGCAATACATGGGCTGTGTTGACTGCCTAAGACTCACAATTGAAACGCTTTGTTTTAGAAGGAGTACTCTTCGGATACACAAACTTATGGCTTCCTATTCTTTGCAGAGAAAAGAGAATCAAATATGTGTTTGATGACAGATTGGTTGACAGAAGTGCATTTAAGAATGCCTTAAAGAAGATCAACGAAGTCCATAATGTATAAGAGTTCCTTGCAAGAGCTTGATGCATTATAAATAAAAATATATATATATATAATAATGTTTTCATAAATATTCATTCTATCTCCAAGAGGTGACACCATCATCAATCGAGATTTCAGATCTGACTTACCCAAATCAACACCTGAAACATTCTTCAGATAAGCCAAGACCTACTCAGGAGATGCCAATCCTCTATTTACAGTTGATTGCATCTAATTTGTTCACATCAAAAGAGGAGGTTCTATTCTCATGCTTAATAACAGGATTATATATTGTAGGCACGTCCAGATTCAACTTGCAACCAGCTATGTCCTTAGAATTATTGGATCGATTAGCCAAAGAGATCAAAGACTTCTGTGGAGTCATCAATGAGGAAGTCCTTAGAAAGAATTTCATCCTAATCTATGAAGTCAGCAATATTCTATTTTTCATAGATTCTAGATGAATCATTTGATTTTGGCTACCCTCAACTCATGGCTACAGAATAAATCAAACCACTCATTGTGAATGACCCAATTCAGCCTTAACCTGATTCAGTCATGAATTCCCTGAGACCAAAAATTCAAACATTCAACATTTTTGTTCCAAACACTATTGGAAGTCAAGCAGTTTAGCGATCGGTATTAAACAAAAATTAAGCAAATGAAATTTTTGTTGATATTTATGAAAAACTCAATGTTCTATTTAACTCTAGTGCTTATGTTATCAATTAGAGTATTGAAGGATGTGTAATCTATTCAATATTATATTAGATTCAAATGACATCATTTTTATAAGGCAATCCACCTCTTAAATTAGCATTGAATGATGATCTGCAAATAGGTAGACAATAAGGACAGTATTCAGCAGGAGTCATTTTGGTATGATAATAATTAATAACATAAAGGATGATTGCAATTTTCATGAATGTGTTAATGCTAATGAATTAGACATGAATAAAACCTTACGTATACAACCACCTGATGGTTAATTCGTTGTTATGAATTATCGTATAAGTGGAGATTATGCTGCTCCTTTTAGACTGTTTCCCATTATTGAAGAGGTCTCATCATCTAAAATAGAAGTCACTATAAAATTGAAAGCATGCTTTGATGCCAAAATCATCGCATCATATGCAAATGTTCGTATTCCAATTCCTAAATAAACTGCAAATGCATATCCAGAATTAGTGAAGAATGCTTAATTGGAGACTGCTGAGTATGATTCAAATAAAAAGATTGTGGAATGGTAGATCAAGAAACTGTGTGGTGGTTAAGAGAGATCACTAAAAGTATATCTATTCTGTTCTATTTTAGATAAAACTAACTCTATAAGCAACTCAGACTGCTCATACAGCAAGAAAGGAGATTGGTCCTATTGCTATGAATTTTGAAATACCAATGTTTAATGTGAGCAGATTGCAAATCAAATACTTGAGAATAGAAGAACGAGGCAATACTACTAATCCACATAGATGGGTAAGGTATATAACATAGAGCAGTTCCTATGTATGTAGAATATGAATTCAGTTTATATACATAATAATATTATCACAATGTTTATAATTTTTCAATAGATTTGTGTAAGTATGAATTTATGTGTTTTAATCGACTAATTTCTAGTTTCTGCGATTTTATAATTTCTGATTGTTCTTTGAGAATGATTTCCCATTCTTTCATTCTCTTGCGAATTTCCTTTTTTTCTTACAGATAATCTAATTAGCCATCAAGAACTTATAGTTTCTATCTAATAACACTTTATTCTTAATAAATTTCGTCTGGATTCTACATAGTTATTTATAGATTTTAATCATTCAATCTATTGTTAATAATAGGATTTCTTACAATTTCTTGAGTCTAAGAATTTCTCGATCTTTTTACAAGTTTTCTTGTTCAAATTTAATAAGTGAAGATTCATAGATCTTAATTTTATTTTCTAAAACTAGTTCTCTTTCATTTTTTTAAGGCTATGTTTCTGAGTCCAAATCTTCTTCTATTGCCATTTCTTCAAAAGAATTGAGTTCTTATTGATTTTGAGAATTGGCAGATAAACTAATTCTGGACGCTTCTCTTGTGCTTGCTAATTGTTTAAGACTATGATCTATGAGATTGTTAATGTTTTATGAAGATTTGGTCAATTCTTCATGCATATCAAGGAATCTAGAGTAGATATCACTTTATGAAATAGTTAATGATGAAGATCTGTTTGATAATTTCATTGCTTCCAAATTTATATTATATAAATATAAAATTAAATTAAGTAAGAGTACAAAACAAGAGGATTTATAGGATCATTTGCTGTAATTCTTCTTTTCCAACTTCTATATCCAAGATTTATATTAATGTTGCATATTTACAAAGTGAAAATGAACTTCCTCTATATTTTCATCTTCTACCAATATGTTCTATTTTACAAAATTAGTGGTTTGAGATTAGGGTGTTAAAATGATTGGCTGAAGTCTTCGTTATTTTGCGTTTTTGATAGGTGTAATGTCTTCATCAGTTCCAAGTTAATGGTAGAACGAATCTAACATTGCTTTTCTTGTTGTTTTAGTGTAAGTTTCGGGGTATTTTGGGTTTTCATTAGGCTTGAGTGAATTTCTATGGTTTTTCATTCTTAAGGAAGGACTATACCTTAATTAAAGAGGGACGTTCTATAAGTTGTGTATATTAAATTAATCATCAGCTGAGTTTTGCATCCTCATTTTTGGAGTTCGAATATTAGTTTCTAATCTTACAGCTTTAAGAGCACTGTCTTCTCTGCGTTTATTGCTTTGGAAATACTAGTTAACTCGTGGGCCTCCACTCATTTAATTAAATAATATTCATATATGCTACTCCAAGGAAATCAAGTAGGTAGAACTTAAACGCTCTGCAACAGACGACTTGATTTCCAGGAATAATTTCTTAATCTTATTGCAACCATTAAGAATTTTGTATTGACATCTTTTCATAACTTCAGAGGATTCAGTTTTTTGTTGCTCATTAGTTTTTTTGTTTTTCTTAATTTTTGATTTGGATCTGAATTCAGCCCATATGGCTTTGGCTGAAGAATAATTGATACCTATAGAATTGGCAGCCTTATTTCAAATTTTTTAATACAGCTTTAATGCTTTATTTATCACACACAACTGTCTTGAGAAATGAATCCTTAATGGATTGAGTTATTTTCAAATATTTCTTTCCTGCCAATCTTGGATCAAATTTTTTCATTTCCTTCTCTACCTACTACTTAATATCATCTAGCATTTTCATTTTAAAAGAAATTAATAAATGCGTTATTATAAATTAATGTTAAATTGATAAACATTAATCTTAATTTGATGTATGATAAGTATTATTATATTCTATTAATTGATATAAACAAAATATGTAGTTAAAAATCATTATTAAAATCTACTAGCACCATATCTAACTTCCAATCTAAGATTATCGTCAACTGTCAATCCTGCGCATACTTTAACTAGATTTTCAAGCATAGCTCTCTATCTTGATAGAGCATTGATGGTGGTGATTCCACTCTCTGATTTTGGTGCCTTCATCAAGTAACTCAACCAAGACAACACTGTATCAAATCTTTGGAATTCAGAGGAATCCTTTGAGAATTGGATTCTTTCGAATAACTCGCATAACAATAAGAGATCCATAATCAATGGAGCAGCCAATAAGGAATCTTCACAGACATTGTAAACTGCAAAGGTTTATCTTCCTCCCAAGAAGATTTCAGCTATGTATTCATCCATAGCCTTCTTGCTATCTCCAGTTTCTGGACAATACTTGATAACAATAGTGTGATCAATGTTCAATTCCTCCTCTGTGGGATACAAAACCTTATTGGATTCCAAAATATCATCAACACAAGTCTTCTTACTTCTTTCCTTGCTTTTGAAGCATGATTCTTATGAAAGGTTCTTTCCATCATTGTTTCCTAAATGGTTATATGAGATGATGGCTTTTGGTTTAATACCAGCACCAACCAAATATTCAACTAAACAAGTCTTAAATTTAGTTTATCCAGTCTTGAAATCATCTCCAGCAACAAAGACACCAGCTTTTTCTGCTAATTCAATGACTCCGGGAACAATAGTATTTTATGGTGATCCATTAATGAATGAGCATCCTTCTAAACAAGCAGCACATGCAAAAATTGTTGATGCACTAATTTTCTGGATGACTTGATTCTATGGATTTCATTAATTTCTCGGCTGTTCCATGAACATTTGGGTCTTCAACACAGAATCTCTCTGTATTTGCTGTCCATAAGAGGATTACTTTATCCAAATTATTTTATTATTTGAAATCTGCAATGTTCTTTCTAATGGTGTTAAGATGTTCTAATTTATTATTTCCTGGAATGACATTGTCTGCTCTATCACCTTAGTTAGCTGCTATGAAATCTGGATAATAGATTGAAGGTAATGGAACCAATTTCTCTAAATATGGTCTCAATTTTTATTGCAAATCATAATCAACAACTTATGCTCTGCCCATAGCATCAGCTAAATTCAATGAACTGATATCCCATCCACCAAATACAATATCACATGGATTGACCATTGGTAATACATCTTTGAATGGAACAAATACTTCTTCAGTATTGCATGTACCAATCTTAATGACACTGCTTTAAGTAAGAGATCCATAGAAATTTGGTTAATGAGTTCCTCTTCTGCTATTCCAAGTAATATTGAATTTGTTGGCCAAGATACCTCCAGTAAGAGTTGTTCCATTGTTACCACCCCATCCTACAAGCATAACACCTACTTTTGGAATTCTAGTGTCTGTCTTGAATTTGAAATTTGTGATTTATGGTTTTGCGATGTACTTGTCTCCATTCTTTTCTATGTTGGTTGACTTGTAATCGTAGTCTGCGATTAAGAAGTGATCATCTTATTATGTTGTGGTTGATTGAACTTTCATGGATTGAATTAATTATTAACCAAATATATATAAATTAGTATTTGTAAACATTGGAGTGCGCATAAATTTTACAAATTATTAACGAATGCGTATTTATTAATATGAAGTGCGCACTTCATTAATTATAATAATAATTGAATTAATTGAGAATGCGTAATTAAATATAAATGCGTACTCTTTATTATTTTAAAATAAATCAATCAAATTCTTCATTTTCATATTCATTTTATTATTCTTCATGTTTATTATTTTCATTTTCTTGATTTTAATCTTCATATTCATTCTCTTAGTGTCCCTCCTATTCTTCCTCTTAATGATCATATTCATATTCATCCTGTTCATTTTTCCCAACATCATTTCCTTCTTATCCAAACGATTCATCCTCATTTTGTTTCTGCCTTTCTTGATCATCTTCTTGTAATCCTGCACCTTAATTTTAATCTTATTCCTTCCTTTTCTTAGCTGCATTCTCATCAAGTGAATAATCTTGGCTCTGTTTATCAAACAATTCCTCGTCTGATTCTTCCGAAATTCTCATATTCTGATGTCCTGTCATTTACTGTTGTTATGATGGATCTTCCAAAGTAAACGGATCATAAGTATCTATCAATGGAATATGGGACAGATCTTCTCCTGATTTCTCGAATAGTTATAGAAAATAGAATAGATTTTCAGGTTCCTACCAATTTAATGAAAGAGAGTTTAACATTTTTCGAACATCTGATTTGCTAACTACATCACCCTTTATTTTTTGTTTGTTCCAAAAATCTTAAATCTTTTTCTCATTTTATTTGAGTTGAGTCTTCATTTTTGTTTGGGCCTGTTCAAAATCAAAAGTTGGAAAATTCATAAAAGTCTTAAAATTTCCAACCAAAGATTTCAAATTCTCAACTAATTAATTGCCATGACCACTAAGTGAATTTAATATGGATTGTACTTTGCTCTCATCTGTATATGAAAATGGCTCTCTAATTATGAATCTAATTTATTTACTGAGCAAAGATATGTCTTAAATCATCGACTTTAACAGTCACATTTTATTCTCGAGCCTATTGTTTCAATCCTTCTAACATCTCAGCAAATTATTCAACTGTAATGCCTCTATATATCAATTTGAATCGCAATTCCTCCAAAACTAAATTTGGCAATTAGGTTTGTCTAGGAGTAGGTTCCTTTTTTGGTTTTGCTTATTGGAAATTTTAGTATTATGCATCCTGCATCTATTTAATAGTTTATTTAAGATTGGTTTTGTCTGTCTATAGCTTTTTGATCTGGTTTTTTAGATCTTGGATACTTTTGTCCAAAGTTTACTGTTTCTATTGGTTCACTTTGTACAATTGCTAAATAAATGTATCGACAAAATACTTGTAACTAACGCATCATTTCATCTGATTATTGGCTTTTTTAATTAAGTGCTTTATTTTCAGCAATGAGATTTTCATTAGTTTTGAGTAGTTTTTGAACTTCATTTTCAAGTTATAGACTTTGATTGTATTTACTATCAAATTAAGACATAGATAGATGTACCTTTACATGGATTAGAATTATGTTTAACTCTCTTCTATGAGTTTACGCATACGTACAGTTTCATCAAAATAGGCTTTGCGATCACACTCTAGCTCTTGAAATTTGGTGACTTTGGTATTTTTTTTAAGGTGGTCAAGTTAGATAGTACGTTCTTTAAGTTGCTTTTGGAGGTCCTTGTTCTAGTTTTTGAGTTGTATAAGTAGTAACTCATTGGCCTTCTTCTTGTTGGGTGTCTACTCGGTCATGTTCTCGCAGAGTCTCTCATAATTGAGGAGCTCTTTCTGAGCATATGTGGTTGGCTTACCTCGGTCTGTTGGATGCGCGTACGTAACTTGGTATTGTCCTCTTTTAGATTGTTGTTTTCAATTTTGTAATTTTGAAGTTCCATGAAAAGTTTCTCTTTATCGATAAATTTGAACTGTCTCTTGAAGTCGTCTGCCTCTTGTTTGATAAATTGATTAAAATTCTTTTATGCCTAGGAATTTTACGTATCGTTGTTAATATTGTTATTAATTTTCATTTATATTAATCACTTTAAATGTTATAAGAACGATTGCTATTCAGGAGTCAAGGGGCCTTTTGAAAATACATTTTCAGTTTCTCCAAGTAAGTCTAATTGTGATTTTCTACGAAATTACAAAAATGGCATACCTGTTTTCAGTTTGCTTTCCATAGGATTTAGTTTCATCTCTTTGAATATTCAACCAGTCAGTTTTTTCATTTTGTTTGTTCACGACCATCTAATCAAAATATAATAGAATATATACTTAAGCTTGAGTGGCAATGTCATTTTACAATTCCAAGAGTGATTGTTCTAATCTCAAGATCTGAGCATGTAAGTAGGCAACAGCACCTTCTAATGATTGATTAGCTATTTCAAGTCGAGCACTGTTATAATAATAAAAATGAATGAGTACATGGCTTATTAAAATGCTGCTTCTCTGGCATCATCAGCTTCCATTTCTTGTTTCTATCTAAAATGATGTCGAATATAATTTGTACAGTTAAAATAGACTATCAGCCAAATCTTCAATGACTTAGACTACCTTCTCTAGTGCAGATTGATCAGATTTTAAGGTGGAATCCTGAGCCATAGCAAGGGACAAGGAAACCAAGGAATTGAAGCCTCTTCTGTCTGGGAATCTTTGAATGAATTTCTTGTGATGATGTTCGATATCTGCAAAGATTTCTTATTGAGTGAAGACAGACCCAGTTTTTATTTATTGGATAAGTTTCTTGCCTTAATTCAATGCAGCCAATAAACCAACGATTTCGGTTCTTCTTTAATCATAGGCGTTTCTTTGACTCTTCTCTTTCAGCTGTGAGTGCAGCAATACGATCTAAATTTCGTTATTTTTCAGCAAATTTGGTTTCACCTTGAGCTCTCTTATCATTAAGTTCCTCCTCTTTCAAAGGAACTATTAGATATTAGAAATAATAAGATTACGCTATGCCTCATCTTGTGCTTTTTGTTATTTAGCCTTAGCAAGAGCTTAATCAGCTTCATTAATGTATTATGTGATTTGTCCATTTCTGTTTTGTAAGTAGTTAGTGTGTTCAGTTTAGGCTGCATTAATGTCCACTTGCAATTGTCTAATAAACTATAGCACACGTTCGACATTGTTTCTGAGGATTGAATATAAATACGTACTCTTGAACTTGAATTGTTTATAAGATTGTTTTTCCAAAGTCAGATTGACTGAGCTTGTTGAAAAAGTCAATCCTTGAATCTGCAAATGTGAGAGTCACGATGCATAGCAACACGAGCAATTTCATTAATTAAAATAAAAAACGGGTTAAAGAAAATCATTAATCTAATAGTAATAACTCGGCTTGATATTGAGCAATCTGTCTAAGAAGCCATTCACAGGGATAATGTTTTTTCAAATTCTAATACACTTGAGCACATAAATTCAGCTTGATTTATAGATTCATCCTTCTATCCATGTTTAATTATTAATCAAATAGTAGATCAAATTTATCAGGTTCATCAATTAATATATTGATTTTCGTTGTTTTTGATGTCTGTACTTTGATCTAATAGACATTTGGAAATTGAGGTCTCCTCTTACTCTTTTGGGTACTCTCAAATTCATTGAGCGAACTCGCATTTGTGGTTTGTGAAGAATTTGGAGGAGATACTTCTAATTTCTTAGAAATTATAATATTTGAATTTGTTGTATTGAGTTAATTCAACAAATTGAATTGAACTTTTACTGCCTTTTTCACATGAATCTTTATCGACAAGGTGGCTTTGTAAACTTTGGGTATGATTTCTAAAAGATGAAACAAACGTAAAATGAGGATCATAGCATATATAGTATCTGTCATGGGAAGTATATCGGCAACAATCATGGCATCAAAGCACATGAAGCAACCATATATGAAGTGATAAGAATTATTGGATTTACGAAAGTGTGAAACCATATTCGGAGTGAGTAAGGAGGCTACAACATATCTGACAATCTAAGAACTAATGTACATCCTAATGTACCTTAGTATCAACCCCAAAGTTGTAATTGCATTCACGAACGAGTGACATACGTAATAGACCGTGAGACATCACTTTTTGTGGCAATTTCAATCTGGAGTACAATAGAATATTCAGGGCCAACTCAACACTTCCCCATACAAAGTCAAACAAATTTCCTGTGATCATAGATCCGTTTTCAAATAATATAAATTATATATACACTATGTATTATTTAATATCATCTTGATATTCCATACGTATTATTAATATCATTTTGATATTCCATTTTAATAGTACTAAATGTTATCATACCACCTTGTAGTGATTTTGTCATTCTCATCCTCGATAATACTCTACATCTACTATCAGCAGCCATATCATTTTTCTAAAGTCAAAATTATTCAAATTTAGATATACTTGAAATCTCTATGTGAAATTCTTCATCGAACCTTCATGACACATCCAATATTCAGAATTCCTCATCAAAAGTTACCAAATAATAGAAATGCTCATAGTAGTGTCTTATCGCTAAGAAGGCTCTCACTGTTTTATCGCATAATAATTAAACGCCTAATATGAGAATATATATTGGATATCTCTCCACCCATAATTTGACTCATCTCTTTGGTCAATTTGAATTTGACAGATTCAAATTTAAGATTCCCCTTGGACTAATATCAAAGATGAATCCAAAATCAATGTGTATCAAGTGTCCCTTATCGCTGATCAAAATATTGCCATTATGTCTATCCTTTTTTTGCTATATGTAACTGATAATACTATAAGCTGCTTGACTCTTAATGAGGTTCTGTCTTGCTATCTGAAATTACAAAGAATCTTCTGCCAAAAATTTATTATAGACCATAACGATTTAAAATATCTCTAATGAAATACTAATATGTTTGATAAATTCATTATACACAATACATCGATTAGTCTTGTCTAGTTGATCTCTAGAGATAGTATTAGGTGGGTGGATTAGATTTGATATCATTATACAACTTCAACGATTCCTCCAACATTTAGAGAATTGCTTGTTCTATTAGAATGGTTTTATGTGGAAACACATGCAAATCTAAACCACACCTTTCAAAAACTCCCTTTTACATACTAATTCTTTACAAGGCAAAGTGTCTTGTCTGATATCATCAAATACCTTAAAGATACAATACTAGATTTCCTACTTTACTCAGCGTTGTTATAATTGGTTGTATGTTTTTGAAACTTGCTCAAAGGATTAGACTATTTTATACTGTGGTTTTCATAGGATTGTGATTGCTTATAAATCTGAGAGAATCCTTAAATTGGATTATATGCTCTGACTCATTATTTAATTATTTCCATTATTTTTTAATGTTCTTACTAACTCACTCATAAATAATTGTCCTTTCTCTTCATCGTCAGGTAAAGTATCTTATTCCAAGATTATCAAGATCTTTAAATATCCTCTTCCTTTAATTGTTTATTCAATAGACTGATTTCTAAGCATACTCTATGAGGAATGTCTTGATAAATTATCCAGATTTACTTGCTAGAGATTGTAAGATCTGAGATAAATAGAAGATAATTTTTTCACTATGCAATCTCTTCATATGATTTTTGAAAAACAACTGAACATCAGAATAGCTTTAAAATTGATCTGTTATGTATTTGAGTAGCGACTATATTTGAGGCGGCTTCCAATACAAGAATATTTTAGTATAGTTCTCAATCTACTGTAAATTATGAGTGACTATAATCATAGTAAATCTAAATATTTATGAGATCTTGTGTCCCAGAATTCTCTTGAGAACTTCATTCAATTATAATTAAGTGAACATTATTGGATAAAACTTTAATAGTATATAGTGAGCCAGATTTAAATTCTAGTCTGGAATTTGATTTAATATTTTTGGATGACACTCAACGTATTTTGAGCCATTAAACTATAGTCAATGTACAATTCTTCTTATAAACAAGATGCAAAGGCTTTAATTTTATCAATCTCATTACACAATAGAAAATACAATAATTTCCTCAAATAATTATGATCTAACTTCTAGTGGTCTTTGTTTTACAACTTTTGAAGTGAGATGGCATAAGTTTATTATCCATTATAAGCAATTTCTGCTTATAATTTTCGATCAATTTAAGAAGCATTACTTTACATCAAGGTTGATGCTCCAATTTGGCCTTCTTTAGGATTTGTTGTCAATTGAAATTAACTATGTCTCTTAAAAATAAAATGACAAATCTTTTTTTGACTCTCTTCATCTTGGGTATTTTTTAATCCTCATTCAATTCATTAACTTATCTTTAGCCAAGTTTTTACATACAATACAATATAACTAGTATCTTTTATTCAATCTAGATTAACACTGACATTAAATGAAAGAAGGTTCATGATATAAGTTGACATTCTTAGCAAAATGACTTAATAGAATTTCAGAGTCTTGTAATAGAAGGATTCGATGTTAAATTTAACAGCTAGATTTTGTTTCATCAAAATAGAATGCAATTGATTATTCTATCCAAATATCACTTCATAACCTTAAATATCTTTGTATTTCTTTTTAAATTCTGTAATAATTATAATTTACTTTGGCTATTATTTTTATTTGAATTGATGATGATCATAATATGAATTTTTTAAAACCGGATTGATTGAGCCATAACTATCAACATCATATTGCATTGCAATAGAATGAGTGACTACTTTAACCATAGTGTGAAAGTTTTAATGAATGTGTTATTTCAACTTAATCCAGGGTACCATGATACAAAAATATAGTTACTCTAAATAACATTTTTACAATTATTGAAAGGTGCTTTAGAAGTATTCCATTACATCCTTTCGCACCATCTCTTCAATTATTCAAGCAATTTCTAATATCATTTTTGAACACACTTAATCACAGTATTTGTCCTATAATGTTCTTATGCCTAGAGTACTTTCTTTATTTAGTTCAAAATATTAAGATTGCATATATTGATATATAGTATTGGCATAGCAGATTTCTCAAAAGAAGTGAAAAATAATAAATAATTATTTATTATATATTTTACAATTTTATATCTAAGCTATTATTTTTTAGTACTATTTACAATTTATATTGCAATTCAAGAGTTATAGTTGATAATAGATGAATATTAATTGATTATATAATTACTGTTATAAACATTTAATTAAATAATAATGAAGAGTAATTCATTTTTGTAGAGGAAACATTTAAACAATTAATTCATGAAGATTTTTTGCATCTAATGGCTTAGTGAGAAAGTAGTCCATTCCCGAATTGAATGACTATATCTTAGTATCAAGATCTGTAAATCCTGTATTAGCAACACACCATGCTCTTCTGATCGTTTTGTTCTTGATCAAACTCTTGATTTCCTTGACTGTCTGGTATCCATTTAGAATGGGCATGTTGATGTCAATAAAAATGAGACTGTAATATTTGTTCTAACAAATATGACATCCTATTTCCAATTTTTACATAATCTTATTAAGTGCTTCTTTTCCATTATATGCATAATCACATTTAGCTCTATGTTTTTGCATTAAGAGTTGGAGACTTAAAATGTTAAAGTACTCATCATCAACAATCAAAACTCTTGAACAACAATTACTTTGAATGGAGCATTCAATAATTTCATATTGAAATTTCGGACTGAGATTACGCGGTTCTTGAATAATTAAGAATTCATCCTCACTGATAGGTACCGATCCTTGATCCTAGACTAAGAGTAATTTAGGTTATCTGAGAACATTGTCATCTTCGACAATGGAATTCTTATAATTTACTGAATCACTGCTTTGACTGATAGATGGGAGTATGAATTTAACTGAATTACTGAAAGGTGACTCAATATATGAATTACCAGAAATTAGTCTAATAATTGATCTACTTGATCTGAGTTCTATAGATTTCTTGTTATCGTAATTGCTAATCTCATGCAGATGGTTCTTGATCAAGAATGTAAAAATGGTTCCCTTATCCTTTTAATCACAAATTATTGGAATATTTCGACCATTCAATCTTTTAATGATACTATTTGAAATGCCAATTCCCAAACCACTTCCAACCGAATGAGGTGAAATCTTTACAAATTGATTCTTTCCAATAAGAATATTCTACATTCTGGCCATCTCTTCTTCAGACTATATTGAATAATAAATATTATAATACTAATCCAGGTCCAGAATCTTAGATTGATATTTAACATTATGATCTATTAGTTTCAATTTTGATACGAATTGTACCTGTAGTAGTATATTTAACAGCATTATGTAAAAATTGAAAATAAACTTATCGAAATCTTTGTCGATCATTGATAATAAGAGAGTTGATCAATTAATAATCATGTACCAAATTAATCTACTTATCTTTAATGATATCAATCATTAGAGTCTCAATGTACTTGACTTCATCATTGATGTTGAATTCCTCTAATTTTAGATTGAATTATTACAAGCTTATTAAATTGTAATCTCTTATATTACTTACAATTAAACCGAGTTGCTCACTATTTATTTTTAGTGGCGAAATGTACTTTTACTTAACAGATTCAGGTACCTCATCATCATGCAAAGCCAAACTAGAAAAAACCATTATACTATTAAGATTGGTGCCTAATTCATGAGATAGAGAACGACTGATATCCATCAATACTTGGTTACTACTATCATCTTGCATTCTCCTAACTAACAACTGACTTAAATATGAAAATGAAACAATAAAGTTAAGACTGTCATGGTTTTGAATTGGCATTAAGTTTAATGTGACATTCTCTAAATCAAAAACTTGACTCTTTGAAATAAGCAAAGATATAAATTGAGTCTTTAAGTTGTCTTTGAATTTCAACATGAATTCTTTAAAACTGTATGTTTATTCACTCTCCCCGAAATTAGAAGAAATTACTTGCAATTACATAAATTATTCAACTAAAATAATGTTTTAAGGAGAAGATTCATTGAGCCAATGAATTTTGAGATCAAAATTACTCTCCAAAATTTCTAAATTCTCTCTGATAATAATGAAATTATTAGATTAGAATAATTTCTAAAAGTTTGATCTTGGAGATTAACTTGGGGTTACCTCGTAATCTTATTTAATCTTGTGATTAGCAGTCAAATCGATGATGACTTAATTCTGGATGAAATTGTGTTATCTATTGTAAGGGTAATGCTGCATTATGAGCTTATAAAGTTGGATCAAAAATATAAGGGCTATCACCAATTCTATTGCTAATATTGCTGCATTCTAAATAACAATTCTCTCTTTATTGAATATATTCAATATCAAACCAAACAATCCTATCATCTCATATAAAAAAATATGATCAAAAATGTTCTTAGATTTCAAGGATTAACACATTATTCCTTAAAGCAAGAAGCTCGCTCCAGGAGAATTACTCAAAAACCAAATACCCAAATATTTGGAACAAAAACTTAAGTAGATCAAAATTACTTTGAGTTTGTTGTTCTTCAATCTCGAATTAGCGATTAATTCAAGTATAATTGACAATCCAAATAATACTCCCACAGCCATCAAATTCTAATTCTCTTTAATCATTATAATCAAAATTACAAATATTGCTGATGTATACACCCAGTCCCGTTATAAACATATTACTCATTAACTGCAGGCACATTACAAATTCCATTTAATTATAATATTATAATGATGAATTTTAAGAGATATTATTTCAAAAATACTGCTATGCTTTAAGTCAAATCTCAAGAATTAATGTTAAAAATTAAAACCAATACAAAAATATAATTAATTAATAAATCAAATCTTCATTTATATTAATAAATATTAAATAATTCCTTCTCACTCTCACTATTATATCTCACCATTAAATATCTCTCTAATTATAGAATATTTTAGTCCATTCTAATATCCCTTTTCTACCCATTAATAATTAAATTAAACCATTTTGGAATTCCATAACTCAAAATATCAATCTAACTAAAATTTATCTTCTCATTGTTAATTTTCATCACCCATTTACCCTTCCCCTTATCTTTACCTTTAACATTTTCACACATCAACTCCACAACATCTGAAACCACCTCCTCCTTTATTTCCATACTAACTCTCTAATTACTTTCATTCACTAATCTCACCAAGAATTTCTAATCCTCCTTATAATCCACTTCCAATATAATACTCAATGGTTTCTTCACTTAAATTCTTTCATTTTTTTGATTATTCAATTGCATTAATTCTTAATATTTATCCTAGAGAGAACTTTTGCCAAACTGACCTTAATTACTTCCCTTACTTTTCATATTACTATTTCTCCTCATCTATTCGTTTATCATTTCATTTAGATTATTATTCTTAAATTCATTTTTCTCTAAAATATATCTCATTCCCTGATATTTAAACTTCCACACATCATTTGAATCACGGAAGTACTAATTATTTTTTATTATCTACTCTAATTCTGCGTTCTATACTGTCTCTTTCTAAATTATAGAAATGATATAATAGGCCTCTAAATTGCAAAGTACTTTCTATTCCAAATACAACAAGAAAGGTTCTAGTTGGATTAGTAACTCTTGATTTAATTTTGGAAAATACTTCATCTTATCCTAAAGTTGTTGTTTAGTTGATTATTCAATATAATCCTTAGTCAATTATCTTAAATCAAATTTAAAAGTGTTTTCATGAAACAATTCTCTGGCCAATGAATTAATGATATATCTAATCACTTCAAATTCTAAGATGTAACAGTGATTTATCTTTTTAATCAATTCAAATAGCTTCTCCTATTACTTCTCACTACATTTCACCTACCCATTTAGAAAAGGGATCCACTCAAATCTTAAGAGAGCATCGCTGTTCTTTTATAAGTAATCAAATGTGTTTTCAGCATTTTTCTATATCCATTACAAATAATGTTTTAATGAATAGAAATCTAAGTCTGGCATTTATAATATGTCAAAATCTATAAATCTCTGTATTGAGTAAACACTTTTGTGATGTGATATGATATTCAGTAATTTTAGTGAAATTGTTAGACTAAAATTAATAAAATCTACTTATTTTGCCTCTTAAAATAATTGACTCTGTTCATTAACCTGTTGATTTTGTTGTTGTTAAACAATGTTGTGATAGTTTTTTACTTGTTTATCTAGAAAATATTAATTGAAATGGTCTCTAAAATCTTTTGACAATTCATATATGCTCTCGTATAATTATTATATTGTACTTAATTTAAATTTCTTAGGAATTCCTTTTTAATACATATGTTAACCATAAAAATTTATTATTTAATCATATGTTTCTTTTTATTATGTTTTATATAATTTAAATCGAGCATCTAAAATTAAGTACAACATTTATCCTAAAATATCAAAATTCTTTCTTTTTTTCTCCTCCTTTTATATTATCAAATTAGATTAGTTTTCTTAATATCTGTATTTTTTAAGTAGAAATTCATAATTCTTCTCTTCTTATTTCTAAGCAATCGTCTACCTTAATAATTTGGCCTTTAATCTTTCTATCTTATTTTCTTTTTCAATTTTTAATTTTTCATCTTCTTTATTAAGTCTTGACTAAATAAATTATTCTTCTGTTTTATTTTTCACTGAAAGGTTCTTCAAATATTATTTTTATTTATCTAAAAGATGTTATTTAACTTCCTTCTTTTAAGTTTTCTTGATCTCTTTAACTTCAATTATTTTTTCCTCTGTATTCAATTTAGACAAATCTAATATTTGTAATGTTATGGATGAGACAAATCTTTATTTTTAGATTAATGTGTCCTACAATTCTTTAATTGAAGTACTAAGGTATAAGAGATAATCGAATGTAGTTAAATCTAAATCTAAAAGTTTGACTTCCTTAAGATAGAATACATCAATTATTAAACTTTTATTATATGGGTAATCAGAGTTTACATAATTGATAATGATTTCTAATGTTTTTAACTATTTGTTTCTTAATTTTAAGAATTTCATAATAAATGGGATTTGATCTTAATACTGACTAAGAGACTGTTAGATGATGAGCATTTCATCCATATATTTGAGGACATCTTGATGATGCTTAGATTCATAAATAGGGGTTTGTGTCAGATAGTAGAATGGCATATGATGTATACGAATTTGAAGCATTTTGAGAAACATTTAATATTGACCATCCTTTTCTTAGAATTTATTATACCAATCTTCATACTTTGCCTTAATTTAGTCAAATAAAGTTTAAGATTGAATTCTGAGTGTATGTAGAGCATCACATAGTGAGTTTTCTATAATCAATAATGACTTCGTATTTTCACATTTTTCATATGCTTCTTAGAATGAAATAAGAAAGTTGAAAATCCTTTCAACATTTTGATTATCAAAGAAATTGTCAAATTTATAAGAATTAAGAGCATCTTAACTAATTTTGAGCTGTTGAATGTGTTGATGAATGATGGTCTTCATTTGTTCTTTAGTAGTGTTGTAAATTTTGTCAGGCTGAATCTTAAAGCCTATAGGAATGGAAAATAAGTCAATTTTCTCATTGATTAGTTTGATTTATTGATTGGCTTTATAATATGACCAAGCTTTTAATCTCTGCGTTTTATCATTAGCTTCTAGATTGGTTTTAGAAGTTTGAATGATGTCATATTTCTGATGAATGTTATTATAAAAGTTCAAGGATTCTTATAAGTAGCTAATTTGATCCTTGAGTGTGTTCTTTAATTTATTGATTAGACCTTGTTCTTTGAGGTTATAACTCATGGTCTGTAAAAATGTTTGAGGTATTTACTGAAATGCTAAATGAGGATCTTCAAGTTGTTGTTATTAGGGATCAAGATCATCACTAGCGATTGTGACTATGGAATTCAGTATTTATTCTGGAGGTAGTATTTGTTATTGAATTTATTATTTGGGAGGATGTGACTGTGTCTGGAATACATTGGATGGGCGCTTTAGTTATTTTTTCTGATAATCCGATTTCTAAGTGTATTAGCTAATATAATTACTATAGGGGGTGGTTTATAGAGTCTTTATGAAACAGAGGTGATTCCTTCATGATTTTTGAGGATCTTATTAATTAGATAGATGAAGTCTTTAAACTAAGTGGAAAGAGATAATAAGCAAATATTCATAATAAAGTAATTTAGTTTTATTAATTCATTCTTCATAAAATCCTTTGTCTTACAACTATTTAATATAAGTAGTAATGGTTTGACAGACAGATTGATTACGAGATCTGAGAGCTTTGTAAAGAACATAGGAGGTATTCTTGTAAATGCTTGGGAATTGTAATTTTGGTGTATTTTGTTCTGTGTGCTTCTAGAAACTTTAATGCCTTTAGATATTTCTATTGCAAGTTGTAGAAATGTTGTCAGCGTTGATTTCTTCATAATTTCTTATATTTTTTTTGATGATTTCACTTTTATCACAATTAGAAATAGCATCGTTGATGGAGAGTCTCTCTTTTTTATCGATGGCAATCCTAAGGTCTTACTTGTTATCAGATTAATGGAGAGAATTGGATTCACTTCGCATCACTTTATTGATTTTATTTCTCTTAACTGATGCAAATTATATTATGTCTACTCTTCTAGGATTGGGAGACTTTTCAATCTCCTTCCCTGTACAGAGGAGTTTCATGTCTAAAAACCTTTTGACAGCACACTACAAAGCCAACTTAGTGAGATCCATCAGATGTTGAATGAGACAAAGAAATATCTGCTGCTTGGAATTGTGAAGTAATTCATTGTACAAAGCGTCGCTTTTTTAACCGAAACCAAAATGCTTGTACAACTCTATGAACACTTTGCTGGTAGAAGTGAGAGTGATGTTACTAAATCGTGTCTTAACTAATGTTATCGTGTACATCAAATCCTGGTGCAATTATTTTAAAGATTTATTTTGCTCCTTCTTGGAATTGAGCTAAATCCTATTGTGTCAATTTACGAAATTAATAGAGTGAACTCATTAGGTCAGTCTCTTAAACTTAACGAAGCTTCTCTCTATACTCTACATTATAGCAATAATTACTAATTTGTTTTATTGCCATAGTATTATTGTAGATATTCTAAATGTCTGAAACCCTCTCCTTCATAATATCAATTATTATCATTTTAATAATATATAAATATCAATGATTAACTCTCATCAAAACATTCCCATTCAACAATTTGACCTACAAGAATAAATGTATTCCTATAACCCACTTCTAGCTAAATCTTATACCATCATCAAAAGACTTGCGAAAAACAAGGAAAATACTTAGAAGCGGATCTAGCCAAAACAAAATTGAATGAATTGACAAAAACCTTAGATCTCTAATAAAAACACGAGGTTGTTGATAGACATTCAGATGAAAAGCAACAAATCGACAAAGCTCATTTTGACGAATTTAATCAATTTAACTTGTTTTGGGATGAGAAATTTAAGTAATTTGATTTTGAAACTAAATCTGCAAAGGATGAGATACTATCTAGACATGAATTAGAATTGACTTCGTTTCTTGAAGAACTAGAAAATACAATTCCATTAAAACCAAAGGATTCTGCTCAATTGTTAAAACTGAGGAAGACCGAAGAACAATTGGCAAAGTTAGAAAAGTAATCAGCACCTAAATCATTTAAGTTATAAAGAGGCTCATATGATCTAATAGAGGATATTGAATTTAGAAAAGGAAGAATTTGATAAATGGAATCATACTAGATAGAACAAAATCAGGAATTTGATCTAACAATTAAGATAGAAATAAATTATAGAATTGAATGCTTTGTAATAACGCATTCTCTCAGTACAAGAAGAATTAAGCAAAAGCAAATCATAAGAACTCTAAAAGTAATATTAAATACTAATTAATATAGAATGCTCTCCAAATATTAACATGTTAGAAAAGAATTAGAGAATTAATAGAATCAAGAAATCAATAGACTTGAAAAATCCATAAAAAATCAATCGATCATGTCTAAAATGAATTCTTAAATGAAAAAACCCTAAGATGAAAATTACAATCTCAAATGATCACATTTATACAATTACCTAATTCACAATTCAATCAAGCTTTCAACTATTTTAATGCCTCTTACATTCCCCAATAGATTTTATATTGCATAATTTCTAAGTATGACAATGAATGCAAATAGTTCATCTATTTTATTGGAATCATCTTACATGAGCCATCACATAACTACTATATTTTTATACAATATTATTTGTAGTCCCTATTTTATTTAGAAAAATGAATTTCCTAATAAATTTTCTTGTATTCTCATCAATCTCCTCCTTCTGTAAAGTTTGCATGTCATTATCTAAAATCTTTATATCACCAGCCATGATCTCTACTCTGTTCTGATAGTTCTCTATAAAATAATCACTAAATGCTATTTTTCTAAGATGTTTCCTTACCATCAGCAGGATATTTTTCATTATATTTGTTTGCCAATTCACTATAGACATAGGTCTTCAAAAAGAATCTCAGATGATCAACGTCCTTCTCGGATTGAGTGTTCTTCTCATTCAACTAGAGCTATCAAATTTAATTTACTAAACGCTATTGCAAGATGTTCACATGTAAAGCAAATGTATTCTCCATATAGTCTGGTAATTACAAAATTGGAAATTAAGCAAGCAAATAATCAGACAAGAGATATTATTTCAATTCCAATGCTAAATTGTAGCAATTTTTATTCATGAATAACGTATATGGACTAAATGAGCTTAGTTTAACAACAATCCAATTACTTTTGAGTTTTTAGTATTCGAGGAAACATAATTTAAATTAATGAAGAATATATCAAATTTAATTCAAGATGAATCTCAAATCAACTAACTAAGACTCAGCGGTCGTCGAAAACATCCTTCTCCTTAAATTCAGATATATGACAAATTAAAGACTTCAATATAACAAGACTTTTAGAATAGTTATACTTTTAAGCTAAAGACTCCAACGCATTCTGATAAGAAATTGTTTGAATATAAGAATTAAAAGGATTTAGAATTATTGGTCTCCTTAATTATGCAAGCTTGTTTACACATGGAAAATTGCATACATGAACAATTATATGAAAAAAATTAACAAGGCAAGACGTTTAGATAGGTTTGCGAATTCAGAGTGGATTGGACTAAAAAGATAAAGAAAGTTGAGAGATATTTTGAAAACTAATTACAACTTAAAAAAGTGTAACAAATACAATGTTAAAATAATGATTAATTTAAAATGATTATTCTTGAGGCAATTAATAAAGAGACGGCCTTAATGATTGACAAAACCAAGAAAGAATCCTAATTCATTGAATATGCCAAGAGATTTGCAATCCAACAGAAACAGAGAATGAACTATTGCGAATCGATATTGAGTTAATTTGAAGATGTGCAAAATCGTAAGAAATATATCCAACCACCTTCCTTCTGGTCAATTCTTGATTGTTCTTGCAATGCTACTATGTCGTGAAATTTTTAATTAATTAACCGTTGATTTATTTAAATGTCAAAACACTCTGAAAAGAAAACTAAGGCAGTCGAATACAGATATGATCATCCTCAATCATACTATCAAACATATGTTCCTACTCCTTATGTAGCTTCTACATATGAATAACCAATAGTTGTAGTACCTAACATTCAAGCAGCAACATAAATCATAACAACAGAACCAACAGTAATAAGAGAGAGAAGAGTAGTGAAAGGAGAATCATAATTTATAAAAGAAGATCATATGATATAAGAATAGAATTGCTGTATATCTAGCACACCTTATGTTTCATGTTGTGACAAGGAATAAAAAGTTGTTACTCGATAAGTAGTATTGAAAGGTAAAATTTTGATCAATATTCTTAGAGAAGCAACCTATTTTGTAAAATAGAAATGAGAATTACGAGAAGAAATTGGATGAAATAGAGAAATTGCACATACAAGAAATTAAGGAAATGGAATTAAAGATGTAATAATAATTAGATTAAATGCACAATTAAAAACTCTAGGATGAATAACAACGATAAATATCAGATTTAAAGCAATCCCTCTTTGATATTAAAAATCAATTAAGTTCAAGAGTTCAATAGAGCCAACCATAATAACAATAACCTCAAATTATCAATACCTATTAAATGGAGAGATTGTAAAGCCAATTGGATAAGAAAAAGAAAAAAATTAAGGAGTTGAAACAAATAATAAATAATATACAAATAGAGCTTTAGTAAAAGAGTAGTTTAGTCCAAGATTTAGATCTGAGATTAAGACAACCACTTCCTTAATCTGTAGTTCATGTTCCAATGCCATAAGAGAATTATGAGCTAATCAATTAAATGAGATACTTAGAATAAGAACGCAGTGTCTTATTACGAGAAGTAGATTCTCTCAAATTCACTAATTCAGAATTATCGTCATTGTCATTTAAGGATGATCCTGAGAAAATTAGATTAAAATAGGATTACTCTAGAATGATCAATGATTTTAGGTTTATAGAATAGGAGAATATTAAGATGGCCACAATCATAGGTCAAAAGGATGATTTGATTAAATCTTTGGAGTAACGAATCAGCATAGAATTATCAAGATAATCAATATTGCTCCAATAGCAATCTCCTTAAAGAGTAATTCTTGAATAAACCACTACTACTCGTCCAATTCAAACACAGTATGTAATAGATTCATCATAATCATATCCTCCATAGCCAATTCATAAATAATACATCATTTAAGACCAACCCATATAAACTATGTAGCCTACACTTTTACAGTAATAATAATAAATACTTCCCAATGTGAAAATAATATCCTGATCAATATACATTCATACAATATTATTTTATGACTGCGATTATTTAATAATAAATTCTATTCATTTCTACATGAGAATTTTGAATTGTTAAATTTCTTATTAAAATTTAAGATCCCAATTCATGATGATATATTAATAAATTTATCCCTTATTTCTCCTATATGTTTTAGGTATATAATAGACATGGAACCATTTAATCATCTGATAATATTGAATTCCAGATACACATTTTTACCAAAATCATTTACTTAGGTCGAATTAAACCATTAAAAAGTACTCAAAATTTTTTAATTCAATACCCCAATCCTTGATAGATTTGATATATCAATGTGATAATTCATGTAAAATGAGATAAAATAATAACACATTGGAACATAATATAATATATAAACTGATGATATGTCTTCTTTTATCCATCAAGATTTTAATAAGTCTTAATTTATTTTTCATAAATATTAATTAATTAACAACCCCATCCAAATATGAGCAATGGTAGTGTGTGCAAATAAAAGTAGTCTTCTTTATCGGCCGTACTGATTTGGTGGACTTTGTACCTCACGGTTCAGTGAATTAGATCCTCGTTGATGCTACTATCATTAGACTATTCGGAGGATTCCGTTCTTTTTTTCTATTTGGCAATCGGTACAAAAGTAAAATAGTTAGGGATGATGTATGGGTTTTTGGGGATAATTCTCATGCTCAATTAGGTTTAGGGGAGGTCTCTGAAGTACAAAAGAAACCTTAAAGGCTCTATTGCAATTATGATCTTCTAACTTGTGCTGAAACATATACCTATGCTTACAATTGGGAAGGTCTTTATTATTGGGGTGAAACTAATTATGGTTGTTCAATATTTAAAGGATTATGTATAGATCCAAAACAATTGCCTTAAAAGGGAGTATCATAATTATGTGCATAAAATGATCGATTTTATTACATTTAACACGGTGATTTATATGGAAGCGGATTTACTCATTTAATGGGAGTGTAGACTAATGTAGTTTCTACGTCGAAACCGCTACTGATAATGAATAAGGTAGTGAAGATATCATGTTCAATAAGTCATTCGTTATTGTTGGATGAAAACGGGTGTGTATATTCATGGGGAAATGGGAAGAATGGAGAATTAGGATTGTAAATGGCAGGATACTCATTCCAGACATATTGTAGTACTCCTACTCAAATCAAACATCTGGACAGAATTCAGGACATTTAATGTGGAAATCATTATAGTTTGGCTTTGAATTAGCAAGGAGTCATTTATGAATGGGGGAATGGTTTACAACCTATGACATTTGAATAAGCATTGAAGATTAAGGAAGTTCAAATGCCTAATGAGTATTCAAATATTCGTAAAATTCATGTAGCTTAAAGTCAAGCTGCATGTGTTGATCAGCTTGGTAGATTATATTAATGGAATTCTAAATACCCAAAACCTTAATTGATAAAGAGTGGATTTCGATGCGAGGAATTTTTATGTGGAGATGGCATTGTATTATTTATTGGGAATGAGCAAGCTTATTAAGTGTCTGAGCATTTTAAATAATAAGTTAAAGAGAAGGTTAAGAAGTATAAGGATTATGTGGAATTGAAAAACAATAAAGTAAGAAATGTATTTTATGATGAAAATAAGAGAACTAAATGTCTTTAAGAGCTAAATTAGAAAGCATTAGAATAGTAGATTAAACCAATATAACCTGAAGATTTCTTATATTCTCGTTTGCAAAGGAAACAATCCTTATATGTGATGTAATTAAAGAGAAGAAGCACAATGATGATTTCTGAATTACAAACATTAGGTTTCTAATCGGAACACAAACCTCGATTTAGTACAATTAAATTTGAATTGATAAAAGAATAGATGAAATCAGGGAAATTGCAGCTGCTGAAAACAGACAGAGATGTGAAGGATAATAAGAACTTTCAAGGATCTTGGGAATAGTTTAAATTACTTTCAAAAAATGTGAATAGAACAAGTTAAATAAAGAATAGAATTCCATTACACATTCTAAATACAAAATTATAGTAAGCTATAGAAATTGACAAAGTTTCAGATCTGATTTTGGAATCTGAGAGATTAAATCCTCTGTACATTCCTTTAGACAACATGGCTATGGTCATTAAATCCTAACCATAGACTCAAAGGGAATCTCTTCATATATAAGAATCTCAACAGAAAGAGTTCATTGATGATCCAGATATTATGAAATATGAGTATGTGAAGCGTATCTACAATGGATATCATGAAAAGTTGCTCATGGATAATCTCATGACGAAAGATTAATGTTTCTTACCCATAAAATGGAAAAGACTTAAAGATGATACAAAACTATTTCAAGGACGCTATAATCGTATGCAACAGCGACTTTAGAAAGAATAGAGAGACGCTAAAAAATTAACCAAGATTACAGATTTGTAACATTTATGACCATTTCTTTTTCTTATAATTCATATCTATTATGGACATGTTGGTAACAATAATTATTATCCAAATGTATTTAATATCCAAATAACTACACCATTGGTCCATCCAAATCCTGTTTATACTTCATATTCTCCACCTCCTCCAGATGTTCCTACGCTTGCAGCATTATACTTCTCAAACATGTATCCTTTTCCATATTAAGTGATAGATTTCTAGAAACAACAATAGGCATTGTTGATAACATTTTAGGATAATTATAAGGCAAGTTCCTTCTAATCATTATTGATTAATCCTTAGATAATCATTTGATTAAGAGGAGGCCATGAATTTGGAAGATCCCATTATTATCCTGTATTGAAGATAGAAGTTGGGATTCCTCCAGGATATTATTATATCATTTGTTTCAAATTTTCTATCAAATTGCTATCTGACTTTGATTTTAAATTTAATGGAAAATAATTGGAAGCATAAAAATTCTTATTAAACTTCTTGTCCTTATAATTGTAATCATTCCATTAATATGTTTCTTTATTGTAAAATTTGTCTAACAGTATCTCTTCAGTGTTCTTACTCAGTGTATCATAAAAGGTTTGCTTGGCTTACAATCCCAAAACTTTAGAAAATGAAGCTAATCTTTTCATATTGATTATCATGAAGGTATTTAAATCAACACTTAAAATATATGATGTTTGTATGGATTCTAATGACTTCTAATCTGCAAACCATCTTGTAGAAAAGTCCCAACCGCTCTCAGCTCCTGCTGTGATTTCATGATACATATGAATATTTGCATGTCCTATCGAAATATCTTCATTATATGACTCTGGTCTTGGATAGTAGATGTCTGAATCATAATGATACAACATGACATCACAATAAACATTTTAAAATATCAAGCATGCTCTTATTGATCTATGCTCGTAAAAGTATTGGAACTCTTTTTCTACAGCTCCAAATGAATTAATTATAAACTATTTGGCTCTTTCTTCCTATCCATCTTGTATCAATCCTTAATATATGTTGTAGGTTATTTAGGCTAGTACAGGAGGTTAAGTTCTCCCTTTATAATAGATCCTAGCTCCGTTGGGTATGTAACCGAGCTTATTAATAGTATACACAAAATTTTCCTACATTTTGATGGCACTTTCGAACATTTTACTGATTATTAATCCATCAATAACCCACATTGTATCCCAATAATAGAACTCTCTAAATCTACCCCCTGGTACAAAGAATGGATTTGGAACATATAGTATCGAAGTGGAATCTTCAATACCTTTCTTAAATTCTTTGCACAATTCCAACCATATCTTATTAATTTCTAAACTCCAATCTTTTAACTCTTCAACCTTAATATTATCTACATAATCAGGCTTCTCTTTATAGTCACTGGGTCTGATAGATTCTAAATCGCTGCCTGCTTCAATAAAATTATCAGCCACAAAAGCTGTCACTTATTCTTTATTTTTTGTGTCAATTGTTTTCCAAACATTTAAAATCTCGGTTTCTGTCTTTTTCATAGTCATGTCCACAAAGGTTTTCCCATCATTGAATATTTTTTGTGTCTAAACTGTATGTAGAATGTCACCTTAGCAAAATATTGGATGAGAGCATTAAGCACTAATGTGTGTAATTAAAATAAATATTATCATAATTATTTAATATTGATTTTTTTAAATTGAATATTTATTAAGTCTTAAAATATAATCAAATTCCTATGACTTAAGCTGCAGTTTATCCTTGATATCTATCCATTTTGCAAACATATATGAAATGGTAATTGTTTAGATCTGAAGCATCGAATTCCAAACTTTTTGTTCTTACATCAGGTTTATAGACTTTACTGTAAGTGACCTTCCAATTATATTCTGATTTGCTAAGATATGGAAGTCTCTATTCTGGGAATCCATGAGAGATAATGATATAGACACCAGTTTCTTTTTTTAGGGCTCTGTAAATGTGATTAATCACCTTTTTAGAATTTTATGCTGAGTAGTCTCCACTTAAGACTGCATCCAATAATCCTTTGTCAAATACACAATCAAATTAATCATTTGGAAATGGTAATTCTCTTGCATCAGCCAATACAACTATATATACATCTATGCAATACATTAGAAATGAGCTGGGTAAGATTTAAACTTTTCCTTCATGAATTCAATAACTGCTTTCGAAAAGTCTAGATTAACAATCCATTAATAGCCTTCCTTATACATGTCCTCAGGAATATCTATGATTTTATAGGTGATTTAAGATACTTGAATTGCCACATCCAATATTGAGAATACGACTATTATGATTAATATATTATGTAACAATGTCTTTTAAGTTATCATAATTTTAATACCATTCAAATGGTTTATCATTTCTAGAATAACAATAAACAATACTCTGAATATCTTCTTTCCCAATATTCTAGTTTACCATAATGGTTTTTCTGAATAGCTTCTTATTGTGATTTATTCATAATTAATAATTATTGTAAATAATTTTAAACTTCAATTGTTTGTCAAAATGAGTAAGAGATTCATTTTCACTCCATCCTTTCATTCGCAATGACTCACTTAGGCAACATTTTTCCTGTTAATTGAAAAAAATTGTAATATATCATTACTACACTAATTATTGAATGTGTTTTAAAGGAAACTTATCATAGCCCAAAGCTAACAACAGTACCATACTTGTATAAAGTTCTAGCTTTAGCGCATACACACTCTAATTTTACTTAGTTTAATAACCTATTCAATAAATCAAAATGTATCAACATAATTACATCGATTCCTTCAAATATTATGCTCAAAGTATTTTCATTAAGTTTTTACGCATTTTAAGTAACGAGGGTTAAATTATTTCAATTAAATATGATACTGTTGGTATAGTGATTAACACATCTTTGCTATCACAGTATTTAATTGATTGTTAAGAAACATTAAGAATTTAAATTTTTTTTGCATATGGAAATTTTTCCATATCTTTAAGATCTATTAAAAATATCATTATTTATCTATTTACATATTTCTTGCTCATTTTAAATTAACTAAAGGCAAACCTCCTTATTAAAATTCCATCCACATTTCTGAAAATAATGATACTTTTTATTCCTAATTGTTACAGAATAAACAATATAATAATTAAGTGTAAATAAATAAATTACAATCAGAATCTCTATTATTTCAAGATTACTTTTAGAACAGCCAAATGCATTAATGATAGTACTTATTATCCTGCTAAAAGTTGAAAAATTGAGTTATCCAATTAATTAGCATAAATCACAGCTTTACTTTAATTAAATCTCAAGGCTAGATGCAATGGAGTCCATTTCTCTTTATCAAATTCATTTTGGTTTTCATATTTAAGTAAATCTTTGTCAATTTTTTGGCAATTCAACATCCTTTTGTAAATGCTAAAACACATGATGCAAAAGATACTTCTCCTTTGGTTTTCTTCCTTTCATATTTTGACAATTGTTACCGCGAAATCGATAATTAATATCACTTAATCTATATTCTGTATTAACAGGCTTAATATTCTCTATTTAATATACTTTTTTTCATTTATATAAATATGCAATTAATAATCTTAACAATAGTAATTGCAATTTATTTATTAAATGTTAATTTATTTTATCTCTTTGCTCAGTATTATTAATTGCCAATGTATTGAGAATGCATATTTGTAAATTCCTAATTCAGTACGCAAATAATAATCTGAAACTGATGTTATTAAAAGATTGGAAGGAGAATACATAATTGATATGGTGAGGATTTCAAAATAAATGATAAATCAAAAATACAAATACTTTAATCCTAATTGATATTTGGACCATAAAATTATGAGATCTATTGTCCAGCCATCCATATTATTCCTGACAAAGAAGAGGCGAAATGTGAAATCACAGTAAACACGTATCAAATAAATACAACAGAAAATGATAACATAGGCTTTGCATAACTTGTAATTCCTGTTGAAATAAATAATAATATTTGAGAAAATCCTACTCTTCAATTCTAAAATAATTTTTACTACGATTAGTAGATTTAACAGAATAATTGAAGGATGTTGACTATTTTGTATAGTATGAGAATTGTGGTAGAAAGATATTCATTTTTATCTGATTCTTTGCCAATAACAGCTGAACAAATAGTAATTTTACAAAATTATTCAAAATCATTGGCCTCCAAAGCTAAAATGGAACCAATAACTCAACTGTTAAAAGGCATGATTTAGGTTGAAAATTATACTGTTGACAAAAGATCTTCTATACATCTTTTTGCATTATGCACTATTATATTCGGGGTTATCCCTGTTCTCATGTATTAGAGCCTTCAAGAAAAGAGTTGAGGTCTCCCCTTAGAATAATGAATTATTGAATTAATAAGAGTTAAAGGCTCTAAATTGATTAATTAATATATGAAGTAAATGTTGTCAATTTCGCTTTTGATAACATCGCTTTTGTGTTTTCTCACTATGCTATCCTTTGAATCCAATTTATTCTCTTTAATAAGTCAAAATCTAAGAAAAATTTTACTATTTAATTAATGGTAATTTCTTTTAGGAGAATTCAATAATTTTAGACTAATTTGCTTTGTACAAAGATGATCTTATATTAGGCATTATCTTACTTTAATGATATTCAATTTATGCATCTATAAATTATAACTGCATTATTCTATTTAAAAATTGCTATGGGCCTTTGAATAGGAAACTTCTAAATTAGTTGATTGTATTTATTATAATGTAATTTATCTTCCCTCTACTTGCTGCTTCAGAAAATAACAGCAAACTTAATTATTTCATCATTGTAAGCAAGAAAAAATTGCTAAGAATCAGAAATTGTTCAATTGTTTCAATTGAATATGAATTATCTTATTACCTCCCACTTTGCTATTTATGAATTTAAACAATTAATCATTTGCCTATCACCAAAAATCTATTTGAAATGTAATTAATAAAATTATAGAATATAATGAGTTTTAGATTGCAACATAGGAACTTTAGTTTTGGCAACTTATTGGTTGAAATTTCTCTTAACAAGAGTTTTGCGATAACAATATGAATATATTTGATATTTATATGTTAGATCCATTTAATTCAGTTTATAATTTAATCTTTTTTAAAGAATTCAAAAAAAAATACCCGATATATCGAAATATTTAAAATCTCCATCATTTCAATTATATGGATAGTTGTCTAAAATAAATTTGAGAAATTTAAATATTTGTTTGAGAAACTTGGATATGACTAATAAAATTATGATTAAATTAAACTTAATTATTAAAGGGTTGAATGTTCAATTCTTTCTTTTGATATTTCTTAATATTTTAATTGTGTTATGTTTTCCTAATTTGAAATCATATACTTTGTAGTATCATTTGATAAAGTAACATTATTTATTTTGCTCTACTAATATTAGAAATTTAATCTTTTTAACAGAAAAGATATTAGTTTTATATCAAAAGGATCATTTTATAAGAAATGAATTAGTTATGACTCTGGATTCCTTGTTTTAGATCAAGTATGTATTAATATGTTCTAAATTTTGTATAATATAAAATAAAAAAAAGTAAAATTAAATTGATTTGAAGTGTTGATATAAATGTCTTTAAGATGGATTGGATTAATTGAGGTATTAAATTCAGAATTTGAGAGAAAATAAATATCTTTAAATTAATTTAAATAATAATGAGTGAATAATAATCAAAGGGTGAGAGTTAAGAAAACTCAAGTTTATTATCTTCATAGGAAGAACAATAAAAGAAATACGTAAAACCAGTTGAATTGATAAATTTTTCAAAGGGATCATCACAATCCTTAATTATTAATGAGTAAACTTCAACTAGAGAAGAAAGAAAAATGAAATAGTATTTACAACGAATACAAGAGAAAGAACGCCAGGAAGAGGTAAGTTTCCTTTAATTTTAGTTTTTAAAAAGGCTGCTACACTCAAGCGTAAGCGGTCGAAGGTAAAATTATAACAATATTCTAGCCAAACCCTCCATTGAAACAATAGGACAGTCAAGAATAGCCAACAAGCTCTGAAAATAAAGAGGAAGAAGGAAAGTAAACTATTTCTGTATTTATTAAGTCAATCTTTAGCTATGGCTGTGTAGTTAAATCCATTGTTAGTCCCTTAATAAAGTGTACAATAATCAGAGTAACTATCTTCATCAACAAAGTTGAGACTGAACCCAAAATTAAAAATGAAAGTATGACATTTTGTATTTATAATAAAAAGGAACAACACCACATTTATCTTTACTTGTCGGATTGCTAAGATAGAAGCTTTGATACTATGTAGAAATTATAAGCTTCTGCTACCCAATTATATTCCCCATAAAAATAAACTAAAGATTAAACAAGTTTAAATCAAATAAATCAAGAGATATTTTAGGAAACATCTTATTTAATAAAAAATATTAAAAATTAATATTAATAATACATTGAACCCATTCAAACAATAGGCTTAAACGATTAGAAGGAGTTTTACAATAAGTATTTTGATAAAAAGTACGTCGAATCAGTCATCAGAGAGAGTAAATTGTAAATTCATAAGAAATCATAACTTGAAAAATAAACATCAATTGGAAAACAAATACCAAAAAAACATTGATACTTATAGATCATATCAAGAATTATGGAAATCTGGCTTTCACTTCTATTTGTGAATTTTATTGTTCTTTTTTCTCCTAAAAGACAACTGATGACCTTTCAATTTTTTGTTGGGCTCTAATGATGTTCATCTGCTTATTGAATGATAAACATTAATTACTTAAGTTCAGCAATCTGATAAATCTTTTTCACAACTCATTAGATTTTACAGATCGAATCTGTGTTTCCTTCATTATATAAAGAGTTAGACATTAATTAAGGTTAAATCAGATCTAAAATGTTAAACTATTTTCTTTTTAAATATCCTATTCCTCTTTTTAGACAAAAGATTTCATATTAATAGAATCCCTAGTCGTAGCTGAACATCATACTTCTGTAGTAATTTCTTCAGATATCCTGTAAGTTAATTTTTCATCCTTATTATTTGAATTCTCTATCATTAGCTTCTTATTTTGTTAAACCAACCGATCGTTATCTTTTTGAAGTTTTGATAAGTTCTAATGATAAATATTATTAATAATACTTTTATAATATTTCATTTTGTCGAAGCTTTTCTGTCAATATATTTCAAATCCATAAATTCTTATTGATAACTATTATATTCATCCACTAATTAATTTAATTATTACTAGCTCAAATTTGATTAGATGTATTAACTAAAGATTCTCTTGTTGAATGCTCTTTTCATTTAGCTATTACTTCAGTTCATGTTATTAGGAATAAGATTCTTTATAAATTAATTGTTATTAAAGCAATACATTAATTTTACTTAGTTCGATGTTTTTATCATCTTATGCCTTATCCTAATCAATTAATTATTTAACTTCAGTGTTTTTTACTTGCAATTATTTCTTTGTTTTATACAATTCATCCTTAAGTTCAAAAATTGTTTCATCTTATTCTTTTTAACCTAACTATTATTATCTTATTTTAATATTCAAAAATTTAATGACTTATAATAAATGTATTTTATTTAAGAATAAAGTTCTAAATTTTCTTTGTCCTTTTCTTTAAACCATTTTTATTTTATGTTACCTCGTTTAATTAGACTTGATTCGACTTAGTTTTATCCTTTGAGATGAGAAAAAATTTCTAAACGAATCATTTCTTAATGATCATATATACTTTTATTAATCAGATATTTTAAGAGGTAAGCCCTTTATCTAATATTAAAACTATTGAGCCATTTCATTGTTTAAACCAACTTTATCAGTCTATATTGATTTAAAATGAACTAAGCTCTCTCCATCTATGGATTTTAAATGTGTTTGGATATTTGGAGATTTACGCTATTATTTAAGGTGTTGGTTTTCCTTCATAAAAATTTGATTGATATGATTTAATTTTCAAATTCTTCATGCAATTGATTTCCTCATTCTCCTCTTTAATTTAGAATATTTGATAATTAATTTGTAATTTATTATTCTCCTCAGATAAGTTATTATTTTGTTCCTTAAAATATTCAATTTAACAATATAATTCTTTTAATTAATCCTCATATTATTGAAATGCAAGATCAATTTATTCTCTTTATTTAGTCAACAGCAGAATGACTACTTCTCTGATTTAAGTTGTTACTGGCAATTCCCCTTCTATAATGTTCTAGTGTACTTCGATTGAGCATTCTTTGGTAGATTTTGATTTTTTATATTTGATTTTTTATTATTGATTGAAGTTTATCCGCTTTATTTCTGAATTCACTCAAAATTTAATTCTTTTTTTCAATTTCGTTAAGTAGATCCTTTAAATCATTTTCTTTCTTTAATTTTTTTTATTTCTAAACTTAATTCATCAATAATATTTACTTTGGCTCTGTTATGCTTTGACCATAAAATTTTAATTTCTCCTCAATTAAGTTTATATGGTTATTCAAAATTTAATGTATTTCCATTTGAAAATTCCAGACTTGATCCAAACTTAAGGGAAAAATTTTAGCCATCACCTGTTTGTTTCATTATATTTAGACCAATCAATTAATTTATTTATTCTATATGGAGTCAAAGATTCTAAATCGAATTAGGAGCTTGTATATGATTTTATAAATGAATTTGCTCCTCCTATGTTAATATTCTATTCTTCTAATGAAGAAAACAATTTTATTTTGGATAAAACTTTTTAATTGGAAATTACCATCAGATATTTCACTATAGGTTGTAATTGTTATATCCATTGAAGGGTGGGGAGACTTCTCTAAATCTTATTTTATTCTGTATGGTACTTGAAAAGAAGATCATTCAAATCTTTTTCAGATTCATAAAGAGAAAATTCAAGATTAAAAAATTAATATATTTTTTAAGTAATTCATTTTTTTCTTTATTTTAAGGAAGATACTCGTTTATGTAACATTTGCTCTGTTGATACATTTGACAACAATTATTGATAATCAATATTCGCTTCTTTTTATCCAGCAGGCAATGTATTTTATCTGTCTGCAAAGAAATTATTTTAGGAAATAATTCTTTTCAAACCTTACAACTTAGATTAAGCAGGGCTTTAAATAGTACTAATCTATTATACATTGCTCATAGAGGATTATCTAAAATTATACTAACTTTTACTAAGATTTTATTCGTTTCTAAAGAGATTAAAACTGTTCTGGAGTAAATTTTTGCTATTTTTGATTCCTGGTTTGTGGAGAAGCAGGTTTTGATTAATACTCTTTTTGTTCAGTGCTTTTTCTTTGAGGTTTAAACTTTTAATTTAAAGCTAGTTATTATTAAGTAACCATCATAAAGTGCTATTATAAAATTTTGGCCTATTCAGTTTTCATTTATTTCTATTCTTACGCATCAAAGTAAAATGCCTTAAAAATTCTTATTTCTTATGATAGACCGGCTTTTCCCAAAAGCTTCTCTCTCGTTTCTAACTCACCTTTCATTAAATCATTCGAGTCATAATTAAATTTTAGTTGATTAGGTTTGAATGGAGGAGGAACCTATTTCTGTAAGATTGCCACTAAATCAACATCTTTAAACCAAGCATGGGTCAATAATTCAGTCAATCCTTTATTTGACCCTAATCTTTCAGATGGTTATTTGCATAATAATCCTTAAAGCAAATCCTTTGATATTGAAGAACGATACTTTAATAGCTGGTGATAAATTTAACTTATCTGGAAAAGTTAATTCTTCATTCAGGATAGATTCATATATTTCATCAGTATCTCTTGAATAATAAGGAGGTAACCCGGTTACTAATTCAAAAAGCAATGCTCCCATACAGTAGTGATCAACTTAAACATTATGTCCTACTTTCAATAACATTTCAGGAGCCATATATTCTGGAGACCCACAAAAACTATAAGCATAATCTTCTTCAGTCATATTTGGCTTAGATAAACCAAAATCGGCTATTCTGATATGGCCATCAATATCGATTAAAATATTCTCTGGTTTAATATCCCTATAAACAACTGATAATGAATGTAAATAGAACATAGCCAAACAAATTTCTGCAAAATAAAAGCGAGCTTATTCTTCTGTCATTCTTTTCACTTATCTTAATTACCAAAATAGTTCACCACCGCTGCAAAATTCTAATACAAAAACAATAAAGTTTTTAGATTCAAATGCATACTCTAATTTAATTATAAAAGGATGATCAAGCACTGTCATTATGTCTCTTTCGTTTTGCACAATCCCTTTATATAGATTTACTTTGTACCTTATTTTTTATATTGGAGAATGAATTCCTTATCTATTAATTTCATTGCATAAAATCTTCCATTTGATTTTTTCTTCACCATATAAACCCTTGAAAATCCTCCAACTCCTATGCATTTTACAAATATAAAATCTTTAAGTGTGATTTTACTTTATTAAGGTGTTCCATAAAATGGTTATAGATTTAGTGTTTATCCATTTAAAATTTCTAAACTTTTATTTGGTTAATCTATTGGCAAGTTTTTATCAACTGTATGAAAAGACACTATTTCCAAATCTGATTACTCATTTCCCGTTCCGCAAGTTACTTTTCTTTCATCTGGTTAAGATCCTGTTGATGAATATTGATGAATAGAATGCTTTTTTACTTCTTATTTCAAATATTCCTCCAACCATCCTGTTGATTTTAGAGGGTCAATTGTAAATCTAATTTGTTAATTTTCATGATTAACAATTATTATAATCTAATGGGCTGAATTTACAAAACTAGTTTTGTTTGAGTCTTATGATTTTTAAGGTTAACTCGCACCTGATGATATTCGTTTAGATCCATTTTATTATGTCATCATATCAGACAGATTTGCTTTTTTAGTACCAGATTATAATTGCTTATGGTTTGCCATTAATTTAAGCAATTCTTATTGGTACTATTATAAATTATTCCCTTTTTTTAATCCCATGCTTTAATTTGTTTTTTGAGTTGGACTTAAAGATTAGCCTATCAATCCATTTGGATTAAATGATTAACTTAATTTCTAAGATACCTTGGTTGTTTATCTAATTATCATTCAAACTTACGTCTTCAACACGCTTTAGGATACTATCTCTTACAATTATTATTGCTATTTTGATAACATAATCAAAATTTAAATATTTTATTAAATTGACATCAAGAGAAAAGAACTCATTCAATTTTTCAGAAAATCCAAAATCTTATCTACAATCAATTTATGAATATTGAAAAATATTAAGCAAGCCTAATTCATTTTCAGAAAAATAAATATTCATTTGATAACATTAAATTCCAAAAGGATTTAGATAGTTTTTCAACTAATAGTTTGTTTAGTATTTGTAATTTATGCTCCTATTAAGAATCATAATTATTTATTTGAATATCAATTAGAAATCGCATAAATTACAACATTAGGTAATACCATGGATCAATTTAGTTAGAATCAAATTAAAAAAACAACTCATTCTTCTTGTATATTATATCAAAGTAAATTTTAGCAAAAGCATTAGAAATATTACAAAATTGATATATGTAATTTCCATTCAAATTCATTTACAATAGTAAATCAAATAGTGGATTTTCGTTGGCCTTTTAAATGAAAAAAGTTAAAAAGTTAAATATACCAACTGTTATTAATTAATATACTATCTCCCTTGAATTTCCGGTTTAGGAAATTATAAATATGATTTAACTAATCATTACATTCACATAAATGAATTCAATGTAAATTTCTTATAATGAATGGAAATCTAAATATTTTTTTATTCATCTTCAGCCATATAATATTGTTTAATATGCAAAAGGAAATGTTATGATGGCTAAATATGCCATTTGATATATGGAATAATCACCTGATTTCAAAAGATCATCTTTTAATTCTCTATAATTAATTATAAACAAAAGCATTTTGAATGATCAAATATAATAAAATACTTAAAAATAAATTGGTTAATTTTTTTGTGTTTTATAACAGTTTAGATAAATCAGTTTTTGAGAAAGGAAGTTTTTCAATGTAGTATTTCTTGAAAATTTTACTTGCCGATTGAGTTTATTCCCATAAAAATATAAAGCGCTTTAGAAATTTCATTTTATTATGGCTTAGGAACCTTTTAGAATTCAAATTTTATCTCAATTTTTTCTTTAACTTTAGAAGCTATTTTTTAAAGCCTACGAACTGAAAGAGTGGTCGTGAGGAATACCTATTTATTGAATTAGCCTTAATTTCTAAAATTAATGATGGTACCATAAATTAAACACTTACCAAAACATTTATGATCTCCATTTAAAAAAGTCAATCAGCTAATTCAGGGGATAAAATTATTTATTGGAAAAGTGTAATTTAATGAACAATAGAATTTCGAGATTGAGTAAGTTATAAATACCTATTATTTAAAGAGATAAATATAATGATTGTCTATATTTTCCTAATGGCTGCTTGTATAAGCTTATGAATGCTTCGACTGGACTCAATGAGAATACATTATACAACCTAAGTTTTCGAATCTACGCACTTGATAAATATAATGATAATTAATAAAATTTACATATTGATTTGTGACTTAAGAGGCAGAATATAGGTGATCCATATATTGAAATGATACAGCAATTTAAATGTACTTGATATAAATCATGAAAATAGCTTTACATAAAAAATTCAAAAACTATCCACAAAATCCTTTTACTGAATTGGATTATAATTTAGACGATATTATTATCTACTTTAACGACGACGCTAGTAAATTCCACTTTGAAAAAATTATTTATTTCTAAACCAATATAACAACTCTTCCTTATAAATTTGGAGAAATGAATAATCAAATTTTCTGTACTGTTATATTTGAGATGCTAATTTGGGTTTTTATTAACTAAATATTAATTCTAATTTGTGGTCTCTTATCTGAAATGATTTCACCAAGTTTAAACTAAAACCTGGATTTGGAGACATTATTCTAATACTGTTAAAATAAGTGATGGCATCTAACTTTTATCCTTAAAAGTATTTTCATAATATATAGATTCATAATTTGTATTTTAATATAAAGTCGAGTTGCAAAAGAGGGTAACAGGAAATTTAAAAATATAAACAATTATCTTTTATACTTCGTGCATTATGCGAAGAACAATATCAATGGAGAAATTTTAATCTGGGGTATTTATAAAATTTAACAAAACATTTGTAGATTATGCAAATAATGCCTCAATTGATATATATATCAGATTTTAACATAATCAATTGACTGCTTTTTATTGCTAAATAACAGAGATTTAAACCTCTAATTTCCCTTATAGTAAAGGCTAGTCAAGAATCATTTGATGATTCACTCTACTTTTCTAATATATACTTTGATACATGAATTTTATTTCATAAGAGTCATAATTAAAAAATGCCCATATCGATAAAGGGTTGTTACAGCAACTTTAATACATAAATACAATAATCTGATAAATATCTATCTTTAATTCTCTTCTAGGAGGATTTTTATCATTATTATCTCTAATTGTAAATGGATTGAAGCTAATGTTACTTATAAATATGACGCTTAGACTCATTATTAATGGCTATTGATTTTTTGTATGCAATAATAATTTTTATCTAAATTTTGTTCCCATACGCTTTATCTTTTAAATCCTTTACCTAGACTAAAATAGAAAAGTTTGAATATTAATTTCCTCAGACGCCATATTAGCTAATTGTATATTGAAAAATAAGTTGCTGTATATTTTGAAAAATTGTAAAAATCTTAGTAAAGAATTAAATATAATGTATAGAACCACATTTAGGAATATATTGTAAACAATTTTAATTCTTGTCTTAAATTTAATTGATATGTCATAATTCTAATGGGATATCCTCTCTCAATCCTTAAAATGTTCTGCAAAATCAATCAAACAGATAATGGACGACATCATCCTACAGTTCTACTGAAGGTTGATTAGAAAAGAAACCATATGCACTAGCGAATTTAGGGTTCTCAGGTCATAATCTATATCTGATATTTAAACAATTTCCAATCTATCTTCTACATACCTAACGAAACAAAATCTTGGAGAGTTATCAATAACAATAATTATGTCCATACTGCTTCCATAAGTGAACTCCACATATATACTATGAGTTGAGAGTGAATTCTACTCAACAGTAACGCCTGTACAAAAGCTTTACAGTACAAGGGCTTTGACAGCCTAAATTGCTTTTTCACCGCAAGGTAGGGAATTAAGGAAAAATAGCTCAAGATAGTCTCGCAAAAACTATCAATTCTTTATAAATATAAGACCACCTTCAATTTTCCTTATATTAATTCCTTACATTATTAAATCATAGCTATTTATAGCTTATTAATTGATCTCATCATTTTGTTTTGCCATCGTAAATATTTCTGCCTTTCTTAAACCGAGGCCAGCTTAGTAAACATAGCATTATAATTCAAAAATGTCATGTATCTTTCTTACTAAGCTGTATTAAATTGTTTGATTGGTATTATTTTGGAGTTAGAAATCTTAATTCTCCACCATTAAACATCGCAAGGTTTAATGTTTATCTTATTATTCTTTAAATAGCCAGCTAAAAAAGAAAATTTTCTATTCCACAATAATCTCTCTAACTAAATCTGATAGTATGATATAGTTCAAATGATCAGGAACTACTTTTTAATCCAGCATGTTAACCTTGTTTTCCATTGCCAGAATTGTTTATTTTAGTTCTTTAATTTCTTATTCATTTAATCAAATTGGATTTCATTAGCCAGTTGAATTAACTAGGATCTCTTAGATAAAAATCCTATTTCCAATTGTAGCTATTCTACTTATGTAGCCATCTACGATTTCTCCTTTCATTGGAAGTTTAAAACTTGTCTTTTAGCTGTCTGATTATTTTTCATTATAGGAATAGTTCTTAGTAGGTTTTATTTAAATTCAGGGAAATTAACTATTTAAGATTACCTTAATTTCTTATTCTTGTGACCAGGAATTTCAGTATCTATGTCTCTATTCTAGACAAAGGCAACCTTCTTTTAATTTTATTTTCTTTGTTTTTTAATTTTAAAATATGAAGTAGGTTCCATATCATCCAGTATTATATCTTCCAAAGTATTTTAGACATATTTCTATGATTTTTCCATTCCAAATGTTTATATTGGCTTCTTTCTCCAATTTACCTGAGTTAGGAATTTATGACGATCTCACTCATATGTCTCTTTAAACTAATCTATAAGTTCTCTCTGGATATTGACTTGAATAAGATTGTAATTCCATCTCATAAAGTGAATGCATCTTTTATTATTAGATAATTAAATTCGTAAAAATAATAATGATGATTAACTAGGGAACACTCCGTTTTCATCACATCAACCATCCTACTTGCTCCTTTTAACTCAGCTATAAGTTCTTATTCTAATCTTTCATAGAGGATATTTCCTAAACAGATGATACCTTACTTCTCTAAAATTTTTCTGTCCAAGTCTGATTTGATTTAAAACCTTGGCTGATTATTATTTTTGTTTTATCACCAACCAAATTATATAATTTTTTAATAGGAAAATTTATCTTTTTTTAAAAATGTGACTATTCATATATTTTTCCCAATTACACCAGTCTTTTTTGGCCAATTATTGAACTTATTCAATTATATTCTTTTATTCTTTAAAGTTAATTTTATGCGTTAAATATATTGGTGTACCATCTAATCATCTGAGGCCTAGCCCAGACTAATTAATTTCTTCTCCGAAGGTACATAGGATGACTCAAATCATGCTCACTCTAGAATCCTTTGGATCCATTTTGGTTATTAATTCCTTTATTATAACTTCCCAATCTTATTTATTGTCACCTTCCAGGCCTAATTTGTTCAAGAACATCTTGATTTCGGTCAGTTGATACTTCTTAACATACAACATTAAGGAATAAAAGTCAAGCCCTCGCTTACGACACGAGTATTAGTCATGACTTTAAAAGGAACCAGATCTGCTGGAGTTAACACTAGAATCTTTGTTAGGACGATTAAATTTTTTTCTTTAAAAAAATTGTAATTCTTGTTGTTTTTCTGTATTTTGAATTAAATATAATTATATTAACCTTTTGGCTTATTCAAATTAAATAGAATAATAGCCGATTCAGTAAAAAACAAGTTGGATATCAATTATTTCACTTCTTGTAATTAGTTAAAATAAGATAATAATATTCAAGGATTTGAAAAATTGCTCTATTGTTACTTATTTTTTTAAACTTATGTTACTGCTTTAAAATACTAGAACAATAGATTTTGATAATACTCTAAGTCAATATGGAAAAGCGAATGAAGATAAATTTCCTAAGATTTGAGATAAAATTAGTAATAAAATTCTCTAGATTTGAGATCTTATAAAATAGATAATAATAAAAAGTTTGTCTAGGTATCAAATTTCTAATATTAACAAAAATATTTCATGTTCAAAAGCGATGTAAATTTAATAATTAGAAGCAAATATGAATACTTTTTTAATTGAACCGCGTAGTAAATAAAAAATAAACATGATTCCAATAAATTTCTCACCAAACGAATGCAAAGTAGGTACACATTTTGAAAAAATTATTATCAAATATATAATAAGATATAAAGAAGAAGATAATAATATGATCTTAATATAAATTATAATTTTTGTTTAGGAATAGATAAAGTAGTTGTTAATTTGATATTACATCCTTGAAAGAAGAAATAAATATTTAACATTCTTAAAATAGAAGAAAATGTTAGAATATTCATATCTTTTAATTTGATAATTATTGAGACATGTAGGTAATTAAGTAAATTTCATTTTTTATCTAATCTTGGCTGTTAAATTTAAGTAATAAACATGAATATACAAAATATTTTATATTATTGAAATGAATTGAACTGTTATTTGTATAACTATAAATTATGTTGAAGATTAATTCTATGTCTCATAAATATTCATGTACAAAACAAAAATTACGAATCAATTCAAAACAACCAAATTTGTTTTCTTGTATTAATTGTTTTTCTTATTTACAACAATCGTTTATAAAACCATAAGGAGAAATCTTTAGCAAGCTGAATAATTGGTAGTGCTAGAATAAATGACAAAAGGAAAATGTGAATCCACCCGATAATAATTTTATGTTCACCTGATATATAAATAGGAAAATCCTTTATATATACTAAGGAAATGAATATAAATAATAATATTGATCCTTCTGACAAAATTTTTGAAACACAATTTTATAAATGCTGATGTCTTCTTCTATTGAAAATTATTACCATTGATATTAAACAATTCAAGAACAATATAGCTATTTGGATAATTTCAGTCTTATCAATGAAAATCAAGGCATAAAGCAGAATAATCTATTTAATTAAATCTAATGCTTCAAATCGTTATTCAAGATATTAGTTCTTTTTGCTTTTCATAAAGATTGTACTTGTGCTTAGTGAATTCTGTATTATGTATCCATAAAAGGCTAAAATTAAACTAGCAAGAACAATTGAAATGATATTTCTATTTGAATAATTTTCAAATGTTTTTAAGTAGAGAAAACACTTGAATATTAGATCCCAACCATTGATAAACATTAAATTGGTTATCTATTGACTATTAAAATATTTTGGAACTTTAATTAATGATCTGCTTACTTAATATAAGTATTAATATATTCTCAACATCAACTTGCAATTAATAATTGATTACAAAAAATTCAAACAGATAAAAAGTTTAGTATTAATCATTATATAGTAAAGAAATCTGTAAACAAAACCCTTAGATAATATAAATAGTATAAAAATCAAACCTTAAATCATTTAAGGGATAAAGTTTGATAACAAGTCTGCATTTTAATCATATTATAAGAATTTACCAAACTAGGGACTCATGTAATTTAGTGGAATAATCAAATTTAAAATTTCTTCGAATTTGATGAACTCATAAAGCAGTGAAAAAGATATTTGATCGCTTATTTGAAAGAAAATTTCTAAATTAAATGGAAAGGTAACTGTGATGTACCTAAGATATGAAAAATATTGTAAAATGTCCAACATGGAAAAAAGAATATCTGGTTATCCTATAAGGAAAAAAAAACCTCCAATTGCTAATTGACCATAAATGAAATAGGAATTTACACCTTTTATGCTGTTGCTATATTCTCTTTATTTTGGTGTTAAAAATTATGATACCTCAAGTTGTAATTCATATTATAATTATTACATATTCTCATTATCATTATTAAGAATAGTAGCATTTAAATCTATATATAAGATTGGTTTAGATTAAGTTTAGGTATTAATTTCAATTTAAATTATATAATAAGATTCTTAAACCTATTCTTCTAAAGGCTCTTCTTTCTCAATATATGTCAATATATATTCAGAATTTGAGATATTAAGGATGCTTAAGACCATAGATTCAGTTAAATTACATCCTTTTATGATTTTTATTTCTTATGAAAATTGGAAAAGGACTAATTATTTGTTATTTTGAATAGATAAGAACTTAGAAATAAATTGGGGAGGGTTAATTCTATTGCAAAAAGTATTTTGTTTTATTTAAATGCAGTTCCAACCAGGTTCTACAGCACAATTAAAACAACCGTCTAATTAATCATTGTTTCCGTCATCACACACTTCTTAGCCTTATAATTTAGCATCACCACAACTGCTTTGATATTTGACACACTAACCATTTTAGCAATCCAAACAATTCTATTCACAAGAGTATTTACAATTAAAGCAGCCATCATATTCAATGTCATTACCATCATCACACTCTTCAAAAGCTGTAACTATAGAATCTCCACATATTTATCTGCAATTTACATCATCAAAATAAAACCCAATCCCATAAGTTTTTTGGCAATTTAATTTGCATATACCCTTTTCACAAATATCGCATCCTCTCTCACAAACTAATTTGCATTCATGACATTCATCAATTTTATTATTGCCATCATCACATTCTTCTAAATCTGGTAACACTATTTTATCCCCACATATAGGATTGCAGACACCATTCCTCAAATCAAATCCCTTTTCGCATTGAGCACAATCCGAATTAATACAAAGTAAACAGAATTACCTGCAATTCTCCAACCAATTATAGCGATCACATAAATTCTCAGTAAATGGAATTACCATCCCTTCTTAACAATTTGGTAAACAAATTTTCCTCTCTTCATCATATATAAATCTAAATTCACATTTTTTACAAATTCCATAGATACATTCATCACAATGTTAAATGCATTAATATTTGCATTCAAAGCATCCATCAAAAGGACTAAAATTACCATCATCGCATTCTTCGTATCCTTCGATTTTGTTATTTCCACAAATAGGGTAACATAATTATTCCATTATATTCAGTTTCCATCCTTGCAGACATTATACACACTCCTTTTTAAAATAATCTGAACAACCAGGTATAAATGGAAAAAAAGTATCCAAATGATAGTTTATTTAGTATTAAAGTAGTACTTATTATCCCCATAATTCCAATTCCAACCTTGAATATAGTCGTAAATTGAATTCCGCTATTCCATATTTCTGAATCAAAAGAATTATCAATGTCCCATTATTGTACACTTCAATAATTATAGAATTATGATATGTGATATTTTACCTATTGGATAAAAATTTCAGATTACCTTAAAGTTGGAGTGGTTATAGTTGTTTAAACTAAATCTAAAATGAGAGTTGACTCACATTTTTAACATTCATAATACTAACTAAATTCATTAATTTAATTATTGAAAATAATTTTATCAGTGAATAAACCAAGAGGAAATATATGATGTATATTGTGCCAGGTCTAGCAATCAGATTTTAAAGGGCCAGTGCAATAGAAACATTCAAAAGAGCACAAATCTAATTTTAAGTGCATCTATTACATTCCCCATTAAATCTAGTGTAGTTAAATTAATTACTCGATTATCTTCATGATATTTAAATTTAACAAATACTATTCCTTAAACAATATTATGTCCAAATGTAAATGAAACCAATTTAATACTTTCATTTTTATTGGTCAGTCCACAATAATTTTATTCTTCTATAACCTACGAAGTTTAAGATTCTGCATAATCTTCTTGATCCAATTAAACTTCTATATCGGTCATTGAAGATGAATCCATTCTATTGTTAAATAATAAAATTTACGTCCAAATCAAGAAATCTAACCTAAGTTAATAATGTGGTTTCAAATCGCTAAATATTCTTTTAATCACTGTATTTTCATTAAATGAGTTTATTCCACCTAACATTTCTACTCCTCCACAGTTCGTTATGAACGGAGATTGTGAATTATAAATTAACCAACCTGAGAATATTATTCATTCATTACCATCAAGATTACTATCATTCTATGCAATGTATGTATAAGTCGCACTAATTATCGTAAATTGAACGCTTAGAATAGAAAACATCTAAAAATATTAATAATTGAGCAAAAAATTTCAGATTAATTGACTAAATTCTACATTTTATTAATTAATATATAAAATGTCTATCAGAGAAAAATATAGTAAGATAGGTTGAATTATTTTAGTATTACATATCTTTCTATCATCAAATAATAATTTTCTTGAAGGCAAAATATTTATAATTAAAGATAATTCCTTTTTTCTTCGTAAAATTTCAATTTTTTTTAATTTAATTTTTGCTATGTTTCATATCTCATATTCTTTACAATAGTAATGCTATTTTAATGATACCATTACTCAAGAGTTTTGCTAAAATGATTTTAAATGAACTAAGACAAGAATATATAATTGTAAAAATTGTTTATGATATAAATTATTCAAAAGAATCTTAATTAATTAATTGATGTTTAAAATTTTTATGAAAAAATCTAATATTTATTTATCAAATCTTTTTTTAAACAATATTCTTTGTTTTATTAACCTCAAAAATATTTTTGATTAACTTAAATATGTAGGATTTGGTAATATGAAGTTCTAGAAATTATTTGATCCTAATATTACAATATTATTTTTATTTGCAATTTTTTCTTCATAATGTTAAGAATTACAAATCCCAAAGATTTATTAATTTTGGAAGATTAGTTAATTTTAAACCGCATAGACTTTATAGGATTAAATATAAAAGATAACAATTCTAATAGAGTAATAATAAATATGCTTTATAGAAACTTAGATTGGTTGATACTAATTATTTTCCCTCATTTTATTAAATTAATTAACTAATTAAAGAAAACTTTTTGATAAATTATAAAAAAATAACATCTTTGAATAAAAATAAATTAGGAACTGAAAAACTTATTAATATTCTTAAATATTAATAACTTCATAATACTTCATTTTTAATTACTTCTTAATATATATTATAAAAAATGGATGATGGATTATTAAGCAAAACTTATGATGAACCCTCTTCAACTAGTTATCCATTATCAATTACTATAATTCTATATAATTAATTCGCATAATTACCTATCACATAACATAATAGTGTTTATACGATGGGCAATAATTAAAACAGTGCAATTTGAGAATGAACTTGATATAACCTTTTGTATTTTTTATTCTGTTTCTATATCTATGTTTGCTGTGGCTTCATCTATTAGAACAATTTTTGCTCTCTTTAATATAGCTCTAGCAATGCATATGAGTTGTTTTTCACCTGCACTTAGATTGTCACCACTTTCACTGATCATAGTCTCTAAGCCATTTCTTTGGTTAAGTAAATTAGTGAGACAACAATCGTTAAGTACCTATTTAATTGAGTCATCATTAAATTATTGAAACGGATCTAAATTTTATCTAATAGATCCATTAAATATAATAGCATCTTATTAGATAGAAGTGATTGAATTTCTAAGTTTCTCTAGGGAGATCTAAGAGATGTTAATATTATCGATTAATATTTGACCCTCCTGGGCTTCTAAAATCCTTAATAAACTAAGAGCTAGAGTAGATTTACCTGCTCCTGTTCTTCCAACAATGCCTATCTTTTCATTTTTATGTATTTTAAATGAAAAGTGCTTAAGAGCTAAAGGTAAATCAGGTCTATATTTGACAGCTAGATTATCAAATGAAATAACTCCATCTTTTGGCCAATCTGGTTCCACTTCTAAGGTATAAGTGCTTTTTTCTTAAGGGATCTTTGTAAATTCCAAACACCTTTCAAAGGATATCATATTATTTTCTAAGGTACTTAATGTATCAATAGTTGACTAGATCAAAGCATCTAAATTGGCTACGTATGTCAAAATCAACCCAATAAAGGATGCATTATTTTGGTAAAGAACACAATAAGTGATAGCTGTCATGTTAACGATCAAACTTGAGAAGCCCAACACTTAAGTAAACCAACAGTTAGCGACAGTTGAAACATAAATAATTTATCTATTTTAATCGAGCTTTTAGCTGAAAGTTGTCAGGAATACATTTGACTTTTAATAAGCTCTAATAATAGTTAATCCTTGTAAAGATTCAACAAAATAACTGAGGATTGGACTCTTAGTAATTAATTCAAGTCTTTATAACTCTCGGCTAGCTTGCATGTATATATTCTTGATTTTCAAACTTAAATAAAAGAATATTATAAAAGGTGCTACGATTAATTTAGTACTTGTTATAATGGCAAGTAGGGTGGCACTAATGATTTAACTTAATTTAGTAGAAAATAAGGAGATATTGATGTTAATATCAATGTCAAGTGAGTTTATATCCTTGGTTAACCTATTCATGATTCTACCGATTGGGATTCTTTCAAAGAATTCGCATTATGGAGCTTTTAGCAATGATTCAATTATTTCGTTATGTATTCTTGATGCTGATTTAAGACTTGAATTGACAACAGAAACTGCCCTAGCATAAGCGAATAAGGATTAAAAAACACCAAGTAAAAAGTATACACTTAAATAGACATAACTATTATGATCTTAACTATTAGTGTCTGATGCCCATTTAGCAATCCAGAAATTAGAAATGAGTTATGAAATAATCCATAAAATCATAATTAGGATTAGCACTGAATAATTCTTAAGACCTCCATTATACATAAAATACTTCTGATAGACCTCAAAATCAACTTCTCCTATTTATCGATCTTCTTTCAAAATAATATCTTCGGTTATTGCTTTGTTTCTTTTGGCTAATATTGGTTGTATTGTTTGTTTAGATTCATTATTCTTCTTTGCATCTAATTATAAACATTTTACATGATTAGATTGTATAATATTATTTTACTCGATCTCTTTGAATTTAGTGCTCTGTGAGATTTTTTCGAAGTTCCCTTAATCTATAATTTCACCATTTTAAAGTAAATAAATATAGTCAGTATATTGAGAGTAATTCAATGCATGAGTGGATAACACTCTTGTTTTGGATGATAAATGCTTAAGAAAACATTCCTTCATAATAAAGTTTCCAACATGTACATCCAAAGCACTTAACGGATCATCTAGCAACAGAATTTAGGCTCCACTATAAATAGCTCTTGCTAAACTGATTCTTGCTTTTTATCCACCTGACAAATTTATGCCTTTTTCACCAATCATTGTTAGATCTCCGTCGATTAAAATATCTAAATCCTGTGATAAACATGAATAATATATTGCTTGATTATATGAATCTTGATTGAATTGTCTTCCAAAGGTGATATTGTCTCTTACACTTCCATTTTGAATCCAGGCTCTTTATCCAACATATGCTAATGTACCAGAAATTAAAATTTTTGGACTTTTTTCATTTAAATCATACACCATTTCTCCAAGTAAACCCTAAATAAATGAAGATTTGCCTGATCCTACATCACCTATAATAGAAATAAATGCTCCTTTCTTGATATTGAATGACACATTCTTTAATATCTTTTATTAATCTTTATTCCAACTAAAGTTACCGTTTTAGATTTGAATAGAAAATTCCATATCATCACATTAGGAAATGCATTCATCCATTATTTCTTGAGTTTCAAAAAAATTACTCAACCTTTTTAATGATAATGATATTTCTAGTAGAGCATTAATTGATATTGGGAAGAGCTATAAATTGGCTGCCAACATCAACAAAAGACTTATTATGGGGAATACTTTAGCTGGAGTCAATTAATTTCCCAAATATATATATAGTCCAAAACTTAAACTTAATATTAATTGAGGTGATAACCAACCAAAAAATACATTCAATGAATAACACTCTAATCTTTTATCAATACATTTTCTTTCCACTTCTCTTAATTATTCTATTTTCGATTTAAATATTGATTCATATGAATTTATTTTTATAAATTTAATTTATTAAAATACTTCATTTGTTTATTTGATTCTATTATCTTTACTCAATAACACTTGTTTTTAAGTTGTTAATATGTGTCTTCCCAAATAATTGTTTATTACCAATGTTAATATAATTATAGCAATTCCAACCAACACAGAAATCCCAATTTATTAATAGATAAAAATCAAAGTAATAACTAAATACATTGCACAGATTCCATACTTGTCTAAATTGGCATTATGATGATATTCATAAGGTTATTGACGGCTGTTATTATCTTTTATGCATCGACTTGCATCAAATTGGTTATTTCACCAATCGTACGTTATGTATTGCTTAACATCGATATTCTTAGACATTTACTCATAATCTTTAGACTTAATATTGACATTGCATCATATCCAACCAGTCTCTATTGATCTTAATTTTATTACCATCTACAATTTCAAATGGGTAGCTGAAAGTAAGCTCACTACTTTCAGGATTAATATAACCCCAATCATAATCAAACCATCCATCATGCTCTTCTCCTCCTTCTGCACATAAGTAAGTACTTGTCTAATAACAAATGGCATCACTAATTAAACAGAGAGTTAAACAATTTGAATCAAGAAAATTACTGTCAACCGTTCTTTAAATCATAAACAATCCTTACTCCAGAAGAATAGGATGAGCTGTTTCATCAATCCGTACTGATCGCTTTAAAATTAATAGAATTGCCAAAAAAGTGCTTCCGATGGGGTCTACTCCTCGTACTCCTCGATTTCTTCCTCTTTCAACTAATGCTCCTATGCAATCTATCATATTCATAGGCTCTCACTTTCATTAATGAATAAATCTTAACAAATAGTAGTTTGTCTCCACAAGTTTATCTATAATCTTTTATGGTTAAAATCTCGTCCTCGAAATTTAATCGTTGGTCTTAAAAATTCATTTGAATTTATTAATTAAATATCAACTAATTAAGAAAAGGTATTCCAGTAATTTAGTTTAGGATATATTTCATTCAACTCCTTAATATTACTATATTACTATAAGGAAAGTTTATTATACTAAAACCTCAATATTATTAATATATATTTTTTTTAGATTTGGAACTTAAGAATTTAATTATTTTTAAATAATACTCATTAAAATTTTTATCTTAGATGTTGATAAACAAATTTTTAAGAGTGAATGCATATTTAACAGTTTTTATTTTTATAAATAAATAAAAATGGAGGAAAACAACATTTTTGATCGAAATCAATAAGAACTACAATTTTGGAGTAATTAAAAATTATGTTCTAAATTTAATATAAAAATTCAGATCATTTTAGAGGCATTAATTTTCTATCAATATTGAAATCATGTAAATAATTCGATCTATTGGAGATTCATCAGCTGAAGAATTGACTTGTAATTACTAATTTTAAACAACAAACTGATAATTTGAAGAGCAACATCACATCATTCTTCAGAATTATAGGCTTAACTTAATTATCACAAATAGTTTATAAAGAATTAGAAAATGTTTAATTAATGAACAATTATACAGAATGCTCTGTATTTGATTTAACATAATCGCCATGCACTATCAAATAAATAATAAATTAAATTGATAATCATCAGAAACTCTACTTCCTTTTAGGTTATGATTCAATAAGTTGATTCAAAAAATCAAGTGGTTAATCCTAATTAGGTTTTTCTTATTATTGGTTGATTTCTTAATTGTTGTCAAGACCAAATAACTTTTCATATTAGGCTGTCAAGTTAGATTCTAATTATCTTATCTTATCTCTATCATTATTAAATTAATCTGATAATCCTCTTTCTCTTGACATTTAATATATATATTTAAAATAATTTATATAAAATAATAATTAAAGTAAGTGCATTTGCATTTACTCCCCTAGAAGATAAATCTTTATCATAAATTCCTATCCAAGCTTTAGTTTTTAGATCATAATAAAAATTAAAAATTTCAACAAATTTTTACTTAATATTCAATTTTACAAGTATCTGATATCAATGTAATATTATTTCCATCATCGTCTATTAGATTATTTAGAAATATTTCTATTAGAATGAGCCTCCTTAGACTCATCTATATAAAACCTAAAATAATAAATATATAAAAGAATCCATTGTTTTCTTTGATTTTATATCCAAATATCCTCAATATGTTAATATATACACCAATCATTACTCTAGAGCTTTAACCATCATCATAATATCATACTACCTAATTAATAAATCTGGTGGTATACTTAGAAAGGTACAGTAATTCAATCTAATTGAATTATGATATTGTCTTACCGTTTAATAATGTTCCTTTTACTTTAATTAGATTATATTATGATAGAGTTGACGCATTCTCAGTTAAATATTATAAATATTTACGGGATAAAATTATTGTAAGGATTTAAGAGAATGAAAATATTTTATATCCTTGTTAGTTAAAGTTAAAATGATCATACTTTTGTTAATAGAATAGTTTATTAATATCTATTAAAAAATGTAGAAGCATTAAAAAAGAGATTTTTTTAATTGTATATTAATAATGTATATCCTTCTTATAATAGTATGTTTAAATGATTTGATAATTGAATATAATAAATTATGTAATTAATGTGAATACAATAATAAAACTATTCATTGGATAGATTAAGTAAAGTATCCTCCTTTGTAATCATATCTCTTTTCATTTGAATTTCTTAATATAACATATTGATAGTATACATAATTTAATCTGCTTATACTGGATTAAACCATGACTATTGAAATTCGCCTTCAAAAAGCATTTTATCTTTTTCCTATTAAGCTTCATAGTAATTTCCTTGTTTAGTAAATAAATAATACCCTCAAGCATAGAAATCAAGTCAGGTCGAAATCTGCTATCTGAGGGAGGCAACAATGGGTTGTGTTTATTGAATTCAAATTCTTTCTCATCTTTTTAAAACAATATCAACTCTTCGTTATAATAGTTATTAGCAATTAGCTTTAATCTTTTTAAAATTAAATAATACTTTATCAGTCGTACCAGAGATAGAGAATTACCCAACAATTGCCTTAATTTAATTGGATCTGATTTCGATTTCATGTTTGGTTCCTTTAAAGTCGATTATAAAATTGCCTTCAATTACGATTTCAGGTTTTTGAGTTACTAAATTCTTAACCGAAATAAGATGATTGGTTGAATAGATTTTATAAGTGTCTAGATTTTTCTTAAAAGAAATAAACAAGGATTTGACCAAATTAATATCGAGGATCAAATTGTCAAATGAGAACTTATATTCTATTTATCCATTGTAATCAAGACTTGGAGATGTGGCAAAGAAGGCAATTGCATTTTCATTGATTTGTTATGACAAATACTTGTAGGTATCTACAATTTCAAAGGTTTCATTGATCTTGGAAGGAAGAGGCAATAATTTTGGAATAGCAGAATATTAGGATATAAGAAATCCAAAGATCAAGGCAATTTTGAAATCCGGATCTCTGATTGAACTTGCTCTATCTAAAATTGATATGTATTTCATTTGAGTAGCTACTTATTACAACATGGTTGATGGTTAATGGAGGTAGACTAAATATGTATATGAGAGTATACTTGGTAATTTCATTTGATAAATGTTGTTATTAAGAATTTGATGTTTTACAGTGCCCCATACATTGTACTGTTGTTATTTGAGTTTCTATGATTTTTTGATTTATGGTGCTGGTTTCAAACTCTGAGTGTGTATTGAGTTTATAGATTGACAACTTTGAAATTCTGGTTATGCTGATTAATAGAGTAGATCTACGATTTCGCTTAATTTATCTAAATATCAATTTTATTAATACCAATGAAGGTTGATCCATAGGATTACAATCTTTCAGAATATGAATTTAGATTTGGATTTTACTCAATAGTTTTATTCACAAATTTAAGGGTGCTTTCGAATTGATATTGTAATGATCTTACTTTCTCTAATTCATCTTCCAAATGCAATTTCTGATTCTACTTTTAGATGCAATCAAACCAAACATCCTTCTCGAAGTTATTTTCGAACAATAATATTAACTTTTCAATTCCTGTAGTTATATTGATTTAACACTCTCTCTTCTCGACTTTGGCAATTGACAAATGTATTTATCCAATCACACGATTTCCCTTCTTCTTACAATACAACAGCACAGAGTCGTGAAGAATGAAATAGTACTTTTAGGTCGAGAAACCGATTTGACAATTAAGCAATCCTTCCATTTTATAATAATATAGAATTTAAAGTATTAGCTTATAATTATGACTCATCTGGGGCATTTAATATATATTATAATAAATTAATACATATGGCGATTGAAACCGAGGTGTTGTATGCACTGTACTCTTTGTATCAGAAGAATTTGATTACCTATGAACAAAAGGGGATGATCAAAGGTAACTTACTTACTCAAACAAGATATGTTGATACAAAATGATTTCGTGCTGAGAGCTTCTATTGCCAATTGTGAAACCTAGTGTTTGTTGTAGCATCGCATTTTAGAATTACTAAAAGGTTTTCAGATGGTTTTTATCCATTTAGATTAAGAATCACCTCGAAATTCGACTTGCATTAGTCCTTTAAAAAGAATGCCTTCTTGCAGCACTACTCACAGTCGGCAAAGGATCAAAAGTGCAATACAAAATCCAAATTAAAAAAAAACAATATCAAGATAAAGATCAAATTCTTTGACAGCAATTTGATATTCAGTCCTCACTATTTAGTTTTGATATTTATGTTTTAATATATTAATTTATTAGTTTTTTAAAATCACTCTTATAAAAAATGGGAATCTGTCAAAGTTCAATTAATAAACTGAATAAAAATCAAAAGAATAAACACAATGAAGGGAAATACACTTCAAATACTAATAAAATTGATAAGTCGAAAACTGTTAGAATTTTTGACTACAACCAGAATAAAATAGTGGAAGTACCAGTTTTGGTGCCTGCCACTTAAAATTCCCTTTATTCTAAAAGATAGTCTCAGAGTCCGATTACCAATCCAAATAGTAGGCAACTAATACCCTAATCCTCATGATTATATATTCATTATCTTCTTATACATAGTATTAATTTTACTGAATCGTTTTATTGCACTTCCTGTTAGCCAATAATTTCAAATATCATTATAAATAACTCCTGCTCTTTCAAATGAGATGATATTCAATCAAAAAACGAAGAGAATTTCATGATTCTTCTTAATTGTGAATAGGAGAAGGAGAAATTCAATGCTACCTAAATTATAGGAGTAGAAGGAGAGAACAAAATGAAATGAACGTAATTGATTTAGATTAGGAAGAAATTGAAATTTCACAATGTAAATAAAGCTAAATATTTTAACATAAATATTAATGGTTATATAGAATAGATCAAACAATTCTTAGTTTTTATGCAGTTCTTAATTCCTCTTGAAAATCAACGGATAGTCTATAATAGAGTCTAGATAAGGTGAGGATAGTTTTACTTCTCAACATCTTGAATACAAGAGAAGAGTTTGGAATCTGGTAATTATTTGAGAGTATCTGCTAATTCATTTATTTGATTTTCTTTAATTTATAATTACTAATGAAAGTCTAGTAAGTGATTCGATGGTGGTTTCATGATTGAAATCTTATCATTGAGTTGCTACAGAACTTAACAGAGATCTAATTAAGTATCCTCTGAATTATTGGTGAAGAGTGAATAAGAGGCAACAAAATTTAAAAAGGGATCATCTGATTGCTATTCTGAGATTTTTTCTGATGAAGCTTCTAATTCATCACTCTAATCCACTTATTCAATCTCCAATCTGCGAATATTCATGTTAGGTTGTGGGATTATTACTATAGGCTTTTTATTACTCTCTGATGACATTAAGGATGGAGACAAAAAATTTAAAATTAAATTAAAGAAATATTTTCGTAGCAAATCAAAATGCGTAAGAATGAAGATGCAGATAATGATGACATGCTCTTCGAGATATCCAAGGAGCAAAAGAGGAATAAATCAACTAAGAGAAATAGATCAACAAGCAGAGCAAAAAAAGATGACGATGATAATCATAATGATAACACTCCTGAAGCATCAAAAGAATAACCTTCTTCTTAACATAAAATTGAAGATGATAAGCAAGACAAGTCTAATCGTAGATAGAAATCTAAGGGAGCAAAGTAAAGTAAACAACCTAAAAAGTCTGAATAATAAGAATAAAAATTACATTAAAAGGAGTAATAACCAACAAAAAGAGATAAAGAGTATTTTAAATTGGCTCTACAAACATTACCAACATTCCTGCAACCTGAAAATATTCGAGATTCTAAAGGGAGAAGACCGAATGAACCAAATTACAATCCTTCGACTCTATACATTTCAAATTATGAATATGAAAAATTGTCACCAATATTCAAGTAATATTGGAATGTAAAGAAGAATAATTTTGAATTCATTGCATTCTTTAGATGTGGTAGTTGGATAGCTGTGCTTTATAATGATGCTATTGTCATTGCTTAAATGTTCAATCGTTATCTAGGATTCTGGGGAAAAGATACACCTTGTTTAACTATCTATGATAATCAATTGCCAATATATTAGAGGGCTTTGTTAGAAAAAGGATACAAAATCATGATGATTGATCAATAGGAGTTTTCAGATAAGACTAACAAAGAGGATGGAGAAATAATTAGAAGAGAAATCACTTAAATGATAACTAGAGGCACTCTACAAGAGTTAGGAGACACAGATTCATATGAATAAAGGAATCTATTAGTATTGGTGTTTTCAAATGCACCAGCTAATTCGAAAGGCCACTCTTACATATACGGAGTCTCAATTGTTGATTGCACTACTAACCAATTTTCTTTTGATTAATTCTATGATGATGCATAATCCAATCATCTAAAATCTGTTATTTATAATACTAAACCTGTCGAAGTCATCTTATGTAGTATTCCATATGAGATTGAACGGATTATCAAGTATACATATAATCAACATATAATATAGAAATATTTGTCACCCTACTGTTGTCATTTCCTAATTACCCTTCAGTGATTGTTAGTTTATATTTCATCAATTAAAAATTGAATATTTGGAATTACACAACAAACAAACTAATCATAAATCAAAATAATTAGATGACCTAGCTTTACCTGTTCAAAAAAATCAATCTGAATAAAAAATGAATATCAATTAAATATCAAAATAAGAGATTCGAGAAGAATAATGTGCTGAGAATTATTAATTGAGTTAGGATTATCCTACACTCTTAATAGAATTGGAGACTCAGTTTAATCATGAAAAAAAGTCATCAAACTAGGAAGATAATGAATCTAACTTTTATTCTTATTATTACGTTCTCCAATCTTTCTATATCCTGTTAAGTTATCTGAGATAACTTCTAATTAGTAATTCAGTTTACAGAAGAGGGAAGTTCAATTTCCTAGATTCAAATATGATCCGTAGCGCTCACCTTTATTTAGATGCATAAACATTAGAAAGTTTAGAAATCTTTGATGTAAATCTTAAAACAAAAGTGACCAATTCAGACAGTTTATTTAGTTATTTGGATCGATGCTCTACTTATCCTGGTAAGAGACTCCTCACTAAATGGGTTTAGAGTCCATTATAAAACTATAATTCGATTATTGAAAGATAACAATGTGTTAAAGAACTTTGTAATTTTCTACCTTAATGTTATGAATTCCAGAAGAAGATTAGTTCATTACCAGATCTAGAGCGTGCAATCATTAGATGTTTCAATACAATTCATTCTCACAAATTAAAAGCTGTACCATCTTGTGGCAAAACTAAATTGAAGGAAATTAAGAATGTATTGAGTAATGTTAGATAAGCTGCAGAGGCATTTAAGATATTTGATCAAGATAACAATAATTTTAAGTCTTAAAAATTGTAGGACATCTTTAATTATAAATAGAATACTTAAATTTTAAAATAATCACTCAATGAATTAGAAAAATGTCTGAATATGGAGGATAATGAACCAAAACCAATTTAAGGAGCCAGTTCAGAATATGATGAGACTTTGACTAAAATAACAGACATCACAGATTCACTTTAAGATGAACTTGAAAAGTGGAAAAGTAAATTAAAATGTCCTGATATCATTTACTACCATTCAAAAATACGATATCAAATGTAAATACCTGAAAATTAATTGTCGAATAAATAGAAACATAAAGAATTAATAATCACTTCAAAAACGCCAGAATATGAAAGGTTTTAGACTCCATTTATAGAAGAATAACTACATTAATTAAAATTAGCAGAACACGAACTCTCCTAAAAGTTACTTCCCTTTATAAATGAATATTTTACAAAATTCTATTCTTATAGGAAAGAATTCCTTTAATTAATATCATTTCTCTCTGAAGCTGATTGTCTGTAAGTTTATTTATATATCCTTTAGAATTTCTTTAGCAATAGTATCAAAGGAGTAGAAGATGGCTTCCTGTTTTCCAAAAATAAATAAAGATTCTGATGAGAGAGAATTTAAACTGGTTGAAGCATATCATCCATGTTTACTAAAAGATACAAGCATAGAATGGGTGCCAAACACAATCAAATTTAGTGATTCTATTGATACTCTCTTATTAACAGGTCCAAACATGAGTGGCAAGTCTACTTTGTTAAGATTAATTGGAGTTTCTATCATTTTAGCATAAATTGGATGTGCAGTGCCAGCAAATTCATTTTCTTTAACTCCTTTTGATAGGATCTTCTGTAGACTTGGAGCTACAGATAGATTATTAGAGGGAAAATCCACCTTTTTCATAGAGCTCGAGGAAACCAAGACAATACTAGATCATTCCACCTCTAAAAGTTTTGTTATAATAGACGAATTAGGAAGAGGAACCTCAACATATGATGGTATAGCTCTGGCTTCTGCAGTTCTAAGATATTTATAAGAAAAAATCAAACCCTTGACTATATTTGCTACACATTATCACATCTTGTTGGATGAATTTGAATTGTTTAAGAATATCAACCAGTGTGTTATGCTATATTATTAGAATAAGGATTAACTTATCTTTAGATACAAATTAGTTGAAGGGGTTGCTGAAAGGAGTTTTTCTACCAATGTAGCATTGAAAGCTGGTATCCCATAAGAGGTCATTTAAACAGCCAAATAAATGGAAACGAGGATCACAAAAGAAGAATCCAATATTAAAAAGAATAGAGAGATTCTTCAAAAATTTAATCAAATCTTAACAGAGCTAGTATGATCATAGTTAAATTATTGACTCTAAAACATTTATTTTATAGCAGTTTGATATCAATTATTATTAACTCATGCTTTTGTTATTCTTGCATTTAAGAAATCTAAGAATGGTGGTGTTTAAACAAGTTATAATGCTTTAGCTAGTACAGCTAATTCTTATTGAACAGAAGCCTATGAATATGATAGATGATTACCACAATATCATCATGTATTTTAAGATTGGCTGAATAGTTATTATTTTGAGTTCTTAATCTATCTTAATAGGCTTTAAGATCAGCTTATCTGGTTGATATCATGGTTTAGACATCAGAGATTCTAACAGTTTTATCTTCTCTTTCTTAATAGAAATCAGCATATTATTAATCAAAGACTGTTTTTTCAGCTGTTAATTATTATGTTCTTAAGGAATGTTAATATTTTTAACTGTCTTCATCTTTATAAGCTTTGGTTAAAGCATCAAATATATTCAATCTTAAACTATTTAAGAAATCACAGATTTCGTTTAAAACTTATCTATCTTTGAAATCAAATCTTTCAGTTAAATTAGTTAATGCTTAAATGAATGATGAATATTAATGTCCAAAGTTTTCAGTATTAGATTTAACTTATTTCAATGATTTATTGATTTTATGTTTTTATTCATCTGTAATTTGAATAAAAGCAGCTCTTACATCACCAGATTTAAATAAATCAGTTAATAAATCTAATGCTTCATCTATATTTCTAAGTGCATCTGTAAATTCAGTAGTTGTTAATTGAAATGATTAATTTTATGTATTTCTTGCAGCTTCAGCTTCTTTAAATGATTAAGTATTATCTGTTTATTTAGCTTTAAGTCCTAATAATATCTATAAATATAATAATAATAATAATAATAATATACATCATCTAATTCATGAAGTCTAGGAATCAATTCAGAATTCAATACTTTCTTTTCTCTATTGATATCAAATTCAGCTTAATTAGCTTATGAACTAAGTGATATAACTTTGGCATTATGTTCACCTTCAACTGCTTCCCATTATGTATTTTCTAATTTCAATCTCTCTTCAATTTATCTTCCAAATGCTTTAACACCATCTCTTAGTGAATCAATAGCTCCTGTTACTCTCATTGAAACTTCAGCCAAATCTACCACAAAATGTCCAATCTTTGATTATGTTAATTCCTCTATCTACTATTAAACACCTGTATTCACATATTAATCCATCACCCCTTAATTACTTATCTCATATTCATATATTACTTTTCAATCCTTGTACATGTGACAACACAAATCAGAGCTATTAAAACAATTTTTTAATATGCCATTGAATTCGTTTTTTATAAATTATAATGCTTGCTTAAATTCTTTTATTAATTGAAATGATTAAAAAGATACAATAAAATATTGAAATAATTGTTTCATAATTTCATGCTTCTAGCAATAACTAGGCAGAGTCATGTGTTTAACATCTCTAAAATGAAGATGATACATAGATATTATTATAAATATTTAATTACATTTGAGTCAATAAATGAGGTTAATCAATTAGGAGTGATAATTCCTGTTACAATATTAAAACTTCTTTTTTTTGGAACATATCTTTAATTCAAATGAACAATCGGGTTTTGTGGGTTTAGTTTCGAATTTCTGGATTTTTGAGATGGAGTGGAGACCTAGACTTGTTGCTGCTATTATTGTTATGGAACTAATTAATTTAAAGTATTTGAAGCTTATTTAGATTATTTGGATTATTTAGTCTGTTTTGAACTCTCAGATTTAGTCCCATCTTATACTTTATCTTAGACAGGGGAGAGAATTGTATGGTTATGATTTATAATATTTTGCTGCTATTGTAATAATTAATACTTTAGAAGATCTCTATCGAGTAATTCTAATTGTTTTTTACGTTCTATTGGATAATAGTTATCTTAATAAATTCTTGGTAATTTGCTTTAAGATGGATTTTGGAGTAGTTTCAATTCTGATGGATTACTCTATTACTATTATTTTCTATCTAATAACAATTCATAATTCTCAGTCTCATATTATTTATATGCTTGATAATTTTTTAGTTTATTCTCCATCATCTTTTGCTTTTCGAATTCTATCTTCTATTCCACTTTTTACCTTTCTTCAATCTTCTTCAATCTCAACTCTTCCAATTATTTTTATTTTTATTCAAGCTGCTTTTATAATTCTACTTGATATTTCTTTGTATCTATTTTAGCTTTACTTTATTCATTAATTAATGTTGGAATGGATGTTGGAGCATTTTGTTATAGCTCCTATCTCAATTATCTTTTATTGTTGATCATATCATCGTATGTAACTTTTAATAATTTTGCTTCTTCTTCTTTTTTTTATTTTTTTTCCTCTATAGTTTTCATTTCCCTCATCTATTCCTGTCTAATGAATTCCTTATCTAATTATTAGTTGTTATATGATCTCTCCAAATTCATTTTCTTTTTAATCATCAGATTATTAAGGTTATCCAAACTGGTCTGAATTTACTTGATCTTCCTTTCCTCCATTTCCTTTAATTTCTTGGATTCTCTCTATCTTAAAGTTTCCAGCATTATAGATTCCAGTTGTTGATTTTAACTTTGTTACACTTATTTCTTTTATTGATGAAGCATCATATCAGTTTATAATTCTTATTTATACCTCTGCTTTCTTAATTCTTGATCCTATTTGAATTGAAAATCATTTTGTTGTTTCTCCTACAATTAATTCTCCAGCATTTTAGACCAATAAGGGTATTATTATTTTTATGACTATATCATATATATTTTAATTTATTTTAATGTTATCAACTCAAGCCTTCGATAATGCTTATTCAAATTCATGAATCCATGCTGTTCGACTATTATGAGAATTCAATTTTGCCATAATCAATCCGCCAATAAAAAATACTATTGGAACTACGATGACGGCCGTCAATCCCTAAGTAGAAAGCTCTGTATCTATGTTTTCAGGTTTGCAACAACAGGCATCTGTACCTATATCTGATAATTCTTTTAATGCAGTGCAGTAATATTTCTCATATCTTGTATCAGTAGATAGTTTCTGAGCTTCTGAACTTTATTAAATAACATCCAAGGTTGTTGGTTCAGGGAAATCAGCTACCTATATTGATTAACAGAATTGTGGCCATGTTAATTATAAAGTTGCTGAAGAATATGTAGGCTACTTATAATATAAGATTGGGCAAGTGTCTAAATCTATGTAGGTATACTAGGCATCCTTCCTATACAACACGATATTGCCTTGTGTTTCAACTTCTGATTTAACTAAAAAAAATAATAATAATAAAATCATATAATTAATATTATTATCATTCTTCAATTATTGCTCCTTAATCCTTACAGGAATAGAACATAGAATTGTTATTTTAAGGGGTTTCCTTTTTGTACGAGGAAAACACTTAAGGATTTGTAGTCTAATTGAATATTTCCTTCTATTAAGACAACTACTATTAAATGACCTAATCTCTAAATGGGGATTGATATTCTTGTGGAGGGTTATTATTTATTTGATTTTACATTTGCAATTACTTTTGCATTGAGTATTATTGCATGTATTGTTATTACTATTTGCTTTCTGATTTGATGAATTCAGCAAGACTATTTTGTTGTGGTTGTTGAATAAATGGAGATTCACAAAAATTTGGGGTTTCCTTCTTAATTTCCAATTAAAGTTTTGATTATGATTAGATTTTCATTATCAATTTGGATGAAGATTAGTGTTCAAATATATCCTCATTGTTCTGATGAGGATCAAGAAGCATTTCTGGAGTTTCACAAAGTAAATTGTTTTACTATTCCAGAGATTGTTTATTTTTTGAATCTGTTTTGAATAGATTGTCTGTATTAAATACATTTTGATTAGAGTTGTTAAACATGTTAAATATATTGTTGGTACTATCATACATTGTATTATTTTCGATGAAGTGAGTGCTTTAATTAATAATGTTATGTGATTTCAATAAATTGATTGTTTATAACACCTTGGATTCAGCTAAATCTGTAGTCTGCATAATAGATGCTATTTAGGTGAGCAAGGCATTATTAGTAGTTTGTTGCTCTTCAAGAATATTCGGGTGATTTTCATAGATAATGGAATTGTTGATGGATGTGTTTTCTTTATTTATGCCAGCAAATCTCAAGGTGTGTTATTTCTTTAAAAACAAGGCTAGGTCGTAATTTTCATGGAAGTAACATTTGCTAACTTTGTCAATATCAAATTGCTTCTTCATGTGAAGTTTCTACATAGCATTTTGGAAGAGCTTGAGATTGCTGATGTGATCAATTTGTGTTTTAGTTTTTAGTACTATTTTAGAAGGATTCAAACAAGTTGGATCAATCATATTTAATAGTTTGCAGTATGCCACTCCATTGCCCAGTTGTTCTATTTTGGTAAAGTTTGTCTATTGTATTTAGAATGTATTACTTTAAGAAGGGCATTGATCCAATGAAGAATTTCTGATTTTGAATTTTCCATTTTATTATTTGATTTTGAATTTATAAATATATCAGTTCATATATTTGGTGCAGGTAATAAATAATTATTAAAATAATTTAATGGATAGCATAGAGAAGGAAGTAGACATTGAAAGAGGTTATTGGTCAAAACACTCATCTGCGAATGGACAGACGTATTACTACAATGTGAAGACAGGACAATCTCAGTGGGACAAGCCAGAATGTTTACAGGATGAGGAATCAGAAGTTGAGGAGGAATGGCAATAATACTTGACCGAAGATGGTAAACCATATTGGTACAATCGCATAACGAGAGAGAGTAAATGGCAGAAGCCAGAAGAGGAGCAATATACGTATGGAAATATAATATTAGTGCAGATCAGGAGAGGAAGAGGACATCATCCCGCCAAATCCGATTGACTAATTCACTCAATTACTGAAGGATAATAAGATTACATCTAGTGTAAAGTGGGATTCAGTCGTTAAGCAATTGTAAAGCGATTCAAGATGGAAATGTATAGTGAGTATTAGTCACAAAAAGAAGATCTATAATCAATATTTGGAAGAGATGAAAAAGCAAGAGAAGGAGGAGAACAAGACCAAGTTTAGTATGGCGAAGGAGGATTTTATGAAGATGTTGGAGGAACATAAGATCCTCTCTTCGGACATAAAGTTATGGAAAGTATAAAGTTATCTTGTTACAGATGCAAGATGGAAAGCAATCCCTGATGAAAAGGAAAGGGAAAATTTATTCCAGGATTATTTAGATAAGTTATATAAGCAAGAGTAAGAGCAGATGAAGGAGAATCGCAAAACTACCACTGAGGATTTCAGAAAGAGGTTACAAAGACATATAGAAATAGGAGTCTTAAGTCATAGTTCCACTTGGGAGGAGTGCTTAAAGTTATTCAGTCAGGATAGACTCTTGTAACAGATGTTGCCAATCGATGCTCTCGGAGTCTTTGAAGAGGTACATTCTCTCCATATTTAGGTCATCAATCCTCTCTATGAGCAATGGAGATAGTCAATCATTTCTAAATACAGGTAGAATAGGATCAACTTCAGGGAATTGCTCTAGGAACACCTGGCCGAAGGCTTGTTGACACACAAGACTAAATGGGGTTAATTTGTATAGACAATATAATAAGATGATAGATTTATTTGCATGCTCGGATAGCCAGGCTCACAGCCTCATGAGTTGTTTTTAGATTTCATATCACATTTAAAGCAGAACCACTAGTTGTATAAATCGGAGTTAAAGATGCATCTCTAATAAAAGGGAGTCAAGGTGTTAACCAATGTTAGCTTTGAGGAAGTGGATGCTTACTTTTTTGATAATCAGATTTGGACCAAAATGCCATCACACGAGAAAAAATATTATTATCGTTACTTCTAAGAAAACATCAAGCAGTCGTCCAACATTCAGTCCAAGCGATATAAGAAGATGTGTAAAAGATACATTAAATTATTAAAATCATTGCCTGATTACAAATCTTATGAGGAGATGTTACCAATCATCAATTAAAAGATTCAGGAGAACCCAAAACTTGCTGGATTGGTTGAAGAGCAAAAGAAGGCGCAATATGAATCATTTGTTGCCAATCTATAGTAACTGTAATCATAATAATAACAAACCTAATCCTAGCAAATACCTATCGTACCTATAGTTAATTAATAATAATAGCAATAGATCTAATAGTAATAATAATAATAATAATAATCTACGTAAATTCAAGAAGAACCTATATAATAATAATAATAAACTTCTGAAAAAGATTAGAGTGAGAGAAAGAAGAAAAAGAAGAAGGAGAAAAAGGAGAAGAAGGAAAAGAAATCAAAAGAGGAAGGCTCTGTTCGACAAGATCTCAGCTAAGTAGAACCAGAGAAAACTAAAAATGTAAAATAAGAACATGAACCTGAACCAGGAGAAATTTAGCCCAATTACGATTTTAATGATTAAGAGAAATCTAAGAGCAAAGGAAAGAAACATCATAAAAGTCACTATAAGAGCAAGAAACATCACAAATAATGAATATTATTTAATAATAAGATATAAATAACAAGTACCTATTCTGTAATTAAAGAATAAATTAAATAATTGAATGAACCCGCCTCCTGGATTAGGTGATGATGATGATAATCAAATTGGCCCACCTCCTGGCATTGACATACCACAGAAGAAGAAGTTTCATGTGAATAAAAAATAGAGTCAATAGTTTTAATAGACTTCATTGGAATCATTGAATTTGGAATTAAAGGTCACAGTTTAAGATTAACAATTCGATTAAGTAAGGATATTTTGAGCAATTAGATTCCAATTAGCGAAGATTATTTGGAACCTTCAATGAACAACCTCATTGCATTTAATGGCTATTTGTGCGATACATCTGGAGCAGACTCATTGGCAATTTGGGACAAGGAGATGAAATTGAAAAAAGAATACAAAGGATTAATAGAGAATATGCCTTATTAAATGGTGGCAGTTCACGATAAGATCTATTTAATTTTCGGAGACATTTTAATGATGATTGAGCCAGAAACCAATAAGAAAACATTTCTGATTGAATAAGCACTTACAGCATTTTGTGTATCAGATCATCCTAATCCAAGGTAGTGTCATATACATACCTAGAATCATAGGTGTCTAAGATGGGGAACTCATGTTATGGAGAACATCCAATTTGGGAAAACCCAATCAAATGGAACCCAAGTATAACAATTTTGAACCAAAAACTAAAAATGTGATTGAATTATAAAAAGTGTTGTCAGGGAAACTTGATGATTGTGATGATTTACTTATGCTTTAAAATGGATTGGTATTTGGTAAGTAGAAAAAGGTAGGCGAAGTCTTCATAATTGATTTTGTGAATGATTAATTGGAGGAACTCTAAACTACTTATGGTTGTGCAGTGACATGTTGGACACCCATAACTTATGATTCAGTTGCATTTGCTTCAAATGGCCAGATTGTTATTACTAAATTCTAAACTAATAAATAGGCTGTAGTTTAAATCATATTGAATTCATCAAAAGATGACATTCATCATGATTTATGCTACACCAACAACCAATTATTTTCAATCAGTAAGAATGCAGTAGTTACTAGTTGGAATATCTAGTCGGGAGCAAAAACGAAGACATTTGAAGTCAAGTTTTGTCCAGGTGTATATTCTCTAATCGCAATGAATTAAGAAATCATAATTGCTGAACACAAAGTTAAAAAGGATTTTATTTTGTTAAATGCTAATTTAGAAAAGCAATTCTTTTACAAAGCTAGAGTAAAGTAAGTCTTACATTGCTGTTCAAGTCCCAATCAGCAATTTCTGGCTGTTGTACAAAAGTGTGGGTTGCTTTATGATGAAGAAGTGATCTTCCACATAGAAATAGAAATTTATCCCTTCGACAACAAACTAGAATTCTAGAGAAGAAAGGAAATTGACAATCTTGAGATCAAGACTGTCATGTTCCTCAATGATTCCACAATATAATGTATTCTCAAGATCTCCAAGAGTGTTTATCCTCTCCTCGTTAAATGGAACTTCATAACCAATGAATATAGCGAATCAGAGATGCTTGTTGAGAAATATAAGAGTTGTCAATTATATCAGAATCGTTCTGTATTTAGTTATGATTTTCATAATCCTCCTTCCCAATAGTTCAATCTCTTCGCACCTAAAAGGGTAGATGATCAGAATCAAAGCACTGGCATAAGCGTCTACGATGAAAACATTAAGCGGTTATTGAAGGTGCAATTTTAATAGTAATTCAATGCTGACGTATTTGGAATGCCTACTCCAGATCTTTTATATGTTCTAAATAACAAAAATCAAATTGAAGTTTGGGATGTAGTGACATCTTAGTAGGTTCAGAAAGGTATATTTGTATATTTAAATTAATAGCTGATTGCAGACCGAGCATCATCAAGTAGATAAGATTCTCTTCACAGTATTTATTTTTAAATGGGCCATCGGAATGGATAGTAAGGGATCTGAAATTGGCTTAAATTTGCAAAACGAAGGGAGAAATGATCAACAAGTGTCAATTTTTAGATAAGAAATGTGTGATTAACTAGAAATAAAACTTATATGAGTGGGATTTAGTGAGTAATCAATGCAAATAAATTCCACTTTTTAAAGTTTATGACTTTTGCATTATTTAAGACAAGATACTAGCGATTGGTGAGTCAACTATAAAGTTAATTTGAGATATAAGAGATTATTGTATATCTATATTTATATTCATTTTTGAAGGGTAGAGTATAAATGAATAAAATATTTAAATTAACAAATTAATGTGCGAAGATTCTCGAGCACTCCTTGATGAACTTTTCGGAAAGGAGAGAAATGTGATTGCGAGTAAGAGGAAAAATGATGCTCATTATTGGAATGATGATGTGTGCAAGAATATACTAGTTTCGAAGTGTTTCAATGATCTTTGGAAGCATACAAAGTATGATCATGAGGGAGAATGCAATAAGAGACATGATCAATTCTTCATAAATGAATTCAACAGTGACAGGAGTCTAAAGAAGCAATAGAGAGAGAAGAAATACATAGAAGAAGCGATAGGTTTAGTATGAACCTAATAATTATAATAGCTTACATCCAAGACAAGTTGAAGGAAGTAGACAAGATATTGACCAAGCATGAAGAGTAAGTTGAATAATCAAGTAAACTATAAGTGGCAGATAGACCCAAGGAAATTCAAGATAGACTTGACAATATGGAAAGATAGATTAATCTATTGACAGATTAGAGTGAGAAGATGGGAGAATAAGGAAAAATAGATGAGTCAGAAAGATTGATCATGGAGGCAGACAATTTAAAGAAGGCTCGAGAAGATGTATTACTTGCATATGAGGGCACAAACAATCCATTTAAAACATATAAAATTTGTGAGGTTTGTGGGGCTAGATAATCTCTTTACGAGACAGAGAACAAAGTCAAGTATAGATCTTAGTATTATTACTTAGAACTCATCTGGATGGTAGAATTCACTAAGGATTTTCAACAATTAGAGTGGAATTGCAAAAGTTGTAGGTGCGAAGATTGGTATTGGAGAAGATATTGGAAGAGGAAGCTCGGAAGTAAGAATTCAAGGAGGATATTGCAAAAGATAAGGAGTAGGAGAAGGAGAAGGAAAAGGAGAGAGAGAAGTAGAAAGACAAGAAAGAGAAGGAGAAAGAAAAGGAGAGATCGAGGAGTAGAGAGAATTCGAGGGAGAAGAGTAAGAAAAAGAGTAGCAAGAAGAAGAAGGACAAGGAAAAAGAGAAAGAGAGGAGCAAGTCAAGAAAGCATAACAAGTAAAATTAAAATATATATTAATTTATTAGGAAACACCACAAGCATTGAGATATAACAGTCAATATATATATATTTATTTGTGTTAAATAAAATTTACATCCTTTTGTTTATTTTGTTATGTCAATTATAATTTTATTAAAGTTATAAGTTTATATAAATAACAATGCCTCCTAAAAAATAGAAAGACGATGGAGCATAAAACAATGCAGCCAAAATCACGATGCTCGATTTCGAAGCTAAAAGATTGTAGATGAGAATAGTGGAAGAACAAATGAGAGCTGATCGTTCCAAAACATAGGAGATGCAGTTACAATAAAAGTATTTGAGTTTGGAGAAGGACTTCAAAGGAGAGAAGGACAAGTTATTCAATATCAGTACAGATATGAATAGACAATATAAGCAAATGCAAGACGAATTACTTAAGGACATCAATGAGTTGAATTCTACTGTCAAGGAGAAGGATGAGGTTATCAGTAAAAAATATTATAAAGTATACCTAGAAACCAAAGAATAGCAGATAACAGATTATCGAGCCAATTATGAGGAGAAACTGAAGAAGAAAGATCAGGATATTGCAGAACTAAGAAAGAAGATTGATGATATGTCATTAGAATTTGCAGACATGCTCAAGGAGACCTTAAATAAGATGTAGGAACGTATTGAGTTGGCTCAATGGGATAACAATTCAGATAATTAAGTTATGAGGAATTTTAAGGAAGCCTCAGGTTTTGGCAATTGAAATTATTCATTACAATATTATTACATATCTCATAATTCAATATAATTTTCAACATCAGTATTGATGTTACGCAATTTCTTGATATATTGATAGCCCCAAATGATGGCTATGGAGAGTACAACTAACAAGGAAAACACTATCCATCCAACATATGTACGATCTAAGTCAGTTTAGATAATATTGATGGTTAGATTTTGGAATGAATCAAAATTTGAAGCATTTAGATACACAATACTTTCAGTATGAGGAAACGCTTATACTGTGATTTCCAGTTGTTATGAAATAATAAGCAAATGCTAATTGGTCAACACCAGATTGTTAATCAAGTAATACAAGAAGGGTGAATACTTTTGAGTGTATGGCAATGAGTAGTGGAGAGTTCTGCAAAATAGGAATTCAATTACTTTGAGTTTACCAGTAAAATTAAAGTTGAATGGCTAATATATGCATAGAGTTTGGAATATTTGAGACCCTACTTTTTACAAGAACATTGAGATCACAGTCAAATTTCCTTGGCTATTATATCCGCTGACCGTTTGAACAGCCTTTTGATTGCTGAATTATTAGAAGATCAAGAGTTTATCTCCAATCTCCACACTGTTTTCGAATATTTGAACCAAAAATGAATAGGCATTGTTTTGACTTCCAAATAAGAGTGTAATTTCAGAATAATTGGAATAGATAACAGGCAATCCAATTTAAGTAATTTAAATTAGTTGGATTGAATTGGAGAGTATGGATTAAATAAAAAGTTATTTAGGAGTGTAAACATTCACTTACATTTTTGGTTCTGTTAAATTGAAACAATTATAATGGAATGGGAAGGTGGAGATATCATCTGTGATTCCTATCCAGCCTGCACATTGAAGTTATTTCATATTTGAAGGGTTAGTATTGATGTTGATCATAGTGAATGTGAAGAGTTGATATACACAATTCTCTGTCCTTTCCATTAACATCATTTAAAATGAATCAACCCAAGTTAAATGATAAGTATTAATTATCAAACAATTAGGCAATGAATTCTATTAGAATCCCATGATCAATATGTAATTCAAATAATAACCATTAAACAAATTAGGCATTGGAGTCCCTGTAAGGCTATTGATCGAATAAATAATTGATCCACTCAGATAAACATAAGTATCTGTATTATTAGTACAGAATGAGATAGGTGTTTATTGATAATATTCTACAATTATGAGGGGACAAGTTGTGTATTGATTGTTGTTGAATTCATACATTAGCACAGTTTAATTATTCCCGATTTCGTATTGAATTGCTTATTGATTGTTCACAGAAAATATTAATTCTCTTGATTGAGAATAAGCTGCACTATTTATCGTTGGTTCAAAATCAAAGTAGTAATCTATGATGTATTAACTAATAAAGGCATTGTTTTTTCCCCTTGATTTCACATTGTAGTTAATAATCGACCCTTAAAAGTACTGCAAAGGATCAACCATGATGGAGAAGCTTTATTCTGTTTAATTAACTGTAGGGTAATATTAATTTGTTCTTAAGATGTCGTAATATAGATTATTGACAGATACTGGAAATGAAAAGGCATAATCACTTAAGTAATTGTTTGAGCAAATCAGCAATATTTGTGTATCATTCAGTAATTGGATACCAGGTACTAAGAATTCCGAGTTTAAAATGACTGAAACCTACCAATAGTTTTAGAGAATCGTAAATTCTTAGGCTGATTAAAAACCGATTAAATCATAATTTTACAAAGTATCAACTTAAATCACACTAATTGAATTAAATTACTCCTTAAAATAATATGTAAGGTAAAGCAAATAGTAATCTGACTTGAAAATACAAAGTTAAATGCTAGTGTCAGGCATAACCATTTAAATATAAAAGAATTGCGAGCTAAATGAACTTATCATTGGTTATATAAATTAAGCATTGTATAAAGGAATTTGAATTACGTACTGTGGATTAATTATACTTTGGAATAATAATTGTCTTGAATAATAGTACAAATAGGAGTCTCCAGTATCACTTGAGAGTGCTATATATACACCATCTCCTAGTAATCCTATGGCTACACTATCTGCATTGGTAGGATATTCTATTTGAGCCCCAATAGTAAATTAACCATTGACCATTTCGAAAATGACAAGATCAACTGTGTTGTCTAAGAAGATATTATCTCCATACGAGGCATAATTTTATTCCAACTTCCTGGGCTATAAATTTGGAGCATCAAATTCAACCAAATTGAAATTGTAAATATCATAAATTACCATTTAATTAGGGTTGTCAATGATTAAATATAAATAAGGACCTGAAAGCATTATTTACACAATTGAAAAGGTTGGATCAATGTTCAAATCTTCTGCCACATCCAACACTTATAAATCAATTTGTTGTAAGCTCTAAAATTGATAGATGCACAATTAATATGATGTAGCAGCATTGGTTATTAATAATATAAAGTCTTCCTTTTTACTAATGTCAACTCCTATTTATGACATTGTCACCTGATAATCCAAATTGATGACAGTAGTATTTTGACATATCCACTTATCACAAATTTGATACTCTACTTGAAAATCATTGAATTAAATTAATTATATGTATTGCTTACTATTTAATGGATTAATCAAATATGTGAAATATGTAAACTCTCTGGGGTTACTCTAAAATGTATAAATCTCATTTATTTAATAGATTGCCAACTCTTAGAAAAACAATTCTAATTCATCAACCTCAATTACAAATTGTCCAATCTATGAATCTATCCCTAATCCCTCTATGTTCACAAAGGTTCCTGCTTAGTATGTGATATTAGGTCCCAAAGCACAATATCCAACATCTATTTGTTTGATTTGAGGATTATACAAATTGACATTAATCTAAGAGCAGTTTTAATATTATTGAACTTGATTAAACTCAGCAGATATTTTTTTTTGCATTAAGTTCTAAGAGCAGGTATCTATTCCTGTAAGAGTATCAACTGCGAAAATTGTATAGACAAAATTCTGTTAAATATTTAATATGGGTTTCTCAAATACCAAAATTGGCTGGTTAACTTGATTCAGGGTTGCCTAAGTCACAGTCTGAATTAAGATTTAATCCGAGTAACTAATGTACAAAATCAATGAGTTTGAGGAAATTGATTGGTAGAATAGAGGAGAAATACCTACCTATTGGTTCTCGTATCCATTGAAAACCTCATATTTGAATCCATATTAGATGACGAAATAATATTAATCATTAAAGAGTTGCGGTTGTTGATTTAAATCTATAGCAGGGAAGGATTGATGGAAAGGTTAACTAAATAAAGAGTCATCTGTATTGAAAATAAATTGGGTTAGGCTGGTCTAATTAATAACTGCTATATAGAAGTGTGCTTGACCCAATTTATTGAGGCCTGAAAAGATACTCATGAAGGATTGGGAATTAAATGTTATGTTGCAGTTTATTTGAGCATTCTTATTTATGTAGGAGAGGATGGAGTTTCTGAGAATAAAATAGGTACTATCAGGATAGGCATCAAACCCAGTAACTATACCATCATAATTGATTGCATCCACCTTAACGAACTGTCCATTAGTGTTGACATAACTAGTGGAAGTGAAACTTGATTTTCCATCAGAAAAGGAAACATAGACGGTATCTTAAGATTAGTTATTGATCATACCATCATTAATTGCTTTAAGCCAATAATAGCTAATTGTAAATGTAGGCCATGTTATCTATGAATATATTATTGCATTTGACGTCATATTATAGAATACTAATTAATTCTAGCATAGAATGACGATGCCATTTTGAGTCATATGAGCCACTCGATTGCAATTCTATTAATTTGTTAGAGTGGCAAGGACCTAGTAATTAGTATCAATTGAACTGGCCGACCAAATAGTCTTAAGCAACTAATAATTTGATTATGTTTATGTGAGGAAAACAATCTATATTTACACCTGAGCATTCGTAATAATTGGAAATTGGGAACTCGCGATAACTTAAATAGCATTCAAAGCAGTATTATAAGTTTGCAATAGATCAACAGATTGAAATATTTTGTATCCTTGTGAATTGTTATTGTTCTAAATGCTATATTGCAAGGATGATCCATTAAATAGTAATCCCAAAGGGATGATATTTGGTTAATTTTAAACATTGTATGAGTTTTAGAACAATTGGTTTCGCAACTATGATAATAAGACAACTTTACAATACAAGTTTGAACGAATTGCAATAAAGTCCAAAGAATTACGCAATTCAGAAGCATTTTTTATATAAATAATATAATAAATTAAAAAGGTGATATAATATATTGAAATTATATTATATAATATATCGAATAAAGTCCCATAAGAATGGCAATAGAGTTGGTGATGATACACACAAAATAATGTTATGTATATACAGTTAATACAGACTCTCTACAAATGAATAAATATGGAATACTATTACATGTTGTCACATTAATTTAGAAAATGTAATATTTTGGTAAAGATTGAAATCAATCCATTATTATGATTAATAAATTTATCCTTTTATTCATAACAAATGTTATGACAGGTCTAATTGATAATTATGGAGTCTTAGAATTAAATGAAACCAAATATTTCACAGTTGAATCCAATTGGAACTTAGAAGTTTAGTTTTTTTCATTTCAAGGCCCAATCAAATTTGCCAGAGTTGATTAGGATGGAAATTTTATAGAACTAAAACCTTTGCCTGGAACATATTTGTTTACTGACTTGGTGATTAGTAATCCTAGAATATAGATAAAGTATGCTTGTTATGGATCAGAAGGTGGAGCCACATTTCCTCAATATAGATTTTCAGTTTAATATCTTTATTATCATAGGAAAGACACTTTTATGGTGTATCATCATTTCTGATTACAGCTGAGAAGGATCAGCACTTGACTTCAATTATGACTTATAAGAATTCATCAGTCTAATATAGACTTGAAAATGAGTACTTAATTCTTGAAATCCCTATGATTGTCAGGAGAAATGGAACATTTATCTTAGGGGAAAGCTTCCTTGTTAATATTGGTCATGAAAAAGATAAGGAGCTACTTAAATTGGGCTATTATGCGATAGAAATAGAGGACAAGCTTCAGAATTTTAAGCAATCTCGGTATAATACGATGACTTTCCTAAACTATTACACTACTGTGTATATTAAAATTAATCCTAACGATAATTATAACTATTTTGCAGTGATTTGTGAGAGTTCTAATCTTCCTCTTGGGGGATCTACTTTTGTCATGAATTATCCTGCTTCTGATTACAAAAGATTTGTTCCAATTTTGATTACCTTCATCTTAGTATTGTTGATTACAGCATATCGATGGCGCCTGACTAAATCAAAACAAAATTGGAAGTAGGAGGAAGGGAAGGAAAAGTTATCATAATCATATTAGTAATTTAATTGATTTTAAATATCTATATTAAATATTAAATAAAGTAATCAAAAGAGAATGAAACAAAAGAATTAGAGTAAAGAGGGTGAACTATCTCAGCATGTATTTAGTAGACTTTTTAATTAGGTTATTGATACTTTGGAAAGATTTTAAGATGATGATTACATTATAATCAAACCTGCCCTGCACAATTTACAAAAGCAGAATTTGAGTACAATTACGGCCTAGAAAATTATGGAGACTCTTTAATAAGCAATTAATTAATAATTTGCTAATATGGGAATCATTGTACAAATTGTGAAATATGCAATAGGTATTGAAAGTGGAATTCAGAACCCAACTTGCTGATGAAGATTATTCAAGTAAGATCATTAGCGATACAAATTTCAACAATTTCAAGAATAATAAGTTTTTGACAAATCTATTAAAAGATTGCATTTTTGATTTAGAAGGTGAGTCATTTATGCAATAATAAAATGATGAAGTTGATGATGACGATGAAGGAGTATTTTCATTTTAAAGCATGATTGAGGAATAGGAAGAAATACAAGATATTACTTTAATAGATGCAAGCAAATAAAGAAATAAGATCAATAAATTGCAAGAGATCAATTAAATAGTGGAAAAACTAGAGAAAGCATTAAGCAAGATTTCCAAAGTGGATATCCAAATTTATGATTTGAAAGAGGCTCCATTAGATGCAAAATTAGACAGTCCACTCACTGTTACTTTAAGGATGTAGAAGAAGTATTTGTGTAATTTCTTGAAATTCCATTTTTCTATAATCCCAAATTCTTAGCCTGTATTCATGAACTTCAAAAATGCTCAAATTATAGATGATCGCATGCAAAATTAGGAATACTCTATAAAAATCGGTAAAATACCTTTCACATTGAATGAATTAACCTTTTCGTATGTTACAGGAGAACATTTAAAAGACAAACTCCCCGATTAACCAATTAATTCTCCTATCAACTTGTTCTTGTCTCCTTACTTTAAATTTTCAGATTTGCAATCTCAATTATTCAAGGTAAAAGCCTATATGATGTTCCATTGTGAAGAATCGAAATTGGCAAGGAAAGTGGAGTTCATCCTCAATATTCTTGATAAGTTTCTATTGAAAATTGAAGTTGATTTAGTAAATTGTTAATATTGCCATGCTGTGACTGATAGTTTTGGAAAAAAAATACATTTTAAGTTATTGTGTCCACCAAATTACAGTATTTCATTGAGTACAAAAAGAAAATTCGAGTTGTTCAATATGAAAAGTGATTGGATCAGAGTGCATAATATATTTTCGAATGCATATTATAATAAATATAAGAATGAGATTGAAAGATTGATAATAATCAACAATACGTTGATCACTGCTTAATTCACATTTTAATAGGGATCCAAAGAGGAGATGGCCTATAAAATGGTAATTGAGAAATTGTCATAATACAACCTGATGTATTCAGATGCAATAGATCTGAATCTGTTTGAGTTGGAGTAGAGAAAAACATAATGGGATTAATTGTACGCCTTAATAGAGTAGAGCTAATTGAGTTTCGAATAGAAATATAACATCCTATGTGTTGTTTCACAGAATAGGATCACAGATTTGGATCTGTTGAAATAGCTAATTCTCCATATAACGTAATTTTAAAGGGATAATCATGAAAAAATATTAGAATCTACGTTTCAGTTGTTTTCTAGATATAGTACAGATTTGAATTTTTCAGTGAGACAATCAGAATTAAATAAAAAGAACTATTTAACTTTTAAAAGAGATCTAAAAAGGTGTCTAGAAGATGTGATTATTCCAATTGATTAGAATGAGTAAAAGAGAGTGGCTATGATAAAGAGAGTATCATTGACACCCTCAGGATATATATTCAATCTAAAACTGCCTGAAGAGACAAGTGAAATCATTAGGCAGTATTATAATTAATTGGATAACTTCATAAGATTACACTTCGAGGATGAGAATTTGGAGACAATTCATGGACATCATTACATTACAGAATATTACTTTAAATCAAAGCTGTCAAATGGATTACATTTGCTTGGGGAACAGTTTAGATTATTAACTTGGAGTGCTTCCCAATTGAGAGGAGGTTCTTGCTGGATCTTTAATTACAATAGAGCCTAGATATCAAGATAAAATTTCATAGATTCAATAGGAAACTTTAATACATTGAATATGGATTAAGTGGCTAAGAATGCAGCTAGATTGGGTTAGAATTTCAGTTCGAGTAAGTCAATTGATTTAAGATAAATAATTGTGAAGACTTAAGTTCCTGATAAGGTAGGTGATAATGGCAAACTCTACACTGACGGTATAGGGAAGATATCTAGAAATTTGATAGAAATGATCAGGGTAGAAATGAATAATCACACCATCTCAGCTATTCAAGTAAGATATCATGGAGCAAAGGGTGTATTACTATTGAATGATGATTTGCCTGATAACACAATTGAACTTAGAAAGAGTATGATTAAGTTTAATCCAACTTTAATGAATGACGGGAATTATAAAACCATGATCTCCTTATTGGATTACAACAAATTTAGAGGTGGATATTTAAATAGATAGATAATCATATTATTGGTAACCCTGGGTATTTAAGAGGAGGTGTTTATGCAACTTCAGCGAGGTATGAATTACATCTATATGGCTAGAATACTTGCATAAAATAGCAAATCTGTCTGCTGTAGATTCGTCAATATATAATCACTTTTTAGTCGACTATAATGGAGAGTTGCAAGGACTCCCATCGATTATTGATAATATAAGGATGATGATCAATGCCAACCTAAATGAGAACAACAATCACTATATTAAAAGGGTATTGGATCGGTTGAAAAGGAGAGGTCTTATGTAATTGAGAACCAAGTCTAATATTCTTATGGATCAAGCGGCTAGAGTATTGGGTGTAGTGGATGATTACGACATACTGGATTAAGGAGGTATATTCAATTATATTGTTTAGAGGTTGTATGTATTGTGAAATAATCCCTAGATGTAAATCACAAATATATCACTGGAGAAATCATTGTGGTAAGAAACCCTTGTCTGCATCCAGGAGATATTCGAAAGGTCAGAGCCTTATCAGAAAATGAAATTTTGAGCAGATATAACATGAAGAATCCATTTGCTGAATACTATAATTGCATTGTGTTTCCGTGCAAAGGAAATTCTATACCTGCTGATTGTGGTGGAGGTGACTTGGATGGGGATATCTATTTTGTTTCATGGGATCCCAAAGTCATACCAAAGACCACCGAATATCCTATGAATTACGATGAAGAGAAGAAACCTGCTGTTGTTGTCTCAAAATAAATTCAGGCTCAAGGCTATATATCTGCAGAAGATTTCTTTTAGGAGAACAAAATGATTGAATTCCTACTTGAATATCTCAATTTTGATGTCCTTGGCAAAATTGATAATAGCCATCTAGCCATTGCAGATGGATCTCCAGATTATGCTAAGGATCCAAAATGCATCAGACTAGCAGAACTCCATTCAGCTGCTGTTGATTATGTCAAACATGGAAATAAAGTGGAAATTCCTAATAACCTTGTCACTAAAAGATGGCCCGATTTTATGGAAAAGGACTCCATGGTTTATGAATCAACAAGTATACTAGGTAAGCTCTACAGAGAAGTTCTGCAGTGTATTAATCAAGAACCTCAATCTGTTCTAGATGGCTATCAACAAGAAGGCTTACCTGAAATAGACACAAGATTTATTTACAAATTTTAATAGGAAGATGAATTGGCTTAAGTTGGAGACTAGGCCAAGCAGTATTAGGATTATTATTAAAACGAATATTAGCAATACCTAACTGACAATATTTGTAGGAATGCTCTCAAATGTTTAAATCATATCTTTGACAATTTTGATTCTTTGAGGAAGATGTTTGATCTTACAAATGAATATGAAATTTACACAGGGTACTTTACTAACTTCACTTAAGGAGAAGGAACCAGGTTAAAAGTAATTATTGATGTCTATTATTCATTAGAAAAAAATTAATGTGGAGCATGTATAGAAGAGAGTTATTCTTAGTCTTGTTCAATTGAAATAAGAAATATATAAGACTCTATCTGCAAATGAAGAAGAAAGATTGGCAGAAATTTCAATTATCCATTTTCTTATGATGTACTCTCCGAAGTCTCATCAAGATTAAATAGCAAAATACACTTCCCTGAAATTCTATCATTAAGAATTGGAGAAAACCATTAATAAAAATGAAGAGATCTACAAATTATTCAGTCGATTGAAAAACAAATTTCCATAGTGGTACAGAGGATGCAGTTGGTTTTTCTTTACATTAGAAATCCTAAGTTTCGCTCAAAAAACTAATGATGATTCAGACGAACTTATATGAATATATTTATCGTATATATGAAGTTTATAAAATTTGTGAAATTTACTTAATAATTACAAAAACGAATTTAATGAAAAGATTATTGAGTATGGCCATGATCTTGTACATTGTCACATGTACAAGGATTGAAAAGTAATATATGAATATGAGATAAGTAATTAAGGGGTGATGGATTAATATGTGAATACAGGTGTTTAATAGTAGATAGAGGAATTAACATAATCAAAGATTGGACATTTTGTGGTAGATTTGGCTGAAGTTTCAATGAGAGTAACAGGAGCTATTGATTCACTAAGAGATGGTGTTAAAGCATTTGGAAGATAAATTGAAGAGAGATTGAAATTAGAAAATACATAATGGGAAGCAGTTGAAGGTGAACATAATGCCAAAGTTATATCACTTAGTTCATAAGCTAATTAAGCTGAATTTGATATCAATAGAGAAAAGAAAGTATTGAATTCTGAATTGATTCCTAGACTTCATGAATTAGATGATGTATATTATTATTATTATTATTATTATATTTATAGATATTATTAGGACTTAAAGCTAAATAAACAGATAATACTTAATCATTTAAAGAAGCTGAAGCTGCAAGAAATACATAAAATTAATCATTTCAATTAACAACTACTGAATTTACAGATGCACTTAGAAATATAGATGAAGCATTAGATTTATTAACTGATTTATTTAAATCTGGTGATGTAAGAGCTGCTTTTATTCAAATTACAGATGAATAAAAACATAAAATCAATAAATCATTGAAATAAGTTAAATCTAATACTGAAAACTTTGGACATTAATATTCATCATTCATTTAAGCATTAACTAATTTAACTGAAAGATTTGATTTCAAAGATAGATAAGTTTTAAACGAAATCTGTGATTTCTTAAATAGTTTAAGATTGAATATATTTGATGCTTTAACCAAAGCTTATAAAGATGAAGACAGTTAAAAATATTAACATTCCTTAAGAACATAATAATTAACAGCTGAAAAAACAGTCTTTGATTAATAATATGCTGATTTCTATTAAGAAAGAGAAGATAAAACTGTTAGAATCTCTGATGTCTAAACCATGATATCAACCAGATAAGCTGATCTTAAAGCCTATTAAGATAGATTAAGAACTCAAAATAATAACTATTCAGCCAATCTTAAAATACATGATGATATTGTGGTAATCATCTATTCATATTCATAGGCTTCTGTTCAATAAGAATTAGCTGTACTAGCTAAAGCATTATAACTTGTTTAAACACCACCATTCTTAGATTTCTTAAATGCAAGAATAACAAAAGCATGAGTTCATCAAATAATATATTAACGTATGATTTTTTTTGAATTTTAACAATTGCCATATCAAGTAAGTTTAATCTGTTAGATTCAAACTTTATTTTTAATTTTAATATAATAATTATAAATCAAATCTTCGTAGATTTGTGTGATTTCAGCGAAGTCAAAAGTAAGATTATTGTTTAAAAGGATTCAATCAAGTTTTAGATGAATTGGTTTTTCTTTTTTATTTTCGTGTCTGGTTGTTGTAAATTTAGAGAGTGTAATTTTTTTATAAATCAAAGTGTAAAAAAGTGATGAATAATCCGTACTAACCCTATAGGCCTTACTCTAGAATTGTGAACACTCCTCCAACGAATCCAAATATCCTCTCTTATGTGGACTCTGTGTTATAGAAATCAAGAAACCTATATGGACATCGAACATCTGATCCTTAGATGAGATTTTCAATATCTTCGGCAAATACGGGGATCATAAAAACAGAGACAGATGTAAAACACATAATTAGTTCTCCTTCGCTTGTTTCTTAAAAATCAATGGTTCAACAGCAAACATTAAAAAGCAAACTGGAGTATTCATCTCCAAAGAAAAGCGAATAAATTTCGTTTCAATTAGAGTAGAGCCCAATTGTGGGTTTAGTGCCAGTAAGCAATAGCAACAAAGTCGAGAGTCAAAAGGTATGGATGTTATTAAAATGTGAAGGTGAAATTGATCTCTGGGGTAGAGAAAAATGAGATGCCAAAGTATAAGAATTTTAAGACAATAAAGAAATTGGGGGTGGGTAAGTATAGCGAAGTGTTTTTGGCGATCTAGATTCAGACAGGATTTTTGGTTGCATTGAAAGTGATACAGAAAGCATTAATAATAAAGGAGATGATGCAAGGTCAATTGGCTTGGGAAATAAAAATATAATATCTTCTAGAGCACCCAAATATCACAAGATTGTATACTTTCTTTCAGACTTGTAAGATTAATAAAATACCTACTTAGAATCTGAAATCGTTTTAGTATTAGAATATTGTTCTCATGGACAATTGAATACCCTTTAACAGACGAAGCAGAACAAGAAATTCACTGAAAACGAGGCTGCCCAATTGGTTCAATAGATTACTTTAGCATTAATGTACATTCACAATCAGGACGTGATCCATAGAGACATAAAGCCAGACAACATATTGCTCAGTTTTGGATAGATCAAATTAGCCGACTTCTCGTTCTGTGTCTATTCTCCAGATGAATATCGACAAACACAATGTGGGACATTGATATATGCATCACCTGAAATCTTGGAAGGAGACATGTACGACAAGAAGATAGACATATGGGGTTTGGGAGTATTGACTTATGAACTTTGTTTTGGCAAACCTCCCTGGAAGGAAAACTAACAGGAATTGATGAAGACAGTACTGATATCTTTTATGTAGGCGTGCTTTATGATACCTTATACGGCATCTAGAGATCTCAGGGATTTTATAGAGAATCTGGTTAAGAGATTATCTCGTGAGAGATACACAGCACAATAAACATACAATCATGGTTGGTTGAAGAGGAGTATGTCGGTGGTCCCATTTTACATTTCCAGTAATGAAGTCTTATTTAATTGATATATATATTTAATGTATTATTGTGTAGGAATTAATCTTATTAAATGATTAAATAATTTTCTTAATTTCATCAAACTGACATTTCTATATCTGAACCAAACTGATCGATGAAGTTTTCGGGATAGATTTTATTATAGTATTTGGGTATGCCTGGTAAACTTTTACGATCCAATTTACTATCACTAAAGTATTAGATAATAAAATTACTTATCTTCAGTTTGAACTAATCCTTATTTTCTTATGATATCGAACAGGTAATTGCGAATCATTTTCCATCTTCTTTTGTTTCTCTTAAGTTGTTCTCCTCTATTAGTGAATAGTCTTTTGGTGAGCCAGTTTTTATTAACTAAATTTGGAAATTTGGCATTGAGTTTGTCTCTCAATTTGTCCAAGGCTGCCTGCTGATTTTCAAGATTGGCCCATAGAATTTCCCAAAGAATCACAAATATGAAAGATGCATTGATCAATATTAAGAGAATGTAGAAGGGCCAAATAATCTCTTGATTATTGCTTAAATTGGCTGAGTACAAAGTCATCCCCAAGACAATGGAGGTTCCACACACTAGAGTGCTGACATCATCGACTTAATTAAGAAAGGGTAATTTATATGGCCTAAACCTTTTGGTTAATCCAGAGTAGATGAACACAATAATGAACACTAAAGCTGCCTTAATAATAATCAAGTCTTCATAGAAAGTTAGAAATGTGATGATGAAGCTCTTCTGATAGACCTTAACGATTTCCCAAAAGTATGCTTTGGGTTGATATTCATTGTAGAGATAACCCCAATTCTTTCTATTGTTCTCATCATCCAACTTGTTTCTAATTTTGTACAAACTAAGAAACAAGTAAGTTGGTATGATTAACCCAAGCATCAAAGCCGATGGCAAAACAAAGGTAATTAGCCATCCCAAATGAGTACTTGTATCATATCTGTAGGAGACATTACCCTGGATCCAATAGATGCCTGAGATTTATCTAAAGGACAACAAGGAGATGAATCCACCTAATAAGGTAGGTTGTAGGAAAGTAAACAAATATATTAGAGTAGTAGTGATGGCACTTCTATTCGGGATTACAATCCTAACAATGATTGCTATAATATAAAGGATACAGAATGTGAATATGTAGATCAAAGGCATAATCAAAGCCCATATCATTCTGAAGTAAAGAATGTCAATCTTTGACATGTTAATCAGAAAGCAATCCAGAGAGTAACTCATGGATTCCACAGGACTGCCAACTGTCTTGAATGCCTCAGATAATGCACTTGGCAAAGAAAGCTGGAATGTAGCCACAACACCTATGATTTGTAGATAATTTGTCAACACCTTAATCAGAATACCTCCATAACCAGTCTTAGGATTCTCAATATAAAACTTCTGCAATTTCTTTCCCATGACCATGTTTTCAACCATTTCCATTGTACTCTTGACTGACAACATTATGGATATGATTGTCCAAGCACTTACTAATGCCACTTTGATAGTATTGTCACCTATAGAATCACAACTACCACATTTATACTGCCCACTAATTGACCAAGATCCATTACCCTCAATATTATAGACATCGCATTATTCACATAATGCACCTATGTGTCCAGTGAAACAGGAAGGATTACCTGGAATCCATCCTCCTTCGCAATTGATCTCCATATTCAAACAGTACTCAATCCTAACACTGTAAGTGTAAGGTCTCCAATACCCAGGTCTCAATTTTACACTTGCTGATGTCACTGCTTCTGTGGATATTGAGTCTCTTGTTTAACATTGCTAGCCAGGCTAAACTGAATATTGATCCAGTGTTGAATCACACACTACACATGTACCATCATCTAATCGTTTTTGTTCACCCAATTAGCAATCCAAAGATTAAACATTTACTCTCAAACGATAGTCTTGTATTAAAGTGTTTAACAAATACGGAGGCTCTGGATCAAATTGAGGTATCCTGACTGAGTCACAAAAGAATTCCAATTGTAAGACTTATTCAGAATTTTTTGTTGGGTCAAAGTATATTATCATGTCATCTAAATTATAATCCTAATTATCTGTATCAAACGCAACTTCTTTTAAATTTGTGAAGGTGGCATTAGCATCTGACAACACATTTGGAATCTCCTAATTAGAAGATGCTTTGGAGACAAGAAAAGAATTGATGGTGCATTTTGTCCCTTGTAAATTTTGAATTTTGTTATTTTGTTTGTTTAAAGCCAATATTCGAAATGTCAAATTATAAGACACAAATTATTACGTAGTCTCATTGTAATACTTGTAATTGCGTATTGCTTATCCACTTGGTAATACGATGAAATCTTTAGTTTAATTGTTGAAAGAGTAGGGCTGTATTGTTATCAAATCTATAATTGTGGAGGAATTGGAGAAGATCACTTTCTTGTCTAATTGGGTCTATTCTCCATCCAACGAAACTGTCAATTAAGAAGGATATTCAGCATAATTCTTCCCGTAATCAATAGCTCTGTTGTTTATAAGATGTAGATTGAGTCTGTCTGGCGAATTGAGAGTATAATTATTTAGATAGAATGCCCCTCCAATTTAGGCAGAATTGGATGTCAAATCAGAATCATAGATATTGAATGCAGCAGATTTGGAAATGAAGTAAACAACACCTCCCGATTGCGAGGCCTGATTATAGTTTAAAACACAGGAATCAATAAGGAAATTTATATCATCCACATAAAATACTCCTCCATTCTATCCAGTATTTCTAAGAAACTCACTCGATCTGACTGAAACTGTGTAGATGAGATTTTCCTTAGATGAAGAGGTTAAAGATAGCAATCGATTACTGTTCTCTTACAGAAAAACAATACAACTGTATCCGCAGATGTTCTGGTGGAATTTGATATTATCAATCTGAACTATGTTGACTCCCATATTATAATAGGTATTAAAGGTATGGAGTATCAACGCTTTCTAGCAATTTGAACAAGTTAACATTGAGAATTGACTATCTTTATATGTGATCTTAAAGTCCTTCTCTATTGAATCTATTTGAATCAAACTAGTGGGATAAGCGAAACTCGCACTAATACTTTTGATATTCTGCTGTCCGTAATAATTTATAATTGAACTATTTAAGGCATCATAAAGATAAGAAGGCTTGGATGTTTCTTGAGTGCAACCCATTTATAATGCCTGGTAAGTTATTTCAAATTAGTCAACAGGATCTTCATCGTATTAGTGATTTGATATATTGTACATTCTGATATCCTAGAAAGTCAATAAGTTCACTGAAGTAAAGATCATCATTGGTTGAGAATACATGAAACAATTTGAAATGCTCATCTGTTTAAAGATTGCCTATCCTGATTGAATCTCAAATAGTCCACTGAATTGATTTGAAATAGTGCTGATATCAATAGTTAAGTTGCCCATCAAAGATATGAAGTAACTACTTTAGAATGTACTCAGTTCTATCTCAGATAAATAAAAAAGTAATCCAAGATAATCCTTGAATCCTTAATAACTGTTTCTTACAACAAAGTTTTGAATATATACGTCAGCACTAGAAGTTTAGGGGATCCTTAGAAATGAATAAAACAGTGAATAGGATTCGCTGACCATAATATTGATCAATCTCACTGAATTCTTGGTTTTGGAGGGATTGATAAAAAAGACTCCTCCTTCTCTTCTGCTATAGCTTCTGGTTATCTCAACATCTTTAATTGTGATATCTAATTGAGCTAATGAGGCATCGATATACATAGTCCCTCCTTGTGCAGATGATACTTTTTCCAAACTAGCCCTGCAATCTAAGAAGGTGATGTTTTGAATGTTAATAACTCCATATTACACTGGTGCTATGTAAAAGGCTCCTCCCTTCTATGATCTTGACTCCAAAACCAATACATTCTCAATCTCTAATGAATTTGCAGATAAATATGCGCTGCCTCCTTGAGAATAGATTGGGAAAGACTGGGTATAGTTTTCAAAATATAACACTTGGTCCTATTTGATACCCCAGTAGATGTTCTGTTGAATGGTATCCAAAGGAGGCAAATTGGATTGCAAGAAGCTACAATTGATTACCTTAATTGTCGAACACTTTAGCACCAAATTGGAATTTTATCCACTTGTTATCATGTTCCTTTCAAATGTTACTTGCTCTATTTTTATGGTCGAATAGGGACTTGAAAAAAGGATAGTAGAGGACGATATAAACGATAAGTCTTATACGTAACTGTGCTAATAATTATGAAAGAAGGTGACATTTCTTATGATTACATTCTAGTACTGCTCTGAACTAATTTGAATTATTGCCTATTATTCACTGATCGCAGTCAAGAGAAGTAAGTTTTGAGAGAAATAGCTGTTCTGGATTAGAACACTTTCATTCTATCTTACTTTCATTTTATCTGAAGACTTTATAAAAATGAAGGGCAAGTTGGCACTTCTCAAATTATTCAAATATATCTTCTCAAACTTAATGTTCTAGGCATTGTAAATGTACATCAAGGCCGTATATCCTTACACGAAGATGGACTTTTGAGCACAGGAGTAGGAATTGTGCAAGAAGGATGTCTTCAGTTCAGAATGTCGAGCATTCAGATTTAGGACTTGAACATCTATGCTATTGAGGATTGCCAATTCAGGAAAAGATTGCTTCCTTATGATATCTACGTTTTTTAGTGCAATTTTATAGACGTCAAGATAGATTGTTGAATTTTCAGAAACCACATTTCTATTTTTATACTTGCTAGATGATCCAAATAATTAATTCGAATGGATGTTCAAATCGGTAATCTCTATGGATAGCCCAATAAATACATTCTAATAGATTTCTATAAAAGCTTTGCCACTTGCAAATTGGTTATTCTCAAAAAGTAAATTTTAAATCTAGTTGAAGTTTTGATCATTATCAGAATCTGAGTATGCCACTGTTCCTTTGTTTGTAATAAACCTATCATTTGAAGTCTCTAGAGTGTTGTCAGTAATTTTGATGTTTTATAATTGGAACAATGGAAGCAATAACCA